AATAGCCTGAACCGACTGCGCTCTCTTACTTAGCTTTGACCATAATGTAATTGGAAGGAGTGATGCTTGGACTAAGAGGCTTTAATAGTTTTTCTTTTTTTTTTTTCCTTAGTCGTATAAATGGCATGTGATGGGTCTCAAAATGCCAAAAAGCTTGAGTTCGTTTTCACAACAAAATGCATTATTCAAAAGGATCTGCAGTCTTGGCCATGGCCATAACTCTGTAATGGACTGGAAGGAGGTGATTGACCCTGAGATGTAAGGTCAGAGCAGCAGGCGAGTGATAGCAAAAGAAAAACAGGGTAGAGAGGGAGGCAGAGGCATTGTGGGTAAAATTCACTGTTCTTTTTTATACAATGAAATGGTAATTTATGCACTGTTACACATCTTACATTTGATGGCATGCTTGAGCACTTTCACTGTTTCTTATCTCTTTCTTTTCTCAAATGGTGTTTTTATCACCCACTTCTTTTGAATGTGGTCCTCTTCAATTCTGGAGTACATTTTATTCACAAATCTGTTCTCCTTTGGGTTAGTACTGGCTATTTTAGATGAATGATATCCGCTTCAAACCCGGTTTTAGGTTCAGGGATACTTAGAAAGCTCAATATTTTCAAAATTATATTGTATCTGATGTGAAAACTGTTGGACATGCTGTTGAAAAAAAATTTAACCTTAAATGTGCACTATATGTAAAATTTCTGAGTGGGCTCATTACACACTTGTTTCCATGTAGATGGAGATGTTATTGCTTTACCTAGATCGTGAGCAGTATGATTAAACTTTTTGTAACTATTGTAAATAACTCTTATATACCTGTAACTAATGTCATAAGCTTGAAATAAAATCAATCAATCTCTCCATAGATCTGAGCTATAACTTCTGTGTCTTCATGGAGATAGATAAGATTAATGTCATATTGTGGAACATTCCAGGCAAAGCAATAACATCTCCATGGAGACCTTTCCACAAGAAAGGTTAATCACTCCTTTAAATTGACCAGCATTCCCTGAGTAATTTGTCGTTGTTGTGTAGTACCCATAGACTGTATCAAGAAATAGGAATAGGAATTAATTTATGCTCAGTCACACGGGAGGAGCTCAGAGTAGAGCTGCTGCACGTCCACGTCCACGGCGAGAGAAGACAGCTGAGGTGGCTCGGGCATCCGTTCCGGATGCCTCCTGGGCACCTCCCTCGGAGGTGTTCCGGACATGTCCCACCAGGAGGAGGCCCTGGGGAAGACCCAGGACATGCTGGAGGGACTATGTCTCTCGGGTAGCATGGGAACACCTTGGGGTCCCCCCAAAAGAGCTGAAGGAAGTGTGTGTGGCGAGGGAGGTCTGGGAGACCCTGCTTAGACTGCTGCCCTTGCTACTCAGCCCCGGAAAAGCAAAAGAAAATGGATGGATAGATGGAATTAATTTATGGACAAAATAGCAAACTATAAGCACCAGGATCATGTAGAGTGGGTTAATATGAACATTTTAAGACCAAAATGAAGAGCCTGACAGCACCAGTTATAGAGAGAGGGGCAACGTTATTTTTAAATACAAACTGAGTGGAGCTGGAGTTGCTGGAGCCAAAAGCGCACCCATGGTCACTTCTGACATTAATATACAGTCTATGGTTGTAGGGTGTTATAGTAACATCTATAAGAGTCTGAATGACATTGAATTGCCAGAAGTGTTATTCCAGAAGACTAAAAAGTTCGAAAACAGTCTTTGAAAACTATCCTAAAGGTCATTAAACCGCCGCATGACAGAGAACACTAAAACTCCTCTTTCCCTTCGAGCCGTACATTCAGTGTCGGTGGAGGAGGTGACAGGCCTTTGCAGCCCTGTGTCTGGGGTCAATTATGGCTCATGTGAACAGGAGCTAAAAGAGACTCATTTAAACTAACCTGACATGACCTGATATTAGGCGACTTCAGGCTCAGAAGATAATGAGTCCACTTGATTTTAGACGACTGAAGCTAAAGAAGGCAATGTAGAGAAATGATCCGAATGGTGATGAGGGCATTGAAGTGTGAAAAAATGTACAAAGAAGAAGAAGAGTAACACACTAGAGCTGAAAAAAATGTCAGATCACTTTCCTAATTATTATCTGTGTTGTAACTACTTCTTACTTAAAGGTGCACTGTGTAACTTTTCTCGTAAATGGTCCACCACCTGCTTGACTCCAAGTAGATGTTTTTTTTTAGTTTTTTTGTGGAATATTCAACAGCAGTGGTCCCCAACCTTTTCTGTGCCACGGACTGGATACTGTTCTACAGTATGACATTGAATTTAACTATCTCTATGGAGACAATGTTTTTGCGATAGTTTTTAGAAATAAAAACACTCATAAATGAAAAAATACAAGATATGTTTTTAATACCATACTGTGGAAACAAAGAACAAGGTAAAACAATAGCATCACCAGGGAGACAAGGAGATGGCAGACCCTTCACCAGAAAGGTTACACAGTCGACTTTAAGGTTAGCCAATATTTGTGCTGCATTATGTTATGTTTAACCACACTCTGCCGGCCTCAGCTTCATTGAGACATGAATTGCTGACTGTCTCTTCCCACTCTTGACTCCCCTTTTACACGTTTTACTTTCCAACTCAATAAAAACATAAAAGCCACACTATGTAACTTTTCTGCTGTCTGTTTGTTTTCATGGAGAGAGCTTTGCCTGGAGAGACTTATTGACAAGCAGGTCACTGAAAGAATGCACCTTTTTCATTTTTAAATGCAAAATAAATAAGTTTAATGCCATACTGTGGAACATTCCTTGAAATATGGCCAATGCAATGATATCTTCATTAAAGACCCATATGCATGCTTAAGAGCTCAGATAAATTTTGGTTACTGGGTTGATATGTCCTACTTCTGAGCAAAGAGGTTGAGGGTTCAATCTCAATATCCATGATGCCATACTTGCTGAAATAGCCTCCCGTGAATGAGCTGAAAAACATACATTATTCAAAATCCATGGCGCACCTGGATTGGTCTCTTTGCATAAGCACCAAAGGAGAGAAAACATCTTCAATAGCCATTAATACGCATAATTATAGCAATCCCACCTGCACATTTAATAATAACCATGGCCAACCAAACTACAGGCCTTCCTTCTCCCTCCTGATGAAATCCATTTGAGCTGAGTATAGGGCTAAAATGTATTGCTTTTACCCACAATGTGAGTTTAATGTAATGACTTCATATGGTCTCTCATCAGTATGCCCCACAGGAAACTCAGACTCTCCACTCACAGTCAAGGACATCACATTTGCATTGATTGTTCTCCAGTCCAGTTCAGCCCAGTACAACAGATGGACTCAGTTATTGTGATTAGAAAGGTAAATAAGTAAGATTATTAATAGATCAGATTGACTAACATAGGCTAATAAATCCAACATAACATAAAAGTGAGGTTAGGAAATAGAAATACGAGACTAGCATGTTGTTTTTTGGTGGAGGACACTATTAAAACCACAATGAATAAGATGATATTAAGAAACATTTACAATTATTTAATGCATTTGGCAGCAGTTCTTTTTTGTATTTTTGACTTTATCAAATATACAGTAAGTGCAGCATAAGATATCATTTCATTTAATATGTTTGGGTTTCTAGTTCTTTCCGGTTATTACAGTTTGGTACATAATTGTATTCCTACATAAATAACTGAAAAATGCTTAAAGAGGCATTGCAAAACTTTTTTCGTGGAGAGTCCATCACCTGCTCGTCTCCATGGAGATGTTATTGCTTTGTCTAGAATGTTCCATGACAGAGATTAAACCTATCTATCTCATTTTAGACAACTATAGGCAGGTCAGATTTGTGGAGAGGCAACCCTATTGTATTTTTTAGCAATAGAAACATCCGTAATGAATAAATGCTAGATAGATGTGTTTTTAATGTAATACCATGGAACATTCCAGGCAAAGCAATAACATCTTCATGGAGAAAAGAAAGTGGTGGATCCTTCACCAAAAAATTTGCTCAATTCACCTTTATAGTGGAACTAAACCACATTTCAAATAGAGTTGCTGAAGTGGGCAGTACCTGGATGACTAAAGAAAAAGGTGAGGGGGGAGGAGGGGGCGGAGTCTGGGCCAATGAAGAGCAGTGTGATTGGGCGAACAGGTATCCACACTTCAAACTTCGCCCCAGCAGTCATGTGTTTGTAATCAGAAACAACTGGCTGTAATCGGGGCAGTGCTGTGTGATGTCACCAATTACCTGAAATTGCAGAAGCCACTGGAGGCAGGACACACACATTTAAAAAAAAAATTAACCACAAACTTGCAAATATGTTTTGTTTGCATTAATATGACAGGGACATGGACAGTAGACAATTCTATTCAAATAACATATGCACAGTTTAGAAGCAAAAATAAGTTAATTTAGTGTTTATTTATATTTGCACAGTGAATGTAAAGTGGAACTAAATTGCCCAAATAAAAAGCCCAAAATAGCCTAGATAACCCTGTATCCCGTCAGTCATTATTTCATCTTTGCACCGTTTCTCTGTACGGCTTAAAACATAGCTGATATATCTTTGTATTACAATATTTGTATATTTTATTTTTACTTGTATATATACAATTATATAATTATGCCTTATTTAACACAAGTCTTTTACTATTTGTGCTATTTATTTTTGATATTTGAGCTACTGTGTCCAATCAATAAAGGATCAATAAAGTTTGTTTAGATCTAAATAAATAAATAGTCTATTTAAAAAAAAAAAAAAAAAAAAAAAAAAAAAAAAAGGTTAAATAATGAAATAAGGGTTACATATCAGAAAATGATTCAACAATGAGGAAGGATAGGCATATTTTTGCACAAATATATGGCATCGCACTCGCAGCATGAGTCACTGATCTAAAATTAAACGCATAGAAATTAATTTGTGTGAATATTATCTCTATAGTCTACTACATGTCCCAGAATGCCACAGGCACACGTCAGTCCAACCACTGCATTGCTACAGTTTGACCAATGCGGTGACTGCCCCCGGTCGGATCTGAGCAGGAAGTGCAGCTGAGCGCACAGGAGCAGCGGCTGGTGTCGGACGAGCGGCGGCACCGGGATGTCCCTAAACTAACGCGGCCGTGAAGGGAATGCTCCCCGGTGTTCACCATGGTCCCGGGTGTTGTGTACGCGCTGCTGGCGGGGTTCCTCGGGGCCGTGGCTTCGTCCTCGGCCAAGCTGTCTCTGGGAGCGGACTATCTGAAGGGAGTGTGTGAGACCGGGCTGCGGACATGGGGCGAGCAGCGGCGGTTCCGACACGCGGACGAGACTACGGCGTGTGACCGGGTGAGTGTGGCACAGTCCCGGGGCGCACTGATGATGATGATGACGGCGGTGGTTTGAGAGGCACAGCAGGGTCTGGCTACTCCGGGACCCCCTCCTCTCTCTCCAGCATCATCATCCTTGACTCAGCCTCACGCGGGAGCCCCTGCAGCCTCCTCGAGCTCGTGCTGTGGCCGTGTGCGCCGTGACATTGCCGCAGCACGTCACTTGTCAGCCTCGTGGTTTGACCTGGATTTTGATTTCAGTGAGAATAGCGGCGTAAAACAGGTCTGTTTGTTAAAACAAGTGACCTTGATTGTCTCTGCTCACGTCACGCGGTGATGTCAGGACGCAGCTGTCCGTCACACACGGCACGAGGACGGGGTGACCCTCATCACCACCAATTATTATGGATTACCTGTAATCATGGGCTTTGCTCAAATAAAGAGCAGAGAACAGCTATCACGAAAACCTCTGTAACGTGCATTTTATACAAACAAGAGGCTGTTTGGTCAAACGTCTACAAGAAACAGAGAGAGAGAATTTATTGATCCCGAGGGAAATTTAAGTTTTGCTGCAGCAACAGAAAATAGGTATTAGGCAATAGAAATCCCATATGCTGTTCAAATACACTATGCACCATATAGCTTCTTTAGATGATCAAGCTACTTCCGTATTGTAGAGCGTAAGTCTGTAAATCGTCTTCTTATTGGTTATAAAAGAGATCAACGGGAACATGACATCATTTCATACATAGTAGATAGCTGGATGGATAGTTATACTCAGCTCTAACAGATGTGATATTTCTAGTTTTTCCCCCTCTTTTTCCTTGTTGTATTGATTTGAATATTTTACAAAACAAGAACAAAAAGTAAACAAAAAATAAAATCCTCCCACACCCCACTTCTCTCGCTAGACCCTGACGTCTAATCCCGCCAAAATAGACAAGCAGGGTGTCCAAATTTGTTCAAAGTCTAGCTGCTGCCTCCCCCTCATAGTGAAAGGACTTCTTGGAGTGCTGATATTCCTATATAAAGGATTTCAAACCTGTTTCTTTATCCCCTCAGCTTCACATTCCCCTGCGGCTGCTGTGTGGGGGGCTGCTCTTCACCTGTAATGCTGTGATGTGGACCTTTCTGGCCAAAGCTCTCAGGTACAAAGACAACCAAAAGGCATTTTAATATTATGATTATTGTGAAAATACACATTAGATTAGATCCTAAGAATGGTGATAAAAAGTAATATATTTGTTCAGTGTTTTTGTATACAATTCTCCTTTTGAAATACTTGACTATGTTGTAATATAAGGATGTAACAATAACCGAAATATCGGGAGATCGTATCGTCAAAGTTCTCACAATAACGTCGTGAACCATCACAATATATCAAATTAAAAGTCTCTTTGCTTAAGTTAAGAGTTATGGTGCAGCATTTGCTAAAACAAGAGAGAGAACTACATAGACCATGATCCTTTGCTCCATTTCAGTGCAGACTACATGAAGAAATAACAGTTCTAAGAACTTTAGTCTTAGTTCTTTGGGGTAAGTCTTGTCAAGGCATTTTGAGAGGAAAAAGTAGCACACTAACAGTTTTGCCTCCACAAAATGTCACGATAAATATCTTACCGTGAGGTTCATACCATGACAATATTGCATCGTGAGACTTTGATATCATTACACCCCTATTGTAATATCATAAAACTGACTAACCCTGACCTTCATACTTTCAGGTACTCCTCTTCCTCAGCCCAAACCACTGTGACCACCACCGCCTCCAACTTCGTATCTTCCGTAAGTAACCCTGGGGCATTACCTACTATTCTCCATTATGGATAACTGCAATGCCATACTGTGGAACATTCCCGGCAAAGCAATAACATCTCCATGGAGAGGCAAGCAGAAATTAGGCTGGTAATCACAGGGTCTCTCTCAATTTGATACAATACACCATACATGGCTCACAATACAATTTGCTGATAATGTTTATATTGCATATGCTATTCTGTGGTATATCACTATTTTTAGAGGGCCCGTATTACACTATTTTTTGATCTATGTTATAATGTTGTTCAAAAACATACTTTGAGTTTTGATTTGATTCATTCACACATTTGATGCACAAACCCTGTATATTTAGGCTTTTAGAGTTCTTCTTTTAAACAAAAAACACTCTGTTCCACCTTGAGATATGGAAGTGCTCCCCTGTGTTTTTAAACTCCACACACCTTCAGTAGAATCAACTGGATAATTTCAGCCCAGGAATTTTCAATCTCTACTTAGCAAAAGATGAAAAGGTAGCTCTTAACTTGAAAAGCACTAATGATGCAGGGTTACTCAGACATGTGTGAATGAAACAAAGCACAACTCTGGGTATGTTTTGATGAGGTAACAATATTTTAACATGGTTTAAAGCATACAAGAATCCTTTTTGTGTGATATATGTGCACTTAATATAAAATAAGGTTTAAGGTTTAGATTACACTGTGAACAAATGTGTAACCAATTTTTAAACAGTGAGATTTGGTTTTCTTTTGTTGTAATACTATACGTACCCTCTGCTTCCCTTGTAGGCGTTCCTGGGGCAGCTGCTGTTTGGCGAGGCCCAGATGACGCTGTGGTGGGTGGGCATCTCCCTCACCCTCACTGGGCTCCTGGTCCTTCACCGAGTCTCACCACAGGAGAGACCACAAAGCACAGAAGATAAGAGGGATGAATAGTAGTAAGTTTGTCTCCACTGGCTCAGATTGTCTTTAAAAAACATTATATTAGCCAGGGCATCACCAATGTCTAAAAGTACCAAAAAATGCTTTCAATATGGTTGGTTATATCCAGATTTCAATATTGTTGGCCAGAATTATGGTTAAAGGTGCACTGTGTCATTTTTCAGTTGGGGGTCCGTCACCTGCTTGTTTCAGTGGATATATCATTGCTTTGTTTAAAATGTTCCGCAATATGACATTAAACAGATCTACCTTAGTGGTTTTACTGCACAAAAGTACACAGAAAAACAACTATTCAAACTGTGAGGACGGCTGCCACTCCACAGATCTGACCTGTAACTTGGTCTGGTTTAGTGTCTGTGAAGATAGAAAGATTTAATGCCATACTGTGAAACATTCCAGATAAAGCAATAACATCTCCATAAGTTACACAATGCACCTTTAAAATAGTAATTTAAGTTGTTTTATTTTAAACTGAATGCCCTTTTTTCAGGCAATCATCAATTTTTTCTTGAAATGGAGCGTAAAACGTCTAAAATGTTACTTATATATATACTTTTAATTATTTGGTTCATTGATAATTACTAGTTACAGAGCTGTTAACCTATGCTCTCTAAATTCAAATGTTTAGAAATGTCTGACAGTCTGGCTAGTGGAGACAAAATAAAAGTTGTTTATAGAAATGAAATGAAGCAAAAATCACTATTAGCTTTACACTATATTGATGGACTTTTGTCACAGAACGTCACGTTAACATGGTTGGAAAAACAGTAACATTTGTGAGTACGTGGATGGCAGATCACCGAAGCTTTTAAGTCACTGGTCTTAAGTTAAAGAAGCACTACGTAACTTTTCTAGTGCTGAGTCCACCTCCTGTTTGTTTCTAATGCATTGCCTGGATTGTTTACATACTGTTAAACATAACTATCTTGTATTAATTAAAGGTGCATTGTGTAACTTTTCTGGAGGAGGGTCTGCCACCTACTTGTCTCCATGGAGATGTTATTGTTTTGTCTGGAATGTCCCGGTATGGCATTAAACTTATCCATCTTGCATTTACTCAATAACATAGTTTTTAATTGAACTAAAAACATGCATTCTTACTATGAGTGGGCACCTCTCTACAGACCTGACATGTAACTTAGTCCTGTGGTGTCACCTGCTCTCTCTGTAGCGATAAATCAGTTTAATGCCATACTGTGGAACATTCCAAGCAACATGTCCATGGAGGGAAGCAGATGACGGGTCCTACACCAGAAAAGTTACACAGTCCATCTTTAAATGAGTGTTTTTATTGCAAAAAAATACCTTGAAAATATGTATTCTTACTGTGAGCAGCTTGTTTCTATGGAGAGAGATACATTTAATGCCAATCTGTGGAACATTACAGGTAAAGCATACATGAAAACAAGCAGGAGCACAAACCCTCTACTAGAAAAGTTATGTAGCGCACCTTTAAATTATGCTGACAGTCAACATTATAAACTGGCATCAAATCAGGAGGAACAGTTCTGATGTAGCACTGAGAGGTTGGGGCTGTTTCATTCTTTTTGCCTTTCTGAATCTGTTTTTTGAATCTGAGCTTTTGAGATGAGAAAGACCCATGTGTTTGTGCAAATTAAGTTTCACATTTAATCCCATACGCTTGTTATAATGTGTCTCTTCTTATTCATCATGTTTAAATTTAATCCTGAATTGTAACTTTCCAAAAACAAGCTTCTCAAATTCATTATTTTTTCACAGTCATCTCAATTGAATTAGATACTTATTCTATAGTCACAGCTGCCCTGGGGCAAACTGAGATGTGGCACAGACATTGCTTGCTTACATCCTCTACTACTAGGGATGCACTGATCCAGCTTTTCCAGTTCCGATACCGATCCTTTTGGTATCTGCTGATATCCGATATTAACCCATACCAGTGTAAGGACTGAAAAAGGCACTTATTTCCAACAACAAAAGTTATCTTAGTACAAAACAGATTTATTGGTCTAGTTGTTTTATTTATCCAGCAAATAACAGTTGAAGAGCTTTGTATGAATAAAAATTAAAAACAATACAAAATGTTCTAGGTCAACATTTGGGGTAATTACTAATAATAAAAAGCTCAACCAGGATAAAGCGATATCATGGAACCAAAACCTGGTGCAGCACATTTTTCTTGATCTTTGCCGATGTTCTATACCAGTATCAGTATTAGTGCATCCCTATCTATACCTATAACAATGATACAATGCTATACAAGAGAGATGTGTGAAGTGTCTTGCCCAATAACACAACAGCAATGAAACTGGAGATAGTGAGGATCTCCAAATTATTCCATTCTCTCTTTCTCAATTGCAACTAAAGGAAGACACAGTAAAGCATCTCTTACTACATTTTTACATAACCATTTGAAACCATAACACTTTGTCCTTTTGAGCTGCACCTTCCGCACAACAACACAAAAATATGTTTCTTAATTAGTATTCATTTTGCATCCGCCGCAGGGTCGCACTGATGTTAGCTACATTAAAAGCTTTCCTCTTGTCCCCAGAGACGCCACAATAACATCACAACAACATCACATAAGTCTCATATCACTGTGATGTGGTGCTGCCAGTAAACAGAGAGACCAGAGGGAGCTATAAGAGTTTATGTGTACATTAAACAGGAGGGTGCTTGACATTAAAGTGCCTATGACAGGTTGGACTACTCATTTCTTTAAAACACAGTTGTTATATTACATTATATTTCTTTGTACCGTTGTTTTGGTTATAGATTTTACTTCCTGGTTTAATCACACTAGGGATTTAGATTACCTTACCTAGCAACAATATAGTACACTAAACTGGTCAAATGTGCAGATAAATTAATATTGATGAATACAAATTTAAGAAAACACCTTTATTTTGTTGAAAAATGTTTAAAATATATTGGAAAAAATGTGTTTATTGTGTAAATTGTGACTAAACTTTTTGACAGAATTCAATCAGTTGAAACGGTCTAAAATATAACTCTTCAATTCCTGTAATTTTCAACATATTTTTCAATTTTCTTCACAAATTGCTTCTTGATTGGTGTAAAACTATAATTTATATTTACACCAAGTAGTATCCCATCAAATTAAATGTGACTTATATGTAACTTTTTGGTAGAAGGTCCACCATCTGCTTGACTCCATGTAGATGTTTTTTTTTTCATGGAATGATTAATTTAACTATCTCCGTGGAGACGAGCAGCCCACATCACCAGGCCAAGTTACAGGTCAGATCTGTGGAGAAGTGGGCCTGCTCACAGTAATAATGTGTTTTTACAGTAGTTTTGAAAAATAAAAAATAAAATGTAATTGAATAAATACAAGCAAAGCAATAACATCACCATGGAGAGAAGCAGATGGTGGGCCATCTACCAGGAAAGTTACACAATGCACCTTTAAGTCAAAATGTGAGAATCATCAGAACCTGTCATACGCACATTAAAAGAGCTTTTTACATATCATTATAATATAAATGCATAATGGTAGCTCTTTGGTGTTGAAACCACAGCAGCGACGCACACAGCGATCCACCGTGCTTCCAGCTGCCTGTTGAGTTATTATTGTAACGTGTGATTTACTGTACATCCCTGTCAATGTGATCTCAAGTATTTTTCATTTGCAAAACGGTGTTAAACAGAAGATTTACTCAAGAAAAGTAGTACCAGTGTTTTCCATAGATTCTGGGGAGACTATGGTGGCACTAGATTTTAATAACCTCATTTTATTTAATTTATAATTAGTGGAGTATAAATGATGTTTATTTCCTGTATTCAGTCTTAAAGCAGTACTTTTAACGCTGTATAGCAACTTTTAAATGTTTATGATAGCACGATAGACAAGAAAGATTTTGTGATGCCAAAGTATAGTCCAGGTTGTTTTTAGACTATAGGGGAGAATTTTAAACTATGGGGTGCCACCATAGTCTCTTATATTTATGTAAAACACTGATAGGTGAAATGGTGCTGTGTTCATCTTGCACTGTTAAACTGTAAGAAAGTGGTCAAAAATGTCCTCTGTAGATCAATAAAGTTTGTCAAAGTTTAAGAATCTATAGCAAAAAGGTCCATGCATCAAACAGTGGCAGTGGATTTCAAATCTTATGTCCTTAACTATAGGTCAACTAGTGCTTTTTCATTCATTTTTCATTGTAATAATTATTTGCAAATTAAAAACAGTAGGATTCAGTTCACATTGTTAATACACCCAGGGACATTAGCATTAGAGCAGAGTGCCCAAACCTTTCTCATCAAAGGGCCACATATCTAAACAGAGACAAAGCAGAGGGCTAATTGAGGGCCATAGACTGGTGGTTAATACAGATTAAAATATGTGCATTTCTAACAGATTAGAATGAGTCCGTAGACCTTTATGTATGTTTAGATCCTCAAAAGGACACATAGAATATTTGATAATGGCTTTATAAAGGCAGATTTTCAAAAAGCCTTACGTGCTACTCAAAGAAATATGTCTCAACTCATACAAAAAAGCCCACATTAGGCCATAGTTTGGACTTGTCTGCATTAGAGCGAAGATTTACAATTTATAGGCAATGGTACTAATACAGTATATTTTGTTGTTTGTTGTTTGAGAAAATGATATGGCACTTAAATAATTCCAGTCTGCAAATTTTGCTAATTGCAGTCATTCAAACTGTGCTCTTGGTTTGATTGCAAAACATTTAGCTGCTGTAATCACAACGATTTTAAACCTCCACTTCAGCTCTGCAATGAACACAGCACCACTCGTCTCATTCACTTGTATCAGAAGTCCTTTGCCTTTATTTCGTACGTGTCTTTGCGGTGCCTGGTCTGATCCCACTCTCACTGTAAACTTCTGCAGAGCATGGCCTTGAGCACGATTTTCAGATATACTTCAATAATATACTTAAATGCACTGGACACTGTAAAAACTAATATAACAGACTGAATATGACAAAATGCATGTCAAATATTCAACTGGAAACTCACTGCAAAATGTGACCTTTAAGTCTAGACTAGAGCAGTGATTTTAACTGGTGTCATTGTGATGGAACGTAAATGTCATGTTTTGTCTATAACTTAAACCAATCTGGTATTCAATTTGTACTGACTATAAATAAAAACACTTAAATTGGGATGTTAAAGGACCTATATTACACTATGTTCTGATCTGTTATAATGTTGTTTCCTCATCAAAAATATCCCTGGAGTTGCGTTTTGTTTTTTGTTTTCATTCACATGTTTAACGCACAAATCCTAAGTTCTTCTCTCAAACAGAAAACACTCTGTTCCACCTTGTGATGTCATGTGGTAATACAGGAAGTGCTCCATTGTGTTTTTAAACTCCACACACCTTCACTAGAATCGTTTGGATGATTTCAGACATGGAATTGCCAATTGCTACTGAACAAAAGGTACAAGGTAGTTGTTAACTACCACTTCATGACATCACAACATGGAACAGAGCATTTTGAGCTTTGGAGATGTAGACAGACTAATAAAAAATAGTCACTCAAACTTGTGTAAATGAAACAAAACACAAATCCAGGTATGTTTTAGATGAAGTAACAATATTCTAACATGGGATAAAGCTCTCAAGAGTCAATTTTGCGTGATATAGGACCTTCAATTGAGTTTGAATTAATTTGATTGTGTCAAAAGTTTGAGATTAATTAAGGTACCACATTAGGCAACTGTATTCAAATAAAAATGGGGCCAAAAACAGATATACGCCACATTACACTGCAAATAAATGATGTATTGAGCACAAATTGTTTAAATAAAAACACTGTATGGTTGGATACATTTTCTGCAGGATTTTGCTCTTCAAAATATTGGTTGACAATGATTAAATCCATCCATGTGTCTTATTGAAAATGTGTAAAGTGTAAATAAATGGTGTTAATAGAAAACTGGCTGTGAATAGGTCTCTAATGATGAGACAACAATCACTGGTGAATTATGAAATAAACATTTTCATCTGAAATGCAAATGTTTGTATATGTCAAGATTATTTCATGTCTCAATAAACAATTAAGCTTGTTTCTAAGGAGATGTCATTGCTCTGCTTGGAATGTTCCACAGTATGATGTTAAACAGTTCTGCCTTACATTTATTAAATTACAGGGGTTTTTATATCTCAAAAATTACCTAGAAAAACAGCTTCTCCACAGATCTGACCTGTAACATGGTCTGGTTCTGTCTCCATGAAAGAAAAAAGTTTTAACGCCATACTGAGAAACATTTCAGACAAATCAATAGCATCTTCATGGAGAAAAGCATTTGATGAACACTTCACCAGAAAAGTTACACAATGCACCTTTAACATAGAATATGAAGGGCTGAAGTAATAAATTAAACTGAATCTACTTTGGATCTACGTTGGCCACACATATACATGTATCGGTGCAACTTTAAATGTAACTTTCCTGCTCGTCTCCACTGAGATGTTATTCCTCCGCCTGAAATGTTCCTCAGTAGGGCAATAAACGTGTCTATTTTGCATTAATTCAACCACAGATGTTTTAATTGCTATAAAACACCTTGAAAAACATGCATTCTTACCATAACTGTGGGTCACATTTCCACAGATTTTACCAGTAACTTGGCCTGGTGATGTCACATCTCTATACAGAAGAGAAACATTTAATGCTGAACTGTGGAACGTTACAGACAGGGGAATAACATCTCCATGGAGACAAGCAGATGGCAGACCATATAATGCACGCTTAAAGGACCCATGTTACACTATTTTCTGATCTCTGTTATAGTGTTTTCTCATCACAAACATACCTGGAGTTGTGTTTTGTTTCATTCACGCAAACACATTAACACACAAACCCTGCATATTTAGGCCTTTTCAAACTGTGATATCATGTGGTAATACAAGAAGTGCTTCATTGTGTTTTTAAACTCCATACACCCTCCCTAATCATTTGGATAATTTCAGAAATTCGGGAACAGCCAGTCTCTACTGAACTAAAGGTAGAAGGTAGCTGTGAAAACTATGACATCACAAGGTGGAACAGAGCATTTTGAGCTTTGGAGATGTAGACAGACTAATAATAAACACAACTCTGGGTAGGTTTTTGATGAGGTAATAACATTATAATATGTATAATATATTTTAACAGTGAATAGTTGTCTGCAAGTTCTGAATATACCTAATTTATCCCACCGTGCACTCACAGCAGATACACTCCAGCGAAATACCAAACAACAAAGGTAGGTAATATTAATTCACTTAAAGTCTTGATCTGCTTCACATATATATTTTATTCCCCATTCAAACAATGACAACAAAAGCAACATTTGTGGCCAGTCAGCACAAACAGTCCACATATGACCACTTACACACATACTTAAGAGAAAAACAAAGCTGGTGTGTTTTATGTGTAAACTGTATTCCAGCATTTAAAACTCATTTTAAAAGCCTACCTCTCTTTCTGTTTGTTGACACCTGTGTTTAAAGATGCACCATGAAAGTTTTTGGTTATCATCACCTGTTTGTTTCTATGCATATGTAAATACTCTGCCTTGAATGTTCCACAGTATGGCATTAAACAGCTCTACATTACTTTTATTCAGTTGGTTTTATAGCTAAAAAAATACCTAGAAAAACAGGCTTTCTGAGTGTGAGTGCGTTTGGTTTCCATGAAGATAGAAAAGCTTAATACCACACTGAGAAGCATTTGAGATAAAGCAATAACATCTCAATGAAGAAAAGCATTTGACAGATCCCCCACCATAAAAGTTACACAATGCACCTTTAAGCTAATTTGGCAACAGATGTCAACAAATTTAACATGTCTTTTGTAACTAAGGCTCGTCAAGACACAAGGAAAGGCAATTCAGACAAATGTAATGTGTTTTTCTATTGTTACTAATCAAACATAAAATAACTATCGGCTTATTGGCTGGTCACAGTTTTTTTCCTTGGACCACATTTGATAAATATTAACGAGGGTTGCACAGCGTATCGCAAAATTATTGAGATTTGGTCTTGGTTTAACCTGTATGAAGATTTTATTTTGACACATTTAAATTTAAGTGAATTTACTGTGTCAAAAACTATACTAATAATGCAATATTAAACATAACTATAAGATATCACATTCTGACTCATTCCTAATACTGACCATTGCCAAAGCAGACCAAACCAAGTCTCACCATTCTGGACTAAACCAGGACAAAACCAGACCTATCCCATTTGGACTAAAACAGGACACCCTGTGTTCACACTTTGTTTGGTCCTAGATTATTTGAGTCCTAATGTTGACTTGGTTTGACCATGTTCTAGTCCCGTTTTAGTCTATTCTAGTCTTGGTTTAGTCCTGGTGCAGTCCTGGTTTCATCCTCCTGGGTGGGACCTGGTTTAGTCTCGGTTTAGTCCCATTTCATTTGTCCTGGCTAAGGGTGGATTCACACTTGTACAAGCACTACATCGAAAATGATTATAACCTGGGACTAAATCTGGAACTAGACAAGGACTAAAGCTTGACTAAAACGGGAGACTTGTAGAGAACCCGGTCTAACCCATCAGGACTAAATCAGGTCTAAACCAGGTCTGAACCAGGACTAAATTAGGACTAAACCAGGTCTAATTCCTCAGGACTAAATCCGATCTAAACCAGGTCTAGGCCAGGACTAAACCTGGAACTAGACCAAGACTAAACCTGAACTAAACCGGGAATCAAACAGAACCAGGACTAAATCAGGTCTAAACCAGGTCTGAACCAGCACTAAACCACATCTGAATCAGGACTAACCCAAGTCTAACCAGATCTCACAGTCCCTCATATCCTCTTCTTTGACATTTTTCCTGACATTTTATCTAAGAGAAAAAAACAAGAGAAAAACTTGACCACTCTCAGGTATTGAAGATATCCGTTATTCAGTTCATCTTTCAGTAAAGTTACACCTGAATGGTCATTTTCGTTTCCTTGTTGGGCACAAATCTGAACAGAAAATAAGAGACACTCGGTTGCTGCTCACTCACAGCTGCTGTAGACTATATTGCTTCTTTGCCTGATGTTTTGATCAGAGCTGGTGATGCAAAATCAAACAACAAAGTCAGTTTTATGGTGCGTCTAGTGTTTTGTTTCTTCCAGGTGGCCTTCACAGTGATGGCTCTGCTAATAGTGTTTATTTTTGTCACGCAATCAAGTCAGAGGAGCACAGATGTAACGTCAACCAATAAGGAAGAAACACTTTAAACCTGGCATTTACAACTTAAAGGTGCTCTATGTAACGTTTTGTTTGGGGTTCCATCACCTGCTTGTTTCTGTGGATATCTCAGTGCTCTACCTTGAATGTTCCACAGTATGTCATTAAACAGCTCTACTTTACATTACGTTTCAGTCACAAGTGGTTTTATAGCTCAAAAATACCTGCATTCTGAGTGTGAGCGGGGTCACCTCTCCACAGATCAGATTGGTCTCCATGAAGATAGAAAGGTTTAATGCCAAACTGTGAAACATTCCAGACAAAGCAATAACATCGTCACGGAGAAAAGCATTTGACGGATTCTCCACTAGAAAAGTTACACAATGCAACTTTAACAGAAGCATAGTAAAGAAAGTAATACAATTGTTCTGGTTAATCATAATACAGTTCCATACATTATAGTTGGAACAATCATTTTGGGGGGTTTGGAGTGTTGCAGATCATATTTTTTTAATAGTATTGTACATCAAGAGTAGTTTTTTGGGGGATAATTCTGAAATGTTCCATTCCTCGTTTCCATGGAGAAAGATAAGTATAAATCTGTTTGTATAATTTAATTGTGTAATGTAAATAAATAAATGAATATGGGCTAATTTCAAATATTTCTCCATCCTTTAATGTCCAGATATCTTTAAAGATGCACTATGCAATTTAAAAAGTTGAGGGTCCGCTACATTTCTGTCTCTTCTTTGCATGGAATGTTCCACAGTATGGCATTAAACATATCTGCCTTGCGTTTATTCAGTTACAAGTGTTTTATAGCTCAAAAATACTTTGAAAAACAAGAATTCTTGCCATGTATGGGCTTGCTTCTCGATAGATCTGACCATGAACTTGTGATAACCAACTTTATTTCCATACTGTGGAATAATCAAATCAAAGCAGTAACATCTCTATGGTAGCAGGTAGCAGAACCACCACTAGAAATGTTACACAGTGCATCTTTATGTTCAAGGTATGTTCAAATGCCAGGTCAAAAGTGAACAATATAAACCATTAAAATGATCAGATGTTCCATTATTATTATTATTATTATTATTATTATTATTATTATTACCCAGAATAATCCAGTCTGTTCCTGACTGTCACATTAAGGCAACAATGACCAAAATCTCTAAAATCTAAGGCATTTTTTTTTCCAGCATTCGACGGAAATACTACTAAATATTCAGCGAGCGGCAAATGATTACAGTAAAAAAAAGGAAGACAAAAGCCAGGCACAGGTTCAACTAAGACCTGGTGCTTTTGGGCAACGACATTCTTTTCACATTATTCGTCGAGGATTGTAGAAATGGTTTGACGTTTTGGCGATAACTTCAGTCACTTTTGTTGCTTTTACTGATTTTAAGTGCTTGATATTATTGGATTTGTCAGAGTTGTGAAGTTGTAATATGAAAATGTATGTGAGTAAAACAGCTAAACAGGTGCATCTGAAGAAATTAAAATACAATGGAAAAGAATTACATTGTTTTAAGCATATAGGGAAATGTCATACATACCATTTATATTATTTATTTATGTAGCTATGTTTTATGTGGCTTACCCGTTTCTTTATGTTATATAGGTATTTTTGATTATGAAATGATCATAATTAACAAATACTAAAGTGTGCAAAAGCTATATAGCTATATAGCTATATATATATATATATATATATATATATATATATATATATATATATATATATATATATATATATATATATATATATATAAAATGTAATATTATTTGAATTTGACTTGTGATTTGAATTGAACTGAAAAGCTTACTTAAAGGGCCCATATTACACCATTTTCTGATATTATACTGTTGTTTCCTTATCAGAAAACATACCTGGAGTTGTGTTTTGTTTCATTCACACATTCATTCACACTCAAATCCTACTTACTACTTTAGGCCTACTTTAGGCCGAGTTCTTCTCTTTGGAGATGCAGACAGACTAAAAATAAAGGATTATTAAACTGTGAATTATTATCTGTGAATGAAACAAAACAAAGCTCCAGGTATGTTTTTGAAGAGGTAGCAGCATTATAGCATGTTTTACAGTTGACAAGAGTCCATTCTGCGTAATATAGGGCCTTTAATAATTTCCAGAGTATTTTAAAGTTTGAGAAGCACCCATACTTCCCAAATCTCAATCAGCACCCAACAAGAATAATAAAAAGAAAACGTGACACTTGAAAAAACATAATTTCAATAAAGTTTACAGTATAACACCAAGATACATCCGTAAAGAAAATATAAAGAGCAGTTTAGGAGTTCATATTTTTTATCTTTCCTCACACGATGTACTGGTAGACATCTGCTTTGCCGTGGTCTGGAGTGGCAAAGGGACTGAGCCAGGCCAGTGAAAATGGGTGTCCGAAAACTACCTTCATGTTCATCCATTTGGACTTTTTGGCCCATCTTCTCTCCTCTTTCTTCAACTGCTCGATCCCCTACAGGTACAGGAACATTTACAGGTTAAAAATCATCTATAGTGATAACCTGACCAGCCAGAACCACACGCTTTTGGCAAAAACAAAGATGAGTGGATCTGGAACTGTATCTTGTCTCTCCGATTTCAGAGGTATGATTGACAAGCGGATTAACCAATCAGAGAGACGAATGGTCAGTTCGAGTCAAAAAGAAACATGGTAGTTCATAGGTAAAAAAGGGGCAAAACATAATATAGGACTGAGAAACAGTGTAGATTTTTGCAGAGTAAACAATCGAAGCACCAAAGCATTGTTTATTTCAGGCAAAAAAGCTATACATTTTATTCTGAATGTTAAGAGAATTCTGAAGAGGAAATGTTTTTTGCATTTGAGAGACACTTGATGCAAATTAACAGCTGAGGTTGGATCATCTCAAGTTTGGATGGAGTTTTTTTTTTTTTCACGCTCTAGGGTCCAGTTCAAGTCCCTTCTGGATTTGAACAGAATGTAGAAGGGACTGGCTGCTCAGGCAACTATAGTAGTGTTGTCATGATACTAAAATTTCAAACTCTCTTTCAATACTAAGCAATAGACACAATACTCAGTACTCAGTCAGTACCAATTCCCATACTGCAATGACCATATAACACTATTTTTAAGACAACAGAATGTCATTTACAACATTAAATCTCAGTACTTCCTTTTATATTACTTTGTGGCCTTATATCTGTGTAATCCCTCAATTGGTAGGTTCCATAATGGTCCATGGGTTTATACTAGTCTACGTGCTCTTATATTTACAGCTCAAGATCATTCTAAAGCTGTTCAGGAAAGGTTAATTTCTCAGTATCAGTATCAAGTATATATCGATAAGTGCTCAAATGAACATCTAGTTTCAACACTAGTTTTAGTATCTGATATTTTACCATTTGTTTTTCTCTGTTTATGTATATCTAGATTTTTAGTAACTTATCTATTTTTTATATTGTCTTTTTAGCAACAGTGGCCAAGTCATTTCCTTTGTGTATATATATCAATATACATCAACAATATATAGACAATTTTATAAAAAGCATAATAAATAATAAAGTTGTGATTACTCACGGTCTCATCAGAGCAAATGGAGTGGACCTGAGTCCCAAACATCACAGCAGTGAAAATGAGGAAGAGGAGCCCCTCAAAGCACAGAAGGATCAACAGGATCACAGTGGCCGGAGGAGAGAAGTTACTGCACTCTGACACAAGAGGGGGCTAATGAGTTAATAACATAAGGTTGTGTAACACACACCATCAAAACCAGGACTAAACTAGAATTAGACTGGGACTAGACCAGGACTAAACCAAGACTAGTTCAGGATTAAATTAAGACTAGACTAGGGCTACACCAAGACTAAACCCAAAACTGAACCAGGACTAGACCACAACTAAACCAGGCCTAGAAGTGGACAAAATCAGGTCTAATTCACAAATAAAAACTAGGGCCAAACCAGGATCAAACCAAGATGAGTTTGAACACTTTGGTAAATCATGTGTGCTATATCAAATGTTATTATTTACTATTTATCCAATTTGATACATTACTTGTTATTTTACAATGAAATGGGAACAAATCTTACTAACATGCCAGTTTTAAATTATGATAAACTGCGATATAATAATGGCTAAAAGATGGATTTTGTATGTAAATCTGTAGAAGATTCTTACTTGCCCAGTCCTGCTCAAAACAGAAAACAAAATGGAAGGCCGCCATAATGAGAGCGTGGAAGGAGATCAGTGCAATGTACATCTGGAAATTTAAAAACAAAATATAGAATTCACATTTTTAAGAATACTGTAAAAACATTTATAATAATTCTTAATTAAATACTCACAGTGAAAAGCACAAAGTATTTCTGGTTGTTTTCTCCCACACAGTTGTTCACCCAGGGACAGTGATGGTCCATCTTTTTAATGCAGCGCTTGCAAACACTGAAGAAAGCACACAAAAAAAAGCACAAAGTTTCGCACAAAGAATTGTATTGTGGACTGATTAAAACTATGCTTATATTTGTATTAAGACAGTACTACTAGTAAATCCTCCAATGCTATATCGCTGGTGGAGTTTTGGTGATGTTGTCCAAAGTAAAGCCAGTATAAAATTGTGTGACTCATTTTCCCACTTACCCATAATGCAGAAATATAAAATGGAGCCTAAAAGCATTACAAATTGAATAAGGAGATGAATAATTAAATGCTAAAAGACTCTTGTGGATGGAGGGAGGAATGCATCTTGTGTTTGGTATAACTTTCTATATTTGTCTGTGTTGAACAACTAGACTGTGGTTCCTCTAGTTAGAGAAAAAAAATCAATCAAAATCAATGCCACCCTCCATGCAAAGTGCCTATTTTCTTACCCTTGTATTTAAAGGAGCATTATGTTTCTTTTCTGTTGGACAGTCCAACACCTGCTTGTCTCCATGGTGAACAGACACTGTGGAACATTCCATCCAGATAAAGCAATATAATCTCCACGGCTTTGTCTGAAATGTTCCACAGTATCTTTTTCCATGAAGACAAGCAGGTGATGTCAGAATTTATTTTTGTGATAAAACACCTGTAATTGAATAAATGTAAATGTATAGACTCATTTAATGCCATACTGTGACATTTAAAGGTGCTATATTATACAAAATGGTTTCTTGTGAGCTTTTCCACTGATTATAATGTTGTTAGCTCATCAAAAACAAACCTGGAGTTGTGTTTTGTTTCAATCAAACATGTTCCAGTAACCGTTTATAATTAGTCTGTCTTTTGTTTGGTAGAAATATGAAATTCCAGGGCTGAAATAATCCAAATTCAATATACTAGTGAAGGCATATGGAGTTTAAAAACTGGAGCACTTCCTGTTCTACCACATGACATCACAAGGTGGAACAAGTGTTTTCTGTTTGAGAGAAGAACCTAAAAGTGCAGGGTTTGTACATGTGTGAAAGAAACAAAACACAACTCCAGGTACGTTTGTTATGAGGAATCTCCATTTGAACCAGATCATTTTGTGTGATATCATGTCTTGAGGAGACCTTCCACCCACAAAAGTAAAATAATATCCAAAACAATCCTGCTTTCACTCAAACTGACACCATTTCTCCATTTAAGTCTGTGGATGACTCACTGCCTTCGAATCAATTACTCTGCAGTGTTTTTGCTCTTTTCAAGTCTCACATCCCAGGAAACATGCACCCACGGGACTCCTTATTACCAAGCTGTGAAGTCTAATGAGAAATACAATACAGTAGAAAAAATAATATTATCCAGGGAGGAGATGAGACAAGCAAACAGGCTGGGTGCATGACATTTATGAGTCTGAAGATCATTGGAGGACAGGAGCTTACATAACTCTATGGTGAATTACTGTTTTGGGGAGAAATAACAAAAAAGATCATCTATGTTTAATCCTATCATTTTTATTATTGATGGGGCCACAAGTTTGCCGTATTATTCTTGTAATTTAAAGTTGCCCTGGTTTGTTCTAGTTTGAGCTCAGTCCTGGTCTAGTCCTGTTCTAGTCCTGTTTAAGTTCTAGTTAAGTTCTATTTTAGTTTAATCCTGCTCTGGTCCTGCTCTTGTCCTGCTCTTGTCCTGCTCTGGTCCTAGTTCCAGATTTGTAAAGTGTGAAGCACCCTCAAAGTCCTTTCAACTGTCAATATTTTTATATATTATAGTAAAAAGCAATAGGTGTTGGATTTGGTGCCAGTTATTTATTTATTTTGTTTTAATTTTAAACCAACTCAAAACATCAAAAAATTATACACTGTCTTTTGATAATGTGTGACACAACGTTGTGATGTGTAGATGTGCAGAGAATAACTCCCTCAATGGGACGGTTACATGAGGATTGCCAGGGTCCCTCGGGTGTCTGTACCTGCAGTGGTGAGCCCGGTCTGGTTTGATGCTGCAGCACTTGGGGCACTTGTAAACCACCTGCCCCGGTTTGAGCTGCAGACTCTCGATAAACTCTTTGGTGGCGTTCCCCTTCGGCACAGCGCCCTGGAAAAAAAGAAGGAACAGAAAAATTACAAGTTATTTTAAAAAGGTTAAATAAATGTCATCATTAAGGCTGAACAAACATTTTTTTGCCTCATATTGATAAATTAACCAAATTGAAAATTATTATATTTTTAAAAACAAATAATAAATAAATATTACAATAAACAACACAGACTTTAAGCATAACTTTTACCTCAAAGGAACAAAGCGCAGTTTTGTATTTTTGATAATAAATAGATAACAATAATGAATAAAGTTCTCAGAAAATACCAGCTAAAATAATTGTGGTTATTCATCATTTTATAGATTTCATAGAAGATTTTCCTCACAGAATACTTGGCCGTAACCACTTTATTTTCTCCTATAAACTGAGTAAGCCTAACTTTTAAACAAGTTCTGTATTACTCAAAAGTGACTATTGTGAGCTTTCAGCCATGCTATAATGCTGTTATCTCCTCAAAAATATAAGTTCAAGTAAGAGTACGGTTTGTGTTTTGTTTCATTCACACAAGTTTGAGTAACTTTATTACTCTGTCTGCATCTCAAAAGTTCAAAATGCTCTGTTCCACCTTGTGACATCATGATCTGTTTTCAAGTTAACGGCTGTCATTTACGTTTTGTTTAGTAGAGACTGGCGATGCAGGGTTGAAACTATCCAGATGATTCTAGTGAAGCTGTATGGTATTTAAAAACACTGGAGCATTTCGAGTATCATCACATGACATGACAAGGTGGAACAGAGGCCCAATCCACGTGCTACATCTAGTACGTATAGTTTTGTTGCAGATGCAGTGTTTGTCCACACTAATCGAACTGGTGCCATCAACTTCCATGAATTTATCTGAGTACGGATCTGATCTGGTACTGTGTGGACGCTTGAAAATGTTGATACGCTAAAGTAGGAGCTTGAGTTGCCATCCTTATTGGACCACGTCACTGTGACTTTGCGCCTTCCTGATTCACTGGGTTTGTGACATTGGTCATGTGACGCTATTGCAGAAAACAGTTCAAAGAAACCATAGACAAACGGGAAACAGCGTAGCTAGATTGCGGACACAGAAAAAACGTGTTTGGACACAAATCCTTTCCTATCCTATCCGTAAAATATGGGCTCTTTAAATACTGTTTAGTACATTTTTTTGTGTCAGTGGGCAAGACACTTCACACATTTGCATATATCTGTGGGCAGTGAATAATTTAACTTAATTGTAGGACATTAATAGGTCATCACATACCGGGTCTGTGCACATGGCCCTGGCATGCGAGGCTAAGGCGAGGAAAGCCAGTCCGTTAAACAGGACTCCATTGAAGAGACTATAGGCCACGTTTTTCACTGGGAGCAGCATCACGAAAACCACCACGAACTCGGCGTAGAAAACCAGGAACCAGGTAATGATCCCACACACGATACCGCACCCATCCCGAATGAACCACATGGTGTCGGAGGAGGTGCGGGGAGGGGGAGGGGTGCAGTGCTCGGGGCCCAGGTAGCCAGGCTGACGCTCAATGTCCCGTGTGCGGTGGGCGGGACTCTTCATCCTACAGCCAATCCAACCTCATGCTGAGAGAAACAGAAAGAGAGAGTTAGTGTTAAGAAATGATAAGTTCTAGTATCAATATATCAATGACAAGTTAACAGACAGTAGGGCTGAACGATTTTGGATAAGTGTACTGTAATAGAGATATAATAATAGAGATTTTTTTGTTGACAGAGCGCATTTTAATATTCAAGATATTAACATTTGAGAGACTAAATAAGACTAAAATATCAACTAGTACAAAAATACATTCGAATCCAATTAATTTCCACATTTTAATGCCTATGCACTTGATTGTGTTTGCAGTTGCAATAATAAGGGGTTTTAGCACAGGCGCTCTTCTGGTTGAGGATCAGCTACTCGTGAGATTTAGAAAATGTTAAAAAGCCTTTATTAAATAAAAATAATGACTTCCAAACTTGTTTGTGTGGTTCTAAACTACAAGGTAAGCAGATATTTTCCCACATAAAAAGACATAAAATTGTGTTGTTTGGTGAGGAATAGGGGTGTGCAAAAATATCAAAATAGCGATATATGCATCATTCAGTGTGATGATACAGAACACCGATATCATGGGCTGCTGTATCAATATATTGCCAAGAGTATATTTTACTCAAGTATTTTATTACAGTGCTAGTTTTGTTATTTGTTTAGAGGAAGGAAACTCATTTATGCAGCACATTTGACATTTTCTGTTTTGATGATTAAAATGGGTGTGTTTTATATTAACTTTGCAAAAGAAGTGGTTTAACAAAGACTTTAGTATCACAGCCATGATTTTGCAGTTATTTTATTATCAAATCGATTTGAAATATATCACATTGAATCAAAAGTGCACTGTATCGAGATATGTATCGTATTGTGGCCTGTGTATTGAGGTATGTATCATATCGGCAACTACTTAATGAGACCCAGCCCTACTGAGGAAGTATGTTACTTAAATAGAGTGGTTTTTAGTTTTCGATTCAATTACCAATTAATGTTGCAGCCTTAACGACCACACTGAACAAAAAGGTATCATTCTGTCAGCAAATACAAAATCGTATTCCTTATTTAAGGTTCAGTTTTAATGCGTTTGTTCATTTATGTACTTCCGTTTTATAACAGCAAACGTCCCTATTAGAGATACCATAAATATTATTTGTCATTTTATCTGAAAGAAAATGCATGAATGCTTTAACCCATTTTGCAAAACACTTCAAACCAAAACTTTGAATCAGTATAACGTAAATGGAGTAAGTCTTTACTCAAAAGGGTCCATATATTACGCTATTTTGTGATCTATGTTGTAATCTTATTTCCTCATCACAAACATACCTTGAGTTGTGTTTTGTTTCATTCACACATGTTTAAAACAAAAACAAAACAACTCCAGGGATGTTTTTGATGAAGTAACAGCATTTCAACATGACTTAAAGCTCACAAGAGTCAATTTGCGTAATAAAGGACCTCTAAGCTCTGTTCCCTACAAGTCAAGTTACCTTTTAATATATGAATGTTATGCATTTGTTGGTATTGCCACATAACATACTCAACTTTAACCTTCAAATGAATCAACATTTTAAATTATTAGACAACAGACAGCTTTTGTGACTCACTGTTTTCTCATCCATCTGAATACAATAGAAATTTACAATGATCCCATAATTATGCACCATGACAAAAAGGTACTATGTCCACAAAGAAATATGACTAAATTACTGCAAAAAATTAAATACAATAAAATCTGCTTCAAAGCTTCATCCCATGAATAACCCATTACATTTAGTCATCTGTGAGTGTGTGCACAAAGACCGGCTTCAAAAACAGGTCAAAATGTCAAAAACTCAGAAAAGGTCCAGTGTTATGAGCAGAAAGCACAGCGCGAGATAAAAGAGACTATATTTGGAGCAGGGCAAAGCATAATGCACTTTGGGACAGATTTTGTGGTATCAGGGTAGGGCTGAAAGATTTGGGTGAAATATGAAATAGTGATTTTTCTGACAAGCTTTGCAGCTGTGGTTAGATTTGCGATTCATCTTTTAATAATAAGATTCTGTTCAAAGTTTACAAAGTTTTCTAATTGCATCCATTCAAATTGCAATTTTGATTCGATTGCACTTTATTGTGCTGCACAAATGGGGGCAAATGGTGTAACTTTTGGGATCTGACTTAAAACTAGCACTAATCAAACTTAACTTGTTTTAGTCCAGGTTTTAGTCCTGGATTAGTTCCTAGTATTTCCTGTCCTGGTTTTCGTCTAGACTCTCAAACGCTGTTAAAGGTGCACTATGTCATTTTTCTGATAGAAGGTCTGACACCCGGTTGTCTCCATGGAGATGCCATTGTATGCTATTTAATGCTACCATGTGACATTAGGCCAAGTTATATTTAAGATCTGTGGAGAGGCAATCCAGCTCACAGTAAGAATAAGATTTTTTTGTTATTTTTTCAGCAATAAAAACACTTTTATTGCTTAATGAATGTTTAATGCCATACTGTGGAACATTAAACAGCAATAACATCTAATTGAAAACAAGCAGGTGGCACATGTCCTCCAGCAGAAATAGAGCACCTTTTCATTTAAATGTGCATTGTGTAACTTTTCTGGTAGAGGGTCCATCAAATGCTTTTCTCATGGAGATGTTTTTGCTTTGTCTGGAATGTTTCAGAGTAGGGCATTAAACCTTTCTATCTTCTTTGCAACCAAACCTGACCAAGTTACAAGTCAGATCTGCCAAGAGGTAATTACACTCACAGTCAGAATGCCTGCTTTTCTAGGTATTTTCAGCTATAAAACCACCTGTAATTGAATAAATGTAAGGAAGAGCTGTTTAATGTGATAATGTGGAAGGAGGTGATGAACCCTCCGCCGGAAAAGTTACACAATGCACGTTTAAGTATTGCTAAATAAATAAATGACATTTCAAACCCAATAAATTAGTATCAGAACCCATTAGACTTGAGACTTAAGGGACAATATAATCTCACTTTGGTCTGTAGATTACTTGGGAAACTTTAATGATCCTTGAAACTAAACATCTTCCCAGAGGAGAGACAGAATTACCCAGATTTAGTGAAACTGCTCAGACCATTACCTTTGCCTCTTGTTCAGGTTGGTCCATCTCCAACAAAAGCCTTCTCAAATTTCACTGACCATCTTTCACTTAAGCCAGAACCTGCTTTGTGGTAAGGGAATGTGCTTTCAGCAGATTTTTATCTTCTTCTTTTACTGATAAGAGGCTGCCGGATGCACAGTTTGATCAGGTCTCCACTCAAATGACTACTAACTGTGTAATTGTCAGTCAATGTTTGTAAAATGACCAAAGACGCATTCTTTCATATATTACGCAAAATTTACTCATGTGAGCTTTAAGACATGTTATAATGTTGTTACTTCCTCAAAAACATATCCAGAGTTGTGTTGAGTTTCATTCACATGTGTTTGAGTAATCCTGTTTTATTACTCTGTCTATATCGTCAAAACTCAAAATGCTCTGTTCTACTTTTTGATGTTCATTTGCTGTACTTTATAAAAACTTCTTTTTAGAGATTGTAAATTCCAGGGCTGAAATCATCCAAATAATTCCAGTAAAGGTGTGTGGAGTTTAAAAACACAGTGGAGCATTTCTTGTATTACTTGCATGTTTGTGAAGAGGAAACAACATTCCAACATACAGATCAGAGAATAGCCTTAACAAAGACAATATTTAGATTATCATTTCATAGGTAAAGGCTCCCCATGACATGACTGGGGACTAGGGTTATAAAATGTATACTTTGATAATTAAGCAGACTCTATAAACACATATAAAAAGACAAGTTTATACACATAATACAATAAAACAATATATATATTCTTCTTCCAATTCATTCATAAATACAATTGTATTTATTTATTTCTGTTTGTGTGTTAGTTTTATTTTTTGTTATTTGTGTGCTCAAAATGATACAAAATAAATAAATAAAAATCTGATTGTAAATATATACTTAGAAGTACATATTTCAACCTTCATTTATAATGCATGTAAAACGTTTCAGTGTACAATAAAAACAATCATTTGGCTAGCTGACTAATCCAAAAATTAATTGCTAACTGGTTTGTTAAAATAAACATTACCTAGACATGACTAAATAATGTTATTATTATAGGTGATAGTACAAAGTTTAAGACAATTTAGTGTTATGGATTTGTTCCCAAATTTAGCCGATTCACTTGAGTGAGACTTTCAGGTCCAACTTGTTTCACCAAAGACAATGATAAGACGTGAAAGGTATGCTCACATGAACAATGACAACAGTGATACCAGTCCACAGGTGTGAAGCTTAATTGTATAACTACTAACTACTACTTAACCATTAGGCCTGTCATGGTAATTACTATATCAGCTTATTGTTCAATATATAAAAGCTGGCACAATATATTTTGGGGGTCAATATTTATCGTGACTGGGAAATTTTGGGGTTATTTTTGACTAAATTATTAGATTTAAGTCATAAAAAGTTGAATAAAAAAAACTTCTTATTACAGATGCAAACTAAGTACTAAATTGTTTCAGTCTGATGTTTATTTACTGCAGTTTGGTTTTTTTTATGTGTTTTTTTGTGTGTATTGTAGATTTGGAACCATTTTTGTGGTTTAAACCTGCTCTTGGGTTTTGTGTCAGTGTGGCATAAATTAGTTTCAATCATCTGTGACTTTCGTATCTAAAATCTACAATAATCTCTAGGCCTACTCATTATCAATATTAACGTTATTAATATAACTCCTCCAAGTGAATTTACAATAAATGCAGATTGCATTTATTGTAAATTCACTTGGAGGAGGCAAAAAGCCAGTAAAACAGTGGTTGTGTCCTTAGGCAAGACATTTCACCCTCCTTATATTATAAAACGTGCTAATTATTTGTGAAAATGTATTGGAAAAATTGTCAAGCAACTTTTAAGTTACTAAAAATGTCTGACTAATGGATTATTACTATTGACACCCTCAAGTTTGGACAAAAATATATAATCTCCTATTTACAAAGAACTACTGTTTAAATCCAATATAGAGCTCATTTCCATTATGTCAAAATGTGGAAATGGGAATTTGAACAAAAATAAAAAATGTCTTACTTACAAGGCAAACTATAGTTTAAATCCAATATAGACCTTTTTTCTGCTATGTCGAAAGACCACAGGTTTACATGCTTGAGCACCCCTAATAAATTATAGAGGGGTTTGTCTGACACCCTGGAGCTGGCAGAGCAGTGACTGGGTTATGAAGGGGCCATAGAGGAAGCAAGGGCTGATGGGAAATAGAGAGGAGACAGAAGCACTAGAACCTGGTGAGATAAATGAACTAATTACCACTTAAATGAAAACTAATGGCACTTACAAATACAGTGACTGATTATAATGGAAACATTTGAATGCATTAATTTAGTCTAAAAAAAAGAAACAGAAGTCAAGAGACCAGTCAAGCGATTTAAGAGTTCTGTATATTTAGATTTTTTTGGTTGATTTTAGACCTAAACTTTATTGTGTCTAAAATGTGTCAGATTATAATACTGGTATTTACTACTGACAACAAAAGTTTGAATGGACAGTTTCTTTATTACAGGGCAGGCTATTGTCAGGGCTGTATTTCCATTTCTTTACCAGGATTATAGTGATCAATTTAGCTTTTGATCTTCCAAAACAACACATTTGGGATTGTTGACATAAAACCTTTGTGTAAAATATATGATCTCACTTGGATTAATGTACACTATGTATTTCCTACTGGAAGACCTATGCTAATCTATTATAGATTACAAATACAAACACACACCTTTACCTGTCCATCTACAGCCAGCAGGATTATCTGACCTCTACCCATATACGCTAAAGACAGAGAAATATATTAATTAACTAAAAGTAGGACTATAGCTTTTTACACACCAAATCACCGGTGAATAAAGGTTGATATTCAATCACGAGAAGGAAGTATCTCACTATCAAGATATTTCTATTCCAGCTGTTTTAGGTTACAAAATAAAACATTTTGCAAGCACAAACTGTACCTCGTTTAACAACATACCTCACTCTGCTCCAATCTGTCCACAAAGTTACAGATGGTTCTTTTATTTAACGTCCAGATGAAGTAGGAGTAGTGTTACTGCTTCACCGATCGCTGCTACCCTGTCCCCGGCTAAAGCGCTCTGCTGTCCGGGTAGCTGCGGTGCGGAGGTTCGCGGATCGGCTCCACTCTCTCTGCCGCCCTCTCGGTTTCAACGGCCCGCTAAGACCCCCACCTGTCCGTATGCTAACGACTGGATGGAGTCTGTAAAGAGAGATGTTGCCCAATTTATCCGTACTTTCAGTTTTGGTGGGTTTAGAAAAGGAAATTTAGCCGAATAAATGAACAACAACACGCAGAGCCAACCAGGAAGTGTGCGCTTTTAACCAATGACAATCCCTGAATTTTGTCTGTCAGGCTATAAACAGGAGAGGAAGTCGCATACTGCAATAAAACTCTGCCTTATCTGCCTTAATATAAATATGAATCATTTATTGTATTTAAAACGGTCTCTATTTTAGTCCTAAGTTCAGTCCTGCTTTAGACATAGTTTCAGTTCTGGTTCTAGTCTTGATTCTAGTGTTGGATCTAATCTATAAGACTCACAATTATCTCCCAAAACATAATAATAGAATCATCCATTGTATAAAATAGTCTGTAGAACAGTTTAGTGTCTGTAAGTCTTAAAGGGTAAAAATGGCATGAGAAACTTGACCCACACACTTATCATTGTTGGGTTGTGCAAATTCACTGCTGCAAAGGCAAGGCCAGTTCATTTGTATAGAGCAATTCATACACAAACTAATTAAAAGTGCCTTACAGAATAAGAACAATAAAACTACAATACAAATAAATAAAAACTTTAATTATCATAAAATAATTATTATAAAGAGAATACTGCAGACTAAAAACCTTTCAGTCATATGCACAGCTAAACAGAAATGCTTTTAACCTGGAACAATGTCTCACATCAGGAAGATTTTCTCTGCATAAGACTGAAATGTTGATCCTCCATGTTTAGTTCTAAATCTTCAAAGATAATAGATTTTCCATATGGTTTGTCATGTCACAAAAGAGTGATGAGAGGAAAGATTACATAAGAAATGCAAAGGAGTAAGCTGGGAGCTATATTTTGTATCTATGAAACAAAATTGGGCTTGGGGTCAGAGTTATTACATGGGTCATTAAGTGGGAAAATATCTTATTTTCCATACTGAATTAATCTTTACTTTGTTAGATCATAACTCAATTGCAAAATAGTGAATGCAGAGGAGTAGTGGAAAAAGTACACTGTGTACTATTTTGGATTTGAGTGATTCTGTTTATTTTATTTGCCAAAGCCTCAGTGGCCTAAAACTGATGCCCTTCCTGTTGAAATAAAAGAGGACTGGAGACTGTGTTTACAGATGACAAGGACATAAGAAAACATTTACTGTGCAAAGACATATATCAGATTCTCAGTTATTTCTTCAGTACAGACTAAGACCTTTCAAAATGACTCAAGCACACATGTTAAACTAAAGGACAAATAATTGAGAGTAATAATTATTTTTATAACATTCTTTCAAATTCCCCAAGAAACTGTGTTTTAGCTCTTAGAACTATGACTAGGCCAGAAAACAGACATCTTGATGTAATTTTGACCTGAATATTCACTGATACGTCTCTAACACTGTAATCCATGAACATTTGTTGAATTTGTTAGTTTTGTGAAAGTTTAAAGAAAACAGCATGTGTGACACGCCCCTTTTGTTCGCGTCGTTTGGTGATGACGTGTATTCCTAGCGCCACAGTCTCACGCTTGTTTTTAGAGAATGGCAACAGTTCAAGTTAGCGAGGCCGAAAAAGTCTATATTTTACACGGCATACGGGTACGAACCAGCGATTTTAGTTATTTAATGATTCTTCTTTGAAACGACTGATGAGTGAAAATAATGCATGTTTTATTGACGTAATAACGCAGTAGTTTGATTGTTATGGCATCTGCTGTCCGTAGGATGATCTGAGGGTGGATGGACGCGGCTGTGAGGATTACAGACACATGGAAATAGAAACTGATGTTGTGTCCAATACAGACGGATCTGCAAAAGTCACACTGGTAAAGCAAGGCTGTTCTATTGTCCTATTGTCCTATTGTTTACTGTTATCAAATTAATCAGAATATAATGTTGGCAGCTGGAAGTCATACTATGTATTTTGTAGTAATATTTGTCCTTATTTTGTATTCACGCCAGGGGCACACAGCGGTTCTAGTTGGGGTCAAGGCTGAAATAGGAAAACCAAGGCCCATGTTACCATCTGAAGGATATCTGGAGTTCTTTGTAGACTGGTAAATGTTTAGACTATATTAGAAGTAAAGTTTAATTTTATAGTTTTAAATAATAAAAGGATTTGTTTAAAAAAACAACAAACATTCACATGAACATTAAAACATACATAACTATTGAACTGTATGTGGCTTCCACAAGGAGGTAGTATTGTAACATTTATTTTTCTGAATGAAAGAACCCCTACCATTTCATCCCTGTCAATATGCTTATGTTAAATGTTTCTAAGTACACCAATTTTGTTAAACAAAAAGCAAATATTTAGGTATTTTTAAGTTATATAATGTCAGTGAGAAGGTGTATTTAAAGGTACATTGTGTAACACTGTGTTTTGGTGAAGGGTCCGTTAAATGCCTTTCTCCGTGGAGATGTTATTGTTTTGTCTGAAATGTTTCACAGTATGGCATTAAACCTTTCTATCTTTCTTCATGGAGACCAAACTAGACCAAGTTACAGGTCAGATTTGTGGAGAGGCAACTCCACTAAGTCAGAATGCCTGTTTTTCTAGGTATTTTTGAGCTATAAAAACACATGTAATTGAATAAATGTAATGTATTGCTGTTTAATATCATACTGTGGAACATTCCTGATATGTCCCTAGAAAGAAACAGGTGACAGACCCCATCCAAAAAAGTTACATAGTGTACCTTTAAGTATATATTACACTACACCTGTACATGATCATTATAATTATAGTTGACCTCTGTTGTCAGTTCAGCCAATGCGACTCCTGAGTTTGAGGGCAGAGGAGGAGAGGAGCTGGGGACTGAGTTGAGTAACACTTTGTACAAAGTCTTCAACAACAAAAACAGTATAGATCTGAAGAGTCTGTGTATCCTCAAAGGAGAACACTGCTGGGTCCTCTACATCGATGTTCTGGTGAGAGACTGGCTACTAACTGACTTAACTGTAAAAAAATGCCATTTATTTGTATGATAATCAAACAATACCAAATGTTTTACAGCTTTTGCAATGTGATGGGAACCTGTATGATGCAATTTCAATAGCAATCAAGGCAGCTCTCTTCAACACAAAGTAAGTTGGAAAGAAAAGTACTTGTCCATATTAATACAAAACTTATAAAACATATACAGTATTTTGTAGGGTTATATATTGAGTGAGTGTTATAAAGTGTGTATTTACTGTAAAAGGTAAAGATGACAACAATATCAACAATAAAAAATCAGTGGTGAATGAAAAATACACAGCTTTCATGTGTACCCTATAAAAAATCTGAGAAACCCCAAAGCTAAACCTTGACAATGACTAAACAAGGACTAGAACAGGACTAAAACATATATACATCAGCACTAAATCAGGATAAGACAAGAACCAAACCAAGTGTTTATTTCGCTTCTTAATATTGATGCATTACTTTTACACAGGATCCCTAAAGTGCACATATCTTCAGATGACGAAGGAAGCAAAGAGATCGAGCTTTCAGATGATCCTTATGACTGTATGAGACTCAATGTGGAAAATGTTCCATGCATCGTTACTTTGTGCAAGGTAAACAGATTTTCAGAACTGTCAAACTTTCCAATTGCAGTTATTAAAGTAATCAAATGTCCTCTAAAACCTGCTAACCCTGTAGTTTACAATCATGCTCTGAAAAAGTGTGCAATCATACCAAAATGACAACTTGAATGAACACACTTAGCAATGTTATGAAATCTGTATTAGTTTGCCATTTCATATTTCATGTTATACTATTTTCTGATCTATGTTATAATGTTGTTTCCTCATATACCTGGAGTTGTGTTTTGTTTTATTCACATGTTTAACACACAAACCCAGCATATTTATGGTTCATTTCTCAAACAGAAATAATTTGTGATGTCATGTGGTAATACTAGAAGTGCTCCACTGGGTTTTTAAACTCCATACACCCTTGCTAGAATTATCTAGATCATTTCTGCACTGGAATTGCTAATCTGTACAAAGCCAAAGATAAAATGTAACATGAAATCTACCATTACATGACATCAAAAGGATTGATTCGGAAATGTAGATTCAGTAATCTTTTATTATTAGTCTAAAACGTGTGAATGAAACAAAGCACAACTCCAGGTATGTTTTTGTGAAGGTAACAACATTCTAACATGACTTAAAGCTCACAAGAGTCAATTTAGGTAATATAAGACCTTTAAATAACCTACATTTCTCTCACCTGTTGTGTGTGGACAGGTGGGGCACAGACATGTGGTTGATGCTTCGCTCCAGGAGAAGGCGTGCTCTGTGGCTAGTCTCCTGATTGCGGTGACACAGAAGGGCACCGTGACCTGTCTGAGGAAAGTGGGAGGAGGGAGTCTGGACCCAGAGTCTGTGTTTGAGATGACGGAGGTGAGAGCAGCCATCTGGGCCCCACTGCAGCAGATGAACAATTAGCATAATGTCATCAGTATAGAGGCAGAGTTTATTTAACTTGACAAAAGTGCTTTTTAGTCCCAGATAAAACTATGCAGTGTCTAATATGATCAAAATTAACATGTAGTGGTTTGTAGTAGGACTTACTCATAAATTCAATTAATGCTCCAATCATCCTACAAAAAAACAAACAAAAAAAATGTATAATAAAAAATAACCTCAAAGAGAAAAATTGTAATACCCTTTTGTATTCTTAATGATATGGACACTTTTTTCTCATAATTGAGTAACTATAGTAGTCATTATATGTTGTGTAATGTTCTGCTAACAACAATAAGATACTTGTTTGGCTTTTTACCTTGAGTCTGCTTAGTTGCAGCCTGTGGGGCACACAGAGATTTGCATATAAACAAAAAAAATCTGTCTGACCTAAACTTCTATAGCATTACAGTGTAAACAAACAAATAAAAGCTATTACTGACAAATTTCTGATATATTGTCTGTATCTCCAGACAGGAAAACGCGTTGGAAAAGCGCTCCACGCTCCACTGATGGGTCTTCTACAACAGGAAGAGAAACTGGGGAAGTCAAGACCAAAAGTCGGATTTCTTGGATAGAACCAACTACTGCACTTTTTACATTTTTCTAATAAAATTTTCTTAAAATATATTTGTGTACATATATATATATTTTTTGCTTTGAAATTGACATAGGTATCTGTACAAACAAATACAGCATACAAGGGTTACTGTGAAGCGACGTAACTAGTAATATTGAGTCCACAGCAGAGGTGGAGGAACTACTCAATTTTGTTATTTAAGTAGAAGACTAAAACGTGAAAGTATTTCACACAGATTTTTAGATCTAAAAAAAATTCTAATGTAGTAATTTTGATTAAGATTTGAGCTGAATTTTCTTCAAGAGAAACAAATCAATATTTTCATTTGCATATTTTTGTTTGCTCAAATTACAAATGTGTTCAAAAATAAACTACTGAGTCTTTTCAGCAGGTTTCAAACTATAGTACAAATGCTTTTACTTTTTAGTCAAAAATGTAGTGGAGTAGAAAGTACAGAAACTTCCTCTCAAATGTAGTTAAGTAAAAAGTATCCCCTTCAAAATCTACTCAAGTAAAGTAGAGATACCTAAAATGTATACTTACAGGTCCATTGTGTAACTTCTAATTGAGGATCCGTCGCCTGCTTGTTTCTATGGAGATATTGCTCTGCCTGGAATGTTCCACAGTATAAAATTAAACAGTTCTGCCTTACATTTATTCAATTACATGTGATTTTCAAAAATGCCTAGAAAAACAAACATTTTGACTGTGAGCGGGGTTACCTCTCCACAGACCTGACCTGTAACTTGGTTTGGTCTCCATAAAGATAGAAAGGTTTAATGTCACACTGTGAAACATTCAAAGCAATAATATTTCTGTGGAGAACATCGTTTGATGGGCCCTCCACCAGAAAAGTTACACAGTGCACCTTAAAGTGCAGTATTTTGCTATTTTTACTTTGTTACATTCCACCACTGGTCCACAGAGTCTAGTCTCTCCATTTTTCTAGTGCCACGTGTCAGCAGTTCTAGGAGGAGCAGATTTAACACTGGCGAGGAGCACTTTTCTTTCACCATTTTGGACCAGTTCACAATAACCTCAGCATCATTCGCCAAAACTGAACTAACAAAGTCTGGGAGAAATAAAGTTATGTAACTTTGGAAAATGCTTAAATTCAGCCAGGTTAAAGCCCCATATTATGCTATTTTCTGCTCTCTGTTATAATAATTTCTAATCAGAGACATACCTGGAGTTTTTTGTTTCACTAACACATGTTTACGACACAAATCCTGCATATTTAAGATGTGTTCTTTTCTCAAATGGAAGACACTCTGTTCCACCTTGTGATGTCATGTGGTAATACAGGAAGTGTGCCATTGTGTTTTTAAAGTCCTTTCACCTTCATTAGAATCATTTGGATAATTTCAACCCTGGAATTGCAAATCACTATTGAAAAATGGTAAATGGATGTTAACTTGAAAACTAGCACTTCATGACATCACAAGGTGAACAGAGCATTTTGAGCTTTGGAGATGTAGGGTAACATGAGTATATTTTTGAGGAGGTAACAACATTATAACATGGCTAAAAGCTTACAAGAGTCAATTTTGCTTAATATTGGACCTTCTAGTGAGGCTATGCCACCTGATTGAGTTGTTTTTTATTTGGTATGTTCCACAGTAAAGCATTTTGTCCTGTTATTGGTGTTTCTATTGCTCAAAAGGGCTTGCCTCTCCACAGATCTGTCCTTTAGCTTGAGGTCACCACTTGGTCATCTACACTGAAGCAGGTAAAAGATGAGATAGATAGAACATTTTTATGCCATATTGTGGAACCTTCAGGGTAAAGCAGTAACCTCATGGTCATAAGCAGGTAGCATACCCTCTTTTTAGTGCACCTTTAAAAGGACTCTTATGAATGTACTTATTTAATAATTTTAATAAACAGCTTCACACCTTTTTTCCAAAGCTTCTTGAGCAGACCTGGTTAAAAAAAAAAGTCCAACTCAGACACTGGTCAAATCTTCCAGTGTGATTTTGGACAGATTATTTCCTGCTTCTTTGCCACAAGAACATCAAAGTTGTTTGGGTCTTTTATGCAACATTTCAGACAGAGTTTACTTTTCCAATTTTTTTCTGACCTTGGATTAAATGGTGGATAGTTATGTAATGGTCAGGTGGTTTTGGTGGACGCCTCTGCAGCCAGTCCCCACCTGTTCCCCAGACCAAAGTTTGTTGAATTGTCTTTTTGTCTGGAGCCACACCATGAGGCAAACTTTATATGTTTTCCAATCCAAGCAAAGGTTTGTAAAGTATTAAGAAATTGTACTCAAGTAAAAATATTGTTACTTTAAAACTTAAGATACTAAGGGCAACTGTATGGACACTGATTTAAAAATGACAAATCACACTTTAATGAGACACTTTAAAGGTGCATAATATAACTTTTCAGATGGAGGGTCTGACATGATTGTTTCCATGAAGAAAGGCATGTGATGATACAAGGGCAAGTTATAGGTAAATTCTGTGGAGAGGCAAGCCAACTAACAGTAAGAAGGGATTTTTAAGGGACTTTTAATAAATGAATAATAAATAATAACTTTCCAGGCAAACCAATAACATCCCCAGAGCGAGTGCACCTTTAAATAATGCATAGACACTTATTTAACTTTTGCCACTTAGTAGAGTAGATTTATTCTTATGGGTAACCAAGACTTTTATGCAAGAAAAAATACTCTTACTTCAAAAAATTTAAATACTCAAGTACTGGTGTTGTATGCTATCAGAATTGTTGTCTCTTGTATCATAGAGGAAAAGTACAATTGGGAGCATCTGTATATTTTATATCTGCACATTTTATTTGTAAGGAAGAATTTAATGACTTGTCTGGATGGCAAACTTGAATAATAAGAAAAATACAAATGTCATATTTTTCTTGACTCATTTGCTCCCAGTGTAAATGATTAAAAAAAGAAAGAAAAAAAAAAAAAAAGAAAGTCCAAATTCTTTTTAAAAAGTTACTCAAATAAATGTAACGTTACTCACTGGTGCCTGGGAGGGTATGGGACAGAGGCAGGCGAACAGAGACAGAGGAGGGACGTAATAAATTGGAAGTCCACATTGGATCCACCTCAGAAACTCAAACAGACGAAGGATGGAGCTGAGAGGAGCCTGTGTTGTGCTGGGGCTGCTGCTGCTGCTCAACGTCTCTGTGCAACAAAACCCAACCAAGAGGAAACCACCCAAGAAAGGTACAGTCACATCTGGACATCACATATGTTTAAATATTGATTAGATAGATATTTATTGGTCTAGAAGGAAATTCAAATAATAAATACATAATAGCAAGGGTAATCTAACTGTTAATATTAGATAATTTGGCTCAAAAAATATACAGAAAAACATAAAAAGCTTCTATTGAAACACACACACACCATATAAACTTGCCTATACAGTGTAAATTTAATATTAGAGGAGGAGGTTCAGTCAACAATTATTTAATGAGGAAATATATTTGTCTTTTTCTGGGAGGTTCTTATCAAACTTGTAACTGTTTTATGTGTTAATGTTTAGAGGAAACCAAAAATACAGCAATTGAGGATCTACAAAAACAGATCAATGACATCGTCCAGGAGATGAACTTACTGAAGGAGCAGCAGGCACTCCAGACAGGTGAGACCACTGTCAGTTATACTCTACTTATTATCTGGTCAGAATATTGGATATGGATTGTAAGTTATTGCCTCAATGTACAAATAATATGGCCTAAGTATGTTCATATAATGCCACAGGTTTGTAAACATTATCAGATGGTATACTATTTTTTATTGTAATTGATAGTAGGTAGCTGCTTTGTCTGGAAAGTTCCACAGTATGGCATTAAACATATTTATCTTCATGGAGAAAATAATGTGATGCCACCAAAAAAGTTAAATTAAAATAAATAACAGCTGCATTTTAATACATATGTCAGAAATGCATTTAAATAAATTCTGTGGAAACTTCCACGCAACATGCAGATGTATCTTAGCCTGATTCATCAGCTGGTTTCACTTCATAGAAACCGTCTGACCTCATAGTGTTAGAATTCGTTCACTCAACGGTAGGCAGGTACTTTTTTTCATTTAACCAATCATTGCTATTTAGTCATAATGTATGTAATGTGCCGCTAATGGGGCTAACTGGTATATTAAGTTTTTTCCAAATCCCATAAGAAGAAGGGCAATAACGTTTTTACCCTTCATAAAATTCACCATTCTTTTTGTTCTGGCTTTAAATCTTCGATCTCTGGAATCGTTGCCAACACAGAATGTATGGCTTAAGCTGATTGGCTGGTGCCCGAACTCGCACTTCTGCGGCTTTTGCGAAATGTCTAGTGTATTCTGATTCCTGACCTAGTTGCTGGAGAGAAATGAAATAGAGTGGAGCGCCAGCCTGTCTAGATGTCTGACCTTCCACCAGAAAACTTACACAGTGCCACTTTAACAACTAAAGTATTTCAAATTTGGATCATTTTTATTCAACTTCAATTTCAAGAGATTTAAAAATATTTTCTATCGAGATACCTTTATTGCTGTTTCATCTTATGTCATGTAATGATGAACACATGGAAGTCAACACTGAAATCTGCTTCTGTAAAGATAAAACAGGTGGATCGCATGTGTATAGTTTTTGAATGAATCATATTTTAAAACAGACCCTTTTGTTCAAAATCACTTCCAGTCTTTACTGCTTTTTGATCTGTACTTTTGATCTGCGCTCAGTACATTAAAGCTGCATTATGTGCACTACTTGTTTCTAGGAATATGTCAGTGCTTTGTCTGGAATGTTCCACAGTATGACATTAAACAGTTCTACATTTTTAAATTACATGTGGTTTTATAGCTCAAAAATACCTAGAAAAACAGACAGATCTGACCTGTAACTTGTAACTTGGTCTGGTTTGGTCTCCAAGAAGATAGGAAGGTTTAATGCCATACTGTGAAATATTCCACACAAAGCAAGAACATCTCCATGGAGACAAGCAGGTGATGAAAGGAAGTTAATCTTTAATCCAACACATTTCTTGTCCTTTTAGTCTGTTTAAAAGGCATCAAGGTCCTCAACAAATGCTTTTTGGTCAATTCGGTAAAGAAGAGGTACCACACCGCGAGCGAGGACTGCAACTCCATGGGAGGAGTCCTGGTCGCGCCAATGTCCAGCTCTGAAAACAGTCAACTTCTGGACTACATTCGGCAGAGTTTGGGGCAGGAGGAGCAGGTGTGGCTGGGAATCAATGATATGATTACAGAGGGGGACTGGATCGACCAAACAGGGATGAAAATCACATACAAGAACTGGGACACGTCCAACTATAGGTCCCGTCAACCAGATGGGGGTATGTCTCAAAACTGTGCTGTCTTGTCCGCTGGGTCCAACGGGAAATGGTTTGATGAAAACTGTAGGGAAGAGAAAGCCTCTGTTTGTCAGTTTAACATTGTCTGAAAATATTTGGGTTCACCGATTATACAACGGCATTTTGTAATAAGGCAGGATTTTGTAAAAAAGTTTTAAAAGTGTACTGTGTAACATTTTCTGTGGAGGTCTGTTTCCTGCTTATGTCTATGGAAACGTTATTGCTTTGCTATGTCACTTCAGATTACAGGTCAGATCTGCGGAGAGGTGCTCACGCTCACAATGAGAATTAGTTTTTTGGGCATTAATACACCTGGAATTCAATAAATGTAAGATATATTAGTTTAATGCCATACTGTGGAACATTCCTGGTAAAACAATAATCTAAATAATAAATAATAAAAATAAATCTCCATGGTGGACCCTCAACCAGAAATGTTACATTGTGCACCTTCAAAGTGTAAAAGAGCTGTTATTTTTGTAATTAAACCAAAGTTATTATTGATTTGCTGAAATTTGTAATAAACTTTGTCAACAAATTATCTATTGCATTTTTGTTGAGTATGTTCATTCATATTATGCAGTTTTAATACTAGAGCTGAACTAGATTAGTGTCACAATACTAAAATGCTAAAATGTTACCATCACCATATAAGAGATTACAAGATCATTTTCAACATAAAATATTTACACTTTATTTTATATTGACATGTTGAGGTCTGATATTGATGAAGATCATTCTAAAAAAAACAACTTTGTAAACTTTTTTGTGTATTGAGTTTCAATGTTTGTTTTCCTATCATTTAGTAACAGCATGTGAAAAATGATAATACATTTAGGGATTTATGTTATGAAATCTAACGTTATTACCAGTGGTGGATGAAGTACTTAATATTGTTACTGAAGTAGAAGTACAGATACCGGGGCAAAAGTTTACTTAAATAAAAGTAAAAGTATCACATGAAAAAATCTAGTAAAAATCTTAATTAGTGGCCAGAAAAATTCAATTGTTAAGCACAATTACATTAAATTACATTTCCACATATACACTACCATTCAAAAGTTCTGACACACCCTCTCATTCAGTGTTTTGTTCTATATGTTTACAACTTTCTACATTTTACATACAGAAGACATCCAATATTAGTCTCATTCATCAGCGGTTTCACATTGTGGAAACCATCAGACCTCGCAGCATTCGAATTTGTCCGCTCGAAGGTAGGTGGGTACTTTTTTTTATTTATTTAACCAGTCGCTGCTATTTGGTCGTGATGTTTGTAATGCGCTCAGTCGTGTCCAAGTAACTGGTGGCACAACAGCAAACAAAGCAGAGAGTGAACATGTCTGTCAATGATCATAGTCGTTTTTGCAAGGTTGAGCTTGTGAATTATAGGTGCAATAAAAATGCGAAGTTTGTATTTGACAAAGGAAGTCCAAAGGAGGATAGTGTATGCAGTCTGCTATCGCAACTTGGGTTGGTTCAGCTTTTTGCTGATGGCCGGTGCACGGTCTACAACTTCCAGGGTTCTTGCAAGCCATCTAGTGTATTCGGATTTTGGATTTCTGAAATGAACCTGAGCAGAGGCACTAAGTGGTGCCAGCTTGGCTAATCAAATATATGAAGCAAAAAAAAAAGAAAAGTTAAATAACTATGGTACTTAAAAAATATGTTATAACCAAATCCTCAAATTAACCACCTTATGCTTTGTTGAGTTATTTCACTTTTTTCTTTACTACATAATTTCAAACATCTTCTGTATGTATGTATATCAAATGTAGAAAATAGTAAACCTATAGAAAAAACATTGAATGAAAGAGTGTGTCCAAACTTTGGACTACTTACATTTTTAAATCACTACATACCAGTAAATAAGTATCCATAATCCAATATCTAGAAATGGCAATGCTACAACAATTATATGAATGAAAAATAAGATAACAGATGAAAATTGACCAAATTGATAAAATTATGTATAGCCTGCAAATTTTTGTATATTTGAAGAAGGATTTCAGACGACATCAGCACCTTCTATGGGCCAATATTATTTAATTCAGACGTGGGGCAGCTAAAATAAATATTGTTTAACTGCAGATTTCTGTTATGAAGCATGGTCTTGGGTCTAGACAGTAAAAGAAATGATCAGGTTCCATATTTGGGAATTTGCACTTCCGATATTTCATGGCAAAGTAGAATGTAATCAGTCGGGAAATCTGCCCCTTGCCCCCATCTGGAAGTATAATATCATCACAAAAGACCATTTTCAGACCACTTTTGCCTCCAGTTTTAGCACTTAGACTCCAGTTATAGCACTTTCTGTACTCTTCACTAATTTGGCTGAAGCCATTTCAAAGCTATTGTTTAAAGTTGAAACCAAAGTGAACTCTGTAAATGTCACCGTGAGTTATATAATGAAGGAGTGATGTGTAATTTGGTGTCCTCTTGTGGTCAAAGAAAAGGACAGAGTATAAAGCTTCGTCTACAAGTCTCCTTATTGTTCTTAAGACTTTTTCTTTAAAGGGACCATATTATGCCATTTTCTGATCTACGTTATAATGTTTCCTCATCAAAAATGTACCTGGAGTTGTGTTTTGTTTCCTTCACACATGTTTAACACACAAACCCTGAAGTCTGAGTTCTTTTCTCAAACAGACATCACTCCACCTTGTGATGTCATGTGGTAATACATAAAGTGCTCCACTGTGTTTTAAAACTCCAGACACTTTCCTCCACTAGAATAATCTGGATACTTTCAGCCCTGGAATTTTGCATTTCAGCTGCACTGAGGCTACATTTATATGATGACGGTCTGAATAGAAGACACAAAAGTGGCGGCGTGTCTTCATTTTTATTCCGAGTTTAGACCAGCATTTTTCGGGAGAAAATCTGCGTGCATACGGTGATGCAAAAATATGTGGAATTTGATTGGGTATGCAGGCCAGGCGGCTAGGTGGTGACACTATGTGGTGATGTAAGTGAGGTAAACGCGTACACAACGTGAGCAGATCTGAATTTTGCGTCTTGGGCAGTGTAGACGGAAACACTACGGTGGAGTGTTTTCAACTTTTCCACTCTGGAGGGTGGTTTCAGATTTTTGCGTTTTTAAGCTCCCAAAACGCCCTCAGCATCTAAACGAAAGGCACTTCTGCTAAAATATTTTTGTAATTTTTACCCGCAAGCATTCTCGTGTAAACAAATTGACAAATTTCTTCTGCTAAGAAAATGCAACACAATTTTGAAGCCTAACCAATGTTTAATCTTTCCAGTCCAAACATTTACCAAAGCAATATTACTTCTCTCGTAACAAAATCAAATGCAAAGTTCTTTTAAAAAAAAAAAGAAACCTGAAAATTGATGTAGACATGATAGAAACATCAGTCTAACCAAGCAGGAAATAAATGAAATCTAAAAAGGATTCTTGTTAAAAGGTGCATTGTGTAACTTTTCTGGTGGAGGGTTCGTTAAATGCTTTTCTGCTTGGAGTTGTTATTGCTGTGTCTGGAAATGTTACACAGTATGGCATTAAACCTTTCTATCTTCATGGAGACCGAAGCAAGTTACAGGTCAGACCTGTGGAGAGGCAAACCTGCTTATGGTCAGAAGGCCTGTTTTTTTCAACCTGTAATTTAATAAATTTAGGGTAGTCGGTAAAGTCATACTGTGGAACATTTGGGGCACAGCAATGGCATATCCATAGAAACAAAGCAGGTGACGGACCCTCCACCAGAAAAGTTACGCAATGCACCTTTAAAATTAATGTATTTATTGATTTTATGGAGCCAAAACTCATCTCAGTTCAATCTTACTCAATACTTTTCGTGTACTTTTCAATGTTTTCTCAATAAACTCCATAAAAGCACTTGTTTGGGATTGTGTTTCTTGTTTCTAGAGGAAAAAACTGGAAGATTCTGAGAGCGTGTCCATGCAAGTGAATGAAAATATGTAAAACTGGCTTTCATATTGTTGGTAGTGAAACACACAGAGCCCTTTTATGGTAAATCCTGGTTTGGTTTCCAGATTGGATCTGCAGTCAGTCCAAAACCTCAACTTGTTTTCAACTTTGAGATTCATGTGGTCAAAAATGCACCACTAACCTGAAATGTCAAATTTAAGGAAAACAAAATGTATCTGTAAAAAAGCAATCTTAAAATCATTTATTCCAAAAACTAAAATTATATTTACAAGTCAAAAATGAAAATCTAAAAAACTATTAACATTATAAAAAAAAGTCCCTTGTTCCAGGAAGATTTAATAAAACTAAACATCATTAAAAAAAAATAAAAATCACCTAAATACATTCAAAAAGTCCACAGCTCATGTTCAGTTTCAGTCCTACATCAATGCATAGAAGGACTGTAGAGGAAACATTACTTATATTTTAGTAGTTCAATTCAAGGTGTATAAGAAAGTCAATGTTGCAGTAACAATATTTATATTTTTTATGATGTTTTAATCAAACTAGAAACTCAGAATTGCCTCTGGTTAAAGAAAATGTGAGTGAATGGTCTGAGTCTATAGACCCTCCCATGTAACTGGATAACCACTTAGTTTATGTAATTAGTACTAATATAAACATTATTAATCCAAATTATAAAATAAATAAAGGGAACTTTCAAATTATGTTTATCTTTTGTGTCAGACATAATCCATGATTGATAAGAATTACAAATCATGTAAATCAATGAATTATTAATTTTTCTAGATCTGTTCAGAATAGTTTTGAAGGATCTTGTCATACCCTGCCTCTCATAAAACTAAGAGCAAAAGGATTTAAAAAAAACTTGATTATTGTTTAGCCTGTTAACAATAATTAAAATAGATAAATCCCTGAAATTAAATTAAAAGCACTGTATCAGACATTAACGGTCTTAAAACATGAAAAACTAATTTTAAGCCTTTTGGTCCAGAGTTATTCCTCACTTTCCTAAAGCGCTTTTTTGCATTTCACAACATTCAGAAGCCAGAGTGGAGGTTTGCTCTCAACAACTAGCATGCTAATAGTGGACGTCCTGGTTCACAGAGGATAAAAAATAAATAAATAAATTGAGGACAGCCACTGTGGTCCTATTTTGAACTCCTTTTACAATATATTTGTACTGGAGCCAAATAAATTTAACTTTACATGAAAACATAATTTTTAAATTGAACTACTAAAAAATGTCCTTTATACCTTAAAATGTGCACTGTGTAACTTTCTCTCCCTGGAGATATTGCCCGTAATGTTCCACAGTAAGATATAACACTTATTTATCTCTACAAAGACAGCAGGTGACATCACAAGGCCAGGTTATATATCAGATCTGTGGAGAGGCGAGCCCACTCACAGTTAGAATACATGTTTTTGGGTCAATAAAAACCCATGTTATTGAGTAAATGCAAGATGGATATGCTTAATTCCAGACCAAACAATAACATCTCCATAAAGACAAGCAGGTGGCGGACGCTCCATCAGAAAAGTTACACAGTGCATCTTTAATCTGATGAGATGAGATGTCCTGCTACAACTCCTCTGTCACTGTGTCTATGGGTGGTTGGGGGTCCATATCCGCCCCTGATAACCTGATAGTGTTAAATTCCCCTGTACTTTTGAATGTGTACAACTCATTATCCACCATTCTCCGGTCCTGAAAACCAAGACTGTCCTGCCTGTTTATGGGGGTCCGGGGTCTAGATGGGATGAAGCTTTCAGAGGGCTCCAAAAACCCACGATACTGGTCCAGTTCTGGTTCCAGGTCCGGTTCTTTGATGGTGGGTAAGGCTGTTGTGTCCGTTGGTCCAGTGAAGGTGTGGTAGGAGTCCGTCTGGATGCCCTTAAAGTGGTCGGACATGGAGTCAGCATAGCTATTGTCGCCAAGGAGATGCCCGTACGTGAGGGTCTCATCGATGGAGGCGTAAACGTGAGAATCGTTGTCCGAGCGTGATTTGAACGTGCGGTCATTTGGGCGGAAAATGTTCCCCTTTCCGATGTAGATAGAAGACTCATTAGACATCTTCTGCTTCTTTTTCCTGATTTGCAAGAAAGACAAAATTAAAAAAAAGAAGTTCAAATTGTAGTTCTGATTTGATTATGCAATTTAAAAGGTGCACTAAGGAGAAGGATCTGTCACCTCCTCATTTCCATGGTGATGTGATTGCTTTGCCTAGAATGTTCTGCAATATGGCATCTAACTTATCTATCAGTCTATTTTTGAAATGTAACAGTGCTTCAGAAAATGCCACTAGTTATGATGCACTCACTTTGCCACGACACAGACGACCACAAGAATAATGAGGAGCAGCAGGAGCGCCCCAGCAAGTCCCAGGACAATGGCCAACAGATCTGAGGAGACAGTACAGACCGTTATCAGTTTAAATCCATTTAAATTTGAAGTCATATTTGTAAAACAATAAACATGTTAAGGAAAAACTATAACATGCACTTCTAAAGTTTAACATGACAATATGAATCAAAACCATGGATGCCGTAAGGCATTCAGTAAGGACCAGTGTTGGTCAGATTCTTTGCAGAAGTAATCCGATTACTGACTACTGATTACTCCTTCTAAAAGTAATTTAATTACTACTCTGATTACTTTATTTCAGCAGTAATTTGATTATGGTATGAGTTACTTAGAAAAAAGGAAACATAAAGATCAAGAACTTATAAAAACACATTTTCTGTTATAGAACCTTATTTAAAACACAGGGGATGCCAGTATTTGTGTTCTTGTGGTTCACAGTATATCTGCATCTGACGCTGGGAGATGCCGTTCTGTGCTCCTGTTTACCTGTTTTACTGTTTTACAACACTATTCTGTGAATTTCACATATTTTTGGCAGGGAAAAATAACTTACAGTTACTAGGCTAAGTAACTGTAATCTAATTACTCAATTATCAAATATAACTAGTCACATTACTGTGTTACTAAAAAAGTAATCTGATTACAGTAATCCCCTACTTTGGAAGTAGTTACTGCCCAACACTGCTAAGGACACATTATATCATAGAGCACTTTTGGGTGTAAAGGGTTTTAGTCATAAGATCTGAAAACCCAAAGTAAGCATTACAACTGCCATCAGTAAAACCAATATTTCAAACAATATTTAAAGGTGCACTGCATAACTACTTGTGGAGAGTGCCATTTTCCTGTCTTTATTGAGATGTAAAATTTTCAGTTACAGTTGTTTATAAGTGTTGTTTAAGATCTACATTTAAACACAAATTTCTTACGCTGCTCACCTCTCCACAGATATGACCTCTGACTTGGCCATGATGTCAATTGTCTCCAAATACTCTAAATACTTACTGCTTTTCTTTTGCAGGATGATTTTAGCCACCGCCCCGAAGTCTCCCCCTTCTGGGACACAGTTGGACATGTTTAAATAAAAACTGTAGGGCACAATCAGTTTATCGTCTATGGCTTCGTCCTCTCTTCGGCTCATCAGCTCCTCTTCATATCCGAGCATGCGCACTTTGATACTGGTGTGGCGGTCCGCACACTTCGGCTGGCTCACATTGCTGAAGTGGAGCAGTGCCTGGTAGTTTCTGGGCAAAGTAACAATCCAGGAGACTGTGGAGGATGAACCCATGCCCCTCGGCCAGTTAGGGGTCCCCAGGAGGATGGGGGCTGTGGGATCAGGGGTCACGCTGTAGATCATGGTCTCTGAGGAAAGACATATTTAGGTTAACCTAATATATTCTTGAAGTTATAAGAGGAAAAAAGATATTTTAAAAACATTTTAACTTGGCAATCAAGTCTTCATTGTTTGTATTAAAAATGCATCACTTATATAGTGCTTTTCAGCTCAAAGTCACTTTACAATTTTGTGCATTATTCATCTTTCATTCACTCAGCACTCAGTGGTTGTAAGCAACTATGTAGTCACAGCTGTCCTGGGGCAGACTGATTGAAATGAGTCTGCCAATCTGCACCCTTCAACCATCACTAATCATTCACGCACACATTACTTTCATACAAGGCAATGTGGGTGAAGTGTCACAAAGACACAAACAGTTTATTATTTTTTTTAACCACTGGTGCCTCAACGTGGCACCTGATTTTCCAAGAGGTCTCCCCCCATCCAAGTACTAACCAGGCCCTGCTCTGCTTAACTCCTGAGATCTGACAGGCTTTGTCAAGGAGATTTAGTATCTTGAGATACCATGCTGCCCTCTTGTGGACTTTCAAATAAATTAAAGAATGACCAAAATGTGCTCCAACAAAACAATTTGGAATATTATATGGATTATTATTGTATTGTAACATTTAAATATTTATTCAAACACTACTTTGAACTTTACTTCAGATGACCACTCCACCTGTGTGTACTAAAAAAAAACACAGGGTCTGCTACATTTCTGTTCTGGGAGTATCCAAATATTCTTTCCAAATGAACCTTTACTTATCGAAATGGTTGTGAGGAAAATAAATAGGTTGTACCCCAAAAGAAAAATAAAATATTCAACAATGGCTTAACAAAGAGAAACAATGTGACTGTTTCATAGTTTACCATCAGACATGTTGAAGCATGTATTTACCAGAGAGTAACTGACTGACATTTGTGTACTCTGTAACAAACCATGCTCTATAGCCTCACCCACTCATTCTTTTCTACCTATAGACCTAAAATAGTACATATTCTACCATGGACACACCTTCTCATTCAATATTTTTTTCTTTGCATTTACAATTTTCTACATTTTGATAAACACACAGAAAACAAAAAAATACATGATGCAAGATATAGAGAATTATATAGTAAAGTGAAAAGTTAAATAGCGCTCAAAGTAGACAGCCTTTGCTTAGCTGACAGTTCTGCAAACCTTTGCCTTCTCCTAGTGAGCTTCTTGAAGTCTCCTGAAATGGTTTTCACCTCACAGCAGTCAGGGTCAAGAAATATCAAAAGTTCAAACACAAAGGGTTGCTATTAAAAAAAGGAATCTAAAACAATATTTGTCTGCTGCTACATTCCATGTGTTCATTTACAGTTTTGATGCTTTCAGTGAGAATCTACAAAGCAAATAATTATGGAAAACAAATGAAAAGGTGCATCCAAACTCTTGGCTGGTAATGTATAAGTCAGAGATATGTATTCACTTATTAATATATTATCTGTAAGCCATAATCATTCATCAAAATTTCAAGAAATAAAGGCTTGAAAGCTTCACTCTATGTGTCACGATTCTATTTAATACATGGGTTTGCCTTTCTGAAATCAATGACAAAAAATATTGAACTTTTCCATTATATTGAAATTTTGAGACAGTCTCTATTATTTATTATTTATTCATACCATTTTACTCTGCAGAAGTTTTCTCATCATGTTGAATTTGTTATTGGGACCTTTAACTGACCATTTATTAACAAGGACATACTAGCTGAATTATGGTTTGTTTTTACCTTTCTAAGTAAAATATAACCTGTCTTACCTGGTATTTCTGGGCTAAAGGACACATTGAGGAAGTGTCCTTTGTAGTTCTTGAGGTCCTCCGTTTTGGCTGTTATAGAGATGTTGGTGTGGGCCTGGACTTTCTGAATGGGACCGTTAAAACAGAAGTCCCCCAAAGACCCTTCGCTGTCCCCTAGGTGTAAAGACACAGGACCACTACACTCCTGTCCCACCAGAGACTGCCTGAAGCTCCCAGTGGGAGAGGCCAGGTCCACGGTGCTCTCCTGAGACATGATGATCCTCCAGAGGACGCTGTGGAGGGGCATCGGCAAACAGGAGTCCAGCTTTGGGGTGGTGAGAAGGTATTCAGGGCAGGAGGAGGAGTCTCGGCATTCTAGGGGAAAAGAGTCAAAAGGTCACTATATAAAGATACTTTACATTGACTGCATGTATGTCTATGGCAGAAGATTCAGCAGCTACCATGGTGACACAATGCACACATTAGCAAACACTGCCAAAAAGTTTTAAGATAGTCTGAAAACTCAAATAAATACATACAAATACAAAATGGATTTAAACAACACATTTTCAGGAGCCTATGATTAAAACAAGTGTATCTCCAATGAGTGACAGGAAATGCTTTAAAAACAGTTAAATAAAAAGCTCTTGTTAATACTGTTTCATCTTTATATTATAATTTAAATGCAATTCGATGTCAAAGTATTCTAAATATTCAGAATACAGTACTCAGACTGGCCCATGTATCAGAATACGTTACAGAATACATTTGAAGGCATTTGCATTTCAGTATACAGTATTCTGTAACTAAATGCAGTGTCAAAGTATTCTTCCTGTCACGGACAACTAAATAAAACTCAACAAACCAACTCACTGACTTGAAAAGCCTGTACAAAGCTTTGTATTCTCACCTATCACTTGAGTGGCAGTGAGTTGCAAATCTTCATTGGGACAGTCCAGAAAAGACAGCTTCCCTTTGGTCCCTGACGCCACATTTATCTTGGTTTGGAGGTTGGAGTCGAGGGTCATCTCACAGTATGGATCAGAGCCCACTTTCTCAATCTGCACTGACACAGATGGCTGCGTCGACAGGTCCACTGTGCACAAAACTGAAGAAAAATTTAGAAATTAACATACAAGTACTCACATACACTTGTATGTGTATGTGTATACAAGTGTATTCCTAGTATCCTATCCTAATCATTCATAGCAATGAGTCTAAATATTTCAACTTCCACAGGTCAGAGCAGAGTTTTGCTGTAAAGCCATTGCTGTGTTGGTTCCTGGTTCACAGACAAGGAAAAATTATTTATAATTAACATAGACAGCTCACAGTAGGACTAGGCAATTCATTGAATTGTCTAAATAAATTGTGAAATTGAGAATTATTATAAAACACTCCTGACCTTTTTACATGCAAAGCAGTGTTACTGTGCAATTAGATATCTATACAAATATATATTTTTTAAACTAATACCACATGATAATAATGAAAATGTAAAGAGCTTCTCCTATTTTAAAGACTAGCAGTTCTAGCTCTGATTTCCTTAAAGTCTATTAAAATCATAATCCATATTTTTTTGGCCACATTGCCCTGCCCTAGATCACAGTGATCTAAGAGCTGCTCTATACTGTGGCAAAACAAATTTTACTATATTGCATGTTGCTGCAATGTTAATAGTTTTAATTAACAACAATATGCTTGATATTTAAAATGTACACATCTCCAAACAATTTCAATAGTACCAATTTCAAAATACTAGCATATCCTACTCTAAATGTTATATCTTCTGTGTTTTCCTGTGTCTTACCTGGATGTCCACTCCTCATGACAGACACTTTAAAGTTCAGGGTTAGTCCTTGAAGAGTCCTGTTTGTAGCACAGTTTTTGAGCACCATTTGAAAGTTTCCTTGTTGATGTTTTGGTGGTGGGTCGGTCAGACTGAATTTTGTGACTTTCGCATCTGTTTTATAATATTGCAAAATGACATCATCACTGAGGCATTCTGGGAGAGTGAAGTCGGAGAAACTCATGCTGTAGTTGTGCATCCCAGGGACCACAAAGTCCCACTGCATTTCCTCAGTGTCTGGAAACTCGCCAGGATAATTAGGTGTGATGAAGGTTGTGTTTGAGACTCCTCTGGGCAGGTTCACTTTGAGTATGGCCACCACTAAAAAAAAAAAGAAAAAAAAAGGAGATTCAAATTCAAAGAAGGTTTTGTTCATTTTGATACTTTGCAGATAATGTCATGTGACGCTAACTGTAAGCACTACTCTGTTTGCAGCTCTGTTACTCAAATCAAGACGTAATCTGAGTTTTAATGTAACACAATCTGACCTGAAAAAGCTGGTTTAGTTGGAACTTCAACAGGTGAGATGATTTGTGCGGATAAACAACTCTCTTCTCACACATAAAATTACAGTAACAAGCTAGCTAGCATTACCCAAAAAAGTTCTCACTTTTTTTTAATTGAAAATCAAACACCTGAACAGGACAATGGACACAATGACTGTCAAAACATTTTTGTCAGAGTTTGCCAGTTGTGTCACCAATGGGACTGATGAACATTGTGCCAATAGAGGTGCATGTAGAACACCCCCAATGTGACATCACTGTAAAGTATCAATAGTTCTAGTTCTCAAGGTTACTGCTTTGCCTGGAAGGCTCCTATTTTTCATTCATTGCTACACCCGTCTCCATGGTGATAAATAAATGTAATCAAATGAAAACAGAAAACGCAGACCAATGTTCTTGTGAAGGTACAAATCAAGGAACAGTAATTTAAAAGTGAAAAAATACATAGCACACTCAGATGGCTGATGTCCAAAAGCTTTTTTTATTTTTAAATAACATTTCGGCAAAAAGCTTTTGTCAGATCATTTTTCTTGCTTTGGATCACAGTATACCAAGAAAAATGATCTGACGAAAGTTTTTTGACGAAACTTTATTTAAAAATAAAAAAAGCTTTTGGACATCAGCTCTCTGATAAAAAAATTAATTCCTAGACCTGTCAATTTAGTGTTCAGTATATAAAGTTTGTGTAATATAGGACCTTGATCATTGTGGTATCTGAATCGGTATTGAGCAAATTCTTTAAAATTGAAATGGTTTGAAATTTTAGCACTGTGAGAACACTAGACCACATAAATTGTCATCTTACTTTCAGTCTGAGGGCCATGGCTGAATTTGAAGTCCACAGGGTCCAGTTTTCTGTCTCCAGGGACCTCCAAAAACATGCGCCCCTTGTATCGGACCAGGACAGAGGACACAGCACCCCCCTTACAGAAAGTCCCAATGGTGGCAGGTCCCGTTCGCAGATAGGTGACCACAGAGTAGGTGTGCTCATCCGGACAGGCATGCTTGTTTGGGATCTGTTTCATTCCAGGTTCAGGGAAGTCCAGCTGGAAGGCCTGGGTCGGGATCACTTTAAGGTCCCAGATGAAAGTCCGGTTAAAGTCTGGGAACATGGAGTATTCAGTCTGGAGGATGTCGCTGGAGCAAGAGGTCTTTGCACAGTCTGAGGAAAAAGAGATTAAAATTGTGAGTTGAAAAAAAGCTTTATGCAAAACAAAAACAAAAAAAAAAAGGTCTAATGACTAATCCTAGTTTCCAGGAGGGTACCGGAGTAGTGTAGTCATTATAAATGAGGAGCGTAAATGAATATAATCATACTATATAACCAACAATAGGCAAGGCAAGGCAAGTTTATTTTTATAGCACAATTCGTACGCAAAGTAATTCAAAGTGCTTTACAGATGAAGAAATACATTAAAATCATAATAAAAACAAATCAAAACATAAATAATCATGAAGATTAAAATTAAAAAAGAGAGACATAAATTGGAGAAAAGAGTGAGGAATGAAAACCTTTCAGTTATATGCACAGTTAAACAGAAATGTTTTGAGTCTGGATTTAAACAGCGTCACAGAAGAGGCCTGTCTCACATGTTCAGGAAGACTGTTCCAGGTTTTAGCTGCATGAACCTGAAACGCTGACTCCCCTTGTTTAGTCCTGACTCTGGGCACCAGCAGGAGGCCGGTCCCTGAGCTCCTCAGAGTGCGAGATGGTTCATATGACACTAACATGTCACAGATGTACTTTGGTGCTCGGCCATGGAGAGACTTGTACAGAAGCAGAGCTGCTTTAAAGTCTAAAAAAGTCAGGAAGCCAGTGCAGAGACCTGAGCACAGGACTTATGTGCTCGTACTTCCTAGTTCGAGTCAGGACCCGAGCTGCTGCGTTCTGGATGTTCTGCAGCGTCTCACAGCTCGTTTGGAGAGACCAGTGAGCAGACCATTACAGTAGTCTAACCTACTGGAGACAAACGCATGGATAAGTTTCTCCAAGTCTGCTTTAGACAGTAAACCTTTAGACAGTAAAATACAGTCCTTAGCAATTTTAATTATAATATTTAGTTGCACTCTGTATCTTTTCTGATGGGTTTATCACCAGCTTGTATCCATGGAGATGTTATTGTTTCCTCCAGGAATGTTCCACAAATTACAGGTGTTTTGCATTCTTACTGAGAGCTTCTCTATAAATCTGACCTGAAACTCTAATCCTGGTTTGGCAGTGTCATCTGCTTGTTTCCATGGAGATGGGATTATCGCTTTATTTTACCCACCTCTTGTATATAAAATATGATAAATTTTGTATGACTATATTTCTATACATTTGTACAATAATAATAATAATAATAATAATAATAATAATAATAATAATAATAATTTCTTATTAATGTATTTTTGTTACTTATTTTGAATGTATTAATATCATTTATATTTTTGCTCTTAGTTATTATAATATTTTATGAGTGAGCTACTGTGTTCAAATAATTTCCCTTCTGAATAAATAAAGTTTGTCTAAAGGCCACTGCACACTACAGGATTTTTGGTCTTAAAATTTTTTTAACATGTGACAAAAAGTGCACACCACAGACATGAGAATAATCTTATGAGATGTGACCTGCATCAGCTGTTTCCTGTCTAGAGTAAAATAACTCACTTTGAAACTCTTCAGTGTTCAAAAGATCAGAGCACTGCACTTTTAGTTTAGATGCAAAACGAAACTGTGTTTCTATTATTTGTGAAATGTGGTGCAATGTGTCAGATACATGATTTTTAATGCATAAAAGATTGGTGAAAAAGTACACAGGAAGTAGGAGTCTTGATCGCTAATCTGCAGCTTCACCCTGATCTGCATGCTGTGTGAATGTAAACAGATACACGAGAGGAACTTTTTGATCTTTTTTACTTTCAAAAGACACTTCAAACTGGATTAACAGTGTTGTTTTGTGGACTGGGTGTCATTATTTGCAGAGGACAGATTCTATGGATAATATGGATGAGATGCTGCAGTTCAAATTTACCACTTTATAAGAGGTGAGTAATAATTATTTTCACTATTTCCTGAGTTTGTATCTGACGCTCTGTTTTATTGTCTGTTACCGTAGAGTTGCTGATGTTTGGTGGTTATGATCTGACAGAGCAGCTCAGAGTCACACTGACACCACACACGAGGAGAGCAGCAGCTATACGAATACACAAAGTCAGGGCATGCCTCCCCGAACTTGGGGAGAAGCAAATTGTAGCCAAAATCGGGCAAATTCTCGTGTAGTCTAGGGCAGCTTTAAGTCTATTTTACTGTGTACAACGCACAAGCAGGTGATGGACCCAAGCAAAAAGCAACATAATATAAGTTAAACTGAAAAATCATATGCTTATATTATTTTATAGTGCAAAGATGACGCTCTCACCAATGTCCCTGATGATCTCAACAGTGTAGTAGTCCTGGGGGGTCTTACAGCTGAACTCCACAGTCACGTTTCGGGGGTCCCTCAGCACCTGTTTATGGGTGCAGGTGCGTTTGGAGTCTTTTGTCACGCACACGTCACAGTCTGGGCCCTGGGGGTCGCGTTTGATCGTGACCTTTGTGTCCGGGTCTGTGGTTACTGAGAGCATCCGGCTGCCTGGAGAGAAAAGAATGAGTTAAATGTTAAGATTAAAAGATGCACTCTGTAACTTTTCTGGTGGAGGGTCCGTCACCTGCTTTTCTCCATGGAGATGTTATTGCTTTGTCTGGAATGTTTCACAGCATGGCATTAAACCTTTCTATCTTCATGGAGACCAAACCAGACCAAATTACAGGTCAGAACTGTGGAGAGGCAGCCCTGCTCACAGTCAGAATGCCTGTTTTTGTAAGTATTTATGAGCAATAAAACCTTGTGTAATAGAACAAACTTAAGGTAGGGCTGTTTACTGACATATTGTGGAACATTCAAAGCAGAGCAATGATGTGTTCATAGAAACAAGAAGGTGATGTACCCCCAACCATCTTTAATAAGCAAAAAAAAAAATTTAAAATAAAAAGCATGTATTTATTCATTCATATTTTATATTTTTTCTTACCTCTTTTTGCAGCCTTGGCTGTGAACACTGTTTGGGGCAGGTCTTGATCTTTTGGCACTTCCAGGATAATTTTAGTTTGTCCAGACAAATGCAGAGAGGACAGAGACGTACCCCGACAGTAACTGCTCTTTTTGGGGGTCCCATCACTTTTACTGGAGCTGATAAAGTATTGAAAACCATCAGGACAAGAACCAGAAGTCTCCTCGAGTCCTGACTCAGGGAAGGCTAGAGTTAAGACAGTTTTTGGGGGTATATTGATGTCCCATGCTAGAGTTCGTTTGAAGCCCTTGAAGAGATCTGGGTCGACCTCTGCAGAGTCGGGGGTACAAGAGGATTCTGTGCATGCTGTAGAAAAAAATACTGACAATTTACAATACTAGACAATATAAATAAGATTAATATAACAAAAGTTAATTTAATATTCCCAGGTCTTTGTAGACTAAAGTTGCATTCAAATTTGTCTCACTGGCTTGGACAGTCCTGGTCTAGTCCCGGTTCAGTCCCAGAAGTGTTTTCTGTTTGAGAGAAGAACTCAGCCTAAATATGCAGGGTTTGTGTGTTAAACACAAAACGAATATATGAATGGACATAGCTAACGCACTAACCGCCACATTCCAGGTAGGAAATGCGCCAGACAGCTCTTCCGGCTCCTATTGACTTACATTGGGATCTTGTCGTCTCTCTCTCTAACTGCTGCTGTGACCCTCGCCATTTTTGTCTTAAAATGTTCATATTAACCCACTCTAGACATGAACAGAAATAACAGACCAATCAGACGCCTTCACTCCACAAGGTCGCTCCCGCTAGAGTTAGCAACAGACTTGATTGACAGCTAGTGCGTTTTGCTGCTAAGTAAGCCCCCTTCCTGCTTTCCGGTGAGAAGGACAGGCACATTTAACAACCTCAATCATGATTGACTCTTGTGGTTGCTATGATACTCGCGGTCAGATTTTCAAATATAGAGCCTGGCTCCAGATTCGCTCCTGTAACCGTTAACGTCAGGAGCTTCATTTGAGTTGAGCAGAACGCTGTGGGTGACGTCAGACTCGCTTAGTCCACTTTTTTATACAGTCTGTGGTTAAACATGTGTGAAAGAAACAAAACACAACACAACTTTTGAGGTTTGAGGGAACAACATTATAACATAAATCAGAAAATGGGGTAATATGGGCCTTTAAAGATAGTTTAGGGCAGTGAGGATAGGGGGCATGTGAAAACTGAATTTTTTTGAGCCTCAAATGAAAGCCGTACCGATTTACTGATTTTTATTGTATGAATCAATAAAAATAAGTAAGCTATGATGAGGGAACTTAATCATGGCTAAACGCACACAAAAGTCATGTAATATTTGATAAATCTCTCTTGGTGCACTTTGAGGTTTTTTGCGCATGTTTTTCCAATATGTTTTTAAATTACAAATGTCAAATATACTAACCTAAGCTAACCTTTTAGTCCAATTCTCAGTTAATACATATATAAATGTTCAATATACATATACACTTTCAACAATTATGAATCACTCTGTTACATCTATTTTTAATTTTCACATGTTATTTCTGTGGTAAAAACTGACACCATAAATGCAAGACAAGCTTTCACCCTCCTCATAACTGACAATACACCTCTTTATCTGTGACTGAATTTCCCAAAGCCTCAAAACAGAAGCAGTTAGTTATAAATATGTAAATGAGCTCACACATGGAAGTGCTTTAGTGGGACATAAATAGTCTTTGTGTGAATCTCACCGATTGTGTGTGTGATGGAGACAGAGAAAGCCTGCTCTATGGGCTCAGAGCAGTTGAACTGTAGCTTCACTTCCTGTTCGGGGGTCAGTGAGAGGGACTGGTGGCAGGTCGTCTCCGTGGCGTTGACCCCGCTGACCTCACACACACTACACCCTGATTGGTCGGTGGAAATGGTCACGGAGGATCCACTGTAGGGGCGCACCACTGTTTCCAAGCCATCTGAGAGAAAAATACAGACAGCAATACAAAATTAAGTCTATAAAGCAGAGCAATGGCATATCCATAGAAACAAGCTGGTGACAAACCCCAACCAAAAAGTTACATAGTGCACATTTATAGAAAATAATACAATCATGTCGCTATGAAAACTTACTAAAACCCTCTAGTTTAGTCCTCCACAAACTGAATGCATGTGATTATGTTATTATGTCAGTCTTATCTTCAGGCATATGCTCTTGGAGGATTTACAAATATGAGAAAGCACGTTCTAAGTAATATTCTACATAAGAAGTTTGACAAATTGCTCCTGAATGTGCACAGATCTATATATGTCAATGGTTAAATATATTAAGTCAAAAGTGTTGAAAGTATGTGATCAAAAGAAAAATGCAGAGATAATAAAAAAAAAATAAAATCTTCTGAAAATATTCTTTGAACTGTAAAAAAAACAAACATGTGGAGCACAGGTGAACCCTCTCAGCTCCAGCTCGAGTTTTGTAACTTGATTATAAACCACATCAGTGTTTCTTTTCTTTCTTTTCAATTTTGAACTTAAGCAAATGCAAACAAATCAAAAAAGACAAAAACTAATCAAAAATCCTCCCACAGCCAACCCCTCTCTCCACACTCAACACATTCACAAAACTACACACAAAAAAAAACCACTGGGTACACAAACATCAAACGTCAGTCAAGTCCAGTCCTGTCAAAATGTTCAAAAAAGACACCATAAACCACATCAGTTTTGTCTGAACAATTTCAGAACAATATCAAATAAAACTGTGATTTAAGGACACCTTTAATACAAGAATCACACTTTAGAGCATGTCTGAACTACAGCTTTTGTACAGCTTTGTAGACACACAATTCTCCGTAAATATTCTCTTAAAATGTAACGTTTTCTGCCACTTGCTTGTCTCTATGGAGATATTATGCCATATTTCACAGTATAGAATTAAATGCAAAGTATCTGTCATTCATCAATTATATTTAATTACTAAAAAATATTAATAAAAAACTTGCATTAATTTCTTACTCTGAACCTTGCCTCTGCTCAGATCTGGAATGTGGCCTAACGGCATCAAGTTTAATGTAATTCCATGGAACATTTTAGGCAAAACAATAACATCCCCATGGAGACAACCTGACGCCAGAACCTCCACCAGAAAAATTACTTAGTGCTTATTTAGGATTTAAAATCAAATTAGGCCCTAATCTGTTTTGTCAGCCACTTTAGTTTGAAAACAAGAAATATAAGATGATGAAAAGTAATAAAGAATAATGACGCATTACTCTTATATAGTGCTTTTCCAGACGCTCAAAGTTGCTTTACGATTTGGTGCATTATTCATTAATTCCATACCCGGTGGTGGTAAGCTGCTATTGTAGCCACAGCTGCCCTGGGACCACATCAGATAGTTGTAAAAGTGGCACAAGTTTATAATAGTTTATATTGCACTTCATATTTGAAAAATAAGTCTCTAAGTGCAACAGTCAGTTTAAAATCACATATAATAACAATAGAACACAGATCAGCACTTTCAAAAGGCATATAGGGCTGTGTAACAAAAATAGTTATGTACTGTTATGGGACATGGTTTGAAGAAAAGATTGTTCATTTCATGCAAAGAAATGTATGTTTTTGTTTATGTAAATCTCGTTTTTTAATACAGTATAATCTTGAGGCACATGAAAAAGCAAGGAACAAGATCTAAACAACAGGAATGAGAAATGGTGACTAATGAATGCTAGCTATGCATGTCACGATAATTACTTTACCAACTCATCGTTCTGTACTTCGTTCGTACTGTTTTTCACTGGCTTTTAACAAGTGAGATGTACATTTCTTGTTAATTAATTTGAGTATCTTATTGTTTTCTGTGTTTCTAGTAGTTGAATTGTGACTTTCACTGTGATTGCTCTTTCCTATGTTTGTGTACAGCACTTTGGACAGCTGTAATTTTTTTTAAGTGCTTTATGAATAAAGTTGGCATGGTATAGTATTTATATGATTTATGATAAGATTTAAGCAGTAAAAGGTTGAATTAATAACTTCTATGACTCGTTACAGATACAAGCAAAGTATTAAAGTGTTTCATTCTGCTATTTATTGAGTGCAGTGTATTAACAATATTGTACATTTAGAGTAGTATTGTGGTTTAAATCTGCTCTTGGCCAAAGTTTCAATATGCTCGTTTATCGTCTATATTTACTCCAGCAATATATCACGCTTCGAAATTTGTTATCATGACATGCCTGCAGAAAGCCCTGCAGTTACCATAACAACCTTTGCTCTGTTTGCATTTTTTGCTCTGTTTGTCCCTTAAACATCTTGAAAATGTCAAATACTGTGTGTGCTTGCTCAGTGTTTTTATATTGTACAAACAGTGGCTGTAGTAGGACACACCTGCTGCTGTTTTCGCTGCCCCCACTTCAAATAAACAGATAAATCCCATTGACTTTTCATTAAACTGACTCATGTGATTACAGTGAAACATGCCTGGTCGATATATCCGCCGGGGAGCATGGGTAACAGCTGAAATTTGGATATCCGATACTGCGTCTGTGTAGAAGTGCATCTGAACAATTGTCAGGGAACATGGTCATGACTGCACACAGCTGTGAACTGCTAACACTAAAGCTTTTGTTTATTTAGGCTTAAATTGTGTGTGTTGGTAAGTGAGATTATTTCAACAGAAGGTTACCAGTGAGTCAACAGAAACAGAGCTGGCTACAAAATGTGATTATAATAATGTCTGTACAGTACTGAAGGCTTTCTGTGTTCATGTTTTCTTTTGTTTGGTTTGTTTTTTTAGGAATGGAAATGGATACGCCTCATTTAGATTCACCACCAATAGATGTTATTTTACATTGCTATACATTGCCTGTACTACTAGCTTTTTGTAACATTTTACTGGTATTTTTTACAATAATGATGTTACAGGACAATGCTGTAGGATTTTATTTATATTGTATGTATTCTCTGTGGCAAAATTATAAGCCATGACAGAATAAACCAGAATTTCCCACGAAAAGAAGACTATGGTGGCCCCCCATGGTATAAAAATGAAATGGACTAGACATGTTTAAAGGTGCACTGCGTAACTTTTCTAGTAGAGGGTCTGCCACCTGCTTGTCTTCATGGAGATGTTATTGCTTTGTCTGGAATGTTCCACGGTAGAAAATGAACCTATTTATTTCAAGACAACTATAGGCTACATCACAGGTCAGATCTGTGGAGAGGCAACCCTGTTCACAAAGATAATTATTGTATTTTTGAGCAATAGAAACACCTGTAATGGATAAATGTTAGATAGATGTCATCAGTGTCACACCATGGAACATTACAGGTTAAGTGCCACAGTGCACCTTTAAATATTAAATACTGGCAATAAGTAACACTCAACCTCCAAAAACTGTAAGAAAATTATTAATATAGAAAGTATTTGTGCCACAGTAGTCTGAACTAAATCTATGGTAAACACTGAATGTACGTATATCTTATCTGACATGCCTAACCGTTACCTGTGCAGTTATATCATTTGCATACAGGAGGAATTGAACAGCAAGAACAAAACTGACCTCCATTACCATATTTAATTACTTAAGTTTAACAATATTTTTAAATAAGCATAGATAAGCCTAATGAATTAGTGCACTATTTGCTCAAGTTATTATATTATAGCATCCAAAATGTTCTTATCAGTGACCAAATACAATCACTCCACTGATTTGATACTAAAGTGACATTATAGGACCATATTATTATTTTCAGATCTAATAATAATAATAATAATAATAATGCATGTTTCATATAACACTTTTCTGGACACTCAAAAGACGCTTCAAAGAGCATTATCTCTGCAATTTGAGACCTCTGAGATCTGTGATATAATCTTGCTTTCTCATCAAAAACATATCTGGAGTTGTGTTTAGTTTCATTTCATTGACACACGTTTGACAAACAAATGGTGAGTTCTTCTCTCAAACAAAAATCACTGTTTCAACATATGATGTCATATGGTAATACAGGAAGTGCTCCACTGTGTTTCCCCATACATCTTCACTATATTCACTTGGATGATAATGGTAAAGTGTAGCTGTTAACTTGAAAACCACCACAACATGACATCAGAATGTGGAACAGAGCATTTTGAGCTTTGGAGATGTAGGCAGACTAAAAATAAAGGATTACTCCACATGTGTGAATGAAACAAAACACAACTCCACGCATGTTTTTGATGAGGAAACATTATAACATAGATCAGAAAACAGCACAACAAAGGCCCTGTAACATTTTCAATAATAAATGTCTTTTAAGTTTATGTGTGCTATGTTGCCAAATATGTCAAACTATATCCATTTCAACTGTTTATACCTCCCATTAGGCTACTCCTCATTCTCCTTTGAAGCATGTATGGACTTGACCTGCACTGACAGTCACAGCACTTGTACAGAATGTAGGCAAAAGGTAAACAATATGGGCGTGTTAACAGTTCTCCAAACACAACATAAAGTTTACCACAAAAGCCATGTATAGGCTATTATCACGGCCGTGCTGAGTTCACTGTCGGTGGGAGAAATGGCACTGCTGGGGCTGATGGTAGCGGTGCCAGATTCGCATTAGAGCAGATTGGCGGTCAATCATTGATGAGGTAATGATGAATTCAAGCCAAAGGGAAGCTCCATAAACGCCTCATCATAAACCTTTGAAAATGGAGGTCTTGGAAAGAACTCGGAAAAGACTGCGCCTAATTCCGCTCCACACACCCACTCAGCGAGCCCCGGTGCTTTCATCCAACGCAATCAATAATAAATGATGGAGAATTTATGTCAAGTACTGTCCTCCAGTGTGAGTGAATAGGGCTTAAGCGGGCAGACCACTTCACAGCATTGTATTTTTGATTACAACGGAAAATTATGAGACTATTACGCACAAACTGGGCATGTTGAAATTGTTCCAGGCAACTTTTTGGTGCAGTTATATTCCGCAATGATTTGTCTAAAACGAATAATGGGTTTGGTACCGTTTTGGACCACTTAAAAACATTACGCATCGATTGAAATGAACGCCACAATTAGAATTTGGCGTGCAACTTTGTGAATCCAAGTGATCATTTCTTATACATTTTTGTACATTAGTGGTGAATTTGAGAATCAAGATGGGCTTATGGATACTTTTACGCACAAATTGACGCATACGTAGGTTGTACAAAGCATATTTTCAATTGTTGCGTCATTATAAGGGCGTTTTGATTAATAATTTGCCGCTGTATCTAAGCAAGGTGACGTTTACACAAAGCAGAGCACGCTTCTTACCTGTTGCGCGCAAGACAGCCAGCAACACAAGTCCAAAAAGCGCTATACTCCAATAAAACCGCATTGCAATCGTAAAAAGCTGTCGATTGAGCTGGAAAAGTGGGAGATACGACACTTCAGAGCATGGTGTCGGCGTTTTCGGAGCAGAAATCCCTCACATCCCCGGACCTGTCTCGTCGGAGCTGACAGTTGCAAGTACTTCCTGTTTGTACCTGTACGGCGTTACGGAGAAGGGCGTGTTCCCAAACACGTCAGATGAGAGGTCGTGGGTAACCTGTTTCAACTTGAGTGCGGTTGGTAATTGTACGTAAGAAAAAATGGGGAGAAAAATCCGAGAGTGGAAACGAGGAGCTGGGATGGGGTATGCGTGGATAACTGGAGGAGTCCTGAACTGACTCGTTGCTCACAAAGCATGCCCTATTTTTATAAGCTCCACTTGGGCATGCCAGAAATGGTTGGCATTGAACAGTAGATCCCCCGAATGCGCAAAAAGCAGGGAGGGGAAATACAACGTAACATAACCTGTCAGGGGATGACCAAACTGTATATTTAATATTAGGGGCTGTCCAAAGAAAAAAATATTTCAGAATTATTGTGACTTAAAATGACATAAAAGTCATATATTACTCAGAATTGACTCTTGTGAAGTCGTGATAGAATGTTACCTCATTAAAAACCTATCTGGAGTTCTGTTTTGTTTCATTCATACATGTTTGAGTAATCCTTTATTATTAGTCTGTTTACATCTCCAAAGCTCAAAATGCTTTGTTCCACCTCATGATGTCATGTAGTGGTAGTTTTCAAGTTAATATCTGGTTTTGCCTTTTTTTTTTTTTTTTTTTTTAGTACAGATTGGCAATTCAAGGGCTGAAGTTATCCATATGATTAAAGTGAAAGTGACTGGAGCTTAAAAACACAGTGGAGCACTTCCTGTATTATCACATGACATCGCAAGGTGGAACAGAGTGTTTTTTTCTTTGAGAGAAGAACTCAGCCTAAATTTGCAGGATTTGTGTGTTAAACATGTGTGAATGAAACAAAACACAACTCCAGATATGTTTTTGAGGAAACAACACTATAACAGAGCAATGTGGGGCTGAAGAAATTACAATTATTTCAGGGCTAATCGTGATTTGTGTAGGCGTTATTAAAATGGATTTGATGGAGGCAGAGTATTTATTAATAGCATGTAACAGGCGTTTGAAAACATGGGACGCGTGGTCATGTATTTCCCGTGGAGCCAAATGAATCACATTTAACAGACTTTACGCGCGGGCTGTTTTCACATCTGACAATATAAACCGATATCTACTCAACACACCAAACTACTATGGGATGTTAAAGGGCTAGTATTACACAATTTTCTTATCTATGTTATAATGTTGTTTCCTAATCACAAACATACCTGGAGTTGTGTTTAGTTTCATTCACAAGGTGGAACAGCATTTTGAGCTTTGGAGATGTAAACAAAGAATTACTCAAACAAAACACAACTCCAGGTATGTTTTTAATGAGGTAACAGCATTCTAACATTGCTTAAAGCTCACAAGAGTCAATTTTGCGTTATATAGGCCCCTTAATGTCTACAGATTTGAAACTAAGACTCTTTTAATCAGACCTAAATGAATGAATTATGAATTAATGTATAATGCAGACTGCCCAACTAGACTAACTAAATGTATTTGTGCTACAGCTATCTCTCTGAATAATAGGTTTAATTGTGCCATGCAAAAATTATGAATACTAATAGGTCTATTGATGGAATTTATATATAGAACTACTCCCTAACTCCCTTATCTCCTGCTTCTGTCTGTGCAATTCTATAAAAGAGGCAAATAATAACATTACATTCTGATACCAAATGGCCTAATTTAATAAAACTTGACATGACCAAGAACATAGGTCTGTATCAAATCTTCATATGGCCTTTTAAAAATAGATACACAATGTTTTCTTTTATTCACATCAAATCTTTTTGTGGATTTCAGCTTCATGTTGTGGGCAGTATCGGTATAGGACTTTCCTCGTCCAAAAGATGAACCTGTTTTGTATAGAATTGTAAATGACTATGGCAGTGATGCTAATTTCATTCTGAAAACCATGGATAGATTATTTTTTTCAAAATGCTATTGGCCTGTTATTGTGAGACATATTTTTTAAAAAAGATTATTATACATTTTAGTAATAAATTGAGAGAGATTTTTGTCTCAGATTTACAGGAAATTAAATTATCAAAGGGAACATATTACAAAGATATCTGGAGTTGTGTTTTTTTTCAGTCGTACATACAAGTTTAACACAAACCCTTCATATTTAGGCTCAGTTCATCTCTCAAACAGAAAACACTCTGTTCCACCTTGTGATGTCATGTGGTAATACAGGATGTGCTCAACTTTAAACTCCTTACTCCTTCACAAGAATCAAATTGCCAATCTCTACTGAATTAAAGGCAAAAGGTAGATGTTAACTTGAAAACTACCTCTTCATGACATCATAAGGTGGAAGAGAGCATTTTGAGCTTTGCAGCTATAGACACACTTATAATAAAGGATTACTCAAACCTGTGTGAATGAAACAAAACACAACTCCACATATGTTTTTAAGGAGGTAACAACATTATAACATGTCTTAAAGCTCAAGCTCAAGTCAAATGTGCTTAATATAGGAACTTTAATGAATCCACCCAACAGTTCTGAAATTGTTAACTTGATAATTCTATGATTACACTTTTTCTTGAACATTATTCTTAAACATTTGACTGTTCTTCATCCGATCAGCAGCAGAGCAGTTTATTTTCTTTTCGTGCATTTTTCTGGTGCTGAGGTTTGTCTGCACATGCCTGTGACACATTCCTCACATCCAGCACAAAGCACCTGGGGCCAGTCGCACCTTTACCTGTAGAAACCACAGCTGCAAATTACCACATAGAAGAAGAAGAAAACAATTGGAGCGTGTGGCTGTGTCCCTGTATTATGGCCCTATTTTATATCTCCCTTTTTCCTTCTTAGGTTATTATTTTTTCTGCAATTTCCTGATGTCAAAATCCTAGTTAGGTTAGGTTAGTTTTGACATTTGCACTTATAAAACACATTGGAAAAATGTGTACAGAAAGCTCAAAGTGCGCCATGAGATTTTAAACTTTAAACATTGAAATAAGCGAGATACAAAGATTAAGGAGCCAAAATATTGAAGTGCTACATCAAAGTTCAAAGTGCATTGTTAAAGCTTGAAATTTTCTGCTATAAATCGGACTGATTTTTTGGTGATTTGCTCGTCAGAAAAAAATGAATTCTAATTTTGATTTTTTTAAACTTTTCAGGTAAAGGGTCCATCAGCTGCTTGTCTTCATGGAGATGGTGTTACTTTGTCCAAAAGATTTCATAGTGTGGCATTAAACTTATCCATTTGTCATTCATTCAGGTGTTTTTATTGCTCAGAGTAGTAGCAATGACACCTATAGTCACTGTGACACATTCAAAACAAAGCAATTACATCATGGAGACAAAACATTAGAAAAGTTACAGAGTGCACCTTTAACAAAACATGTGTGGAGCCTGTGAAGTCTTTGTAATATTATTAATGTATTCAGATAACATCACAGCTGCATGTATCAACTTGGTGTGACAGTGTGTTTTAACAGACCTTGAAATATTGATACGGTGAAACATTTTTTGGGTTCCTTTTTCCTGTCCTTCGATATTGATAAATGAAAACTGGCTCTTCTGTGATTACAGTTGTGGTCAGTGTATTTGTGAGGGTTTTTTTGCATTTGAAAACAGAGGACACACCCCTTTACGAATGTGGTGGTGAGCCAGAACCAGTTGGGCGGCCTGCGAGTGAGCGGAAGAGGAGGAGACTACTTACAACAAAGAGAGAGAGAGAAAGAGTGAGCATGGTGAGAAGGAGAGAGAGACAGAAAGGGAGAGAGAAAGAGAGTGAGAATGAGACTGTGAAAGACAGAAATGAGAAAGAGAAATAGAGTGAAAAGAGAGAGAGGGAGAGAGAAAGAGAGAGAAAGACAGAGAGACAGAAGGGAAAGAGAAAGAGAGTGAGAATGAGAGAGTGAAAGGAAAGAGAAGCATGAGAGATAGAAGAGAGATAGAAAGAAAGGGCATGAGAGAGTGAAAGGAAAGAGAAGTATGAGAGACAAGAGGGAGAGAGAGATACAGAAGGAGAGAGGGGTAGGGTTGAGAGAGAGAAAGACAGAAGACAAATAAAAATAATGGAAGAAAGAGAGAGAGAGACTGGGATAGAAGGGAGAGAAAGAAAGAGTGAAACGCAGAAATAAGAAAAAGAAAGAGGGGGTGAGAGTAAAAAGAGAGAGAGGGAGAGAGAAAGAGCAAAAGCGAGCAGGGTTAGAAAAAGAAAGAGAGTGAGACAGAAGGGAGAGAGAAAGAAGATAAGAGTGGGGGGGTGAGAAAGAGACAGAAATACAGAGATACAGAGAGACAAAAGGGAGAGAGAAAGAGAGGGGGTGAGAGAGTGAAAGGAAAGAGAAGTATGAGAGACAGGAGGGAGAGAGAGATACAGAAGGAGAAAGAGGTGGGGTTGAGAGAGAAAACAGAAGACAAATAAAAATAATGGAGGAGAGAGAGAGAGAGAGACTGGGACAGAAAGAAAGAGTGAAACATAGAAATGAGAAAGAAAGAGAGGGGTGAGAGTGAAAAGAGAGAGAGGGAGAGAGAAAGAGGGAGAGAGTGAGCAGGTGAGAAAAAGAGAGAGACAGAAAAGGAGAGGGAGAGAGAGAGACAGAAGGGAGAGAGAAAGAGGGAGAGAAAGAGAGAGAGAGATACTCACACAGAGAAGGGAGAGAGAAAGAGGGAGAGAGTGGGGGGTGAGAAAGAGAGACACATACACAGAGAAGGGGGAGAGAGACAGATGGGAGAGAGAAAGAGAGGGGCTGAGAGAGTGAAAGGAGAGAAAAGAATGAGAGACAGGAGGGAGAGAGATACAGAAGGAGAGAGAGAAAGACAGAAGACAAAGAAAAATAATGGAAGAAAGAGAGAGAGGGGAATCAAGAGACAGAAAAGTGAGAGAAAGAGAGAGATATGGGGTGAATGACGAAGGGAAGACAGAGAAGGAAGGGGGGATGGGAGAGAAGAGAGAGAGTGGGAGGCTGGGGGAGGGAGGGAGCAGCTGTCTGTCCGGCTGTGGAGACTCTGGGCCAAATATGTTTGCTCATTTGTGATACTTCACTGGTCTCTACAGCCTGCAATATTATTTTTTATAATTTATTATTAATTTCACCATATCTTTCATAACTTAAAAATGAAACAAGAAGCTTTTAGTAGTGTCTAAATTGTATACTTAATACTACATTTTGTACATGTTTTTGATAAGTGGTCTGTTTAGTCTCATCTCAATCTAAGACATGACATCATCCATTTTTTTTTTTCCCCCACAATTCTCATCCAAAGTTAAAGTTAATTTATTTGAACATTTTTAAAAAAGGTATGAAGGCGCAACATATAGTCTCCATACTCTCACGACATGTGCATTTAACAAACAAACAAACAAAAAGGAGAGCAAAATCATTAAAAGCATGCAGTGTTCAAAAAAAGAGTAAGAAGAAGCAATCCCGAATTAAAAGAAAACACACCACAATTAAAACTAGCTAAAATTTTAAATATTAATAATTGTCCCAGCTACAAGCTACAGCTACTGTTTGTATTTGTGTATTAGCATAACAATTCAAAATATATAATAGGAAAAGATAATACATAACAGGGAAAGGTGTCACAAAGTAGTATTCAAGTCTATATATGCCTAAAGCTATGACTAAAGGAGATGCACAAACATTTCAGCTTAATATTGATGAGTTCCAGTGAATTGACTGATTTTATTGTCATAAAATACAGTAAGACAGTAATCTAAGCCTGTTTTAACTTACCCTTGTAATACCATCTTGTTTTAACACACACATCAAAAGAGGAACTAAACTCAGAACTATACTAGACCAGGGCTAAACTACAACAGACGTTTACATAAAGAAAGAATTACACTCATATCAGGAATATAACCCATAGTCATTCAGGAGTAATAGGTTTAGTTGCTTAGTTTGTCCACAAGATGGCAGTATTGTCTGTGGAGGTAGATGTTGTAGCGGCAGATAAAGCTACCCAGTCACCTTTTTACTGAATGTAAGTAAGCTTTACATTTACAAAACCTGTTAAAGTTTTTAGATTTTAATTGCATGCACATTTTTACACTGTTTTTCTTAAAGGTACTGTAAAACTTTTCTCATGTAGGGTCTGATCTATGGCCTTCTTGTCTCCATAGAAATGATTGTTTTGCTTTGCATGTTCCACAGTATGGCATTAAACATCTATATAACATCTGTCTCAATTACAGGTGTTTTTATTGCTAAAAAATACCTTGAAAAATATGTTTTGAGCATGCCTACCTCTCCACACATCTGACCTGTAACTTGCTTTATCATGCCACTTGTCTGTCTCCATGGAGTTAGATAAGCTTGATGTCACATTGTGGAACACTCTGGCAAAGCAATAGCACAAACCGATGGCAGGCCTTTTACTAGAAACGTTATGCAATGCACCTTTAAGGTTTTGGGATTGGCATGATTTCATAAATGCATATTTGTAATCTGTTTTGCACATGCCACAATAACGTAGAAACACCACACCTTTATAAAGTTTTTAACTTTGCCAATAAAGTTGATAATTATTTGTATTGCTGGCAAAATACACATTTAAATACACCAGTAATCAGTACTATTATTACTGCAGACATCACATGACTCTGAGGTCTCAAATGCTTTTACAGTTTGGTTTGTCTTTACACCTCAGACCATGAGCTCATCTGAAACTCAAGTCTGCACCATCATCTGCAATAACCCCACCGCTCCAAAGGCTGAACTCCATTACAAGTGACTATTACAAACCGGTATCAGCACCTAATACATGTCAAAGGTTCACTATGTAACTTTTCTGATAGAGGGGCCTCCAAATCCTTGTCCCCACGGAGAGTTTGTTGCTTTCCCAAATATGTTCCATATTATGGCATTAAAGGACCTGTATTACTCTGTTTTCTGATTTATATTATAATGTTGTTTCCTCATCAAAAGCATACCTGAAGTTGAGTTCTTTACTGAAATAAAAAACTCCATACACTTTCACTAGAATCATTTGGCTAATTTCAGTCGTGGAGTTGCCAATCTCCTCTGAACAAAGGAACTGTTAACTTGGAAAGCAGCACTACATGACATCACAAGGTGGAACAGAGCATTTTGAGCTTTGGAGATGAAGACAAACTAATAATAAAGGGCTACTCAAACATCTGTGAATGAATGAAACATGGCTTAAAGCTTGTGTTGCAGCATGTTTGTGATGAGGAAACAACATAATAACATAGATCAGAAAATAGCATAACATAGGCAGTTTAAGCCATTTAAAAAAACGTTTTAAATGCATTAAGTAACTCAACTTTTACTTAAGAAAAAGAAACAGAATAAATTGACTTCATTACTGCCTCCACTGCTCTATACTCTAACACTTTCCCATAATAGCACCATATGTCTCCTAATGCTGCTTCTGTGTAACTACAGTGAAAGAGACACCAGCTCTCAACCTGTCACCCACTTCCTCCAGGAGTCAGCGGGTCTGTGTCTGAACCTTAGACCTCCTGTAGACTGCAGTCCAGACCAGTTCCTCTTTCAGCTGTCTGAGTCCAGACCAAATTAGCCCCAGGAGACAGTAGTGGGGCAAGTGCCAAAGGGAACACAGCCCAAAGGGACAACGGAGAGATGGAGGACAAGTCAAATGTCTACTTTGGTAAGAACAAACCACGTGTAATATTGGGTTATAGGTTCACTATGGAAGTTTTCTAGTATTGTTTTGCCTGGAATGTTCCACAGTATGACATTAAACTTTTACATCTTGCATTTACTCAATTATAGGTGCAAAAGGCCGCACATGTTATATCAGTTAGTCTTACTTTAGTATTTTTCCCAAATATTTTTTTACTTTTACTTGAGTAATTTCTTTGACCACTACTTTGTACTTCTGGAGTAAGATTATTTTGAAGTAATATTACTTTTACGCTTACACAAAACTGACTCTTTAAGCCATGTTATAATGCTGTTACCTCCTCAAAAACATACCTGGAGTTGGGTTTTGTTTCATTCACACTTTTGAGTAATTCTTTATTATTAGTCTCTTTACATCTCCAAAGCTCAAAATGCTCTGTTCTACCTTGTGATGTCATGTAGTGCTAGTTTTCAAGTTAACAGCTACATTTTACTTTTTGTTCAGTAGAGATTGGCAATTATGGGGCTGAAATTATCCAAATGATTTTTGTAAAGGTGTGCGAAAAACAAAGGGTAGCACAAGGTAGCTGTATTACCATATGACATCACAAGGTGGAACAGTGTTTTCTGTTTGAGAGAAAAACTCAACCTAGAAATGCAGGATTTGTGTGTTTAACAAGTACAAATGAAACAAAACACAAGTCTCAGTATGTTTTTGATGAGGGGCATTATAACATAGATCAGAAAATAGTGTACTATGGGTCTGCTTATTGTTTTATACAAAGATTGTTATTTCTGTAGTTTAGACTTCTACATGTACTGAAAATTGGATTTTTTATGGGATTTTAATATTATTTTAGCAGATCATCATTCACTCTCACTACAATTTAAAACATGAATTGCAACCACAGCAACACCAATTAAAGCATTTCATCATGTGACCATTTGGGGCCATTTGTGGCTATACTGGCTTGTCAAAGCCTGATCCTGTCAGATCTCAGAAGCTCAGCAGGTCCAGGCCTGGTTCGTACTTGGATGGGAGACCACTGGGAATTCCAGGTGCCACAGGGGGGCATCAGTTGCAAAAACTGTTGTTGTGTCCTTAGGCAAGACACTTCACACACATTGCCTAGTATGAAACTGGTGGGTGTGTGAGTGATGGTGGTGGTCGGAGGGGCTAATAGCGCAGATGGACAGCCTCGCCTCTGTCAGTCTGCCCCAAGGCAGCTGTGGCTACAGTTGTAACTTACCACAACTGAGTGTTGAGTGAATGAATAATGAACTGTAAAGTGCTTTGGGTATCTTGAAAGGTGCTATATAAATGCAATGATTAATTAATTAATTAATCATGATTAATCTGATGAGTCTATGATTATTTTCAAGTACATTTGTGTTTCGTTTGCCCAGGACCCTGTGGCAGGTGCAGGGAGGCAGTGCACAGTGTGGATGGAGCCTGTCGAGCCATGGGACAGATATTTCACTCCAAATGTTTCACCTGCTCCTCCTGCTGTGAGTGAATAGATGTGACTTTTGTGATTTTAATATGTCATTTTAACTCTTTACTTTTTAGGTAAATTGCTGACTGGAAAACCATTTTATACAGTATCAGGAAAAATCTACTGTGAAGACGACTTTTTGGTGAGTGCTGCATACACAATAAAATATTAACTGATTATTTTATATACCAATAGTATAGGTTTGTTTTGGGGTAATTTATATTTAATGTATATCCCAACTGATTAAAGTATATTGGTTAAAACAAGGAACTAACAATGTATACTGTACTTAGTATTAGATTATTTATAACTATCAACTTCCTCTTTGCATCATGGAAATAGATACTAAAAATATCTATTCAGATTTTGAGTAGCAACATCAGTACTAGTACAGTTAATCCTTTATCTGGTTGAGATGAGAGTACAGAATACTACTGGAATTCATTGAGGTATTTGGCTACTAAATGAAAGGAACTAAAGGAACTGTATATATGCATGTGCTCTTACAGTTTTAGAAAAGGGTATAACAACTGAAGCTGGGTTTATTTTACATACCTGTATTTGTTTGCAGTACTCAGGAGTCCATCCAAAGTTAGAAATCTGTGCAGCTTGTGGACACCTCATCGATGATCATGTAAGTATGGGGCCACCATTATGCAGCTTTTTTAAAATTTTGTCACATTTATCTATTGAAAATCGAACATTTCACACAAAATCTTAGACAGACTCTAACCTCAGCAAAATGCAATTTTTCATTCAAAAACTGATAGATCATCCTCCAAAAGCAAGTTTTAGCATTAAAACTCAGACTGTGGTCATGTGCTTTTGTGCTCTTTCATTCATTTAACAGAGCAGCTCAGGAGCTTTAGTTGTGCTCTCAAGGACCACAGAGAATCACAGGTTTGGTGCAGTCTGATTCTGGGTTTCACACTTTACACAGATGAATTTTGGACTCATTTAGTCTAAAACTTGTCTGTATTACATTGTATGGAAAATATAAACATTACACATTACCAGTTGTAAAGTAGATATTGCAGTATTTGATCAAAAAGTTTTTTACAGATGTTGGAATAGCAAATACATTAGCACTACTTTTGTACTGTAATATGTGATGTGCTCTGGAAACTTGACTTATCTCACAGTGTGTATATCTGTGTGTAGTCTGAACAGTCTGTACTCTGCTGAGACCCTTCTCTCTGTTTTTTATGCTCACAAACAGCAGTTTTTTGTTGTTTTTATGATTGATTTTCTATATTGCAAGTGGCAGAGTTTAGGCTGAGGTCCTTACCCACATTTTAACATATCTGTAGTACTGGAAAAAACAGGATGAATTCAATGATAATGTGCGCTTGTGATTGAGAGCTGTATCAAGTGTTCTGAGAAAGAGCCTGAGAACTGTGTGAACTCATCTGTGCTAAACTGGTCCAAATGTTTTGACCACCTGAGCCGCTGTTCAGATAAATACTTAAACCAAATGATCAAACTAAACCAAGTTTCCAAAAAAAGTGCAAAAACTGTTAACATGCGCAAAAAACTGCAATATGAGAAACTCTTTTGAGTGTTATTTGGTATTGTGTCTCCCATAGGTGCTGCAGGCATGTGGGATGCCCTACCACCCCTCGTGTTTCTGCTGTGTGATGTGTGGACAGAGTTTAGTAGATCTGCCTTTTACTGTGGACACTCAAAACAACAGGGTCTATTGCATCAGCGACTACCACAAGTCAGTTCAACAGACCGTAACTGTACAAGATCTTTTAGAATACCCAAGAGACACTTTTCTCCAGAGCACTGTCTCTGTTTACATACTCTATATCAGTGGTGGAATGTAACAATTAAAAGTAGTAAAGTGCTGTACTTAAGTAAATATTTTAGGTATCCGTACTTTACTTTACTGTAGATTTTGAAGTAGATAGTTTTTACTTTTACTTCACTACATTTGAGAGCAGGTATATGTACATTTTTTAACTGGACCGAAAAGTAAAAGTATTTTTTATTATTGTGTGAGACCTGCTGAAAAGGCTGGGGATTTGTTTTTAACATTTTGATAGTTTGAGCAAAATAAAATATATAAATTAAAACAACTAGAAAAAACAAACAAACATTGATTCAGTTGAACAAAATTCAAATGTTTATCAATAGCTCTACAGTTGAAGTTTTATTAGATCTCAAAATATGTGCAAAATGCTTATACTTTTTACTCTTTAAGTAGTTTAAACAGCTACTTTAATACTCTGTACTTTTCCATAAGTAAAACAAAAAATCAAGTACTTCTTTGACCACTGCTCTATATGACATTTTGTAATAAGGGTAGAATATTTTAGCATTTTGTCCCATAGCTTTGGTTGTTTGTAAGAAGGAAACTATGCAAGATAAAAAACAATGTGTGATGAATCAACTATGCATTGCCAGAGAACAACTTGAAAAACATGCTTTGATATCCTTCACTGGAAAAGTTACATAGTGCCTCTTTAAAGGGCCAATATTACATAGTTTTCTGATCTGTTATAAAGTTGTTTCCTCATCAAAAACATAGTTGTGGTTTGTTTCATCCACACATGTTTAACACAGAAATTCTGCTTATTTAGGCTGCGTTCTTCTCCACTATGTTTTTAAACTCCATACACTTTCACTAGAATCGTTTGGATAATTACAGAACTACAATTTCCAATCTCTACTGAACTAAACAGAGGTGGAACAGAGCATTTTGAGCTTTGGAGATGTAAACAGACTAATAATAAAGGGTTACTAAAAGATGTGTGAATGAAACTGAGAGTCAGTTTTGCATAGCATAAGACCGTAAAGATTTGCTAGCTTTAAAATTGTGTTTTTATGTTCATTGTCCACAGTCTGCTAAGTTTAAGGCATTTTGATGTAGAAACAGGACATATAAACACTATTAAAGTGATTTATTGCATACATCTGTGATCTTGTTGTTTGTTTCAGGGTGAAAGCTCCCAGATGTGCTGCCTGCAAGATGCCAATTCTCCCAACAGAGGTGCACGCAGTGATTTAATACAAGAACGAAAATAAGGAAAATAAAGTTATAAGAAACTTTTCTTTTTCATCCAGGGCTCGACAGACTGTATCCGAGTGGTTTCTCTCAACAGAAGTTACCATGTGGAGTGCTTTGGCAGTGAAGTGAATCTCATCTAAAGTGTATATGTTTATTATATATTAATATCTTAGTAATAATAAAACACTTGTAATTGAATCTGAATGTCTGTCTCTCTCTGTGTGTGTGTGCGTGTGTGTGTGTTACTAGGCCTAACCTAAGATTATCGCTGATACTTTGCAGCTGATGCCATCTGACATGATGAAAGGGGGGCAGATAACATAAGATTTTTTCTTCTTTCTGCTCCTTTTCATTCATTTCTTGCATGTTTGATGTTGTGACAATGTCGATGTCTTTTTATGCTTTATGAAATAAATAAATAAATAAATAAATCTAAACTCTCTCGGGCTGTGACACTAACTGGAGGCTCTGCTCTGTCTGAAGACCTTTTATTCAAATTAGACTTAATCTGAGCTTTATTTGAGCTACACAATCTGTCCAGACCAGAAAGAGCTGATTTAGCAACAAGTGAGCTAATTTGTGCAGTTAAACAATCTATAAATAAAAGATAGCCTGGTTACGTTTAATGCCATACAGTGGAATATTCCAGACAAAGCAAGTAGCACCAGAAAAATTAAATAGTGCACATTTAACATAATAAACATCATCATTAGGCCTTGCAATAGGCTAGTAGAATATAATCTAGTATTCAAAGTAGTAGAAGGTTCATTGCTATTTGTCATGTCTTGTACTGCGCCCTCTAGTGTCCCTTCCAGATATCGGCCCGTGTGCGGATGCTCCCGGAAGCATCCGAGCGCAGAGGTCGGTGCCAAATGTAGATAAAAGTGATTGAAATGGCGTCAGGATCGGTACGTGGCGGAGCTCTGTGCACCGTGTCTCTCCTCAACTTCGCCTTTGTTTTCATCACCGGCTCAGACTTTATTCGATTCGTTTCATTTAGAGCGATTTATCACAACATCACCGGCGAAACGACTCTGTGCCAAGGTAAGCTGCAACTACTGCTGCTCGGACATCCAAGTCTCAGGTCATAACTTTGTGCAAAGTGTTGACGCTGAGTCGGTCTTTGTCTGGTAAAATATATAGTTTGATTGCTTTTCGTGGCGCGTTCTTCAATCATCAGTAATGCCCATATCAGTTTATTTCAGTAATAGTGGGGATTGAAATGCCACAATCCTACCACCAGGAGGCAGTTCGCCCGGCTAGCTCAGTCGGTAGCATGAGACTCTTAATCTCAGGGTCGTGGGTTCGAGCCCCACGTTGGGCGATGCTTTTTCAGCTTTGCAGTACAAAAATACTTTCTATATCAGGGGTCTCCAATCTTTTTCTCTGGTGAGCTACTTTTACAAAATGAAAATACCAGAGAGCTACAAATTTTTGCGGTCACAGGAAATAAAGTGCACATAAGAACCATGGCAAGACTTAGATGGGGTACAGTTTGAAAAAAACAAAACATAAACCATTATTTATTTATGAATGATGTATTTACAATAATAATATGCATTTAATTAATTTAATTTGAGTTATTCAGTGCATGTACAATAGGTGTAATTCAGAAATCCCTTGGTGAAATACTTGGAAGGGGGTGGAAAGATACTGGTAACTCCCGAGCTACAGGTTGGAGACCCCTGTTCTATATAAATTTAATAAAAGTAAAACATTGTTATCAACATGTCAATTTACTTTTAAAATTTTAACTTGAAATAACACATACTTAGGAATATTAAACCATTGGAGGTAGTACATTTTTGTCATACTGTGGTATATTATTAAAACCAAAGGAACAACATTTCCATGGAAGGGAGAGGCCCTCCTCCATGCTGTGTAGATTTGTGTAGATAAAAGCTCGCAGTTAGGTTGCATGCTTTTTGTATTTTATTCCTGTTAAATTTGTGGTGTTACCTGCCTAGGAACTACAGATGGAAATACACATTTTTGCTATAATCTGTCATATTTACACTGCAATGCTGTAGATGTTCATTAATATGCACTGTCCCTATTAATTAAACAAATAAATAAAATAAATAAATGCATTTTTCAGTGCAATAAAACACCCAAAAATGCTTTTCTATTTTTAGCTAAAAGTTACGTGGTGGGGCTTTAAATGCAAAAAACCTGAAATCTTGGAAACACGTGTTCTATGTATTTCTTCCCGTCAGACTCTGTTGGGTGGTCTGCTGCCCTATGTGACCCCTGGGTGCTGGGCTCTGTGCTGTGGGACCTGGGTCTGGTGGCTGTGTTCATTGTGCAGCACAGTGTTTTGGCCTGGGCTCCAGTCAAACAGGTCTGTGAGAGGAGCCTGGGGGCATTAAACAGGACCATCTACTGTCTGAGCACCGCCCTCGCCCTCCAGGTACAGCTCCACCGCAACATGCCATTATGGAAGAGCTCAAACCAGGATATGCATCTGTTTACTCTCATTATTGTGATTACGATGAATGTGAGGACAGTACCAAAGTTCCACCCACACAAGAGCTCAGTGTTACTAAATTTGATTAGAAATGTTAGTTTTTCATTAGTAAAGGTTGTTATTATGATCGTTTTTGCGGCTCTGGGATTGAAAAATGAAACTATAAATTCCACTTTAAAATCAGAGAATTTCTATTTAGTTTTTTATTGTTCCACAATAACATTTATTTTCTTGATGATATTTAAATTTTCTTAACTTTATTTTTGATATTTGTGTTCTTCTGCCATTGGGGATGAATAAAAATAATTCTGATTCTGGTATAATTTTTCTTCTTCTATATACAGACGAAAATCACATTACAAGAGCTAAAGGAGTAAGAACTAACCAGGACATTTTGGTCAAATCAGTTAAGTATGATTTTAAAACATCTCTTATGTTTTTCTTGCACTTTCAGGTGCTGATGCGTTGCTGGCAGCCAGTCAATGGTGCCCCCTGTTTGTGGTCGGTTAGAACTGCCCCATGGAGTGTTTGGTTTCCTCTGATCTGTTTCTCTCTGCACTTCGTCTGCTGGGCCCTGATCTGCAGCATCCTTATGATCTATGACTACTCCGAACTCATGGGCATCAAACAGGTAATACAGTGATTCTCAACCACTGTGCCGCGGCACACTAGTGTGCCGTGAGAGATCGTCAGGTGTGCCGTGAGAAATTATCCAATATCACTTTTTTTTAAATTAAAATTTATTAATTATTACCTGCAAACATTATGTCATTGTCGAGTGTCCGTGCTGTACTTACTACAGCACGGACACTATACTACAGTGTAGTATATTATGACTGATCTAATATTCGTCCGGGTGGCAACAGGCAGCTAATTGCCTCGTTCCTTTAAATCAGGGGTGCTCAATACGTCGATCGCGATTTACCAGTCGATCGCCAAGGTCGTGTGGGTAGATCGCCGTGTCTCGTCTCTGACTCGCGTTTGGACTCGGTCTTGTCTCTCACTCAAGGTCTGACACTCAACAAGTGCGATCATATTTCATTACGGCCGCTGCTGTTGGCAATAAACTTGTACAGACACAAACACACACGCTCCCTACGCACGGCTTGTCTGCAACAGCGTGTGCCCTCGTGTACCAGCGTGCATCACAGGGCAGGTTAAACTTCCTAAACATTCCTACCTGTCCATCTGCCTCACGTCAGCACGCCGCCCCTCACCTTTTCACGCTCTCGCTCCTTCCTGCGTACAGCGAACACAAGCCCCTTCCACAGTGCGCGTTGATTAGAAGAGCAAGACGAAACGTGAAGCAAAAACGACTCTAAATTTGTGTTACAGTGTTGGCACAAAGCAGGTCTACAGCATAGAGCAGATCTACAGAACAGACCTACTGCCACATTTGGCTGAAGTTTGCCTAATTAAAGTGCACAAATGCATCTGTGTTTGTCACGATGTGCGTTTGGTTTGGTAAACGTGCAGAGGCTGGTAAATATCACTGCAAAACCAGAAAAGAATGCAACTCCAGTTTGCAACTTTAAAAAACAGGTTTAAAAATCTTCCTTCACTTTTTTCACAGTTTTGTGTAAAGTGCCAGAGGAAGTTCTCTTAAAGAAGGGGTTCTCAAACTGTGGGTCAGGGTCCAAAAAAGGGGCACAGAGTGTTTCAGTGCAGTTTGCTTGGTTTTGTATTAGGTAGATCTTTATGACTTGGTCATTTTGTAAGTAGCTCGTATGCTGAAAAAGTGTGAGCACCCCTGCTTTAAAAGAATTAGTAACGCATGTGTGTGGTGACAGTCATGGAGAAGTTTTTAAAACGGACGAATGCAAACTCCGAACTGGGCCTTGGACAAGATTCTGACCCAGAAGAAGAGCTTTTCAAGCTTAACTGCTATAAAAACTAAAAACAGAGAGAGACTGAGAGCTGTTGATGAAGAGCTTCGTGTGTGTCTTTCTTCTATTCCTGTCAGGATATCAGCTTTGTGTTCTAAACAGGCACAGGTCTCACACTGAGTAAGTAGAAATTAATGTAGAAATTATATTGTAATTAAATATACTGTATAGTGTCATTTTGTAACATTTTGGTTAGTGGTGTGCCGCAAGATTTTTCCAATGAAAAAACGTGCCATGGCTCAAAAAAGGTTGAAAAACACTGCACTAATAAACAACACGAGAATAAACGTGAAAAGGTTTTAAATGTTACCAGGAGTAGGTGTTGCTGCGTCCTCTGGAAAAGTGAGTAAGCCCGGCTAGCTCAGTCGGTAGAGCATGAGACTCTTAATCTCAGGGTCGTGGGTTCGAGCCCCACGTTGGGCGAACAGCTTTTGAACAACACATTCTACAAATAAATGATCACAATGTTGCTCCATAGATAAAATAATGGTCAACAATATGATCAAATATTAACACACAGTATACAGGTTTAGAAATGACTAATTTCAGACCATGTACTAATATAAAATAAATTGTTCCAAATCTTTTCCAATTTAATTTTGATAAGAAGAGCTAAATTCTCTGCTGTACATGGTGGTCTTTGTAAACCATTTAATTTGTTGATTTTTATTATCATTTTTGTTATTTTGTCAGTGTTATTAACGCTGCTGTTATTGCCTCGCCCACTAGTTGGAGCAAGCCCGGCTAGCTCAGTCGGTAGAGCATGAGACTCTTAATCTCAGGGTCGTGGGTTCGAGCCCCACGTTGGGCGCACGGTTTTTGAACAAGATAAAAAGTCTTCAGTACTTGTGCCGTGTTGTTCTACACCAGGGGTGTCAAACTCATTTTGGTCCGGGGGCCGTATCCAACCTACTTTGATCCCAAAGGGGCTGGATCAGAAAACTCATGAATTATAAACCCCAAAAATAACAATAAGTTCAAATATTTGTGCAGAGAAACGCAAATCTATTACAGAAATCTTTTTTAATTGATGAACTCTTTCTTATTATAATATTATAATTAGAGCCCGACCGATATGGATTTTGCTGTGGCCGATATGAAACCAATATAATGGAAGTTGGAGCTGCCGATAGCCGATATAATCACAGATATATTTAGTGATGTAAAAATTCACTGTAAATGTTGAATTGTTTAAAAAACTTAGGTTTGGCTCTGGTGGATTTTAAATTGGGTTTATTTAGGCAACATTTATTGTTATTCTGCCTCTTTACATCATATTTACAGACAGTAGGTTGACTTAATGGCATTTTTGCATCACATTCTAGACACTAGTGATGGGTATTCCAGTTCTTTTTAGAGAACCGGCTCTTTTGGCTCGGCTCACTAAAAGCTGCTGGTTTTTTTTGGCTCCCAAGCGGCTCTTCAGATTGTTTTGTTGCAAGCAGGACTAAAGCACGTCTAAAGCAGGACTGAATCAGGACTGAACCAGGTCTAAACCAGGACTGAAAAAGGACTAAACCGGGACTTATTTATTTTATGCTAAACTACAGTCAAATATGCTCGTTTTTTTATTTTTTTTAATCCTACGTACACGCAAATTTCTCAAAGTTTCGTTTTTAGCCGCTGTCATACCACGAATCTGCACGCGGCGTGAAGAGAAAAAAAGTGAGAGAAAGAGAAAACACGGCTCCCAATAAGGATCAGGCTCCCGTCGTTCGCTTCAAAGAGCCGGATCTAAGAGTCATTTCGTTTGCGACGGACCCATAACTAGTAAAGAAAGTAGCGCTATTAGCCTTTAGCCGTAAATACGTGCGCGCCGCGGTAATTAATTATATGTGCAAATGTCATAATTCACACGTCTGTTCACAGCTCATTTACATATCAGTGCAGGTCCAGTAGCAAATATACGGCCAATATAGTCACTTTAGAACAGACCAATAGAAAACAGTCTGTTTATGTGCGGGAGCTACAGCAGCTAACCCATAACAAATGATAAAAACTAGCTTCAGAGTCGACATATTTCCAACACTCACCGCTCACACAGGCTCCTCCTCACATCACAAATCTGCACTAATAAATGTCCTTTTAATCCAGACGCAAACCGATTGTCCGTAAAAAGAATATCATCTCAGTGTTTGGATCTGTGTCTGCAGGTGTAAACAAACACACGTGAGTGACGCGACTCTGTGGTGTGTTCAGGGACAGTACGGACACACACAGACAAATGACTCCGTAGATAAATACTGATGTGGAGCCACATATTAGGACATTTATCTGTCTGTAAATTGGTTTAAATGAACAGAATGTAGAGAGTCTAAGCTTTATAACAAGGTATAACATGCCCACGTGAAATATCGGCCCCTATCAGCAAGCATATCGGCCGATAGCCGATATGCCTAAAGTTGCCCATATCAGCCCATAATATTGGCCAACCGATATATCGGTCGGGCTCTAATTATAATATTACGAACAACCTGAAACTTTAAGAAAAATTCAATTTCAACACAATGTTTTAACATTAGCTTGTATGCAAACAGGAATAAGTCAATTTTTCTTGGAAAATCCTGCACTGTGTCCACTTTTCTTTTTTTGGACATTTTGCTGATGAGGGTGTCACGGTCAACAGTCAATACGATCGTCCTTTAAGAGCGTTTGGAAAGAGACAAGTCTTCATTTGTGCTGCTCTGGTGGGAGGGGCCACGTACAGAGGCGCTGGAGATGCTGCTATGCTAAGCACCGCAGAAAATTACCAATATTTTAATAGAAAATATAATTTAAATATTTTAGTAGAAAATCACCCAAGGGCCACATTAAAGGTCTTGGAGGGCCAGATCTGGCCCCTGGGCCGTATGTTTGACACCTGTGTTCTACACCTTTCAGTTTGTAAAAGTGTGTATGAAATGTTGCTCTCATAATGTAATTCACCCAATGTGGGGCTTGAACCCACGACCCTGTATTGGCAGCTCAGTGACTGCTGTCCACCTCCATCTATGTCATTTGTCACGTTATTATAATTTTGGACCAGCCCCCAGGTCAAATATTTCCAGGAAAATAAGTTTATCTCTGTATGAAGAGAGTATTACCATTTCTATTCAGTCCATATCCTGCAATGTACATAATCATAGCTACTTATTGCACATATAGTGTTGTAGCCTTGTATTTTTGCACTTTCTGTTCTCCTGTTGTTCTTGATCTGTGCGTTGCAACCATAAACTGTGTATATAAATGGAAATAGCTAACCTGCTAGCTGCATTATGGTCTTAAAATGTTTGTTATTAACCCACTGTACATGATCATGGAGTTTTTATTCCACTATTTTTTATTATTATTCCTAATACTGAACTCGACTCCAAATTTGATGCTATAACTGCTAGACTCCTGAGCTTCATTTGACCATAGCCAAATGCTTTGGGTGACGTCACACTCACTTAGCCCACTCCTTTATACAGTCTATTGTTGCAGCATTGTAATCTTATCTTTCTTATCCGATTGAACATACGTAACAGTGTAACTCACCCTATGTTGTCCTTTTCAGGTGTATTATAAATGTTTGGGGCTGGGGGACCCTGTTGCTGATAAACCATACGGCGCTCAGAGGTTACTGTCCCACCTGCGTCACCCTGTGTGTTTGGAGCTCCTGGTGATCCTTTGGGTGCTGCCGGCTCTGTCACTGGACCGGCTCGTCCTGGCGGGGGCACTGTCTTCATATCTGCTCCTGGGACACTCTCTGGACAAACAGGACCTGGCCTACCTTTGGGTTCACTTCAAAACCAGGTTCCTCTCTCAACAGGGCAAAAAAGAAGAGGGAACAGAACTGAGCCAGTAAAATAAGTATTAGAGATAGAGTCAATGTACTACTGATATATGGATTTATCAGTTTTCATCATCAGTGAATTATTTTGCAAAAATTCAGCTGCCCCGCCCATACTAAGACTCATGCCCGGCTAGCTCAGTCGGTAGAGCATGAGACTCTTAATCTCAGGGTCGTGGGTTCGAGCCCCACGTTGGGCGCACAGCTTTTGACCAACACATTCTAGAAATAAACAGACATTATAATGCATTATCCATCAAATGCATCTTATAACACTGCAATAAAGTAATTATTAATAACTGGTAATGTAAGACTTTGTGTAATTGTCCCCTTTGTAGTTCTGCTTTTTGTTTTCTTTTGGAGTGTCCGCCAACTGCTTGTCTCCATGGGGCCGTTATTGTTTTGCCTGGAATGTTCCACAGTAAAGCATTAAAGGGACAGTCTGGAATTTTGGACATAAGACCACATTTCCTAGTGAGCCAGAGTGTTGGAGTTGTGTGGAGACACTTTTAAAAATATTCCTTCCAGTCCTTGTATTTGCAGAGGTCACTGGTGCTAGGCTATTGCATGTCAATGGCCATAGTTATCCTGCCACTAAAAACACTTACCCACTCCACAAAGAACCCGAAGCAAATCTATTATTACACCAGACTGTTAATGTGAATGTCTGTGTCGATAGAATAATTTTAAAATTAAAACCAACCTTGCATATGAAGGATTTATGTCTGAGCAGCAGCAGCAAGTTGCTTACTTATGGCGGACTGATATCACCTAGTACCAATGTTACCAGTAAAATAAAATTCCGCTGCTGCTGAGAAAATAGTCCCTGAACTTGCGACGATTCATGCAATGCAAGGTTAGTTTTATTTCAAACATTATTCTATCAACACAGACATTCACATCGACAGTCTGGTGTAATAATAGATTTACTTCGGGTTCTTTGTGCAGTGAGTAAGACTGTTTTTAGTGACAGGATAACTATGGCCATTGACATGCACTAGCCTAGCACCAGTGACCTCTGCAAATACAAGGACTGGAATATTTTAAAAAGTGTCTCCACACGTCTCCAACACTCTGGCTAACTAGAAAATGAGGTCTTATGTCCAAAATACCGGACTGTCCCTTTAAACTCATGAATCTCATGAAGATGAGCAGAAACAAAACCAGGTAAGATATAGGTCAGATCTGTAGAGTATCGTCTCAGTGTAAGAATGCCTGGTTTTTATGGTATTTTTAAACAATAAAAACACCTGTAATGGGATACATGTGGAATAGACTACTGTGGCAAACAATCACATCCCCTTGGAGACATAAATAAAACAAGTGGGACATTGACAAAATATAAGGTGAGGAAGGAACTCACCGAGATAATCTAAACTGAATTTGAGGTGCTAAAATGTATGATTGCATAATGTAGGGAAAAGATAAAGCCATATAAACAAACTGGGAGTGTAGAGAAAATCGATAACCATTTTATGCTTTTGTTACTTCCTATAATGTCTTTTATAGTAATGTTGCATTTATTATTTTTTTATTTTTATAGTTCAAAGTGTCATACTGTTTCACCTGTTGCACTGATTTCAGTTTTTTTTTAAGTTTAAATAAAATCCGTTAATGTGTAGTTAGTCTGAATGTGGAGACTATCCATAAAAAGCCATATTAACTGTATGATTTGACAATTTTGTGTCCTTAGTATTGCATAAGTATATTCATAGTATTGAATTGTAATGATCATTTGAACATTCTTGTTGCTAAGTGTTGTACCCATTTCACCATGCAAAACAAAACTGGTCTGAAATCCCTCCCTTACAGCATTTATTTGATAAGTCCAAAATGGTCCAAGCTAAATTGTTTTTTAAGAGTGCACCGTGTAACATTTTTGATGGGTCAGTCTAATGCTTTTCTTCATGGAAATGTTATTGCTTTGTCGGGAATCATTCACAGTTTGTTATTAAACCTTTCTATCGTCATGGAGACCAAACCAGACCAGGTCAGGTTACAGGTCAGGTCTGTGGAGAGGCGAACCCACTCAGTGAGAATGCCTGTTTTTCTAGATATTTTTGAACTACAAACACAAAACTATCCGTAATTTAATAAATGTAAGTTAGAGCTGTTTGCAATGATATATCCATAGAAACAAGGTGACAGATCCAACCAAAGTTACATAGTGCACTTTAAAGCAGTCTTTGATTTTAAGCACAGTTCATTTATATCAATTTTGATGGAGATCACATATACTGTATTCTTCTAATAATAAACAGGGGATATCTAGCATATCTTAATTGAAATAAATGTAATAAGCCTTGTTTTGTGTTTTATTGAAAAAGATCATACAATAGAAAATGGAGACTCACATTGGAGAACAGTCTTATGTTATGGAGAGAAACATTTAGATCCTTCAGTGAATTACTTGACAATGTCCGCATTTACTTTTTTACATTCAATACTTTTGTGCGAGAGCTTTTCAGACGATTAATTTCTTAAATGGCAAAAATATACAGTGTTTCCTAGACAGTATCTACTCTACCATGGCTAGAGATGGGTTCCAGATATGATCTAAGAAATGATAACTAAATTAAGCTTATAAAGTGGTTATAAAAAGAAAACAAAAATAAATGTTTGGTTAAAAAAAGGAAGAAAAAAAATTAAGTGATTAAAATATATGAAAACTAATCAAAGTGGCAAAGGCAAAGTAGTAAAGCCTCAAAATTAAAATTGTGGATCTGGGAGGGCATCTGGTTTAGAGACCTAATAAAGGCTGTTGCTCTGACAATATAGCCTTGTTTTTAGCATATCTCTTCCAAATACTTCAAATTAGAGTTTAAAAGTCTTGTTATTAGCCAAGGCAACTCCTGAATATAAAATATAACTAATAATTCCATTAATATTATTAGTTTTGATCTGTTTTGATAACCGTTACAAATAATTTTTTCTTGTGCAATTGTGTTATGGTGGCAAGTAACCCCACATGAGAAAGTATTGATAGAAATTGAAAGCTACAGTATTATTTTAGTATTATTTTCAGTAGTATTTCAGTAGTATTTTAGGTTGCAGCAATTTATGTCACTGAAAATGACTTGATAGACATTTTAAAAGATATGGATTTACCTTAATAAACTGAACAGGAAAGGCTATTTGTGCTTAAATATGTGCAATGACACTTGATAAACTGCGAAACTCTGTAAATGATTGGAAAAAAGAAATGACAAGAGATTTAAGAGTTGAAAATAATGAAAAAAATCAAAATGATTGTGTGCGAAAAAGAATAAACTGCAGATTTTAATCACAAAAAACAGCAAATTTTGTGAAAATGTAGTGTCAAATTGTCCTTTTTGACAGTTCTGTGTAGATCAACATTACGAATCCTTGGTGCAACTTGACCGGTTTTTCTTTTCATCTTGTAAAAACACAACATAAATGTTTTTTTTGTCCATAGAAATATTTACAAAAAGACAGAAGCCGGATTTGCCACGTCAGCCGATTTAGCATCTTCAGCGTCATTCCGAATCCTCCTCTTCTGGTATGTACGGTTTGTCGTCCAGGGAGTCAAAATTGTCGTTGCCATGGTTACTGTTGTATTTGGGGTGCAGCTCTCTCATTGACAGGATGCGGACCAGCATAGACTCCATGGTGGTGTCATCCAGTGGTGTGGAGGAGAACCACAGGGGGCTGTTCGGGACACAGCAGCGCTCTGGGAGCAGGTAGAACAGGTTTGTGCGCTGCTTCACTGATTCAGAACTGAGAGGAAAAAAGTAAAGGTTTGGGAAATTAAGTTATGAAGCACAATTTATTCAACAATGAAAGGAAACAGTGGGATAAAAATAAAATAAAAAATAAAACTGTAGCATCAATTAAAGGTGCGCTAGTGGAGAGTTCGCCGCCTGCTTGTCTCTATAGAAATGCATTGTGCTCTATGGGAGAATTCTTTCTTAGGTACTGCAGCTCCAGAGCTAGTCAAACTCGCTCAGGACAGAGGGTGCGTGTCTTATCCAATTATTATTATAGATCCATGGCTCAAACAAGGACCAAACCAGAACAAGACCCTTATTTTCTTAAACAGTTTCAAATGATCATATCACAGATGAACAGAGTGCACCACAGATATAACTCAGGCTTCTATAGAGTTTGATGTCAAATACATCATCAAGTCTCACCATTTTGAGAGGTAGAATTCATAAAGTCGGACAGGACATCGAAGAGGATTCTCTGAGTTTTCAGGCATCTCTAGCACCTCCTCTGTTGGGTCCTCGCTCTTCCGCTTCTTTGGCGCTGGTGCATCTGTATCTGACCAAAAAAAAGTCAAACAATTTAATAATGATCTATTATTCTGAAAAAATAAAATGGCAATTTATGGATTTGAGTTCTAGAAAATTGCAAAACTCGATTATGCCATTCATTTAAAATGGCACTTACTGTTGTCAAAATACTAAACTTCAAACTTGATTCTGGTACTAAAGAAAAGTCCTGATATTGGGTCCAAAGCATTAACATCTCAATTGAAAAAGTTAAAAAGAGCACCTTTAAACAATAGTAATAGTAAGTAATAGAAAACTCAAGATTTTAAGCCAATGGTTGTTTTGGATCTAATGGTAGGATACACATTCACATATTCATATGTTGCTTCCAAGTAGTTTCATAGTTTCACTGCTGTGGGTCTTTTAAGGTTGTTTTATAATGTTGTTTCCACATCAAAACATACCTGGAGTTGTGTTGTGTTTTGTTTCATTCACACATGTTTAACACACAAACCCTGAATATTTAGACTGAATTCTTCCCTCAAACAGAAAACACTCTGTTCCACCTTGTGATGTCATGTGGTAATACAGGAAGTTCTCCATTGTGGTTTTAAACTCCATACACCTTCACTAGAATAATTTGGATAATTTCAGCCCTGGAATTGCCCAGCATTTTGAGCTTTGGAGATGTAGACAGACTAACAAAACACAACTCAAAGTATGTTTTTCATGAGCTATCACCATTCTAACATGGCTTAAAGCTCACAAGAGTTGATTTGTATAATATAAGTTTTTGCAAGCTTTTATAGTCAAAGGAGCCTGCAGTTCTATCAAATCAAGGTTACTATTATTTCCACAGCTTTATTTTGCAACATGTGATACCTGCTGCTGGGGGCACTTGTGGCAGCACGTGCTGGGGCACAGGAGGGTAAAAGCGGAGGAAGGTGGTCTTGTTGTTGCTGGGGTCGGTTTTTGTGCAGCGCATGACGTGAGCGAATGAGAGCTGCCGATGCTGCTCCACCGTCCGAAAGCCAAAGTGTTTACAGCAGAAAAAAAGCAGTGTATTCAGCAGCACGATGGGGGAATATGCCCCCAACTGTTTACACTCCCACATGAATGACTCCTCCACACGGGAATGCACGTAACCTGTAAACAAAATACAGAAAGAAGATACAAGGGTTTAATGTCAAATCAAATATGGAGACTGGTGGACACGTGAAGAGAGACATTGCACATAACCTGTTAACAAAATACAGAAAGAAGATACAAAGGTTTACATCTTTTTAGCACATTTTTTAAAACAGCTATCATTCACAAACACACCTGCACATTGAATTCAGCTTGTTTTTTCAACACTAGAGGCCTGCTCTCACGTGCTAAAAGACTTAGGCTGTGTTGAACAAATAATCTGTCTACACAGTCATTCAAACACGTTGATACTGAAGAAAAAAAAAAAAAAAAATCATAAAAATTGGGGAAAAAGAGATTTCCTGAATAATTTTAGAATGATCTTGATCTGTATCAGAACCATTATTAAACCAAACTGAAACATTAAAGAAAAAAACATTGAAATAAAATACAAAAAACATTTTAATGATTGCAAAATGAGCAGGTAAAACTCACCGCTGGATGTGACGATGGGTTTGAAGTCTCCCAACATCTTTGTGAAATCTGCAGAAAATCGACTGTAAAACCGATCCATGAAGATGTTCTCCACACGACCATTATCAAACAGGTGCTAAAACAGGAAATAAGAGCGTACAGGTTTAAAGGCTGAAGTTAAAAATAAGCATTATGGAACTTTCTTGGTGGTATGTCTGCCATGTGCTTGTCTCCATGAAGATCGTATTGTTAGGAATATTTTACATTATAGCATTAAAGATATCTGTTACCACGATACAGATACATTTATTGTGATCATTCAAACATTTTCAGGCCATAACTCCTCGCTTTGAATAGATGACTACCTTTGAAACCAGCTGAACATTTGAGCAAATAACAATAGTATCTCCATGAGGACAAGCAGTTGACAGAAACCCACGAAAACGTTACAGAATACACCTTTAACCATGTAAATTACTGTGAGAGTATTCTGTTACCTTCTGAATGCCGAGGCAGAGGTAGTAGAGGCTGTCGGGGGAATAGGGTTCTCCATTTGGACGTTTAATTTCAGACATGAAGAAACACAGACTCATACTGAGCTCTGCTGTGGTGCACTGGAGCACGTCCTCCTTCAATTCAAAGGGGCGAGCTGTAAAAATACAAATGTAAAACACAAGACAGTTCTAAAAATGTAAATAACACAGTTTCTATTTACAGCCAATGCGCAGTTTCTGTAGCTGTGGTTGATTTCGTCTCCAATGGACCCATTGTTTCCAGGCGTTCAGTCCGTATTCACTTTTCAATGTCACTTCGGTGTTAACAGGGGCGCTGGGGACCTCTGGCTCTGGGGACTTGGTGTACCGCTTTGGCTTACGACCCTTCAAATATATATATAAAAGAAAAATAAAATAAAAGATCATTCATAGGTATACGATTAGGTACAATAATTTTATGGACCCGGGAAGTAATGCAAGTGTGCTGTTAGCATCCTTGTTGCCATGACTGCAAAATTCCACTCTGAAAGTTGTGATAAGCACTTATAAACTCATCGCGGTGAATAATTAGGACATTAGGAATGCACAAGGTAAGTGAGGAATAAATTTGGATCACTGCAAGTAATTCAAATTAAACAAATTCTTTTTATCACTTTAAAAAAAGTAAAAATATCTGAATCTTACCCGTCTTTTCTCTCTGGCTTTCCGAGGATGTCTTGCAGGAGGTGATGGGGCACGAGGGGCCATTTGTCTTAGTTGGGACAATGACTCCAATGATTCTGTGAAAAAATAAATTTAGCCCCTCTTACCATTTTTGGTGACACCTAAACAAGACCATGAACGCTCATATTGATCACAGGCTCCTGAAAATGTGTTGTTTAAATCAGTTTTTAGACTTTCTCATAACTTTTTCATCTAAGTTTTGTGTCCATGGTAACTGCTGAACATCCCGGCAATGGAAATGCATTTTAGAACACCCCAAGCTTGATGTCAATGCCAAGTATTAACAGTGCCCATCTGAGAGATTTAAAAATACTGACAGTCTCTTTACCAATGGTGTGGTCGGCCTCTAGGTCCATGGGCGGAGGGCTGTATGTGCGGTTGTCATGGTACTGGACATTCGGCGTTCCTACGGGGATGTCAATGAGCGGGGTGACCTTTTCGTTGGCGAAGGGTTGACTGGGCGTCCTCAGACCAACGTCAGTCTGCTCCCAGTTATTCAGGAAAGATGTCAAGTCATCAGTGTCCAAATCATCACTGTACGTACTGGTGCGGTCTGGTAAAAAAAAACACAACAACAAAAAACAAAATATTTGTTCGAATGAAGTATCAAAATAAAAGGAAATTTATGACTTGAAGGTGCACTATGTAACTTTCTGGTGGAGGGTCCGTCACCTGCTTGCTTCTAAGCATATGCCATTGCTCTGCCTGGAATGTTCCAAAGTATGACATTAAACAACTCTACATTACATTTATTCAATTACAGGTGACTTTATAGCTCAAAAATATGTAGAAAAACATTGTGACTGTGAGTGGAGTTGCCTCTCCACAGATCTGACCTGTAACTTGGTCTGAATTGGTTTTCATAAAGATTAAAAGGTTTAATGCCATACTGCCAAACGTTCCAGACAAAGCAATGACATCCCCATGAAGAAAAGCATTTGACCCCCCTTCCACCAGAAAAGTACACAATGCACCTTTAAAACTCCTTGTTAGGAAAGAGTCAGTCATAGTCTCTGATACCGTTTTAAGATTTCGAATTATTTGAACTGTAACTCGAAATACACCAACATTTAAGTTTAGAGACACCATCTCATTCAATGTTTTTTTTTCTTTTTTATTACCACTTTCTACATTTTAGATACATACAGAAGACATCTAATATATAGACTTCTGTAGGAAATATGTTTTGATGTTTTTGGCTACTTTGAGGATTTAAACATATAAAATATCTTTGCTATATAATTGCATACATTTTGCTTCATACATTTGAGGTCTTCTGTATGTAAATAAAATGTACAACATAGCAAACATTGATGATGTGTTTAACCTTTTGAATGGTAGTGCATGTATCAGGCCTTAAATTGATATATGGGGATCTGGGGGAAAAAAGTGAGCTTGTGAGCTTTTAGCCGTGTTAGAATGCTGTTACCTCCTCAAAAACATACTTGGAGTTGTGTTTGAGTAATCCTGCAGTTAGTCTGTCTACATTTCCAAAGCTCAAAATGCTCTGTTCCACCTTGTGATGTCATGAAACTGTATTTTAAGTTAATAGCTAACAGCATTTACCTTCCTTTGGAGATTGGCATTGGAGTTCGAAATGATCCTAATGATTCTAGTGAAGGTGTATGGAGTTTTAAAACACAGTGAAAGAGAGTCCTGTATTACCACATGACATCAAAAGGTGGAAGAGAGTGTTTTCAGGGAGAGAATACCTCAGCCTAAATATGCAGGGTTTGTGAGTTAAACATGTGTGAATGAAACAAGACACAACTCAGGTATGTTTGTGATGAGGAAACAGCATTATAACAAAGATCAGAACATGGCGTAATATGTGCCCTTTAAAGTCTCATTGTTACCGTCGTGTGCAGGTGCGTTGGTTCTGCTCGACTGTCTCCCGGGAGGTTTCTCTGTCGTTTTTTCTTCACTGTCCTCGGCGACCATCTCCGCCATCAGGATCAGCTCCGCCTCAAATGGGTCAGACGGGATCTTCTCCTTGATTTCCTGAATGGTCTCCACGATTTTCTCTGCGTTGTCCATCGCCACCGGGAGAAACATGGGCACGGGCAACTGGGACAACAATATAACAGTTTTTTTTTCTTAAATTTACTCTTGTGAGCTTTAAGTCATTTTAGAATGTTGTTACCTCACTAAAACATGCGAAAATGAAATAAAACACAACTCCTGGTATGTTTTTGACAAGGAAAGAACATTATGACATAAATCAGAAAATAACGCAATAGGGGTCTTTTAAATAACACTTTTTAGCCAGACTAGGATTGTTAGTTTTGTACGTACAGGAAAAGGCAGGCCCAGGGGGTGGGGTGTGCACTGGCTGTACATCCCCATGGGGACCGGGACATAAACAGGGACAGGCACCGGCAGGATCAGGACGTCGGGTTTAGATTTATCTGCAACAAAAAAGTGAATGTGGTTATTTCATGAATGGATTTATATTGTCCTTATTTGCACTGGCTCTCTGTCTTCAGGTAAATGTCCCCAACAGTTACATACTTTGATTTGACATTATAATACCCAAATCAATGCAGCCTTCATTATTTTAGTTAAACTGCATTTAAGACATAAAAATAAGAAAAAAAGAACATGGTAAAATTCTGTGTAATTTCAGACTGGTTTAGTACCTGTTTGCATTGCGGAGTCTGTGGTCTGAGTTTTACAGGAGACACCTTTATTTTGAACGAGTGGTTTGCAAAGAAGAGCCTTGTTCTTCAGGATTTTGGTCGGAGGAACAGGACCAGAGGGAGCAGTCTGGGAGACAATTCACAATTTATAATGTGGGAACAAATAATGTTTTCAAAATGTGTTAATGTGTCTATAAATAGACTGATTTCTTATACAGACTTAACTTTAGGAAAAAATATTTGATTGTTTTGTGTAAATATCGAAAAGCAAGTATGCAAACAAAAATCAGCATTACTGTGAAATTGTGTATCCTTACTAACTTTCAATTAATAATAATAGATTTTATTTGAATAATGCTTTTCAGGACACTCAAAAACGCTTAATAAAAAAAAAAAAAATTGGACTGTTGCCATGGAAACTAGCAATTTAAAACGATATTGTATGTTTTGAATGGTGAAAAGTCACCCATATTTATGTGATACATCACACTCTCTTGATTACAACTTATGCTAAAATCAAACTTGTTGAAAAGGAATAGTTAGTTAGAATCTCCTTACTGGTTTCGCATTTGTCGTCTTAACTGCGACAGCACCTGCAAATAAAAAAATAAAAAAATGTTATATAGAAGGTTTGGACTCACCATCTCATTCAATGTTTTCAATGTTTTTCCCCTTTTTTCCTACTATTTTCTACATTTTATATACATACAGAAGACATCAAATTAAATATTTAGTAAAGAAAAAAAGCCAATATAATAAACATATTTTGACAAAGCAAAGAGTGGCTATTTTGAGAATTTGGTCAAAAGATATAAAATAAATATTTTGTAGAATTAGAACTGTTTAACTTTTTTTTTTGGCTACATAATTCCATATATCTTACTTCATATATTTGATGTCTTCTGTATGTAAATAAAATGTAGAAAGTAGTAAACGAATAGAAAAAAACACTGAATGAGAGACTGAGTCCAAACATTTGACTGGTAGTGCATATATATTAAATTTCTAGTTCATACTTCTAATTTCTGTTGAAGACAATGGACTTGTAAATGATTCTTTTGTCCTGGCTTGAATTGGTGCAGAGCTGGCCAGCGACATTACGTTAGCGATGACAGGAGTAGCAGCTAAAGGAAGAAACAAAATTAGAAGAAAATTAATTTGACTTCACATACAGTGAATTGTGGAAGAAGTACTCAGTTTTAAAGTAAAAGCAACACATGAAAAAATCTACTTAAGTACCCTTATAAAAATGTGCTTACAAGAGTAAAAAGTAAAAGCATTTCACACAGTTTTTGTGGTCTAATAATCCTCCAAATATAGTGATTTTGATAAAGAATTTTGTTCAACAGAAATTATTGATTTTATATTTTTTCTAGCCATTTTTATTTGTGCATTTTTGTTTGCTCAAACAACAAATGTGTGTACTACAAAAAACAAAAAAAGTTCAGGCTATTCAAAACAAAAACAAAAAAACGTTTACTTTCCAGTCCTGTTGAAAAATGTAGTGGAGCAGAAAGTAGATACCTGCTCTCAAATGTACAGACCATCTAAAAAAATGTGAATATCATGGAAAAGTTCAATATTCTTTGTCATTCATTTCACAAAGTCAAATCCATATATTACAGACTTGTGACACAGTGAGCATTTCTTGAAAGTTTGATCATTATGGCTTACAGAAAAGGAAAACCCCAAATTCTGTGAATATTGTGAACAAGTTGAATACACCCTATTCAGGTAATTAACTGAAAACATCTGCAAAGGTTTCCTGAGCCTTTTAATGGTCTCTCAGTCTGGGCGAGTGGGCTACTCAATCATAGAGAAGGCGGCTGACTGGACAGATGTCCAGAAGAGCCACTGACACCCTCCACAAGGAGAAAGCCACGAAAGGTCAATGCTAAAGAAGCTGGTTGTTCACAGCATGCTGTATCCAAGAACATTCATAGAAACATGTGGAAGAAAAAATGTGGTAAGAAAAGGTGCACCAGCCAAAATGACAGCAGCAAGAGGATTCTCACGAAAAATCCTTTAAAGAATTTGTGGGAGCTTCATAAGGAGTGAACTGAGGCTGGAGTTACCGCATCAAAAGTCACAACACATAGATGACGCCTGTATGGGCGATAAGACGATGTCAGTCTCATCTGGGCTGTGGAGAAAAAAAAACTGGACTGATGAAAGTACATTTTGCATGACATTTGGAAATCAAGGACCCACAGTCTGGAGGAAGAGTGGAGAGTCATTGAATCCACTTTGCATGAAGCACCTTATTGATCTTATATAATATTCAAATTTTCTGAGAAACAGATTTTTGGGTTTTCATTATCTGTAAGCCATAACCATCAAAATTTCAAGAAATAAAGGCTTAAAGGCGTCACTCTATGTCATGAGTCTATATAATAGACAATATAAAAGACAATTATTATTACAATTACAAAAGTACAATATCATTAAAAAGTTCAATATTCAATAATTGTCATTTTTTTAGATGACCTGTACTGAGGTAAAAGTAAAAAGTATCCACTTTAAAATGTATTTAAGTATGGAGACCTAACAGTCATACTTACAGTATTTTACTACTCTTATTTACACATTCCACCACTGCATACACAACATTACAAATCATAAAAATACAAGGTAGTAATAACAAATAAATGGTAATAAATGCGTTATGTTGGTTACGTTTCAGTTTTAGTGCCCCCTGTTCCTGTGTGGTCTTAATGCAGAACTGCAGCAGACAGTTGAGGTCACAGAAATGTTTAGCATCGCCCAAAAGAGACAAACTCTGCTTCAGTTTTCCTTTTCGAGCACAAAAGTCACATTTTGCTACCTGTAAGAAAATAGAAGACAGAGTTACTACTCCAAATATTCTCATGAGGATTAGAAATGACCATGTCCCTAAAAACATTAAGACAAAAGTGTATGAAAACTGCAAAATTGACACAATAACCACAGGACTATCAGATTTAAAATGACTAAAACCCAGTAGAAAGAGTATGTTGTCATCTTTAGCTATGATAAACCTTATTTGAATGGCTATTATGTATTGCAAATAACAGATCAAATAAGGTTCAAAATGTCAATTTGACAGTTTTTATTTTTTCTCTGCTCTGAGTGAAACTGAAGGTAACAGCAGTACCACAATATTATTTAAGCTGTATATTGTATATTATGTATGTAACAGTTCTATTTTGATTGGAATTATTACTAAACTAAAATTAGAGCTATAGAGATTTTAAGATGTTTAATTCTAAATTTAGTTTTTCCTAATGTATATCTGGATGTTTTAATTTTATTTTACCTTCTCTCAGCACTCTGTTCTGAGCTCATCATTCTGCAAGCCAAATTTAATTTAATTTTTATTTTTTTATCTACTTGTGCAACTGCACTAGTTTATTGGCGTACTACAATATTGCAATAATAATTTAACCTCTGGAATATCTTAAACAGAGACTCACGTGGCAGTAAAGCATGGTGTAATTGGAGCGGCAGAGATCGGAGCAGAACTCCTCCTCTGCGTTGCCGTAATGAGCCGTCAGAACCTTCTTAGAGACACTGTGACAGAAACTGCACGAATGACAGTGTTTGCCCCAAGACATGGTCAGGTCGTGTCTGTACAGCAGTTTACAGCCTGAAAAACATAACAGAGTAAGTAAATATAGAAGGATTATCAGGCTACGTCACTGTCCACTCTATTGCGCATGTCCCCTGCACAAAAAGCCACCGTCTTGTATCATGTCAGTGTGTTGTAGATTTCAGCTGAGGTAAATGGATGTATGACCACTGAAGTTTCTTCTCGTCATTTACCCACTCACCTGCATTTAATGCATATGAGTCATTAAGACATGTCCCATTCACTTATGTTCATTTAGGAGCATGACTTATTTTATCACACGCTGATAAACTGTTTTAGTGCTCTGAAAACCCTTTTCACTGAACTAAAACAAGCATTACATTTGACATGACTATCATATGTCAAATTATGTTAGTTTTTAAATGATGACCAATGTTACCGTCACTGCAGAAGTTACAGGTTTTGGACATGATCCGTTTGACCTCTTTGGTGACCTTTTCGACTTTGCAATAATCACAAACATTAAATAAAAAGTTGCTCGTCTTGAAATCCAGAAGGCAGTTCTGACCGCAAAAGAAGACCATCTTGTCCTAGGAGAGAAAAGTACAGTTTTGTTTATGGCTCTGGGTCTTGTGACAAAAGTTTTATTTTGACAATCTTAAATGATATGAACATTTGTTTCTTGTGCCTGTCCTTCAAATATAATTTAATATCTAATTTTTGTGGTCTATCCTTTGAAGATACCCAATTTTGTGCATTATTAATGTAATTAATGTTGTGCCCCTCCAATCACATTAACACATTACCTTAAACTCATAAATCACACCTAGACAGTTACTCTTACTCCAGTACTAGTTTTCCCAGATACTTTTGCACTCTTAAAAGGGCCCATATTGCACCATTTTTGATTCATGTTACAATGTTATTTCCTCATCAAAAACATACCTGGAGTTGTGTTTCATTCACACAAGTTTAACACACAATTCTGCATAATTAGTTGGAGTTCTTCTCTCAAAAAGAAAACGCTCTAATCCACTTTGTAATGTCATGTGTGCGTTTAAACTCAGTACATTTTTACTAGAATAATTTTAATAATTTCAGACTGGAATTGCCAATCTCTACTGAACTAAAGATAAACTGTAGCTGTTGGCTTGAAAACTACCACTTCATGACATCACAAGCTGGAATGGCACATTTTATTATTGATTACTCTACCCACCTCTGAATATAAACTGCTAATCACATACATATTTATATATTTTGATCTGAACTGTGAATACCTCTATTTGCAGGACCTCTGGCTTCGCAGTGACTTTGCTCTCACACTGTCGACAGTACAGGTGTTTGGGCAGAGGGGGGAGGGAGATGGTGGAGGTGGGCTGAGGGGCGATGGGGACCTGTGGAGCCAATCCTGCCCCTGGTAACTTGGTGAAAACATTTGAGAGAGATGGCTGCTTTTTGAATTTTTCCTATAGACAGACAGAAAATTAATAAACCATGTTTAATTTTTTTGGGTTAATATGCACTGCACAACTTTTCTGGTGGAGGGTCTGGTACCTACTTGTTTCCAGGGAGTTGTTATTGCTTTGCCTGGAATGTTCCATGGTATGACATTAAACATATCCATCTAGCATTTATTCATTATGTGTGTTTCTATTGCTCAAAAACACAATAATTTCTTCTGTGAATAAAGATGACTCTCCACAGATCTGAAGTGTAATAGATAAGTAAAATCTACTGTGAAACATCCCAGTAAAAGCAATAACATTTTCACAGAAAAAAGGAGACTCTCCACTAAAAAATTTGAACATGTCCTATTATAAAGACAAAAGTAAATCATTTAACTTTACCCATATGTTTCCATTAGGGGGTCACACATGGGCAATAACCTGGATTCTTTGAGTTTTTGCTGATGTTCAAGTATCACACAAACTAATAGACTAAAATATAACAGACGTGCCGACATACAACTACAAGATTACAGTGGATACATTTGTAAGGCTAATAAAAATTAGATAAACCATAAACAATGAGACCTGATTTTTTGTGTTGTTTCATGCCAATGAGAAATCTGATTATCAAAAACCCAGGCGACACATGCCAGTTAATATATACATTTTGAGATTAAGAGTTGTATTTGGAAAACATTTTTAAAATGAAATTTAAATGTTTCATTTTTAAAATGAAATTTAAATTTTGAAAATTTTTTGATACATTTCTGTTTTTGCTAAATCATATCAGATGAAACCTTAAGTTAACAGATAGGACCAGATTTTGGTGTGCCTGTAAATGTATTTCTATTATCATTTGTGTCTTATTATACATATTTTCTACTTTTCAAAATCTTCAAAATCAATAAATAAATTGCACACCTCCTAGTCATTCTAGGGACACTTTTAAGATCTTTCTGATCTTTTATAATATTGTTTCCTCATCAAAAACATACCCGGAGTTGTGTTTTGTTTCATTCACATGTTTAACACAGAAATCTGTCAGTTCTTCTCTCAAACAGGAAACACTCTGTTTGTCCTTGTGATGTCATGTGGAAATACAGGAAGTGCTCCACTATGTTTTTAAATTCCAGTTGCCTTCACTAGAATCATTTGAAAAAATTCAGCCCTCCAATTGTCAAATGTATCTTTTGGTCTTTGGAAATGACAGACTAATAATAAAGAGTTACTCAAAAATGTGTGAATGAAACAACTCTGGGTATGTTTTTGATGCGGTAATAGCATCATAACATGACTTAAAGCTCACAAGAATCCATTTTGTGTAACATAGGACCTTTAAAGTCAATTCATATTTACAGATAGTAAAAAGCTTGATGATATAGTTTTACAATACAAACACATATTTTCAGTCTGTTGAGGATGTTTCATAGTTATTTTACCTGAAATGAAAGAACACAGGGCAGAGAGCAGAAGTTTCTGATTGAGGTATCGGACATGGCCAAATGATACGAGGGGACAGTGATCTTCATACAAGTGTCACAGCTCAAACGCACTCCTGAAGAAAAGTCAGAGCTTGAGTTGAATTATGCAGTACCTCATTTTGTTACATAGACCTGCAAGATTATTATCTATTAATAATTATCTAATCAAAATAGTCTTATTATGCATAACTCTAGATCTGTACAAACATGTTCTGAAAAATGATTCTTGTATTAGTTTGTCTGTTCAAATTTCAATGTTTTTGTACATTCTTCTGAACGTGTTTAAAATAAGAACTTTGAACAGAATCCTATAATTAAAATATAAATAAATCACAATTCAAATGGCAGTGCTTTTCACAAAAAAAGAAAAAAGCTAGGTTTCTACTGTATTTTACAAACTCTTGGTCAGTCAAGTTCTCTACATCACAACTCACACATAAAAAGACCAATGAACAGATACAAAAGGAATCAAACTGCCAACCAGTGGCATAGTGGGATAGTAGGACTCACATAATACTACTTCATCTCACTGAAACGTCAGCATATAAAGATGAATAAATGAATGTGAATAGAGTGGCTTGAGTGGCCAATGTCTCTTATAAAACTATGCCTTATTTAACAACAGTCTCTTGCTATTTGTGTCACTTATTTAGAATTTATCATTACCAATTATATTTTTGCTCTTTATTATTATATTTTGTTGTGATGTGTGAGATACTGTGTCCAAGTAATTTTCCTTGTGGACCAATAAAGTTTATCTAAGTCTAAACATGATCTTTCACCTGAGGTGCTGACGGTCTGGACTTTGTAGGCCATGATGCAGCTGGTGCTACAGAAGAGGTTGACTGAGTTGTCCGGGTTTGTGTTCTCCACCATCTCCGACATCAGGCGATGAGAGCGGCACATCGTACAAAATGAACTTGACTGGTTTTTCTGGCAAAGAAGGTGGTAAAATTATAGATAGATAAAGAAGTGGACTACAGAAAAGCGACGTTAACTGAAGCTCACAAAGCTAGCAGTTATTGGAGCAAATTTGGGTTCTATATTAGGAATAGGGATTAATTTAAAGGACATAATGGAGAAATAAATACACAGGATCACATACAGTGGGTTAATGTGAACATTTTAAGACCAAATGATGAGGTTCACTGCGGCAGTTACAGAGAGAGGGGTGACAATTTTTTAAAAGATTTTTAAGTCAGAAGCATGCCCATGTTCATTTCCTATTTAGGATGCAGCAGCTAGTGGGTTAGCTATGTCCATTTATACAGTCTATGGGTAAAATAGAAAAACAATGCATTATGGTGTGCTATGCCTAGAGTTTAAAGGTGCACTTTGGAAGATTTCTGGGGGAGTAACCTGCTTGTCTCCATGGAGATAGATAAGCCATACTGTTAAACTTATCAGAAAAAACTTCAGACTCTCCATCAGAAAACTTTCATAGAGCATCTGATTTATTGATACCATAGTATTGAAAAATACTCATATTTTGAAATCTGTTTGCCAGTAAAAGAAAAACTAAAAATGGTTAATAGACAGGTCTCATTATAATTAAGTAAAAAAATATGTAAATGAGCAAAACTTGTATATAGCCGAGATGCATTTTATTATTATGTTTCTCTATTTTATGTTTATTTGTACAGGTACATTTGTATAATTACACCTCATTTGACATCAGTCTCTTGCTATTTTTGTATTATTATTTTGAATTTATTATTACCAGTTATATTTTTGCCCCTCTCAGGCTCAAATTTAGTTTCAGTAACAGGAAAAATCTGATATTTAGGGAAAATTATCATATGGGGTAGTAATATACAATCCTGACTTTTTTGAGCGAGACCTTCACATGCAATGCGTTCTGGGATGTTGCAGATATGCAACATTGGCCCGGTGTGGTAAATTAACACTGAAGACTGAATATGATATGAACACTAACTTTATTTGTATACCGCTTTTCAAAATAATGTTTCAAAGTGCTTTACAGTGGCAGAACAACAATAAAAACAACTTGGTATAGATCACTATTTTGTGTGGTACAACAAGAAACAATTTTTTTCCTTTGTTAAGCACAAAAGTACTTTGCACTTCAGGCAGGCCGTTTCCATGTAGCCATTCTTGCACAGTCTGCATCGTCCACGTTTATCAGCATGGATGGGAAAATTATCAAATCTGTCTAGTCTGACGACATCCCATGGCACAATGATCCTCTGAAGTGGAGGTGAAGGTTGGGCAGCTTGATGGGAGTTCTGGAGCATCTTCCAATGACAGTCGTCCTCTTTTCCTGCTGTTCAATTCAGCCTGTTTTCCAACCTTGATGAGGACATCTGCAACTTGAGCACAGAAGTCAAGAAGTGGCATATACTTCTTCTCCTGCTTCAGGGTAAGATGACGGCAATAGAGGAGCCAGCCATCGACCAGTGATAGGTCAATCAAATAGAACAAAATGCGCAGATACCAACGACGTGGGCGGATGTCAATGCAATATAGAGCTGCAAACATGTCCGCAAAGTCTACTCCTCCCATGTTGCTGTTGTACACCTTGACAATGTGTGGTCTGTCCACTTCCACATATTCCTTTCTTCTCTTTCAGCCACCTTCTGCATCTATCAACAGGATCAGGGCCAATGAAGGATGACACCAGTAACACTACCTTGTCATCATACCACTTCACGAAGGCCATCCCACTTGTCATTTCGTATTTCACTTCATACGCACCACTCCCAGCCTTTGACAGGTCCTTGTCACTTTTGAGGGTACATCCGGGGAGACGGTTACAATTGATAGTAGCAACTGTTAGAATTCCCATTTTCTCCAGTTCCACAATGAGTTCAGGGGAAGTAAACTGGTTGTCAAAGTAGCACTTGTAGTTTAGTTCTTTTGGAACTTCTGATACGAGACGAAGCACAACTTCACCGGCAACACCAAGTCCACGCTCATTGGTCACAGTCCCTTTTCCAGTGTATATTTCAAAGTCATAGACTAGTCCAGTGACACCTGTTCGAGTAAAAACTTTGATTCCCCATTTTTTCGGCTTGTTCTTGATATACTGTTTCATTCCAATCTTCCCTTTTGAAGGGGATCATCTGCTCATCAATGGTGTGGTTTTCTTCCAGTTCAACTTTCAAACAGTTGGCACGGACTTTCTCAAGTACTGGTCGCACCTTGAACAATAGATCGTATCCAGGCTCACCCTTTTGCTTCACATTGGTATTGTCGTTCATGTGGATGTATGTTCGCAAATGATCAAATCGCTTACGTCCGATGACTGTTGCAATTGGGTCATAGCGTGTTGCCGTCTGCCAGTACAGGCGGTACGATGGCATACGTACTACGGTCATCAAGATGTGTAAACCAACGAATTGCTCCATTTTAGATGGGGTTGTTTTCAGTTCTAGCCCATTCTTCATAACTGCATACAGGTTAGATTGGTGAGAAATATGTTCGAACACGGATTTGTCCATGAATTGATCAAAATACCACTTTGGACTTGGTATTTTGTCTGGTGGAGGTGAGAACGCAGGTCCTTGGAAAGAAGAGTCTATGTCTGCTGCTGGGGGTTTCCTCTGCCTCTTTGTTTACTGAAGCTGGGCCTGGCTGAGGTTCATCATCTGGGACCTCAATGTCACTGTCTGCTTATATGTTATGAATATCAACATCAAGGTGGTTGGGATTAGCTCTTTCTTATTACTGCCAGTGGCTCATCATCAACAAGGTCAGACTCGTATACTTCAGGAGCTAAATCTGGATCGCCAATTTCATTGTCTGAAATGGATTCTGTGTCAGATAAAGCCCCATGTGGAAGGCAAACCATCTCAATGGCTTCCCTGACTGAAAATCTTCATTGGCCTGCATAACGCTCTGCAATTCCTGCAAAGAGAGTGTCCTGTAAGATAGTTTGCCAAAAAAAAAGCTCAGTCAAACAAAGATCTATATTATTATATGTGCCACGGCATTTAGACTACATCAGTTTTCCTCAGTGCACAGTCAAATGAACATCATATATGCCACTGCTTTTTTCAAATCTACTTCTGATAGTTTGTAACTTCAGTCCAAATTATTTCATTTTCCATAGGCTATAACCTCAATGAAACCTCAAAGTACTAAGTAAACAATGGTGACAGGAAAATAACCCTAGTATAAACTGTTGTTCAAAATATGGGCAAACTAGTAGATAAAGCATGTGGCATCCACTGGTACCTGTCCGACCATACGTTGCAAATCTGCAACATAGAAATAGAGCTGCCCCTGGGAAAAAATCTGGAAGAGATAAAATCTACTAATTGGCATGTACTGTATCTATATATATTCATGATTTATCTTATGCAGTTTTGGTTTCATATTAATGGAGGCTGGTAGTGATACTTACATGAACTTGATGCTTAGAAAATCCGTTTCAGTGAAACCAAGCGGGCAGACATGTTGGAAGAGAGACAGCGCTGCCATCTGGTAAGCAATTGGGAAACTGTTGCTAATGCACAACTAAGTCCTGCAGTGGTACTCCTGAGTAAAAAAGACTCATAAAACATGGATGTGGAGTAATTAGGTAATAGACATTTAGCTGTTGCAAATCTGCAACGCCTGCCTGGAGAGGGTTTTAATATTACATTATATTATATTATGATGTGTAAGCTACTGTCTTCAAATAATTTCCCTTGTGCATCAAACAACTTTGTCTAAATCTAAAACTTAAAAACTAGAAATATGTGTTGGTGATTTGACAAGTAAAGTGACTTAACCACAGTCTTTTAAAAATACCTCTTTGTATTTGGTGAGGCAGTCCTGGTTGCAGAGGGTCTTGTTGCCGTCACTGAGGATGAGGAGAAGCGGTTTGGTGCTGAAAAAGGATCCACACTGGACACAGCCGGACATCGTCAGTTTATTTGTCGTCCGAAACGTTTGAAAACAGTCATCGCTGCAGAGTTTGTGCAAGATTCCACATAGAGACACCTCATGCTTACTCTGAAAATAAAAAACACACGAAAGTGCAATATGTAAACTTTATATTCAGCTACGTAGTGACTTGAACTGACAAGGATGCAAGCCACAGTTGTATTCCTTTCACATTAAAAAGCTATTTTTCAATACTTTGATGGTCCTAAAAATACAGCAAGTCATTATTCAATAGAAATTCCAGTTCAAATGTGTCTTTTGAAAAGGTGCATTGTGTAACTTTTCTGTAACCAAAAAGTTACAGAGTGCACCTTTAAAGTTTAGTTCAATCCAATGTCAGGTGACTGCTGAAAATCAACAAAAATATATCTAAAAATTTTAAAAATATCTGTCCCTTTTGTTACGTTCCACAGCAGTAAAACGAGCTTGGGTTTTATCTCAAGCGCTGCTTTCGTACTCACAGCGGCATAGCGACTGCACATGCTGCAGAGTGCCTCTGTAGAGGCTGAGGTTGAAGGTCGTGCAGTGGGGAGTTTTTTAAATGAGAAGAGGCACTTCTGGCTGCAGAAGTTCTTCACCACTCCCAAAGAATCAGGACAGACGACCATTTCGTGAGGCCGTTCAATCACCCTGCAAATACAAAAAATATATATTTTTATTCATGTACGGATTTGTTAGATTGGGACAGTACATGTTAATGAATTGCCATTATACATGCGGTAAACTTGTAAGATTTTAACCCTCACAAACATGCTCCGAACATGCTCTCATTCTGTACATCAACACTGGAGGCGAATTAGGTTAAGCATTTTGCCCAATGACATAGCAGAAGAATTCAATAGTACAAAGTGGCCCCATAATAACTGCACATACACAAAAATAATGAATGTGACCAAATAGTCATTCACAAATACAAGAGAAAAGGCATTATTATGCTCTATTTAAAGGTCCTATATTACGCAAAATTGATTCTTTATGACATGTTATAATAATAATGTTATCTCCTCAAAAACATACCTGGAATTGTGCTTTGTTTCATTCACACATTTGAGAAACCTTTTAGTTTTAGTCTGTCTATATCTCCAAAGCTTAAAATGCTGCTCCATCTTGTGATGTAAGGAAGTGATAGTTTAAGTTAACAGCTACCTTTTACCTTTTGTTAGAAGAAATTGACCATTTCAAGGCTAAAACCATCCAAATGATTCTAGTGAAGGTGTGTGGAGTTTAAAACATAGTGGAGCACTTTCTGTATTACCACATGACATCACAAGGTGGACCAGAGTGTTTTCAGTCTGAGTGTAAAACTTAAAAATGACAGTATGTGCGTTAAACATGTGTCAATGAAAGAAAACAACTCCAGGTATGTTTGATGAGGAAACAGCAGTAAAACAGATCAGAACGTAGTACAATATGGGACATTTGAAGATCTTAGCCACAAACTGTATTACCACATTATGCAACCCCATTACACAGTGAACATTGAGCTGGACTAACTTGCGACACTGGTGGCACATCCGATCATTCTTCTTGAGGTTGGCGGTGAGGCAGCTGGTGGAGCAGTACACAGATGGGCAGCCCTTCCTCTGAAACGCTGTCTGACCCTTCACCAAAGCCTTTTTACACCTGGAGCATGACATGTGACCTGAAGGAGGCTGCGCAGGCTTCTCCGGGGGAACAGAGAAAACTGCACCAATCTGTAGGTCATTCTGTTAAAACACCAAAAAAATTGTCAGTTCAAGTAATAGATGAATTCATTTCAGACACCCCAAGCCACGCAGTTCGTTCTTGTGATATGGAGTAGGGATGCACCAATCTGATGCTGGTATCAAATACTGGAGCAAATACTGAAATTTTTTGCTGAAAAAGCTGGTGCATCCCCAATATGAAGGAATAAGTGTCAACATAAATTCAAGAAATGTGGAAATGTTCAGAATCAATGATGAAGATAAAAACTGAAATATGCAGAAGTTGGAGCAAGATTGTTTGAGAGGAGGAAATGTGGATGATGGGGTTGGTTGCAATGGAAACTAGGGCTGAACAATATACTAAATATACAATTGCAATTTTTCTGAAACGCATTGTGATTAAAGGTCAAGGGTTAAGAATCAAGATTACCCAATGGCTCGCCATTTTTGTGAGAATCATAATAGCAATGACACTCTGCTTCGTATTGAGGGTATTGAACATGTGAAACCACTGGCAAGAGGTGGAGACAGACTTCAAAAATTAAATCAAAGAGAAGCTTTCTGGATTCATAAACTGAGAGCATGTGAACATCCAGGTTTAAATGAGGACTTTTATCTGTCCTGTTTTTTATAATTGTTTTTTATAATATATTTTTTCTTATAATATAAGATTTAATAATGTTTTTTATTAATGTTGCATTTACAACCACTGTAGGCTGATTCTTTATGTATATTATTTGTTATTATTGATAAGGATGGCAATAAAATATAATTAATGATAAAATTACACTAATATAATATAAATATTATAAAATATATGTGTGTGTGTATATATATATATATATATATATATATATATATTAAAAAATTATGATCTAGACTATAAATATTAAAAAAATATTAATTTTATTTTTAATAAATTATTGGTAACAGTAATAATGGGAACCTTATGGTTATGATTTATTATTATTTTTTTATTTTATTTTTTGCCTGTACCATGTCCTGATTTTGTGCACCTGTTTTGTCTGCCTCCAATTTACTCCAGTCTTGCTATTGGTTGATGTGTTCTATTTGAAGGCCACACCTATGCCTTGTTCTTAATTAAGCCCTGATGAAGACCAGTTGAGGTCGAAACATGTTGGCTTTGGCCATTCAAATAAAGGCCTTTTAATTATATTTTTCCTCGTGCGATGTGTTTACTTTTTCTACTGTTTTGGAGTGCCTGGAATCCGTTGTGTCTTGAGTCTTAATCCTTTTTTCCAAGAGCACCCTCTTTGCTCCTACTGATTGGAACACCTGTAGCAAACAGCCACATTTTTGGTCTTTCTGCATTGTGATTAAATTTGCGTTTTTTGTTTTAATGAGATTCGGTTCAAAGTTCACATTTTGAACACAGATAGAAGAATTGCCAAAAAGACAAAAATATGAATGACAAAAGATAAGAATCACATTTCAGAACATGTTTGTACAGTTCTAAACTGCAGGGCTAGCAGTTTTTAAGCAGAGTAAGGGAATATTTGTCATTTGTGGAGAAAATTGTGATGCAGCCTTTTAAATGGCAATTGCAACCGTAATAGAAATAGGAAAACGTAGTGATTTTTATATTAAAGATAATGGAGAGAATAAACACACCTTTGGGGATTCCTCTTCGTCTTTCACAGTGGTGGAGGAATTCAGGGCTCGGTCGTACTCTTCATCCAGAGGCTCATCCTTCACTTGGACCAGAGCTGGAGACGAACTTTCTGACTCAACCAACGTTTTTTCCTACATTAAACAACACAAGTAAAAAAAATGATTAAAAAAGCTTTATTAATAACATTATAATTTAATGGTTAGAGTTCTTGACATTTTAACTGCAAATTAAGAGTACGATATAATAATACATAATAAATTATTATCAATAACAAAAATGTGGCGGAACACTTGGCACTGACACAATCACTCTAAAGCAAGGGTTCTTAACCTTTTTTAAATCTTGGGCCCAAGTTTTTCTGAACAAAGTAACCTAGGGCCCCATCTCATATTAAATGCATTATATTGTGGGGTCTCCAAGGAGGTGGTCCCTAAGGATAAGAATCACTGCTCTAAAGCATTATTAATTCAATAAATAAATAAATAAATAATCCTAAGAAACCCTTAAGTAGTTAATCTATACAGTATATCGTCTATAGTCTGTTGAGATATGTTTTGGGTTTTTTTTAATGTTGAAAAATTGTTATCAACTAACCAATGAATTTAGTAATTATCGTGTTAGGGCTAAAGTTTATAATATTAGGTCTAACTGAATAATGTAAAATATTTAACGGAAAATAAGATAAGAGAAAAGGTGTACATATTTTGGAGACAGATTACTTACTTTTGTGCCATTGACTAGGGTGGAAGGTGAAGAACTCCCTAAAAGATAAAATATACATTAAAATTATATTTTTTAAAAACTTATTTATGCACATTTGTCAGTTATGTGAATGACACAACATCAAACTTTTACCTGTGTTGGACAAAGCTGGTGACTGGCTAATGTTCATATCCATTGTATTTTCTTCCTCTTTTATTTGTGCCTCTTGTTCCTCTTGGTCGACTGTCCCAATGTCCATGAGCTCATCCAGGGCGTATGAAGAAGTAGCTGCTAAATTTCCACTTAAACTTCCCTCTGGTGGTTTAATGTCATCCTCCTCTGAAGAGAAATTATTCTCATCCTGAACAGGAGAATTTTGATCCTCTAACTTTATCTCCTCTGTTTTCACTTGTTTGGTCTCATCACTGGCCTTTGGATTTTTCCTCCATTTGGTCCACACCTATCTGGTCTGTTACCTGCAGAAAAAAATGACAATGTGATAGATGATCAGTTTTTAATTCACATTTTTTCTTCCAAAACAACATATCATTGTTCATCTCTTGCTCCTTGCGTGCATGCTGGTACTATTCTTACTTTCCATTTTCAATAATAAATGCCTTTGAAGGTGCACTATGTATTTTTGCCCCCACTGGCTCAGGCTTTATGGAGATATTGCTTTGGTAGTTATTTTTTTATTGTTAAAGTATACTGAATAACAAGCCACTCTTACTGTGAAAAGGGTTGTCACATATCTGACCTGCAACTTTGTCTTAAATATTCCCTCCATGGAGACAAAAGGGGTTTAAAGCCATACCATAGGGAATATTGTAGAAACAAGAAAAGTCTACCGTAAGTAGGTGATGAAAAAGTACCACGGGGCACCTTTAACCACACGCGCTTATCATTGGTCAGTGCACGTGTGTGGCAATAACAAGAATTGTAACTACAATATAATGCAGTATTATGAATGTGCGTTGTTAAAAGCAAAGGGGAAAACATTAAAAGACACATGTTACGTTACAGTCACGGGACATGGTAGCAGCGTTAGCTTTTTTAGCTTTTGGGCGTAAACACAAAGCGAGTCCAGATGCAGCGAATGTTTCGTTAAAGCAATGTAGCCTTACGCAAATGATCAAACTCACGCATAGATAGATAACTGTTGCCATTTATTGCTGAATAAACAATAACAACAAAAGGTTTAGGGTGTTACCTTCAACTGAGCCACTTCAGTGATTTCAGCCATGCCTTGTTGATAGCACTAGTTACCTGTAAACACTAGCTGCAGGTTGCTAAGCTAACATTAGCAGACCCATAAACATACTGGGCCCGCGGGTTAAATCAGAATATAGCACTGCGTTCAACTGACCAATGCACCCACAGAGCTACAATGGCATTATGATTGGACTGAAAATAACAACTGCACATTAACACACATGTAACATCCCTCTAAAGACTGTCCACAGCTGGATCAGCGTGCAGGTTTACCGCGCAGGGGCTGGGACTGATTACAAGCATCAACACAGAGCCACAGGTGCCGTGCAGCTCCGTATCCTGCTCCAGAGACTTCAAATTCACCGGAGCCTAGTACTTTTGTAAAACTGCGTCCAACTCATTAATAAATGTGCATTTATTTGTTCAGTTTTTCAGTTTCTGGAAAAAAAAAAAAAAAAAAAAGTTGCTCTTCCTCGCTGGGGTCTGAAGGTAGTCTTTGTGATCCACTGCGCTCCTGTGCGCCTCCACTAGGTGTAGCTGTTCACTGCAACATTGCAAAATATATTAAGATGTGTTTCTCAACATATCAAACTAAAACAGCAACAGTTTTGTTCATGCCATGGATATATTTCATTACAACAACTACAATGTCATCCCACAATGCATTGCTCAAAAAGGTAAAAAACTGATTTATTCTAGAAAATGTAGAAAATGTCAAACACTACAATAACAATATTTTTGACACAGACTTTAGTTGTAGTATATTAGTATATAGGTCTATTTGTATAGTCTAGTATGTTTTTTACTGTGGCATCTGAGTCTACATGGCTGTAACGTGATAAATACAGAGCCTGGCTCCTGTAGCATCGCAAGCTTCATTTTTTTTTTTTCCCCACTGAAAATAAATAAATACAAATTATGCATTAAATAACAAACAATACTGGAACAGGGCGAGACAGAGGTCATGACAGGGGAGGTGTAGGGTAGCCAAAGGTCACACATATGCAAAGTTCACATTTAAATAAAATAAAAACTAATTAGAAATTAAACAGCTTAAAAATTTTCCAGGTTTAACCACTTTGGAATTGGATGAGAAGAGGATGGTTCTCTTATAGTATTGCTTTTCGGACAGGAAAATGGAGAAGAACATTTGTAAATATGAAATTTTGCCAGGATGATTAAAACATTAATTGTATTGTTTACTTTTCATGTGATGCAATTTGCAAAAACCAAACAGCATATCTTTAAAAGAAAGGGTAAAATGAGACATAAAGTTGTGTATATGTTTCACGAATTCCTTCCAAAAAAGCAGTCTGGGCAGGTCCAAAATAAATGAGAGACGGTTTAATTTTTTTATTTCACAGAATGTACAATTTGTGTCCATTGTCCTTCTAAGATTATTCTTCACCAGATATCAATGATGTAGAAGTTTATATCAGATTTCCATTTGCTTATTGGTGATGAGATACTTGTGTGGTAATGTCCATACATTTTTCCATGGAATAAGTTTCTCCAGTTGTGAATCACATATGGGAGTTTAGCTATATTTCTTAGAAAAAAAGTCTCTTATTTTCCTGTCTTTGTTTAATTAAGATCACACTGAAGCCACTGATTGAATCTTTTTTAGTCTCATCAATAATAGGGTTAAAGTTCAATTCACTTTGCTCTCTTTCTCCTTTAGCAATTACAATGCCTAAATATGTAACTGTTGATTTAACAGGAATATTGTATATTACTGATTCACTACACTCTTTCAGTGGCAACAATTCACATTTCTCTAAATTCAATGACAAACCAGAAGCTATCTATTGCCTTAAGGATTTGAGCTGCATCCTTCAAAAAGAGTGTAGTGTCATCTGCCATCTGACTTATCATAATGTCTCAGTTGGCAACCCTGTCTGCTACTTTCTAAAAGAAAGGTGGCTAAAAGTTGAGCTGCTAGCAAAAATAGATACACTTATCTACTTGGAGTACTACACAGAGCACTTTCAAGCGAGGAGAGGTGCCATATTTAACCCAGATGGAGGAGTTGCCATTACAGTACAGGGTTTGACCTACTTTTATATAAAGACACCCAAAGCCAAATTTGAGTAGTGATTGGTAAATTAATTGATGTTCCAGTGTATCAAACGTTTTGTAAAGGTCCGCTTCATTTGAGTGGCACTGAACACTACAGGTGACGTCACACTTGTGTAGTCCACTCTTTATAGGGTCTGTGAGGGGAGTCTGTGAGGGGAGTCTGTGAGGGGAGTCTGTGAGGGGAGTCTGTGAGGGGAGTCTGTGAGGGGAGTCTGTGAGGGGAGTCCGTGCCATGGATCTATAAAACACTACCTGCCTATACACAATAAGTTCAGCTTTTGTTTCATCAGTCTACAGAATATTTTCCCAGGCACTCTGGAGATCATCAAGATGTTTTTTGGCAAAAGTGAGATGAGCCATAATGTTCTTTTTTGTCAGCTATGGCTTTCGCCTTGGTTGGAGCACAGCAGCTAAAAGCTCTGTTCATTTATATGTACAGTTTACAGGTCAACAGGTAACTAGGGCTATCAACAAGGCAGGGCTGAAATCACCCAAGTGGTATAGTTGAAGGTAACACCCTAAACCTTACGTTGTTATTGTTTATGTAGCAATAAATGGTAACAGTTATCTTTGCGTGAGTTTGATTATTTGAATCAGGTTACATTGCTTTAAGAAAACATTAGCTGCATTTGCGTTTACCCCCAAAAGCTCTTAAAGCTAACGCTGCTACCATGCAGCAATACTGCCATGCATGACATTTTTGCCTAGTCTCATCTTATGGTTGAGTCATGAACACTGACCTTTACTGAGGCAAGTGAAGCCTGCAGTTTTGTAGATGTTGTTCTGGGTTCCTTTGTGACTTCTTGCATCAGTAGTAGTTGCTGTGCTCTTGGTTTTGTAGGTCGGCGACTCCGAGGACTGTTCACCACTGACTGTACCTGATGGTCAGTTTTCTTCAGAGTAAGTGCTGACTCCTCTCTTATACAAAACGTATAAGTGAGGTAGTTGAATTTTATGACCTTATACTGTACATGTGATCAATTATGCAATGACTTATTAGGGTAAACTGCATTTATTAGTATGAGTCCATTTAATAAGCTACTACACCAAATAGGTTTACACATGAGGCATTGAAGGAATCTGAATAATAATGATAAACTTGTACATAACATTTTTAATACTGATGCATTTCTTTATTAGTTTGTATTTCCAAGTTATTTTGTGTTCTTAAAACTTCATATTAGTATCAGAGCTTTGTAAGGCAGCCTCCTGAGTCCTTGCATGTCTGTATCCCACTTTGCTCATGAATATAAATGTCTTGACCCAAATGTCAGCCTAAGCCCCAATTGTTGCAATAGGCGTGATCTACTGTCCTCAGGGGCTCTAGAGTCTCAGTGTTTAAAGTCTCAGTGTGATAACAAGTCAGAATATTTTATCATAAAGCATAAGATTCGTGTTCTTCATGTCATGTTTTGACTGATTTCCAAATGACACCGGCCACCCTTGTCATTTATAAACTTGTATAAAACTAACATATAGCGTAAACTGTGACTATGAGCATGGCACCTCTTTATTCTTACCTGGGGTGCAGGTAGAGCAGTTTTCTTCAAAACCGATCTCTTCTTCTGTCTTGGGCCTGAAGGAACATAATCGTCGTCACTGAAGTGCGCACTGCACACCCGAAGAGTTTTTACCTTTTTACATTTGGTTTCCAAATTCAAGCCTAACGCAAGAAGCCAAAGTCGCCTCAGAGCAACGTCCGTGACTGGAAAACGGTGAAATTTGTTCGGATATTCAGCCAGATTTTTGTTGTTACAGCCTGGGTAATCACAAGTCCGCACCATTTTTATATATGTTCTTGAATAGCTTATACTTATCTCTCTAGCTCTCACGTTAGCTCTCACGTGTAAACACTGAGCATGTAAACACTGCCAAACACCTGAAAAAAGTGTTGAACGCGTGCGCGGCTGTCAGCTGACGGCAGCGCGCAGTGATACGAACGGAGAGAAAATAGCGCCAAGCGATTATGAGGTCTGAGCATGGATCTATTAAAATAGATCGTTTCTGAGTTTTTTGGTGAAAACGTTTTTGTGATGCAAATGTCTCACTCCTTTGAACACATATTGTTTTGAGAAGAAAAACGCTTTATTTTCGTGACCCCAGCCAACTTGCCGGATTACTTTAGTAAGCACAAAAACCGGGCAGGAACTCGGCTCACCGGACTGGACTGTCGGGGTAAGTAGTGTTGATGCATGACACTGCGGACGGCGATGCCATACAGAATCATGTCAAAAAACCCATACTATCGCTTTATCTCTTGACCTACTTTTACACACAGGATAGGTTTGGATAGTATTTTTCTCTTAACAAATAAAATAATCATAGAAAAACAGCATTTTATTTCTTGGGTTATCTTGGTTTAATATTTAAATGTGTTTGATGATTTGAAACAGTTAAGTATGACACACAAAAGGAAAGGGGGCAAATTTTTCACAGCACTGTAACGTTTTTTGGCTACATAATTCCATATATCTTCATATATTTGATGTCTTCTGTATGTAAATAAAATGTAGAAAGTAGTAAACAGTAATACAGTAATATATATGTATATATATGTGTGTGTGTGTGTGTAAAAGTTTTAGTTCATACTTCTAACTTCTGTTGAAGACAATGGACTTGTAAATAATTCAATAATTCTTTTGTCCAGCGATGACAGGAGTACAGGAGTAGCTGCTAAAGGAAGAAAACAAAATTAGAAGATCTATTTTCAATGGATACTGGTAATAATAGCTGTAAAAGAAAACTCTCACCTGGGATTAGGCTAAGAGCTAACTCCAAGATAGAAAAAAATCTCTTCAACACTACCTGTTGGCATATTAAATTGTAATGTATAAAATTAAAGTTGAAGATGTTATATAAAAATAGATTTATTATTGGTAACACGTTAAGATGCATATTACAGAAATAACACAGGTTTAAGGACTTTATATGATGAGAAAAGCCAAAATACTGAGTAATTATTAACACTGTAGAAATGCTTAAAAATGTTCAGATTTATTTACAACGAACATTTCAGTATCTTCTATGAAGCTGAAGATGCAAAATTCAAATTAAAGTGTGCATAACAAGTTAGACTACTCAGTTCTCTAAAACATAGCTAACATCATAGATTTAAAGGGCCTGTATTACCCTGTTTTGTGATCTGTTTTGTTTTGTGATCTATTTTGTGATCTGTTATAATGTTGTTTCCTCATCACAAACATAACCGGAATTGTGTCACACAAGTTTAACACACAGCCCCTGCATATTTATGTTGAGTTCTTCTCTCAAACTGAAAAAATACTTTGTGATGTCATCTGGTAATACAGGAATTGCTCCACTGTGTTTTTAAACTCCAAACACCTTCAGTAGAATCATTTGGATCATTTCTGCCATGGGAATTCCAATATGATTTCTGATACTGAACTTGAAAACTATCACTACATGACATCACAAGGTGGAACTTTGGAGATGTAGACAGACTAATGATAAAGGGTTGTTCAAACGTGTGAGTAAAACAAAGCACAACTCCAGGTATGTTTTGGATGAGGTATCATGGCTTAAAGCTCAAAAGAGTCAATTTTGCACAATATATGACAAACACCTTTATTTTGTTAAATTATGTATTCCTTGCTTGTAAATTGCCTTCACATTTTGAATGGAATTAATGGTAGCGGGATTTCATTTTATAACTCTCTGCTACTTTCTATATTTTCCAACTTTGTGTTTCTATTTTTCTTCACAAACTGCTGGTGTAAACTTGTAATGACTATTTACATCAGGTATTATCCCACCTAACCAAGTAATAATTAGAAAAATATATTAATCTGTCAAGTGCACTTTAAGGTGGTTTGGGCATGCACAGAAGAGCTAAAGCTATAGCTCCATCAATCAAGGCAGCTGTGGCTCCAGTTTTTCTGGTTGCAGTGCAGCGCTACAGTCTGTGGCCCCGCCTGTTGGAGCTTGAGAGAACTCATCTTATGGTCCAGCTCATCCATGAAGCCCTCATCCACAGACTCGCTGTCCTCTCCCTCAGCTTCAGAGGGCAGAAACACATGGAGGTGGGGCCTGGAGGGTCCTGAGACTGCAGCAGGAGTGGGGCGGGGAGTACACACAGGGAGGCAGGTTTTACCCACCACAGAGAGGGACTCGGACAGAGGAGAGACCTGAGAGTACACAGGGAAAGGTTTATTTTAAAAAGCTGTCCAAATGCACATTCTTCGACCTGTGACTGATATCATATTATATTAATCATATTTGAGCACACACACACACCAAAGACATGTAGTCAAATATATGTCAGATATTTTTTTTCTACACTCTCCATCCCACTAAACAAAATCAACACATCATTATTAATACTAATGCTATACACATAAATACAATGAAATATATGTGTAAACATATGATACTGCGGGCGTGGACAATTCTTTTTTTTGTTTGGGTCCAAGGATGGAGTAAAGGGCTGACCCTGATCATTGTGGAATGTGGGCTGTTGTAACCTATTACTGATTTAGACAATATGAAAGAATTTCACTTTAGATAATCACATTTCTTCAAACTATAATCACACAAATGTTACTTTACTTGTGAGGCCGCAGTTCTGAACTCGGAGGAGACTGTATGTGAATGTCGTCTCTTGGCTTTAGTTTTGAGGCTGGGCTGGATGGACCTGGAAAAGTGCAGGTAGAGGGGTCTGGAGGTGCCCTGGGGGTGGGAGTGGTCCTGGGGCAGAGGTGGGGGTGGGTTGGGGCTGAGAGTGGAGGGTTTTATAAAAGAGGAGGAGACAGGGGCACGTTTATGGAGCAAGTTGGGACCACAGGCACAAGACAGACCCCCAAATAAAACACTGTCATTGTGAGGGAACAGAGAGGGCTCACTGAGGCTGTGGAGAGACAACAAACAGGTACATTGTAAATTTGGACTGTTCCAGACTAAGGTTAGATTCTGATCAATGCTGTAATTCAAATTAAATAATCACATAAATAGGGCATAATAGGCAGTTTTCTGAATTTGTATAAGACCATATGGTAATACAGTAATAAAGTGTAAATAATATTCATTGTGGTTGACCTGTCAAAATTGCTATCAAATACCGAGCCCCCTTCTTATCATTACAGTACTATTACAGACTAGTTTAAAGTATGATGTCTATGCATTCACAGGACTGACTTAATTGTCCCTACACCTGTAGACAAAAACAATAACATTACACTGTATTTGTATTCACCTTTGTGGTTAAGTCGTTTCTAAAAGCACAGCTGCCCCAAGCTTGACTGATGGAAACATGGCTGCCAATCTGCGCCAGTAGCCTCTATGAGCATTACTAATCATATGCAAACACTATTCATACTTAGACAAGTTGAGTAAAGTGTCTTGCCCAAGAACACAACAGTAGTATGCACTGGTTGGAGCTAGGAATGAACTGCCTACAACTGAGAGTGATCGAAAGATGTGGTACATTCTGGCAAAAACAACTGCGTTTTTATGGAGACAAAACTGATGGCCTCTTCACTAAAAAAGTGACATTTAATTGAATAATGTAAAATTTTAGAGTGTTCTGAGCAACCAGCTCAAAAAAAACAAAACAATATAGAATACAGTGGCAAGGAAAATATTGGCACTATTTTTTTTTTTATTTGTTAAGGTTATAGTGGTTATATTTTTAAATCAGAAAGTGTGCCACTACTCAAAATGGTTTAAAAATACTGGCTTAAGGTACTTTACATCTAATTTGTATTCAAGATGCATAAATCTATAGTTTGTAATTGTCCTGATGTGGTCCTGATTGGCAGCGTTATTGCTGATAATTTGTGATGGTTATTTAACACTGTGTGTTCTGGGTGAGAGGAGTCCATCAAATAGTCATGTGTGAGTGAGGGAGGTGTTCTCTCTGGTTTCAGGCCGAGTTCAGCCAACGTGCACCGCTGTCCGCTTCACCTGCACCGGATCAGGTTCAGTTTCAGACTTGAGATTTGCTCTGGGCCTCGGTGCTCACAGCTCCCAAATGCTACATAATCCTATCAAACTATGACTTCAACAGGAAACTCTCACACTGTAATTCCAGACGGTGAAAAGTGACAACCACTCTCACTGAAATGAAGAGATGAGAGATATTGAGCACTAACCATGCAAAAACAATTGTATATCTATTTAATTATGCATTATTCACTTAGGTTTACAGTGATCACTAATAATGGGCCACTTTAAAGATGCACTGAGTAACTTTTCTGCTGGAGGGTCCGCTACCTGCCTGTCATAGAGATATTATTGCTTTGTCTGGAATGTTCTATTACATTAAACATACCCATCTAGTATTTATTCATTATGGGTGTTTCCATTGTTCAAAAATACAAAATTTTGTGAATAGGGACAACTCTCCACAGATCTGAAGTGTAATAGATGGATTGTGATAGACAAGTTTAATCTACTGTGAAACATCTCAGGAACAGCAATAACATTTCCACAGAGAAAAACGGACTCTAAACTAAAAATGTTACACATTGCACCTTTAAGGTTCAATTAATAATTATAATGGATTTATTTTATGGAAATGTATGTATTGCTTTTTTGGACTCTCAAAGATGCTTCACAGAGCATTATTCATTCACTCCACACTCAGTGGTGCTGTAGTCACAGCTGCCCTGGGCAGACTGATGGAATAACATGTGAGTCCAGTTTAGCCACAATGTCGATGTGATTATTGTGCAACTGTGAATAAACCCTTAGACAGAGAATAATCAAACCCACACTTGTTTAAAGGTTGTATGGAGGATTTTTTAAAATATTTTTTCAAATTGTCAATGAAAGTTCAAAATAGAATTATAAAGAAGAAGCAGCCTTGTAATTATGATGACCAAAAAAAAAAAAAAAAGAATGAAAATCCATCAACTGTGGATGTAGTGAGGGCAGATAAACATCAGCCAATAGATAACAAGGCTACCTCTTTATCTATTGGCTGTTAGGTTGTCAATCAAACTCCCTACGTTTCTAGCGTCGCTGACTTGCCGACGCGCTGGGATTGTGTGGTTTATGTACGCGGTTCATGTTTAGCGGTTCTTGGCGTCTTTTTTGAACTGTAGCTCTCAGTTTGCACAAATTTTGTTTTAATGGCAGAGAAGAATTCACGACCGGTTCACCGCAAAAGAAAGTCAGTTTTTGACGTTGCTGAAAGAAGAAGAGAAGGGAAAAAAGGTGTGAAGCGCAACATTTAAAAAAGGACAAACAGTCGCTGCATTTCTCTTTCCTTGGAAAATCTTCTATACAACCTTTAACTCTGTCTGCCGCCTGCTCGTCTTGTACGTGGTGCCATGTATTTGTCTTAGGTATTTTGGCCATCTCAACAAATAGACTAAAGTTAAAGATGCACTATACGTTTTCTGTCACCCGTCTCTGGAAAGGTCTCTGCATTGCCTAAAATGTTCCACTCTATGGCATTAAAATTACACGTCTTGCATTTATTAAATTGCAAGTGTTTTATTGCTCATAAAAATGCATCAAGCCCATTTCTTACTGAGGGCAGAGTTGCCTCTCCACAGATGTAACCTGTAACTTGGTGGGCTCCTGCTCTGCTTTCCTTCATGAATCTAGAATATCCTCCTGGGGTACAGACCCTCTAAATGTAGCCGACTGAATAAGACCAATAGACTTGTGATATGTAGCCTACTTTGCAGCCTCCATGGGTGTTCAACATCTGGTTAATGGCATAATTTCTCAGCGCACCACAAAAATCCACACTTTTGCAAATACAAATCTTTACAAATCTTTCAGTCATATTCATTTTGTTTGCATTCTTTTTCTTTTGTCTCACCTGAGCCGGGCCATGCCGCTTTTCCTCCGCGGACCTTTAGCGGTGAGCGCGGGCAGTCGGACCCGGGCTCCGACAGCTGTGGGCGGCGGCGGTGCTGGAACAGTCCCACTGTTTAGCGAATACGTTTGGACCGAAACACTGCTCCCATATTTCTGTCTTTGAAGCCACGGTCCTCCTCCTGTGTCCAATCCCAAACCGAGCACCGCTGCTGGGGGCTCCGTACCACTGGACACACTCATTTTATTATCCAAAATTTGATGCGTAAAAGTTGAAGATAGCGGTTTTCTTTTCACCTAAAGTTCAAAGCTCCCCCTTCTAGTTTGAGATAGCATGTCTAGTGAAAGAAACCGGTGCCCCTGAATGGACCCGGATCTGTTTTTGTGTACCTGGGGGTTGAACCGACAACTCGAGACGCGATTATCGGCCTTCCCGTGTGGGCGGCAGCGGGCCAGCCATGAATGTTGCATGTCCATAAAAGATGCATGGACCGGCGCTAGTTTAGGGAGGACACCACTTGACAATGTCCATCTCCTTTCCCTCAAAGACAGCTCGGTTTACACAGGCAGTCAGCAGGTGGCACACAGATGGAGATATGGAGAATACAATAGGGACTAAGTAGAGCAAGTTTGATAAGCACTTCCTCCTATTAACATGAGAATTAAGTCACGTGAATGAAGTGGTTCAGTAGCGCGCGCTCCGACCTCTTTTATAAATTAACTTTTTTGCGTGCATTTAGAATTTTGTCAAAGCAGTAAGTCATACGGATTTAAGATATCACATGTCTGTCCTATTCAGACTAATTAGTTGAAGATAAGTATATAATATAATAAACTGAGATAGTTTTGGCTCTTCTTTACTGTACGTGGCCTTCCCTATGTGACAAGTGAAGACATAAATAGTGTTAAATAATGAACGACAGAACAGAGAGGGCTCACAGTGGCTTATATAACAAAGTACAATGTTTAAGCAATCTACCGTTCAAGTGAAGGTAGACTTTATATCAGTTTAAGTACAGTTTGGGTTGGCCTCTTATTTTATTGCTGTTCAAATGTAAAAAAGTCAAAATTACCTACTTTTGCCCTTTCTCATAATTCTTGGTTATAGCAAGGCCTGGACTAACCCAAGTTTTGCCAATTCGATAGTATTAACTTGTTAATACTAGATAACATTTTTGGATAATATCGAGTGGTATTGTACAATGTTACAATACGCCATGTTTGATTTGTCAGTGTTGTTTGTTGTTTGTTCAATAGCTTTTCATTTCAATTTTGCATTTATCTGTTCTTTTTAATTCGCCATGAAAAGTTTGTAGTCACTATGGAGCCAAAGGCCATAAATTACAGGGGTTACACTTTCTAATAACTACACTTTAATTACCATTAATAAGACATGAAAAAAGCCTTTAATAGTAATGAACAAATAAGTATGACTCAGGGTTATTAACTACTTAAGGGGTTAGGGAGAAGAGGCAAGATTAGGGTAGGCCTACTAGTTAGTTAGCTTGTTGGGATGTTTTTTTCCTCTTGCATTATCTTATCTTTTAATATGCATTGTCCCTTCAATAATTAAATATAGCAATATACAAATCATTCTTAAATGATTTGCTCATAATGATTTAAGTCTTTCTTCATGCTTTTTCAGGCTAATAGCTAGTCATGATAAAGTATTACCAATGTAGGACACCAATGCAATGAATCAATAGGAAAAACTTGAAACTGTTACTCAGTTCAAGTATTACCGTCTTCAGGCTTCATTTTCACAAATTACCTAATTAGATACTTTATTGATCCCTAAGGAAATGTTTGCTACTTATTTTTGATTTATTATTACCCTTTATATTGCTGCTCTGTGTTATTGTGATGTGTGAGCAACTGTGTCCAAATAATTTCCTTTGTGGATCAATAAAGTTGGTCTAAATCTAAATTAAAAGTTCTGCAACGGCAACGTCCCCCGAGTCCTAGTGGCGGCCTTGTTTCTTGTCCGGGTGCAGTCCAGGTGAGCACGGGACTGACCCACATTGAGCTCCGCTGGCCTAACTCCAGGGTTCACAGCCAACACGAAGCAAACAACCCGCTCTGGCGATGGAAACACAGCACCTTCAGACCTTAGTTATAAGTGCACCAGTCCAATGAGCCAAGCATGTGACAGAAGAGACTGCTGTGCAACCAAAATTTAGTGATATGGTAAGAAAAACATCACAGTTTAACACATTTAAGACCAAAAACTGAAATCCTTAATTCAGGTTTAACTTTATCACTCATAAAAACTGATTTCATAATGACAATAAGACAAGATAAAACTCAAAACTCCAAAAAAGTAAACTTTTCTTGAACCGAAATTCTTTTTTGCTTCTTAGTAACTAGGGTGAGTGTGTCAATGGCTCCTTTAAGTGTAAAATCAGGTGCTTTTCCAAGACAATCAAATAACATTAAAATACAGGATCAGCTTCTTACGGTTATAGAACAATGTATGCCACACATGGCTTGAATAAAGCATCCTAGGTACATCGATTAAGAATAAAGGACTTTCATTTTTGTACAAATGGAATGTTCTACCTGAGGAAGAGGCAGATCATGTATTGTAATGCAATTTCATTTTTAGTACTTATATGTAATCATGATGATCGATTTGCCAAATAATACTGACATCCTCAAATAGTAAAGCTTGCATTAAAAAGTCAATCCATCCATATTACCTTTCTCTATTAAATTGGACATAATTCAAGCAAGTATGATATTCATCGAGTTTATAAGGGGACAAAATGCGCAAAATTGATTCAACTGTAGTTTATTCAAGCTTCACTTTTTCTCCAAGACGTTTTCATCTTCCTTGCCTGCTGGTTGCCCTCTACTGGTCATCTCAAGATACTGCACCTTCTGATCTGCAAAAACAAAATGTTTAAATTTAAAAACACCTACATTTTAGGCATAACTGAAATTGAGAATATTCAGTCCTTTCAGAGTTAAAATCCCTTGCTGTGTCAATATCCCTTATCCTATACCATCTGCCACCTGAAATTAAAATAATTATAATAAATATGTGATTGATTTAATCCTAATTTTAGACCTGAATAAATCCAGATTTTGTACTCATTTAGCTTTTGTTATTCCTGTTTTTCATCATTTAAGATAAGAGTACAAAATTTAAAAGAGGCAGAACTAGCACAGAAAGTTTCATAATCTATAATTAAATTGAAACTAGAGTAGTTTGAGTAGATCATCATCATGTTCTTCCATACATTTTTTACAGTGTGAAAAACTTAAAATCTCACTTTATAGGTGTCCTCACGTCCCCAGTGTGAGTAGCCACTGGTCAGCGTCCACGTCTCCAGTCTTCAGTTTACTTTTTAGCTACAATAAAAAAAAACAACACCTAATGAATTCAAGTTTTTCAATTCAACTCAGATAATTGACAGAATAAAGATGGGCAAATGGTTGATATTTGCACTTCTTCATGGTTTAAGCTTTATCTAGTACATACATTTGTGAGACCACTACACAAAAATGCCTACACTGCTCAAAGGTTTATGGTAAAATAGGTGTTTGTAGCACATTTACATGAGATAATTTTAGGAAAATAAGCTCTGCCAATATGTAGGACCGATTATCAGCCATCAGTTTCTGTGAATTTAAGGAGAATCAGCATAGACCAAAGAAAAAACAAATCTCCAACTGGTCTTAAATGTGTTTCTTACCAGCCTCAAAGTAAACATCCGATGGGTGGTCAGCCTCCTTCAATCAATCGAGAATCCTAAAACAAGACACACACAATGAGGACGGTGCAGTGGAGCAGATTTTAGTCTTCAACAATGCACATGTCTGGTGTGATGTTTGTGTAATTTCGATGTGTAGAAAGTGATAATGCAGACTAACATGTAGTACTAAATGAGGGTTTGAAGAACGTTTAATTTTGTATTCATGTTTATGTATCCCATTCATTCTGTTGCAGCTTTACATCACAAAAGCACAACTCTACACCTGCAGACACCAGGCCTCTATCCACAGTTAAAATACCATAAAACCACAGGAGCAATATTCAGGGGTCATTCTGGCACCACACTCAGATGGAGGACTGAATGGATCACAGTGCAGACAATTATTTGACAGTTTTTCTTTCAGTTCATCCATAGACATATATTAACACTTTGAGGCAACAAAAGCCACCAACAGTGGAATAAGCTCAAACCACACCCCATGAGTGATTGACAAGTCAGAAAAGTGACAGTGCAACTATAAAGAGTCACACCCAAAAGTAAAACTGGCTTAAAGCAGAGCGCCATCTTTGAGTGATATACAGTGTTCAGAGCCGTTTCATTGTCATGATCAGCTCTCATAATCAACAAAGTGATGAAGCCATGTTTGTTTGACTATTACCCTTTGACACAAGTATGAAGTGATCTCAAATGTTTGGGGGAAAAAAAATGGCAGTACTGAGCATTAAGTTTAATATAGTCCATAATCAGTGATCGGAAGACAACTGAGTTCCCAAATAAAATTGTATTTTGTAACGTATTCTGATACTTTGGTCAAAGTGCTTAATAATTTCATGTAGACTTGCATTATATTATAGTGTAAAGATGCAACATAGGAGCAAAAATTGCTTCATCTTTGTTTCACCATTTATGTATTTCCTCTCACTATCTGGAGGACAAATCACATGCACCCACTGTAAGATCAAAGTTTTTCATTTATCTCACTGATGTGCACTTTGAAGCCTAAATTTCATGATCAAGTATTGCCATGTATTCCTTCAATTTTTCGAAATGCAACTATTCTGAAAAAGTAACTACTGCGGTACAGTTATTCAAAATTCACATTCAGAATATGTATTCTGGAGACATGTAATCAGTTACTTCCCAACACCACCTATAATGTCATGTACTTGTATTTACAGGTTCATCTTCAGCAGTGAGATTCTCATATGATGAGTTGGGTCTCAAACATTCAGAAACATCACAAAAGATGTTTAAAGTTCAGTCTAAGGATAAAGTATTTTGTGGTATAATAAAACATGACTGAATCAGCACCACACCAGTTGAGAAGCATTAATGTGAAATACAACAGTATTTTATTTTGCAGGACTAGCAGCAGCAGAGCTGAGGTTCACAGACCTACTGAGGACATTTTGGAGAAATGGGCTCAAACTGAGTTCAGCTTTAGAGACGCTAAATGGAGCACTGGGCATCAGATTGGTCTGTAAACTCAACTTTAGCGAACATACAATACAAAGGCAGTTTACTTTGGTCAAAACTAAACGACTGATGGGGAGGGGTAAAAATCTAAATCATTTAAAAGTAAATGTGTGCTCCAAAACTCTACAATGATTCAGCCAATGAAGGTTTAAACTCCCAAAAATACCTGTGTGTAAATGTACAGTACCTATATTTTAGATGAAATTTTCTATGTTGACAGTTTTAGAACTCACCACTACTTCCCATTATTATTATTATTTTTTTTACAACCTTTCTCCCACAAAATGCCACTTGGCTGATGTCATACTAATATTTCCCCACAGATACTATCCCACCAAACCATGTAATACTTTGAAAAACATTAGAACACATGTATAAGATGAAGGCTCAGGCAGTTACTGAGAGACCATTATTATATTAAAGCACCGGCTGTGGTGAAAAAGTTACAGAATTCTACATCATAAAATTTAAGACATTGTCAAAATAAGTACTAGACAGTCAAATATTTAAAGTACAACACCACAGACCACTGTCTGCATCTTCTTCATTCAAACAGTATTCAGTGAACACAGTTACACCACTAAAAGTCACAGACAACACATGTTTATTGCAAACGCAGTTGGGCAAAGTTTAACACATGATGCATTTCTGCACTGATTGAAAAGATTGCCACTGCTTATGTTCAGCACACAGAAAACCACCACACACAGTCCACCACTAGAGGGCACATCAACACATCTGCACCGTGATACCATTCTTCTGAAGTGTGATGCCAGACGCCTTGGATTTAAAAAGTACTTTTTTTCCATCATGTGTTGAGTGTAGACTTACCTCAGGCAGCAGCTCAGTGAAATACCTCTGGGGCAAACATGTCCAGGCTTTACTGTGACTTCTACTGCCCCTAATGCAGACTGGGGCAGTTACAGCACAGTCGCACAGCACACAACACACCACGCGCTCATTTAAGTGCTCAGGACTGGGGTAGTCAGAGTGTCTATGGCTCCATTTACAAACAGAAGGAAAGAGGCAGGAATGCTTTAGGGAACTACTTAAATATGTAGATATATCTTAAGGTTTATGACAGTCAAAAGGTGCCAAGAGGCGATAACTGCAGTGACACCAGTTACATGTCACAATCATCCAACTGAAGTGCATGGCTAAAGATTCACCTAATTTCACACTTACAATTACAGGTACAGTTCATTGAAGTTTCTATCAGAACAGACTAAGTTAAAATGAGAGCCTCATGAAGTAAAACAGCCAGTAACACAAGTGGTCACATGTGTGGCTGTTGTCAGCGCCATATAATAATGACAATAAGTTTTCTGATCACTTAAAAATGCTGTTACACAGAAACCCTAAGACTATGACAAGCATTGGCTCAGTAGTGATACTGATCCAAAGCCTAAAGTAGTGAAAAACTAAAGGGCAAGAAGCACACTCAGCTATTTAACTGGGTCTTTAATGAGGGGTATTAACTTAACGCATAACATATTTAGTCCATCATGTTAACTTTGCGCCATTGTATCATTTGCTTTTGAATATCTATGGAAAATACGCTCTATTCATGCTTACGTCACAAACCAGGAAGACATTTGGAAAGATACGGTTACAACTTCCCAGGCCCCGTTTTCTTCATCTACATGTCATTGTAGCATTCTGTTATGTTCAGATAATCAATTACAACCATACCTAATTTGTCATCATTTTGCCACTGACACACAACTCCGAGCACATTGGGTACATGTGATTAGAAGAGATGAGGTCCCAAATTCAAGATTATTCCAAACAGCACACACGTATGCAGTCTTCATTCTACCACTGATGACGTTTACTTCAATGGGTTTTATCACAGTCAGTTTAATAGATCCATGTTAGGTGAGGACATTGTCGGTAACTACACAGGAAGTTGTAATCTCATCTTCCCAAACATCTTCCTGGTTTGTGACATAGTGTGATTAGAGCCTATAGCTGTGAGGGAGCATGGGTGGCATATATGCATGTGGGCGGAGTCTTGGAGGGTTCAAATAGTGCCCGGGAGAGATTGGTAAAATACTCTTAAAACCACTTCAGGCATGTTTTTGATGAAAGAACAACATTATAACATGGTAGCAAATTAGAAAAAGTTGATTTTACATAATACCCCATGTTCAAATGCTATTCTAATGCATAACTATAGGGCTCTTTAAATCATATAGAGGGACAGTCCACTTTGACAACTGGTTAGTGGACAGAGAAACTTACTGCACCCATAACAAGTCACAACTTTCCTTCAAATGTGCAATTTAAAACTGTTAATGCATAGCAAAATGTGTTATTTGTACATTATTCTAATCAAAATGTATGAAGTTGTTACAAACGGTTCCTAAATTGTTATGGCACACTGGTCTTGGCTAGTGCGAAATGGACCGATGTCCAGTACAGTAAAATGTAAAGCCTAGTCAAAGATTCTATGAATAAGATGAGTGACTAAAAGTTTACCACTGACAGATTATGTTGATATAGAGTTCCTCCTTCACGTTTTAAGATGTTCAAACCTGTTAAAGAAAAACAAAAGTACACACAACCGACACACAAACATTACTACAGATGTTTAGTACTCCAACACTTCACTTTAGTCGTACTAAAGTAAAATACTTACTACAGTGGTCACAAACTAAGAATTCCAAGCTTTGTTTTATGTCCAAGCTGCACATCTTTAGTGCCTTTTTTCAGCAACACCCAAATCCTGATACTTTTGACTTGATTGATTTTTGTTTATAAAACTTTACAACTGAAAAATATAGACTACATTCTAGATGTTCAAGACACATCAAGTGTGTTTGATGTTCTACTGAAGACCAGAAATGTTGATCATTTAATAAAGTAATGGGCCAATATTTTATTTTATTAATGACAACAATAAATGGACTATTTGCATTTTGTTTAAGGCATACAGTTTCCTCTTAGGACAATTTGTCCTCTGCATTTGACTCATCCTTCAATGTGACTGCTGTATTCTCTTGACATCTTACTCCCGAGTACACCACCCGGGCACCCATCTTCAGATCTTTAGCTGTGCTTGGTCAGGATTACCTTATCTGAAGGATTTTACATGTAGTGCAAGGAGGGAGAAATTTTTAAACCTGCTTACTGTGCAGAGAGCGTGCTAACCTCTTTGCCACTTCAGGTGGGCCTACCTTGTCTGTTATTGTTGCAAGTGAGTAACAAAGAACATGTACTATTTACTAAACATTATCCTTTAAGGGATGGGCTGGTGGCTAATCTTCTTGGAAACACAGGGCTGATTCTGGGCCCTGGACCAGCAGTTAAGTTCCTACAGAAAGACATTGGCTGTCAAAATGGACTACTAATCTGTTTTGATTATGGTTACTTGTCAACAAAGGAGAATCTTAAAAACTGCATTGTCATCTGCTCTTTGTTCTCAAATTTGCTGTACTAAACTCATTTCTTCCTCTTTGATGAGCACATAGTAATCCCAGGGCTGGTTTCTAATGCCAAAACTGAGCAAGAAAGCTGGCCCACCTGCACAATAATGCTGGAAATGGGCATTTAATCACTTAAACATTTTCCAAATTGAATCATGTATTGTTTTTAAACATGAATGGATTTGAAAGCAGATCACACCTGTTAAAAAAGTTGAACAAATATGCAAAACAACCAACATATTAAACAAATGCAAAAAGTCCGAGGCACTCGGTCTTTGTAGTTTCCTTTATTTATGCCAACGTGTGTCATCACAAAGTCTTCATCTGGGCAAAGTCAGAGTGTCTCAGACTTCTTGCATTTTTCTCCCATTAAGTATCTGCCCTTTAAGGACCTTGATGAGCACCTGTTCTTCCATCTCAATTGTTCAAAACCATCTACAGTAAAAATGCTGCAATTTATGAGACAATGAGCCCAACAATTCACCATGCAACACAGGAGACAGATCCAGATATTAGAGCAGTAAACAAAACCTATGTAAGATTAAGGATTTAAACATGGAATTGACACTTAAAGGCATACTATGGGGCAGATTTGAATACTGCTAAAGTAAATGAGAAGCCATTCATAGTAATTGTAATGAACTTCTATGCCACAGGGCTGTGGTTCAGAGCTTCAGTCGTGCCTATACAAAAAGTGGCAATACCAAAACTGACACGATTCCCCTGACACTGACTGCAGATTGTGCCTCTTCCTTTGAGATGGGACTATAATAAGATGTACTCACAGTAATTGGCCCATGGAGCAAATAAATGCAGTAATGACTGATATAAGTCAAGGCTTTACTGGAATAATGCTGTTCATATAGTTTTAGTAGTATAGATTTTTACCCTGGCTGCACTGGTGTCGTGAGGGCCCATGTGCATTTAAATGAGCCTCAGTAGCAAAGCTGCTACTGTTCCACATGGCAGGCCTCTTTGGGGCTCATTGGGACAAAAGCAATTTCACTGTTGTACAAGTTAAACCGTGAATACAGCAGGTAACCTCAGAATGTCAGCATCATTCAATATTACCGCGATTATGTGAAAAAAATCAGTTGGTTACATGGCATTATGATCAAACATTCAAGGACTTCATTCACATCAACTAACAGATTATTTAAGATAAGAAACGTGACAGATAAAAAACAGTTTTAATATTAAATGTGAAATGTTTCTAAAATGTGCCCCTTTAGTAATAAAAGACAACAGAAAAAAGTGCAAGTGCAAATCTTTGGTAAAAATGGAAATGGTGATCTGGCTCCAAGAAAATGGAACATTTTGCCACAAGGTCCACCCTCATTTTGACCTTTTCAGAAAAGTGTTCACTACAAAGCCTCCATAGTATGCCTTTAATATTAAATTAAAATACACAAGAATCTTCCACTTACTGTATGCTTTGACTTCACCTACCACATGTCTTTGCTCAAGAGCAGAGCAGTGAGAAACAGGTCCTTTGATTTGATGTAGACATCAGGGCTCTGCTGTGGCAGCTTGTGGTTTTCCATTTGTTTGTTGTAATGTTAAAGAGTTAATATCATTAGCCTTTGTCCAAGTCTCCAGCTCCTACAGTGTCACTCAAGAGTCCAAGGCCCAAGTCTCATAATTCTGAACAACACAGAGACCAAGTTCTGCATCCAGTCCATTTAAGGGTTTGTGAACAGTGCTTTAAAACACTGTAGAGTCGACTTAACATTGAAAGCATTTTTCTAAGAGTATGTACCTGATTTTAATTTGTTCTGGTTGAAATTTATATTATGAGTTGTATTGGAAATGCAGATTATTGAGAAAAACATTTTGGGTAAATGTCACTTATTGGATGAAGGAGTGTCCCTATCGGGAACATTGTTCACCAAGACTAAACACTATTTCAGACGATTCTGTCATTCTCTGTCACTGGAGAATACAACACTAGGAGTACTGTCTGATGGGCACTGTGTGGCAACAACTACTATGAGACTTTACCAGTTTTCTGTGTCACGCTGCAGTATCAAAATGGTACAATTGACCGTGTGGGCAGGGTTACAGTTCAGTTGTTTTAACTTAGGCATAAGCCAGTTAAGCAAGTAAAGCCCTCTGTCAAAGTCCAGTCCAGTTCAGGGTTTCCAAGTTCAGTCATTGCCGCTCAAACTTGAGTCCCTTGTCATGAGTTGTCCCATCTGTACTGTTTGTGCAACACTAAAAATTAAAGCCATTTCTCAACGCAACACTGAACAATGGCGTGATTTTGGCTTTGTGATATGGATAAAAATGTAGGGCCTCTGCCTGAAAGAAAAAAAAATGCGTCTGGTAGATTTAAAAAAAAAAAAAAAAAAAAAAAAGCACAAAAATTCCCACCTCCCACCGTTTCAGCTGGGAGAGCCAGCATGTTTTCCCATTAAACACCTGATGCAGAGTGTATGAGTTTGTAAAAAATAAAATAAAATTCTCCTTTGGGTTAAAGCTTATGTAATGTAATCACTGTGCAGCATAACAGCTGCTGATGTAATTCACCTTTTTACATCTTTAGGAACAGTGATAACTGGGTCATTGGTTGGTTCCAACAAACCATTTACTGCCAGTGACCAAATATCAGTAGATTTTTCTTCTGTGAATTTGCAAATTTACACAAATTTCAAAAATTTACAGATCACACTTTTTTTTTATCTAATGAAACCTTTCAACAGAGTGTGTATGGTTCTGCATTCTACATGAACAAGGAGAACCACTAAGGACAAGACTGTAATAATGAAATTAAAAATTTGCCGTAATTCCACTAGAGTAGACAGTGTGGACTGTGCCAGCAGAACAGGATCAGGTTCAGCTCTTTACGTCCTGTTGATGAGCCAGTCCAAAAATGAAAATTAAGCGTCACACCAATGCAGTTTAGTATGAACTCTAATGTGTAACTCACCATCTGTACACTGACTTCAGCCACACTGTACTAAACATGCGGAACTACTCCTGTAACATGGTGGCTGTACAGTTGCAGTACATTTTTCAACCAATTGGTTTCCCATATTTTACAAAGTAATCAGTATAAAGATTTTCCTCGTAGAACCAATGATTTTTTTATTATATTACATGCGTTGACTCCAAATGCAATGGCACAAACACAGCCATAGAAAGTTGAAACATCACGACGACTCACAGAGCATAATACATTTGGGAAATTATACATGGGTCTTAAGAACTACTGATCACATGATCGCGATCTCTTTAACTACTGACATTACAAAATAAAAATAAACTGACCGTGTCATAAAATGAGTAAATAGTCAGGCTAAAATGCTGCAACACTTGAACTTAAATACAAAAATGACTCCACATGTTTCTGTTGAATATATACAAAGAGTGCTGCTGGGAGCAAATGGTTTAAAATCGGGGTTTCTTAGCGGGACCATCAAACTCTTCGCGGACCCTGCCGTAGCCAGGGTTACCAGGACCCATTCCCCGTGGGCCACCCTGTGCGAAGCGCTCGCTACGCTGTAGGGCAATAAGGGAGAGGGGGCAAGTACGGGGCAAGAGCATACAGTTCATGTCCGTGAGGTTTTAGCATCGGCGAAGACGATTATTAGATTTATTCATAATAATCAGCAGGAGACACATCCAAGGAAACGTTCCAAAATGAAGGTCCACAGGCGCCACAGGTAACATACGGGAAGAGAAGAGGGTAATGCTACAGTTAGTGAGTGCCTCACCAAGAAGCAGGAGCTCCAGTTCATGCTACAAGCAAATACTGCCTGAGAGGTCACGATTACCACAAGTTAATAATAATGTTTAATATTAGTAAATTATTTACACACAGGTGATGGTGCTTAAAAAGGAAACCACCAACAGTACTCAAGATTGAAATATAATGTACTTAAAATTCAGTACGAGGCTACAGTCAAACTGTAGACTTATCTCTGATTGGTAACACTCATGTTAAGCTAATTCAAGTTAAACTATGAACACTAAAGTTCTTACTTTTGGTTTTGTTCAAATGTAAGAAATCATAATCTTTCCGTAGTGCTCATCTTTCTTAAAACACAAAGGGCATGGCTAAAATGCCTTATTGCAGGCTGTAGGGGTAAAAGTACATTAAGACCGAACACTCGTCATAACCCAGAGTATTAGGTGTCTGCTGCAAAGGTAAAGTTAAAACACAAGATCAGGAAGCATCTGAAACAGTAAATATGGAAGGAGCCGATATTATCATCCCCATCCCCAGCCATCTTCAAGATCCTTAACAGTGCTTTTATGGACACTCTCAGTTTATGGTTAGATTGGATGCAGGTAGCAGGGCTGCCAATATTTTTCACATTTACACACACATTACCACCATAAACATGAAACCCATAGCTGCTAGCACAGGAATTGAAAAACAAAATAAAGATTTTACTTAAATTAAATTATGTATGAACCTGGATATGAAAGATCAAATTGTGGAAAAATACATGATTTTACATTTATTCATTCATGATACTGAATACTGATACATGATACTGATGAATTATGCATTTGCATTATGAAATCAATCTTTCAAAATGCTAAAATTAAAGTTAATGAGATGCAGTATAAACTGCCAGATAACATTTAGGTTTATACTTTTTGGAATATGGCCAATAATCTGGTTTCCCTGCCCATATAAATTATGGCTGACTGAAAACTTGAAAATCTCTGCTAGCATAACCATGTTCTAAAACAATGTGGTGCAGTGCTTTGAATGTTTTAAATCTGTGTTTGACTTGCCAATTATGACTGAACAGGAACAATGCAAAAAAAAAAAAAAGTGTATGTATGTGTATGTGTGTGTATGTGTATATATATATATATATATATATATATATATATATATATATATATATATGAGATCCTGTAATGCAAACAACTCCACTTCCATAAAAGCACCATTAAGGCTGAAGAGCCCATTCAAGTATCCAGTCCATTTAATTCCCAGTAAAAATATTTGAGTTTCTCAAAAATATGTTAACCTGAGAAGTGAAAAGGAGACCTGAAGACTTAAAAACACACATTTGATAAATGACCTGTTTGTGTGAAATTGCCTTAAGATGAGCGATAACTGCCACAGAACCCCACAAGGCTAAAATACTACCTGCAGACAAAACTAAAAAAAATATATATATATAAACACCAAGAAAAAGCCCTTCATCTGGGGTTTAGTATAACATTTTGCTAAAGCCCTTTACAAAGATGCACACCAAGGTGGGCCTCAGCCTGCACAGATGGCAAGTGCCTGGTTATCTGTAGTCATGACTATTCCAACTTGAGTGGGGCTGTGGAGTATCTCTAAGTACTTCACAATATGAAACTCCATAGTCTAAAAATGGGTTAATAATGAAAACACTGGATTTTCATGTCCACAGCAGGCTTGATATCAGAACACAATTGATTTATGTAAAACAAACTTGCTCAGCTCAGAGGCCTTATTGCACTTGTCAGCTGTTAGACAATATATTATCAATTTATGCATGGTTTAAAAAAAATTACAATACAACAGCTTTTACTGCTACACACACTGAGAAAAAGTCTGGCAGGCATGAAGTATAAGATCTGGATGCTGTACCAAAGATTAGAGTGGTATTAGAGATGACATGGTCTTAGGTTAAATCTAACCAAGCTACAAATGTTTAGGATTTAAATAATTTAAAAAGTTCATTTTGTGAAAATAGGGAAGAATCCATACAAAAATTCATACAAAAATCCAACCTTTGTGAAAACTGCAGGTGCCACTGCGCTCTATGGGAGAATTACTTCTGGGCCGCAGCTCGCAGGAGCTGCAGTAGTTATGGAGTGGCCACTAATCAAACTAACATAAGGACAGAGGGGTGTCCACGGTCTCCCAGCAACGTAGACAACAGAGCTGTGCATAAAGGTCTGTGCTAATACCACAGACTTTACTGGAATCATGTACTGCACAGAGCAGGAAAGAGCTGCAGACAGCAGAGATCACCCAGGTGCACTGTTTGTAAAGGGCTTAAGAGAACTAGAGCACAGCTGATGCTGGCTAGGTGTATAGGCACTTGGTCAATACTAAACTGCCACTGACAAACATGTTGTCAATATCACAAAAACACTTTATAAATTCTTTCAAAGTTCAGAAAGTAGATCAGTTACTTTCAAGTGCACTTTTAAACTATGTTGATTAAAAGCAGATTTCCCATTTTAAAAAATATATATCGGTTGATTTATCCATGGGTTTCACAATGATGAAAAATTACACCACTAGCATTGCAATTAAGAATTGCACCTATAATATGGAAACAATCCCATGAATTGATTATCGGTTAATTTGTATTAACCCCCAGGTAGTTTATTTCCCCACACCCTCGTGTATGATATGAAAGGATCTAATCAATAAATCATTATCTTAATAGGCTGAGCCATCCCCATCAGTCAGTCCTTAATTAAAATTTTGTGTAAGCCATACGCATCAACCTGCACTAACATTGCAATACAAAAATACATGAATCCATTGTCCTGTTTGCCAGTCCTAACAAAAAAGTTGTAGTTCTACAGACACTGTTAGTTTTGTCACAAAATGTGCGTTATGTAACCCTAAAAAGGTAAGCCAAAGCTTGTCAAAAACAGATGCCTCCTAAAAAGGTGCCTGTCCCGCTCACCTCAGACAGGGCTTGCAACTGCAGCCTTCTACACAAGATACAATAGAGTGAGCAGTATTACGCTGTGAGACACAATGTAGAGCCAAGAGTTTTAGTACAGGCTGATGGTCACAGGCTTAAAAAAAAACAAAACAAAGGAACATGACTGGGTTTTGGCCAGCAACTGCAACTAAACCAATAACACCACATTTTCAACCAGCTCTGAAAAACACACGGCACAGTAATGCTATATCCAACATGCACAGCCCGCTGGGCCTTTAACAGCTCATTTGTGCAAAATGTGAACAAACTATATACTACAAATCTTCCCAAAAAGGGGATACATTACCATGTCGTTGTTCATCAGGCTGGGGGAGCCGCCCATTCCCTGCTGTCCTTCATAGCCCATCCCTCCCATGCCAAACTTCTGGTTTGGTGTGCCAAAGGACATGTCTGCAAAGACGACAACCATATTAGTAACAACACTAAACAGATTTTACAATCTATGTAAACAGTCACTTATACACGTAGGGTCCATGGCTTTTCTATGGGAAAACTGAAGAAGCCTCTTGAATGTGTGAAAATCATTTTCACTGTAAAAATTTAAATCCAATTAGGTTTAATATATTGTTATTCTACCAGAATGAAACCAATATTAACTCAGCAGTAGCATTGTTAAATGCCCCATTTTATGGGATATTGACTCTTGAGCTTTAAAATTTTTTCTAGTTAAGGTGTATAGTGTTTAAAAGCACAGTGAAGCACTTTGTGTATTACCACATGCCTTCACAATGTAGACCTGAGTTTACTATTTCAGCCTAAATATGCAGGATTTGTGTATTAAAAATATGAATCAAACAAAACACAATTCCAGGTATGTTTTCGATGAAGACAACATTATAACATGGATCAGAGAATAGTGTGCTATGGGCCATTTAAATGAGACAGCTTTGATTGCTCCAAGTTTGAAAACAAGCTGAACAGTATAAGTATTAACAATAGCTCATTAAAATGACAATAACCATACACTCAATGTGCAGGTTGAGTATATCTGTACAATAAACTTCTCACCTCCCATGCCCATTGCTCCACCTGAACTCAACCGCATTTCTCTGTCCCTCTGCAACAGAAACACAAACATTTAACACTTAAACTAGCATCACAAAGATGCTGACGGAAATTTGCCTAATGTTAAAAACTCACATCCATGAAGTTTCCAGCCCTGTAATTCTCCTCGCGCTGACGACGCAACTGCTCCTCCATCTCCCTCTTACGGAGCATCTCCTCCTCACGCCTGCGACGCTCTTCCTCCTGCCTGTTAAAACAATAGTATAGTTAAAATAGAACAGCACATGTGAGTACAAAACAAGTACTTACTTAACTATGGACATAATGTTTAAGAGAAAATATGTTATAATATTCAAACTAATTTATGCCACTGACACAATAAGCCTGAAGCAGGATTTTCCCATCAAAACTATTCTATTCAATTTACTTAAAGTAACTATTGTGACAACCTAGGCTCATGCTTTTACTTTTTTTTTTTTTTTTTTTTTTTTGCATTATCTGTACTTTTGGATGCATCTCCCACCTCCAAGTAGAAATAACCAAAAAAAAAGTACCTGAGCTGCATCTCTTTGCGCTTTTGCATTTCCAGGCTGTGCATTTCCTCCATGCGTCTCAGCTCTTCCTGTCTCCTCAGTAAATCTGAAAAAGCAGCAAAAACATTAATTAAAATATCACATATACTCCTAGCTATAGTACTTGTTCACTACCAGCTTCATACAAACTAGAAAATCTGTTGATTCAATTATTTATTACAATTATCAAAGAATGCTTGGTTTTGTTGACTGGGCCATAACTCACTTCCAAACAATTTCTGTGCACACATAATGCATATCGTTTCTCCAGAATGTACCTTGTCTGAGCAGATTGGCCTGATGCTCATGGTAGGCGTCCTCCATCTCACTCTCCAGTTTCTCACGAGCTTCACGCATGTTCTTCTCAACCTGCTGCCTCTGCTGCTTCTCCATCTCATCCAGAGACTTCCAGCGCTTGGAGTATTCATACTCAAAGGAGCCAGGATGGGCAAAACGAGGTGGCTGTTTCATCTCCCTAAAATATAACAGAATAAATTAACTAAACATGAAGAAACAATTGAAAAAAAAAGTGCTTGTTGACTTGTTTGAAAAGGAATAAGAAGAAATCTTCATAATTTTAATAAAGCATTATTCTATCCACATAATCTGGCCATGTGTACCAGAACACAATCTACCACCTTTACATAATATTCACATTTGACAAAATGTCTACATGATAAATGTTATTACTATATTTCAATTTTTTTATTTACCATTTGGTACCATTGTACCAAGTTTCTATTTTCAAGTTGAGATCAATCGCTTAGCAGATCTTAACAGCTGTGTAGCCTGAAGTCATTGACGTTACCACTACCAAACCCCCGTGTGATAATCACACCATCTGCCTGAAGGAAGCAGGGCATTTCCACAAAAACAATGAAAGCAAACAGCTGACTAATAAAGACTTACGCTTGGTATCTGGGATTCTTCTGTGCCAGTTTCTCTGGGAGGCCATCTTCATCGTCAACCTGTTCCAGTGGCTCAACAATAACAGGGCGTGGAGATCTTGAAAAAATAAATTCACAGATCAGCTTTAATGCAAAATGGCACAGTGAATATAAAACTGAAATCACAAACATACGAGGTTAAGAGGAAGACACCCTCGTTGCATCTGTCCAGGGCTTTTCTGGCCGCAGGCTTGGATGCAAATTCAACAATTCCCTTCCCCGTGGAGCGTCCGCGGTCATCAACAATAACAATAGCCCTCTCAACCATCCCAAACTGTGAAAAGGCTTCCTCCAGGAGCTCATTGGAGACAAAAGGTGACAGGTTTTTCACAGACAGAGCAGCAGAGTGAGTGGCAAACCTCACACGCAGGGGCCTTCCTTTCACAGGTGTGTCATCCAGCTCAGCCTTAGCAATTTCTGCAAGTGCTCGAGACTCCTATAACAAAAAGAAACACATGTGTTAGTAACACATTAATAAAACACATGCAAATTACACCATAAAACAGAAACCTACCAGTCGGATAAAGCCGAAACCTTTGCCTTTGTTGATGAAGACTTCACTGGGCTCTCCGTATTTGGAGAACATTTTCTTGAACTCTTCTTCGGTAATGTCATTCGGCAAATTGCCAACAAACAGACGGCATCTCTGTGTGTATGACTTCTCGCCTGGTTTCAGCAGCATGGAGAGTTTGAACTCCAACTAAACGAACACAGAAAAACGCGATGAGTGATTTGGGACAAATATATATAATTGCAATTGTACATTTTAAACAAGTCCAGATAAAATTACAAAAAGTGAAAAACTGAAATACGAACCGACACTACTAGAAGAATCAAATTTCAGCACATACACTATACACACACACACACATATAAACTAAACTACAGGGTTAGCGATGTTTATGCAAAAGACGGTGTATTTTGTTGTCTGTGAAAGAAAATATGGTACTGAAAACTGTCGTTTTTACCATTTGCTTGTTTTGAGTTTTATAATTTCGATTTTAACCTCGCAGCTCTCAAAACATACTGTAAGATCGCAGCCTTTGTTAGGTCGTCGCCCATCCCCCACGACCTGGCAGTACTGACCTACATTTAAGTACTGACCTACAAATGGACGAGCAAATTTAATGTTTCTAGATGACAAGTGATCATAAACACTCGATACATTTTTAAATTTATTTTAGGTTAAACCTTTAGACAGTAAACAGAAAATCGTGGTTTCCAGGCTAAATTCACAAGATGGAGGATGTGGGGGGTGGGGGGGATAGAATGTAGTGGTAGCTCGATTTGTTCACCAACACACACACACGGAGTCTATTCATCCGATTCATCACAGCACCGCCCGTTCGAAATGCACTGTTACATGATTCAAACGCAACTCGATGCTGACGGCTAACAATGCTAACAATGAGGGCGAGAAAAACAACATACCTTGACCCGCTCCGTGTCCGAATCCTGATCGGTCTCCATGGGCTTTGGTTCTTCAGTTTCTCTGGGCTTTGCAGCGGGTGGTCTTTGTTGAAATCCCGATCTCTGGTTCTGCTGATGGCCGCCTCTCTGGCCCGGTCTCTGGCCTTGCATCTGCGGGCCTTGTCTTGGGCCTGTCTGGTTTGGCGGAGGCCTCGGCGCTCCCATCCCGGGCCTCGGTCCTTGCTGCTGGGGTCCTTTAGCCTGGTTCTGTAGCTGCTGGTGAGGTGGTTTGGGGGGTTGCTGTTGAGCGGGTCTTGGGGATTGTTGAGCTGGCTTCGGAGCCTGCTGTTGCGGAGGTTTAGGGGACTGCTGGGGCTGGGGCTTCTGGGCCTGCTGTGGCGCTGGTTTCGGTCCTTGCTGCGCTGGTGGTGCCTGGGGTTTCGGAGCCTGTGGGGCCAGTGGTTTGGGGATTTGCTGAGCGGATGGTTTTGGGGCTTGTTGAGGTGAGGGTTTGGGTGACTGCTGTGGAATATTCTGGTTCTGCTGCTGCGGAGGCTTCGTTGCTGCCGGTGGTGTGGGCTTGGGGCTCGGTGGTGGAGCTTGCGTCGGCTGCTGACCGTTCACATTCGCTGATGGGGTTTTGATTTGCTCCTGGGGCTTGTTAGCTTGGCCTGGCAGAGGTGACGTGACTGTAGGCTTCGGTGGCGGCGATGGGATCTTCGGGGTTGAAGGCAGAGCCGGGGTTGCCGGCTTCGGTTGCTCAGGTTTTTCTTCTTTTACTGGAGGTTTCATGGTGAGCGCGGGGCCGGGAGGCGGAGGTTTCTGTTGATTCTGGTTAACCGGCTTGTTGAAGTTGGCCCGTCGATTTTGGTTTTGATTCTGGAAAGGATGGCTCCTGAACTGTTGATTTCCCATATACCCTCCGCGCATGGGGCCTCCGGGCCCACCGCCTCTTCGGGGAGCAAAATTGTTCATCCCCATCCCACCACGATTGTGATAAAAGCGAGACATCGAGATATATATATTTTTTTAAATCTATGTAGATAAGGAAGAAAGCGGTAAGATCTTGCGTAGTGACCTCGCCAAAAGTGTCCTTAAAATGGCGTCAGACAAGAGCCGTGCTTGGGCTTTGTAAAGGGCTTCTTCTTCCTCTGGAGAGAGAGAGGCCCAGAGACCGCGCTCATTGGTCCCTCACAAAGAAGAGGCGGGACTTGAGCGGTGAGCCTCCACACTGATTGGTTTGATGAATGAAAGAGGCGGGGCTAGACCGCTCATTGGTCAGATGATTGACACGCAGCAGAGCCAAGCCCTCTTTCATTTTCAGAACAATGTTCCGTTTAACTCCTGAGTGATTTGAATTTTTAAGGAGAGAGAGAGAAAAGGTCTTATCTGTCATGTAAATACTACAAACTCACTTCGATGCTTTTGGCGATTTATTTTGCAATACAGGTGTTTTCAAAACAACATACTGAGGCCACCACTTTAGCCTCTACAAGTTAAATGCTCATTATTATAAACACACAAAAGAATGAGATGACAACACAGTGGTAAAACAAAATGACATAATTTATATATATATATATATTTAAAAAAAAATGAAACCAATGTCAAAACCCAAGAGAAAACACACAATACAGTGTGATAACTGACAATATATGGGCAAAATTAATCAAAGTGAAAAAAGGTAGCTGCAGAGTCAACATTAGCTGATAAAAGGAAATTATAAAGGAGACATTCATTAATTAGTGAACAATCAAACTCATTCTTTTCTCTTAAATTTTCTCTTATCACCACTAAACCAGTTAGAGAAAAAGGTACACATTATAATCAAGGAAAGTAAACTCAATATCTAAAAAGAAAAAAAAAGAACACCTGAAGTGTTTTTAAGCACACACAACTTATCCAGAGATACACTTGCATGTCCAAGGATTACAAGTTGTTCAAGATTACATTATTATGTTTGTAAAATTAAACCCTTCAGTTATAATGGAACAGCTTTGTGCGCAAGCCCTCCCAGTGTATAGCCTTTTAAAATGTTATTTATTTTTACAAGAGATCTGACCCCATGTAGCAATGGTAAATGGCCATAAGAGGGAGCTGAGATGTAGTTTTATTATTGGAGATTTCTGTGGTTTAATTAAAACTGGTTTGCTTAAACAGAGAGAGTGCAAGAGTTTAAAATCAGGCAGACCATGCAAAATTAAAAATGTGAATTTGTCAGGTTAAGAGCCATGAGTGGGGAATAGTGACAAGAAAGTGGTGATATGCAGTTTGCAATAACATCTTAAACATGACTAATTCATGCATTACATTACAGTAGGTCAGTCATTCATACTTCCATGCGAAACCAATGGAGATACAATAGTTTACTTTACATATACAGACAACAATACAAGCAGAAAAAGTTGTTGACAAGGGTATGATGATTTTTACCTTTTTATGCATGTAAGACAAACCTAAATCAACGACAAAACTAGCAAATCTAACCTAGAGATATTTTAATTGAAACTTGGTGCTAAAACATGATTAATGAAGGGAAGGTTAAGAGAAACTGAACAGCACATTGTGGCAATTATTTGTGGATTAAATAGAAATTGTTATATTGTAAATTGGTCATATTGCATCATGTTCACATATAAGGGAGGAATGTATTGTGTGTGTTATCAGTTCAAGAGAATTAGACCAAAAATAAAGAAAATATGCTGAGAAAGCTGGGAAATAATAATAGGCATAGGGTTTTAAGGAAGAAGGCATATATAAACAAAAAGGGAATGTATTGTGAGTTGAGTTATCTCCCTCTGAAGGCTAAGACTATGGAAAGCATTAAAAGTGAAATCTTTACAGTGATTTTTCTGTGACTAAAAAGAAGAGTGCTCATGGCTGTTTCCCGTTTCCTGTGTGGGGCGTTGGTGGAAGGTCAAAGGTGAGAGGTCAGTGTCTCAGGGGTCACAGTAAGGTCACGTTGAGGTCAGATCCGAGGCAAATACTTCTCAATAAATTCCTTTATGACCTCCATCTCCTGCAAGAATAAAAGAGGTGTCAAAATAACACTAGAAATGGAAAAAATAAATACAGTACACGGTAGAGGCTCATGATATCATAGAGCTTTCTGACGCAGAAGATCCACTTTATGCAGTAGAAGTCTCTGATAGAGTAAAAACTCTTTATACGGTAGAGCCTTGTGATATTGATGAAGTAAAGCCTCCCGACACTGTTGAGACTCCAAATACAATAGAGCTCCCCTAATTTTTAGAGATATTTAAAACCATATGCCTTTCCTACTGTACCTAACTGCAGCTTTGCTCTGATATTAACTGTGTTTCAACAAATCTCTGCACCAAAATGTGACATAACCAAGGAGCAATAGATCATATACCAGCAATATACAATTTTTTTTTACTGAAAACGTCCCTTGTTCTTGTTAAGCATTATAAATTACGCAACTCCACAGTATACAATCATACCATAGTATTTTTTTGTCACGGTTATAATCCTGTAGAGATTGCATACTGTCCCATCCCTGAATTAGAGTTATATAATATAGAGTAAGAGTTATAGTATAGTTATATAATACAGAGTTAGTTATATTAGAGGTATATAATAGAGCCCGACCGATATGGATTTTGTTGTGGCCGATATGAAACGGATATAATGGGAGTTGGAGCTGCCGATAGCCGATATATTCGCTGATATATTTAGTGATGTAAAAATTCACTGTAAATCTTGAATTGTTTAAAAAACTTAGGTTTGGCTCTAGTAGATTCTAAATTGGGTTTATTTAGGCAACATTTATTGTTGTTCTGCCTCTTTACATCATATTTACATACAGTAGATTGGCCTAATGGCATTTTTGCATCACATTCTAGCTACTAGTGATGGGTATTCCAGTTTTTTTTTTTTTTTGAAAACCGGCTCTTTTGGCTCGGCTCACTAAAGCAGCTGGCTCTTTCGGCTCCCAAGCGACTCTTGAGATTGTTTTGTTGCAAGCAGGACTAAACCAGAACTGAACCAGGACTGAGTGTCGGGACTCGGTTTCTATCTCTATCTCTCTCTCGAGCCCAAGATTAGTCCTGGTTTATTCATTTTATGCTGAACTGCAGCCAAATATGCACTTTTTTTTTTTTTATCCTGTGCACACGCATATTTCTGAAAGTTTCGTTTTCAGCCCCTGCTGCTGTCAAACTACGGGTCTACATGCGGCTTGAAGAGAAAAAGTGAGAAAAAGAGAAAACATGGCTCCCAATAAGAAACATGTTACCGTTGTTCGCTTCAAAGAGCCGGCTCTAAGAGCCGCTTCGATCGCGACCGACCCATAACTCCTAGCTAGTAAAGAAACTACCGCTATTAGCCTTTAGCCGTAAAAACGTGCGCACAGCGGTAATTAATTATATGCATAAATGTGGATCATTCACACGTCTATTCACAGCTCATTTACATATCAATGCTGGTCCAGTAACAAATATACGGCCAATATAGTCACTTTACAATAGGCCAATAGAAAACAGCCTGTTTATGTGTGAGAGCTACAGCAGCTAATCGCTAACAAAACCTAAACTAGCTTCAAAGTCGGTGTATTTCCAACACTCACCGCTCACACAGGCTCCTCCTCACATCACAAGTCTGCACTAACAAATGTCCTTTTAATCCAAACTCAAACCGATTGTCGTAAAAAGAATATAATCTCAGTGTTGCGCACCGCTGCGGGTGTAAACAAGAACACGTGAGTGAAGTGACGTGACTCTGGTGGTGTGTTCAGGGACAGTACGGACACACACACAGACAAATTACACCGCAGATAAATACTGGTGTGGAGCCACATATGAGGACATTTATCTGTCTGTAAATTGGATTAAATGAACATAATGTAGAGAGTCTAAGCTTTATAACGAGGTATAACATGCCCACGTGAAATATCGGCCCATATCAGTGAGCATATCGGCCGATAGCCGATATGTCTCCAGGTGTCCATGTTGGCCGATAATATCGGCCAGCCGATATATCGGTCGGGCTCTAGTATATAATAGAGGTGTAATGATATCCAAGTCTGACAATACGATATTGTTATGGTATGAACCTCACGGTACGATGTTTATTGCGATATGGTGGGGAGGCTCACGATTAGAGATGTAACAATATCCAAATCTCTCGGTACGATATTTATTGCGATATTTTGTGGAGGCTAACAAAACTGTTAATATGCTACTTTTTTCTCTTAAAATGCCTTGATAAGACTTAATCCAAAGAACTAAGACTTAAAGGTGCTTAGAACTGTTATTTCTTCATGTAGTCTACACTGAAATGGGGCAAACAATCATGGTTTATGTAGTTCCCTCTGTCTTTTTTAGCTATTGTTGCACCATAACTCTTAATTTAAGCAAAGAGACTTGAAGTTCGATATATTGTGATGGTCCACGATATTATTGTGAGAACTTTGACAGTACCATATCACAATATTTCCGTTACTGTTACAACCCTAATATATAATATAGAAGTAGTTATTGGGACAAACCTGGGGGCAGGAGCTGTGCGAGAGGCCGGGGAAGCCTTTGAAGGTGACCAGCTGAGGATTGACTACGGTTTTGATCAGTTCTGATGTCAAACACCCAAACTCTATGGGAACCATGGGATCGCACTTCCCATGGCACTGCAGAATTGGGATGTTCCTGGTGCCACTGGACGCCTGCATAGAAAAGATAAAACCAACAAGTTACACAAGTAGGTGAGCTGATTTTGTACTGTTACGTAACCTCTCAAATAACATTACTCAAGTCATAAGCTTGCGTAATATAGGACCTTCAATTCTGCATAAAATATAGAACCAGTGCAGTGTTTTTAGGGTGAATATTCATCAATGCTATTTTGACTAGAGCCAAATGCTATGGGAGATGTCACATTCCCTGAGTTCACTTCTTTATACAGCCTATGGTTAAACTGATGTGATCAGATTTGTGTTTATAAATATATAGTACCGCAGGGAAAGTCCGGTGAAGAGGTAGCCAGCAGCTCAGAGCCACAACTCCAGCCAACTGATGCTGACAGGTCAAAGCTGTGTACAAGGACAATGCTCCACCCTGAATTTAAATAAATGGCAGAAAAAAGTTAGATTGAAGAGAAAATTCCATAAAATTAAATATGTTTTTGAAAGGCTCAATAAATAACTGTACCTGAGAGAATCCTCCAAGTATAATGCGGTGAGGGGGGATGCCATTTCTAGCCTCATGTTCAATTATGGCCTTGACTAAAAAGCAACAAAAAGCAGTCAGCAAAGTGGTTTTCTGCAGTTATCAATTTATAAGAATTTAAATTCAGCATTCAGAGACAATATATTTGATTAAGCATTGTGAGAGTCAAAAGTTTAATTAAATGTACAGATTTCTAACAGTCTGGTCAAGGTTGCCCTCTAGTGGGCGCCTAGGAAATCTACAATAATGTGATAACTGATCATCAGAAAATATCTTGTTCAATTATGGCCTTGACTAAAAAGCAACAACAAGCAATCAGTAATGAGGTTTTCTGCACATATCAATTTATAACCATTTAAATTCAGGATTCAGAGATATTATACAAAATTTTAATTACATGAACAGAATTCTAGTCAAGGGCACCCCCTTTTGTACACCTAGAAAATCTATAATATGATAAGCAAAGACTATTGGAAAACCATGAGAGTATTTTATACTATTAATATCTGAACGCAATATGTCGTGTACACAACTTAAATTTAATGTTTATATTGTTGTTGTTTTAACTCACTGTTCTCTGCTGCCTTTTTAATCCCTGCTTCATCCTCTGCAGAGTCGGGACTGAGGCCTTTGAGGTCAAACCTGTCCAAATACAAACATTTAATCAGCATTTAATCATGGAGATCAGGCGAACAGGTAGAGAGGTTTTGTTAACATTCTGGGATTTGACGATACCAACACCTCAGGGAACAGAATTACTCAATCCAAGAGAAGTATATAATAAAAAATAACCAAACAGAAAACAAAATTTGCTCAAGGTCAAGAATATGTATAATCTAAACAAATTTCTAGAAAGCTGGACAGACTGTGCATCCAAATTCCAAATCAAATTTAATGAAATGAAGTTGACAAAATTAACACTGCTGTATGGGGGTATTGATTGCTCCCAGCTAACCTGTAACATTTTTCATATGGATTTTGTTGAAAGTGGAAATTTTACAACGTAGATTCCCAAGATTGGCACAATCAGAGCTTTGTCATTGAAACAAAATTCAGAAGAGAGAAAATTAGGATTCTGTGGTTTCCAGGGAGACAATAGAATTCTGTGTTGGACCAAATAAGGAAGTCTTTCATTGCAAGACTAAACCAGGAAAAGACAAGATGTACAAGTAAGATGTTAACTAGGACTAAATCAAGTCTTCCAACAGGACTACATTAGATTAAAGGTCCTAAACCACAGTTAAACCAGGACTACAATAATAAAAATTATCAATGCATGTATTCCAGAAATGTGTGTTTACCATGCAGGCATCAAGGCGCCCATGTTGAGAGTGACAGGGATAGCAGGCCTGAAATAAAAATGCAAAATAGAAATATTTGTTACTTAATCTATTACACTATAAACAATGCACAGCTTCCAAATATAAGACTTACGCGTGAGGACAGATAAACTTGACATGAGGCAACCGGATGCTGGTCAATACATCTGCCCAGCCTTTGCTAGAAGAATGAAAAAAGTTACATTTCAAAACAGAAGTCAAAAGTCAAATATAGAATGGACTGAAACAATGTCACAAAAAAGAAGCTATGTAAACTGTACTACAGCTTTTAATTGCCATTAATTTCACAATTCATCTAAAGCTTGGTAACCATATTTCTATTTCTATCAACAACATAGTGGCTATAGACATGAACTATAACAGTATATTAACAGTACCTCTGCAACTGATACTTTGCAGCTGATGTAATCTACATTCCCTAGGAGTGTGGTGCTAACTGTAGGCTCTGCTCTGTCTGAGACTTGTTGGACTTTAATCTGAGCTTTAATTTAACACAATCTGACCAAAAAGAAAAGGACCTAAACAGGACCATGAATGCTCGGCTCATGAAAATGTGTTGTCTAAATCTATTATGAGTTTTTGCACAATTATTAAAAGTTTTTTGACAGTGTTTGCTAAAGTTTGCATTGCATCGCCATGGTAATTGTCATAGAGATGCAGGTAGAACACCCCCAGTGTGATGTCACTGCAAAGTATCAATACCTTCACAATAATAAAATATCTGCAGAGACACTACTTACCCATTGTCTCCCAAACCATGAAGGAAAATCACCTGCAAAAAAAATACTTATTGTTATTTGATAGTTAAATATTATTTTGTGTGGGTATAGAAAAGTAAAATGTATAAAACAGGAGCAAGAAAGCATGAAGCAACTGTATTAGAAAAGATTAAGTGAACCCTTTGAAATGTAAAAGAGATAATCTTCCTTAATCTTGAAGTGACACAAAAACATTGCTCTGAACCTGGCATTTTCATTTAAATTGCTACATTATGTACGAGACTGAGACAATAGAGAGCGACTAGATCATGTTTTTTCATGGCAGATGCCAATTGTTTAAAATCCAGACAAACCAATAGCGATAAAGACGACAGACATTTCTGGAGAGATATGTAGGGCTGATTTTGATTACTGCCCCTAAATTATGTATTTTCAATTAATTAAAAACTCACCTACATCCCCTTTTTGACTAGAAACCTTTAAAAGAGCAGGGTAGTCACGTTTTGTGTCGTTGTCTCTTCACACTGAAGTGTTCAAATAAAGCTTTATACATATTTTTAGTATCTAGTATCTGGGCCTAAACCCTCTATTTTTCATACAGCTGTTCATAAATCCACTTGAAATTGACCTAAATCTGCCCTCTTCCTCCTCCTCTGGGGCATTACAGTCAAAGATTACTAACCATGGGTTTCAGAGTGATTAAAAAACTCTATATGGAGGTCTCTATGTGTGGCAGTCTCTATGTGTGGCGGTCTCTCTACGTGTGGCGGTCTCTCTACGTGTGGCGGTCTCTCTACGTGTGGCGGTCTCTCTACATGTATCTGGGTCTGGACTCACAGCAGCGGTCTCCTTCTCCGTCCCGGACACCGTCGCAGCCTCATCGAGCAGCGGGACTGACATGTTGTTGCCACACATACACCAATGAAGAGATGCTGAAAGAAAAAGAAAAAGAGAGAAAGACAGAGAGAGGGTCAACCATAGACTGTATATAAACGGACATATTTAATCCGCTAGCCGCTGTGTTCTAAATAGGAAGTGAGCAGGGGCACATTTTCGGCTCCATCAACTCTGGGTCCAATTGACAAATTAACCCGCACACAAGCCTGATATTTTTACTTTGCCAATTCGTCTCTAAATTAATTCCTATTCCTAATATGGAATATGCCCCTATAACTGCTAACCTCGTGAGCTTCATCTGCCTGGAGCCGAATGCTATGGAAGACATTACACTCCCTTAGGCCACTTCTTTTAACAGTCTATAGAGTACCCACCAACTATTAAACAGAGTTACCATAACCAAAAACAATAAATAAAAAAACTACTATCAAAACAAGGTACTCAGTAGAAATATCACTACTGAAAATAAATTCCATTACTTATTTTGGGTATTTCCGGGCAAAGCTCGTGCCTCTCATCTGGGAGTATGAAATCATCACATTCTACAATCTGTAAATCACCCATTTGTCCTCAGTGTCTAGAAGTAATTGAATACATGTAACTAGAATACATATTCAGAACACAGTAACTGTATTCTGGTATAGTTACTTTTTCATTTGGTGGTATTTGGTTACTTTCCTAAAATCAAAAGGAATGGCGGTACTTGATCACACAATTTTAGCTTCAAATAGCACATAATCAGTGAGAAAAACAGAAAGCACTGCCCTACGGTGAGTTCATGTGTAATTTTAGTTTCTCCAGTTAGTGATAGGAAATGCAGAACAAATGGTGTAACAAACATAAAGCTGTTTACAATCCTATGTTGTCTTTAATTTAAACACAACTCTGCATGAAAGTAATGTAAGTTCAAGAATACATGTATCAGAATACTTTAAAAAATAAAAGTTAATGCATTTTGTTTCACATACATAGGCTCAGTAACTCAAAAGTATTAACTGCCAACTGAGTCAACAAATCAGCAGTATGACAGTTAAACAATAAATTTCCATCAGAACTCCTGTCCTCCAGCTCAATTTTAAACTATAAGCGTTCAATGTTGTGAAGTCACGTGAACGCAATGTCTTCCCACACGCCATCAATTACACTAGACGAGGTGATCTAACAGCAGGAAGCAGTAAAAGCATTGACTCATTAATGGCCTTAAACGCTAATGCATTGTGGGCTGGGGCGTGACGAGACAGGACAGGGGTGATGGGTACAAAGGCGATGAGCAGAGAAGAAAGGTTAATTTGTAAACGAGGGGGACTGTAACAAAAAGGTCACCTCCAATGCACAACAAATACATGGAAGTGCACTGAGAACAAATCTTTCAATTTATGTTACTGAAATACTAACTCAAATGTAGATTTAAACCACAAATATTGTAAAATATTATTTTAAAAAAACATGGGCTGCAATAAAACTCACTTTAGCACTTTTCATACAGTGAGTCATAGTTAAGTTAGTAATTCAACCTTTAATGGCTCAAATCTTATATAGAGAGAAAAAAAACAAAAATGCTCCCAATATCCATCCATCCATCCATCCATTTTCGTCCGCTTATCCGGGGCCGGGTCGCGGGGGCAGCAGCCTAAGCAGGGACTCCCAGACTTCCTTCACCCCAGACACGTCCTCCAGCTCCTCCGGGGGGACCCCGAGGCGTTCCCAGGCCAGCTGAGAGACATAGTCCCTCCAGCGTGTCCTGGGTCTTCCCCGGGGCCTCCTCCCGGTGGGACATGCCCAGAACACCTCCCAAGGGAGGCGCCCAGGAGGCATCCGGAACAGATGCCTCTCGACATGGAGGAGCAGCGGCTCTACTCCGAGTTCCTCCCGTGTGACTGAGCTCCTCACCCTATCTCTAAGGGAGCGCCCAGCCACCCTGCGGAGGAAACCCATTTCAAGCGCTTGTATCCGCGATCTCGTCCTTTCGGTCACTACCCAGAGCTCATGACCATAGGTGAGAGTAGGAACGAAGACTGACCGGTAAATCGAGAGCTTCGCCTTTCGGCTCAGCTCCCTCTTCACCACAACGGTCCGATACAGCGACCACATCACTGCCGAAGCTGCACCGATCCGCCTGTCAATCTCCCGTTCCGTCCTTCCCTCACTCGTGAACAAGACCCTGAGATACTTGAACTCCTCCACTTGAGGCAAAGACTCCCCACCCACCCGGAGAGGGCAAGCCACCTTTTTCCGGTCGAGAACCATGGCCTCAGACTTAGAAGAGCTGATCTTCATCCCAGCCGCTTCACACTCGGCTGCCCCAGTGCACATTGCAGGTCCTGGTTCGATGAAGCCAACAGGACAACATCATCCGCAAACAGCAATGAGATCCTGTGGTCCCCAAACCGGACCCCCTCCGGCCCCTGACTGCGCCTAGAAATTCTGTCCATAAACACAATGAACAGAACCGGTGACAAAGGGCAGCCCTGGCGGAGTCCAACATGCACCGGGAACAGGTCTGACTTACTGCCGGCAATGCGAACACAGCTCCTGCTCCGGTCATACAGGGACCGGACAGCCCTTAGCAAAGGGCCCCGAACCCCATACTCCCAGAGCACCCCCCACAGGACACCACGAGGGACACGGACGAATGCCTTCTCTAAGTCCACAAAGCACATGTGGGCAAACTCCCATGAACCCTCGAGCACCCTATGGAGAGTGTAGAGCTGGTCCAGTGTTCCACGGCCAGGACGAAAACCACACTGCTCTTCCTGGATCTGAGGTTCGACTATCAGCTCCCAATAGTGCAATGAAAATATACCCACGATATATATTGACCCCCAAAAGTATCTCCATCTGTCACATATTGAACAATAAGTTGATATAGTGATTATTGTGACAGGCCTAACAATTGGGGGATTATATCAAAAAGGTCACCTCAAATGCACAACAAATACAAGGAAGTCAACTGAGAACCAACCTACTTCCTGAACCTGAAGTTGTGTAGCTATTAGTTAAAGGAGACCTGGCAGGTAAACAAATTGAAAATATATTTTCTCAGTTAAATAAAGGTATTGTAATGCATACATTTTGCCCAAAACACAGTCATGATGTCTATAACACATTTTCATGAGTTTCATATCTGACGACAGACAGAAGCAGCATCTCATAATTTCACATTAGCACATTGGGTACTAATGCGTTAGCAGATTTCCGTAGGTTCAAAAAGCACTGTTCAATCATGATTTTACAATTAGTTTTTTCATTTGGAAATAGTTTTGATAGGTGACGCCAACTCATAAAAAGTAGCTTCAACTTGCAAAATTTTTGGATTGTCCCAATAACAACAGAATCAGAAAAGATGACAATGTACATTATGTTCACACAAAAAGTGCATTGTGTAACTTTTCTGGTGGAGGGTCCGTCAAATGCTTTTCTCCATGGAGATGTTCTTGCTTTGTCTGGAATGTTTCACAGTATGGCATTAAACCTTCTATCTTCACGAAGACCAAACCACACCAAGTTACAAGTCAGATCTGTTGGGAGGCAACTTCGCTCACGTTTTCTAGGTATTTTTGAGCTATAAAACCACCTGTAATTGAATAAATGTAAGGTAGAGCGGTTTAATATCATACTACGGTAATGACATATGCATAGAAACAAGCAGGTGATGGACCCCTAGCCAAAATGTTACACAGTGCATCTTTATTACACTGTAAAATTAACCACTCCTATTTGTACGATTACATCACAAGTTTGTATTATTTTTATTACAACAATTAACGCAATAGCAACTGTGATTTTCATATTTCAATGTATCTCCCACTTCTACTAAATTACAATGTCATGATTTATAAAAAGCAAAAACATGAGTACCAAAGTGGCAGATGAATGTTGTTTATTGCTAATCATTTTCGGGAAGAACATTGTGTAGTCTCTATTTTTGCAAAAAATTACAGGCAGAGTTAGGCAGCCTCTCATTTGCATTCATTATCACTAAGCAGTAATTTAGATCAGTTTAGATTCATGTGAAGAAAAAGCGTGCCAGTGACGTCTCTAAGCAAAAATATCATTAAAAATAAGACTTGAGAAACTGGAGTAAACCATAAAGATGATGGCAGTAATATTTTAGTAGGACACTTAAAGAGGCACTGTGTAACATTTCTAGTGTAGGGTCTGCCACCTGCTTGTCTCCATGGAACTGTTATTGCTTTGTCTAGAATGTTCCACAGAATAGATGAAACCTATTTATCAAGGAAGACAAGCAAGTTACAGCACTATGCTACATTACAGGTCAGATCTGTGGAAAGTCATCCCTGAGAACGTATGTATTTTTGAGCAATAGAAACACACGTAATGAATAAATGCTAGATGTATGTGTTGTTTAATGTCATATCATGGAACACTTTAGGTAAAGCAATAACATTTCAATGGAGATAAGTAGGTAGCGGACGCTCCACCATAGAATTTTTTTTGTTCACACAGTATTAGTCTTTTTGACAGAGTTTTTCAGTATTTATTCTATGTGCAACAAACTATTGTGCATTTGTGAGTAATCTTCTTCAGTGGTAATACTGTGACTGGGTCTGGCTCTGTTCTGTCAATATCTTGCAATGCTGTCATGAGAATTGCAATAGCCAAATAGATAGAAAAGCTAAGAAATTGCTTGTTATTGTGAGTATTAAATGATTGTCATGATTAAACTGAAAGCAGTAGCATTTCATCAGTGCTGTGTGAAGCTGTTCATAAAAAAATATTGTGCTGTGTGGGTGTGCATTATTGACAGAAATTAATATATATATATATATATATTTTTTTATTACTTATTGTTGGCAATAATCAGAAAGGTGCTAAAATCAATCTGTAAATATTGTAGTTTAGCTTTAAGTTGGCCTACTGTGCAAAAAATGAAAACGTTTTATAGTGCATATCACTCTTGTTTGGAAGATTTCACTTTTTTTTTTTTTATTAAAACAGCAATTGCGATATTACCAATTTTTCTCTATCTCCCCCCTCTATTGTGCTGTATGATGAGGTTAAATCTGGTTTACCGTTGAATAACTCACTGATATATATTTTGGAAATTCATATTGAAAGCATTTCTTCTTTTAATCAAATTCTCAAAAATTGTGATTGATCAATATGAGGAAAAACAAGGGGATATTATGCAAAAATTGTCTACCATGTTATAACACTGTTCCCTTGACAAAAACATACCTGTAGTGGTTTTAGATATGAGCCATGCATATTTCAGTAATTTAGCAATCTCTCCCAGGCCCTATTCAAACCTTTGAGCTGCAGCCTATAAGCCTACATCACCCATGCTCCCACACGACAATTCTCTATAAATATACAAAAGCATAATACAAAACTGTATACAGCAACCTGACAAACCTGATGCACTGCAGTAGTTTGATTAGCTAAATGCACACTGATTGTGTTGTGATAGTGTTCTGAGGGGGGTGACTTAGCAAAAGGAGGGGAGACTCAAAAATGAACAAAAAACATAAAACATGTTAAGTTGTTGTTTTCAGCAAATATAGCATTTTTAAAACAATAAAAGATAACATGGTGATCTAAATATGTTACATGTTAGCAGTGAATACCCCATAGAAGTAAAGTACCTCCTCTTGTCATATCGCTGTATCTTTTCACAATGGAGAATAACCTGTGCAACCAGCTCAAAGCCTTTGAGGTTTTCAGACCTGGCTCAAAAACAATGCTGCTGAGGAGGCCTGTGGTTATAAATAAATATTGGCACAGTGTGCACTTGGTGTATTTATGATTTAAAATGATCAGTAACTAATGCTGTAATAACACTTCTGTTTCCAGTTTAGTCCTGGTCCAATCTGGGTTTAGTTTAAGGTTCTGTTCCAACTTACAGTATGTGTTTTAAATTTGTCCTAGAATACATTCAAATACACAGTAAAAAGTAAGTACACATAACTTAGTTTTTATCTTATTTTCAGCTGTGGCACTTAAGATCACAAAGTTGAGTCATTCACAGTACTCTGCAAATAGACTTGGAGCAAAGAAACTTCTGAAAGACTTAAAAAAAAAAAAAAAAAAACTAAATAAATTACATCACGGGAGCCCACTCTATGTGACTTCAATTACAGTCCAGCCCAAGGAGGAAACAGATCCAAGGAGGAGAAAAACTTTTCAGAGAAGAAATTACTAGGGATGCACCGATCCAGGTTTTTCAGCTCCAATACTGATAATGATACTTTGGCTTGAAGTGAATTGGTCAATACCAGATATTAACAGAGACCAGTGCAGGGACCAAAAACGCTCTTTTTAGCACCAAGAAACCTGTTCTACTCTGGATATATGGGTTCATAATAGAGACGAGACAGAGCCGTGATCCATGACACCCTTGATCCCAGACACCCCGAAGTTCTATTATTGTTATATAACTAATGGCGATCAGATTAGATTTTATATGTACATTATTGATTCAACCATTCAGTGGTTTGTGAATTTTGTTAACTGACTGGCAATAAAGCATATTCTGATGGGCCTATTTTGTGAGTTGTGAATTTGTTAATATTCACCCATAACATCCTGAAGATTCTCCATTGATCGAGATATGGAATAGAAATGGAAAACTGAGGAGGCTAAACCAGTGATTCACCACCCAGGAGAAAAAGCTTCACATGGCTTCTCCAAAAAAAGGTCCAAAATACACTGCTTGAATTAGGTAGGCATGTTAAATTGCTTCCATTTATTATTTTGTAATACTGCTATTCAACAACCCGTTTGTTAACTATAAAACAATTCACTTTCTCCTTATAGCACAGTACTTTTGAGGAACTATAGAGCTACAATGGTAAACTGGGGATAAATATAATGCTAATATAATGCAGAGAGCATCCTCAGTGTACAATAAGCTAACACTTCTTCCTCCAATTATTCCCTTCGCTATATGTGCTTTTCCGATTGAAGTTAAAAGAAAGCAACTGGAAACAACATCATGCTTGCATTATTATTTTCAAAAGACCAGGCGAGAAGCAGGCACACAGAAAGCAAGTGAATTTAATTACAGTAGGCGGCTAGCGCAAAGAGAGAGGCAAAAACAGCGAGGACAATGAATGGTTCGAGTACAGCTAGCGGCGATAACAAGAATGCATCAACAATAGAAAGCAAAATACATTGGTTTCTAACGCAACAATGCTTAATTTGATCATCCAAAGAATAAATCTGATAAATAACCCCGGTTTGAGTCTTATCTGAACGAAAAAACACACTGAACATGCGAGAAACGAAGCTGCTACGAGCGAACAGCCACGCTACAGTATCGGCTCCTCGACGTCTTTACTCAATAATATTTCAATGCTGTATAGAGTGATTTTGAAGCTGAACGTCTAATCTTGTAAATACGCAAGTAAGGACTATTTTGGGTGGGTTTAAGATGGTAAAAGTCACACCCAAGTCCCTGGCCCGTTAGCTGATGCAGTACTCACCTCACCGCTCGCTGTCCCAGTTTACGATGGTGCGGTACTTCCGGTTTACGTCTAGACTCACGCACAGGGCAGGGCCAGGGCGAACCCACGCGCGAGCGCAAAGTTCAGATTTATTATTTACAACAATGATCAAAACAAAAGAGAGAATGAAAAATGTGTCGATGTAAAAAACTCACCTGTAATGGTGTAATGTAATTTTCTTCTATGTACTGCTATTACTAAATACACTATACACAGACATTGTTAACACTTAAAAGGACTTAAATATAACCTGAATATGGCAACCAATTTTTTAACAAATGATGACCAGTTTTCAACATCTGTGAATTTTGATATTTCTTTTAAAATCAGAAAATAACCAACAGCATTACATCCATTTGAAATTATTATTATTGCCTCTTTAATTGTACCTGTTGTAGGTTCATTTGAGCCCTACTTTTCATTCATCTTTCAACCTGCTTTGGCAACCTGTCAGGAACAGTGGCCAATCTCAATGCATGGCCCTTGACCATGAACTTGGTCTGGAGTACATATAGTAGCTGGAGAACATTTTCAAGTTGATGCCTCTATCAAAATTGTGTAATTTTACTAAAATAATAATAATAATAATGTAATTCTGTTCAGTAATTGAGCAGAGAATAGTTTTTGTTGTCTACAAAGTGGTCACCTCTTGAAAATTAACAATGAAAGACCATGAATGAAATGCCCCAGATGGATTTGAAAGGTACACCTACTACAAACAGACACCACTTCTAATTTCCTGAGTGGGGGTCATTAAAATCCACTGAAACACACAGCGTTTGGCTTGGGTTTTCATGCTTTTTGGGGATACTAGCTTACATTTATTTTAGGGCAGAAAATCAATATCACAAGTATAAAAAGTATACAGTATAACAAACGTCCATCTGACAGGAAAGTACTTTTCCTGGGAAGTAAAATGGACAAAAAGTTGATTTAATTCATGATTTTTTTCAATGCGTTCTACATTTGACCTGGGATGATGTTGGTTTTCTCTAAGTTTTATTTTGTTGCAGTTTGAGTAGTAAATGATTATTTACTAACTGAATGTATAGTGCCAAAATATATATTACAATATCACAATAATGTTGTTATTGCTACAAAAAACTAAACAAAACACTACACAGCAGCCCCAATTAACTCTCTAAAGATCCTAGCCTGGACCATTAATCTCCGCAAATGTGCAGACTACTTTTAATGGGGTCCACTCTCATAATAAAAGCATAACACATTGACTACACATTAACAGTAAATCACATTAACAGTCTATACATAACACACAGCAAATTCAAGAGGGTTCATTCAACTCGTATATTGTTCATTTTAACACTTTTACCATATCATATAAGGTCCACAATAAAATGAGTTAAAACTACACTTTCCAAAGTGTAGAAGGCCCAACACTGGTAAAGCGATATAACCACGCTTCTCATAGTTGAATTTGACACTGATTAAGATTTGATTTTTTTTTTTTTTTTTACACTAGTGTATAGTGAAAAACTAATAACTCTATAATGCTATGTTTTTACACTTTATGAAGTAGAAATAGTGTAGAGTGTTCTTCATGTTACACTATTCAATAGTAACTCTTTCTTCACTAAATACAGTGTAAATGCTGTGGCTATTCTAGTTCATAGTCCCTTTTACAAATGTAAAATTATGAAAACCACCACAAAATTCCATTTCAACTTAACTTGTATTAAAACAATGCACATGATTAAAACAATGCACATCATACAATCAACACAATTTAAACAAGTCATATGACACAATACTATTCTTGCAAAATCCAACTGACAGCAGGAATTCTCTGTGCCCTCAACAGTTGGTAACAATGATTGTCATTTATTTTTTAAAAGTAGATTTTTCAATCCAAGCAGTTGATGGATGAATCAAGATTTAGTTTTGAATAGAATTCAGGTATGCTCATCTCCAAAAATGAGAGGAGCATGTCTGACTGTTTGAAACGAGATCTTCTCTCCATTATATAAACATAACAATGTTCACAATAGAGGCAATCCTGCTAATTATGAAACATTAACAATGCATAAACTTTTTACCTCAAGAGTCAGTCTTTCACTCTTGGGGTTTCTTTTGACACATCCAACGTCCATGTTGTAGAGAGTTCTTTGAATACAGGTGTAAAGTTTGTCAGAGTCTGAGGACCAAGTGCCTTGAAGTGTTCACCAAATTCACCCAGGTCACCCAGATGACATAAAAAACCCTTTGTCCTTCCCACTTCAGTCACAGGTAGAAAAGCCGTCTGCAAGAAATGTGTTCATACTGATCTGTAAAATAAAATATAGAATATAATAAATATAACATATTCAAGTAACCACCTTGCAAAACGGGCTATGCAATATTTAATGAACTATGAATAAATATTAAAAAGTAAATAAATAGTAAATATATTATGGTGCATATATCATTATTTGTTTGTTCCTATTAAGCAGGTTATTCTGTTACATGAGCTGTATGTTTTTGTATACAGGAACCATTCAAATAAATAACTTGAAGGGTGATTTGAAAAAATGTAGCCCCGAAGAAAATATTATTTTTAAATGCAACTTAAGTTACTTGAGGAGTAGTTTCCCCGAATAGTTTTTACTCTTACCTACATAACACATTTTTTGGACTTCTTTTTACTTAGACTTGAGACATTTTTTTTAAAGTAACGTTACTCTTAATTTAGTAAAATTTGTGGCTATTTTACCCAATTTTCATGGACATCGGTGATGGCTAGTGGGTTAGTTAGCTCACTACTACTCAATACTACTACTAGCATTAGACCAAATATATTTAGTATTTTCATGAATTAAATTAACTGCAGAGTGTCCTAAAAAGGTAAAGTAATCTGACCCGGGGCATGTGAGAGCTCAGGTGGTTGGACTTGAGGCTGGTTGAGTTCAGGTTCTGCTGAAAAACAAACGCTATTAGCTGTTAGCTTAGCTTCGGACGGTGAAATGTGGCTTCGCTCGTAGTTCTCCCGCTGCAAACGTTACAAAAGCCCAACACTGATGTAGTGTAATATTCAAATAGACACTTTCTAAGTGTTTGACATTTACACTGTGTATCAACAACTACTCATTTTATGTCAACTCTGCGAATCAACAACTACTTATTTTACTCTACAGCACCGTCATAGTTGAAATAATTACTGACCATGTTGAAACATATCTGGATTTTCTTCACTTTACTCACAACAACAGCAACACCGTGAATTTAACACTTTTGAATTTGGTGCGCAGCAACTTCTATCATAAGGGACATAGGGAAACACACAATCATCAGTTAATCACATTGCTTGGTTAACATCGATTTCTTGCGATGTTTTTTAAAAGCAAGATGATTGTTTATAAGCATAATCTCTTGAGGCAGCTTATTTCTGTGAGAAATAGCTCAGTATATACGTTTCTTTCAGTGCATTAGTTCATAATTTAGGCAAAATAAAGGTTGCTTAGGAGGTTCATTAGGTGGGCTGTATCAGTGAGAACAGGCTAAAAGGTCTCTGTGTGGTCAAAACTTAATGTAGGACAGAACCAAATTACTCCCCAATCTGTCTTCCACTTTGATCCATGACAGTCTCTTATGCATAGTATTAAAGATGCATTGTGTAATTTTTCTGGTGAGGGGGCTGTTAAATACTTTTCTGTTCTCTCTTCCTATTGAGTGACTGTGGATTCAACAAAATGAATGATAGATAGGACACACAATTGTTTAGCTACAGCTATGTCAAAACATTCACCCTACTGTGACAAAGTGGGCCTTTGTCTTATTTTAAATTCACCTTAATTTATGTTAAACATTTTGATTTTGGAAAGACACCTTTTGCTTTGCTTTACCTGGAATTGTTACTCACCTGGGGGAGGTACTTCCTGCTTGGCGGAGTATAAAAGGCAAGCAGGTGTCACCAATTAAGAAGACTTCTGTGCAGGTATTTGGTGTTTTGCTTTGATTTACTTATTTTTTGTTTATTTGTATTTTTGTTGGTTAAACCCAGAAGTCTGTTTTTTAAAAATAAATTTTGTCTGCGTAAGACACTTTTTGTGTCATCTGCCTCCTACTTCGACCACTTTGGCCAGCTTCCCCACACACAAATAACAAGGACCAGGCAAAGAGTGAGTGAGGAGCAGAGCACAGTGCAACTCCCAATACCAGTAATTAAATGAAGACAAATGTTATAGTCCACGGATCTACGTAGATGCAATTTAAATTAAAGGTGCAGTGCGTAACATTTCCAGTAGAGGGTCCGCCACCTGCTTATCTGGAATATAAGGAACTGTTATTGCTTTGTCTAAAATGTTCAGATCTGTGGAGAGTCAGCCTTATTTACAGAAGGAATTTTTGGGAAATAAGAGACACTCGTAATGAATAAAAGCACAAGTAGGTAGCAAACCCTCCACCAGAAAAGTTGCGCGGTGCACCTTTAACATTAAAATACCAAATGTTACTGAATCATACAACAAGAGAAAGGTAATTTGACCAGGCAGACAAGCTTGTTTACTTAGAAATTGCATAACTTTAATTGCAGCTTTTGTTACATATTATTCTGTATTGAACTCATAGATTACAGTGGAGACAAAACAACTTATTTTCAAGCTTTCAGCATTTTGAAATTCATGCATTTATAAAGTACTTTGTTCATGGTCATCTGTGAAACTATAGCGACATCTTGGCACAGTCTTAGTTCAAAGCAGATATTCAATCTAGCTCTTGACAATTCAAAACTTATTAAACCTGGCACAAAGGCATCAATTCAAATCAAACAGATGGCAAAATTACAATTATGAATTGCAATAAATTAACAATTAACAACAAATTTCCAATACATAATCCTCTAAATATTAGTGAAAATGAGAATGGTAATTTAAAATATTGGTTTTAATCCTGTTTTTTAAGCATTTAAATTTCGGTGTTAATACAATCTGACCAAAGAGTTTTAAATTTTAAGTTTAATTTAAAGGTGCACTGTGTATCTTTTCTGGAGGAGGGTTCATGACTCCATGGAAATGTTAGTGCTTTGCCTGGGATGTCCCACCACATGGCACTAAACGAGGGCAAGTTACAAGTCATCTCTATAGAAGCTTCCCCATTTACAATAATAATGCATGATTTTCAGAGGCATTTTGAGCAATAAAAACACCAATAATCTAATACATGGAAGATGCCATAATGTGAAACAATCCAAGCAAACCAATAATACCTCCACTGAGACCAGAAAAGTTACAGAGTGCACTTTTAAATGAACACTGTCAAAATTTTGTAATACTTAATGTACTGATTGTTTATCCATTTAATTATTGAAAATGTTGTTAAGAATTTTATTTTATTTGATATAGTCCTTTCAGATAAAGGTTTGTTAAGGCAATACTCGAAAGTTGTTTTTTTTTCTTATCATGCAGCCCCACCACTCTCTTAAGCCACAGTTTTCAGGTCTGAGTCTTCTTCCGTGTTTTTAAAGCTTCAGGAAATAAAGTTGGTTTGAGGGATGATGCTCTCCACTTTGTGATCTGCTGGATTCGCGGCTGCTTCATAGTTACAGATTGTGACTTCATGTCTGTGAGCCTAAAAGGTAAAATGATCAAGTTTAATTTGATTGATAGAAAAATACAGGGATGTGAGTCAAACATTTGAGCATTTTCTATTAATATTTATATAATAATATATATACATTTTCATATTTTGTTCAAAGGTCCTAGATTACACAAAATAGACTCTTGTGAGCTTTGAGTCATGTCATGTCATTTCTATTAATATTTATATAATAATATATATACATTTTCATATTTTGTTCAAAGGTCCTAGATTACACAAAATAGACTCTTGTGAGCTTTGAGTCATGTCATACATAATGTTGTATCTTCATCAAAAACATACTCAGAGTTGAGTTTTGTTTTATCCACTAATGTTGGAGTAATAAATATTTAGTCTGTCTACATCTCCAAAGCTCAAAATGCTCTATTCCTCCTTGTGATGTCAGTGGTGTTGGTGGTAGTTTCAAGAGCTACCTTTTACCTTTAATTCAGTAGATAATGGCAATTATCAGGCAGAGATTATCCAAATGATTCTAGTAAAGGTATATGGAGTTTATAAACATGCATGATATGACATCACAAAGTGGAACAGAGTGTTTTCTGTTTGAGAGAAGAACTCAGCCTAAATATGCAGGATTTGTGTGTTAAAGATATGTTTAACATCATTGATCTACACATAAGTGAGACTTGTTGATGTGGTGAGAAAGGTTGATTAAATCAGACAGATGGATAACAAGTGAGGAAAATTTTCAGAGACAAATAGTGAAAGGAATAGTTTGTGTAATAGAAAGTATAATACAAACACATTTGATGTCATTGCAAGATAAGTATTTTAAATTCTGTGTTTACAGGAAACACTTAAAGATACATATCTCCACAGATCTGGTCTATAATTTGGTTGTCTCCATGAACTAGATAAAGTTTAATGCCATGCTGTGGAAAATTACAGGCAATGCAATAACATCGGCATGGAGAGATATAGATAGCATCCTATTGAAACAATTGTGGTTGAAGTTTATTGCTTCCCAGTAAAAACGTCACATTATATCGTCCATACTGACCTCAGAGTATTCTCCTCTCAGGCCGATGTAAAAGACTCTTGTACTTTCTGCCCCAAAGTTTTTTGGGATGTGAATGGAGAGATGATTCACATTTGTAAACCGAGCAATCCTGTACAGAAAGACATGTTGAGCAAAATAATTTGAAGTTGAAGTGGAAAATTAGCTATAATTCCATGTTACAGGAATGTGCAGCTAATGAGGGCTGTTCCTAATCGTTTTAACCACTAAAATATTACACTATTGGTGCATTCATGTGTCCTTACTTTGTGGGATATTCCAGCTCTGCAGTGGGGTCTCTGTTGAGTCTAAAGGCCTGTTCGGGTTCCCGTCCTGTGTCATCAAAGGACATCTGGGCAATGTTTTTAAATCTGAAATGAGAATATGTTGCCTTCTTTAGTAGCAGAAGTGATCAGTCACATTTAGTGAGATGCATTTACTTGATTGCCTATTTTACAGTGTTGAGAAAAGGTTTTAGTTAGTTTTTTTTTTTTTAGTTAAGCTTTATGTTGACAATATTAAAATTATTTGAGCATTTGTATTTCTTGAACTGCTCATTCAGATATGATTTTGCTTTTCTTAGTTTTGTATCAGGTTTTGTGTGTTATTTATTGTTTTGTCCTTCCAATACACAGTACCTTCCCATACACAAGTAATTACAACAAAACCACTTAAATGTTGTTATGAACTCACAATCGTATCTCCGCTGGATGAGAATCGTCATCTTCCCCAGAGATAATGATACCTTTTAGCTTCACACTGCCTGTAAAACTAAAACAAAAAGTGCATGACCACAGCAGAAAACTACAAGGAAAAGAGACGCTACAAAACGATGAGATGGTGAAATAAGACAGATGTTGTTTGAGAGCACCACAAATGAAAGTGATTTTTGTTACAATGCCCTAGATTTATTGACAGATTATTCATGGTTCATCATATTTGGTTGTATCATCATCATCTTCAGACTTACGGTATATTAAACAGAAGTTCTTCATCAGCATCACTCTCCACAAACTACAAAACAAAGAAAGCAACAAAATCATCACTAAAAATACGTTTAAGGCAAAAAGACAAAATAAATGCATAAAGACTATGTAGGCTTGACATTATGCTCAAGAGGAAATGTATGGAACAAATAAATATTTTAAATTGTACCAACTTTTCTAGTGGGTGTATATGACCTTCTTGTCTCCAAGGAGATTTGTCTAGAATGTTCCACAGTATGAGATTTAACAATTACAGGTGGGCTTGCCTTTCCACACATCAAGTATGTTTAACACCATTTAGTGGAACAATCTAGGCCAACATGGAGACACCAACAAGCAGGTGGCAGGATCACCTGAAAAGTTACTCAGTGCACCTTCACCAGTGTACACAAAAACTGCAGTGCAAGCTCAATTATAAAGTTACTGCAACAATTTATTTTTTTACACTTATTTTTCAACACTGTCTATTGGGGTTTTGACATTTTATGCACAGTGACAGTCCCAAAAATAATTGAGGTCAGACATGTCAAGCTTAAGCAGAATTTATTTTAAAAAATAAGTAAAATTGCCTAATTCCATATAGGACCCGTATATATGAAAGTATAAATATTACTTATGTATTAAGAGGAAAAAAATAAAATATTGCAAAAACTTTGAGTTAGTGAATGAGTGCTGAGTCATGCCAGTGTCTGGAAGTGCAAAGTATGTTCTTATTCATTAGCCTCAATTATTGTTATTATTCCAAATACTAAAGCTAAAACCATTTTATAAACGATTAAAATAAACCCATGGATCTTTAGCGGGGTGTTTGTCAGCTTCTTGCGCTGATGCCCCGCTCTCCCTGGGTCTCTCTCTTCGGGGGTCTCGCTGACTTTTACCTTCTCCCGGTCAGTCCGCTGGTCCCAGGGCTTGAACACCTGTTTTCCGTCCCCGTCCCGGCTCTCGTTCAGACACTGCAGTTTCTCCAGGTCGATGCGCCGGTAGAGCCCGTACTCCACGCCTCTCTCCGCGGGCTCATGCTCCCCCTCGCAGCTGCAGCCTCCGCCGTGTGAGTGTCCATGCCCGTGCCCGGACATGATGGAGCTAAACACAACGTGGGTAAGCTCAAAGGAATGCGTAGTCTGCCAGAAAGTCCCGCTGCTGTTCGGCGGTGGAAGAGATGCAGATGTGGTGGAAATGTGAAGACACCTGCAAGTTTTACTTCGCAGCGTGAAACAAAATACTTCTGCGTCAAATCGACTCACGGCACAAATCACTTCCGGTTTAATTTATTCAAAATAAAGTTAGCTTAACTATTAAAGTTATGATCAACAACAGAAAGACATTTGCAGGTTTACAGTTGATATAAGTAACGATTCTTACACAAATAATTTAGTGATTTAATTTTGAAAAGCCTGTCATATGCATATTTCAAAAGGCGGCAGAAGCAACATCATTTGATGAAGTGACTGTTCAAAGAGGGCTTGGGGTTTTTTGTTAGTACTACACCGTCTATGGTTGGTACACGTAATGTAAAACCTTTATTTTGAAGTCAGGAAAGATCTCCACTTTTACCAACAAGTGGTGAAAACTGTCGTGAAATGTTTATAAACAATCTTTTTATTGCATTCAATTTTCTTTACCATTCCTTTAAAACTATGAATAATAACACCACAACAAACTTAAGGGCAAAAGTCAATGTTTAATAAAAATTACAATTTAACATTTATTAAAATCTAATAAATTCCAAATTTTAACCTACTTAATATTGGGCCCAAGTGGTGGTCTTACAGGTCCCCTTGTAATAAATACAGTCCATTTCACTGTGGAGGTTTTGTTCTGTGTAATTACCGAGACACACTCCAATGAATGACAAGACAACTGCTGTGTGTGGGCTGCCCGCTCATAAATTAAAAAATAAATTAGGTTTATTTTTTTAAAAACATGATTCTGACCAAGGATTTAAAACTGGACAGCTTTGAAAGTGGACAATGTTCCTATAATTGTTCCTTATGTAGTGAATCAAATGGTACACTTAAAACCAATTATGGGAAAATGCCATAAAATTCGTCCTTCAAAAAGGGGAATACAAGTATGTTTCCTAAAGAAAAAATATCCTAAAATATCTTTTCCTTAGGTCTCATCGGACTGAAAACAGTGTGAAAAAGTTCATCACAGTTTGAACCGTCATACTTCCCCCTAAACAGAATCTCAACCATTTAAAAGAACAAAATGACTTCTCCACCAATAAGTTCATGTATTGACGATGGATAGACACAATGTTTTTTGAGTGTGCAAATGTCATGGCTAAATGAGATAAATTAAAAACATGTTAGTTAGTTGTAATTTCATAAACTACGGGCAGTCTCTTCACACTACCGACGGGAGAATCGGTTCTTGAAGGCTTTGATAGTTTTTGCCATCATGGGGGCGATTTCTGCAAAAAAAAAAAAAAAAAAAAAAGATCTAGTTAGCAAATTCCATGTAATAGATTTTGAAGCATTTCAGGAAAAACAAAATCCATATTACAAGAAAGAAACCAACTCCATACATATAGCACACTTATAATCTGAAAGGTCTAGAATTTATTATGTAGTTGTAGTAGTTATTATGATATCCTTAAACCTAGTTTTAGAAAATATGGTCCTCATGTCAGTTCTGGTTTAGTTTTGATTTAGTAGGCTTGTCACAATAATTACTATATCGATACCATTCAATATATTAGAAATGGAACAATAATTTTTGGAGGTCAATATTTATTGTGGACACTTTTTCTTTGTAGTAGTGTGAAATTTTTCATTACTTTTTCTGCAATATGATGAGATTTGAACTGTAGAAGGTTGAATTGGACTTAAATTACACAATCCAATTATTTAAGTGCTGGAATGTGCTGTTTATTTAAACAGCTATAACTCTATACTATACTTTTAGAGCAGTTTTTGTGCATATATACATATATTTACAGTTGAACAGTAGATAGACTCAGGAACACTTACTCTTGACCTGTGGTTTGTCCCTGGCGGCTGCAGCGGCAGAGGACCCCCCGCTCAGGGCCGAGGGTCGAGAGGAGGAGGAGCCGAGGGAGGAGGAGGGACCACTGGAGTCAGACTGAGCCACTGAGAATACTGGACGTATTCTGCAGGAAATATTTTTTTAAAAGGCCATGAATAGCAACATGAATTATTTAATCCAGATTTCAGTTATTAAAATGCCACTATGACATTGTCTGATGTATGTTATATGTGTATGTAGGTTACAAATCCTGCATATTTAGGCTGAGTTCTGCTCCACCTTGTGTTGTGATGTGGTAATACAAGAAGTGATCCTCTGTGTTTTTAAATTCCATACACCTTCACTAGAATAATTTGGATGATGTCAGACCTGGCATTGCCAATCTCTACAGAGGGTAAAATGTAGCAGATAACTTGAAAACTACTTGAAAACAGAGCATTTTGAGCTTTGGAGATGAAGCCAGACTAATAAAACATTAGTCAAACATGTGAATTAAACAAAGCACAACTTCTGGTATATCTTTGATGAGGTAACAACATTATAACATGGCTTAAAGGTCACAAGAGTCAATTTTGTGTAATATAGGACCTTTAATACATTTCATTATTGGTCTTAAAGATGCACTACGTAACATTTCTGGTGGAGGATCAACTGCCTTGGTCTCAAAGGGATGTTATTGCTTTGCCAGGAATTTACACATCTAGCATTTATTCAGTCAGCTTTTTTAAATTGCTAGACCTCCATTAAAAACATGCATTCTCGCATGCATTCTACTCAGATCTGACCGGTAACTTGGTCTCCATGGATATAGTTTAATGCCATAGTGTCAAACATTCCAGGAAAAGCAATCACATAACCATGGAGACAAGGAGAAGGTTGACCCCCACCCCATTACATAGCGCACCTTTATTATATAGGCCATTAGCTATTATTTCAGTGTCAACCCGTCTACCCATATTAGAGGGGTTAAAAATACTAAAATGGCATAGAAACTAAATATTGCTGCCTCTATATTTATTTTTCTTAATATTAATTCAGTTATCATTTCATCATCCACCCTTGTACACATATTACTGTGACATTGAAAGTGAAATAGCATAGGCACAAAATGTTGGCATTTATATTTGTAGACAGTACTCACTTGATGGGGGCGGCCGCTGCTGTGGAAGAGGCAGATGAGCCGCTTGAAGTACCGAATTTTTCCTGACGCCTGCGAACGTCACGCGGCGGTTTGGCGACTGAATTTACAAAAGCCATTTTAACCTGTCGACCTGTGAAAGATGAAAAACAGCTATTAACACTTGGGCTGAACAATATTGTAAAATTATCTGACAATCTGCAATTCTTATGTTTCTAGTTCAAGATTCAGTTCACAGAACACATTCTAAACACATCCAGAGCCTTAGCATTTCAAGGTCCTATATTTAAGCTATGAAAAAAATCTGAGCATTTTTTCATTATGATTTAGGATTTTTATGCGCCTTATCTTGCACCTCTTTTATGTTCAGTTTTGTGTTAAATGAATTCCTTGTGAATCTAAGCCACGTTATTAATTATATCAACACATCATTCAATAAGTGATAGCTGGAAAACCATATTTGGGGGCTAAATATTTATCATAGCGTTCCAGAGAATCAGTGCAGTCTTGACTTGTTGGTGCACATGAAACATTTTACATTTTACACAATTCAACCTACTTTATATGACATTTTAGTGGCAAAACCTTTTTAAAATTCTCTATTTAATGGTGTATTGTGTAACTTTTCTGGTGAAGGGTCTGTTAACTGCTTTTCAGCATGGAGATGTTATTGCTTTGTCTGGAATGTTTCACAGTATGGTATTAAACCTTTCTATTGTCATGGAGACCAAACCAAACCAAGGTACAGGTCAGATTACAGGTCAAAAGTTACATAGTGCACCTTTAAATGCATGGGAGTGCAGTTTAGTAGCATTTGTAGAGAAAAGTGGGGCGGAACAAGGTAAATAATTCAACCTTTTTTTCCCCCATTACCTTTGGGTTTGTTGGCGTGTGCGGAGGAAATGTTTTGCGTTAACATCTTGAGCCTCTCCTCCCTCTCGTCATGAAGTCTCAGGTACATTTCTCTCCAAGACTCGAACTCTTGAGGCTGCTCCCGTTTGAAGTCCCTCTGACAGTGACGCATCCACAACTCGTCCGAATCCTCCGTGAACCACTGAGAGAGAGGAGGAAACAAACCAAGGTAAAGAAAGGGTCTTGACCATTTTAGGTGGTCAAGGCATTTTCTCATTCTCTAAACATGCAAAATCATCAACTTAAAATGGGACTCAGTTGATTCTTGATATTTTTAACGGGCCCATGTTACACTATTCTCTGATCTCTGTTAAAATGTTATTTCCTCATCAAAAACATACCTGCAGTTGTGTTTTGTTTCATTCACACACAAAAAACTAAATATTTAGGCTGACATCTTCTCTCAATCAGAAAACACTCTCTTCCACCTTGTGAAATCATGTGGTTATACAGGAAGTGCTCCACTGTGTTTCTTAGCTCCATACCCTGGTGGATCAATAAAGTTCTAGTTCTCCAAGTCTAAGCCTTTGTCTATACACCCTGACTAAAGTCTTTTGGATAATTTCAGTCCTGAATTCCCAATCTTTACTGAATAAAAGGGTAGGTGGTAACTTGAAAACTACGGCTTCATGACATAACAAGGTGGAACAGAGCATTTTGAACTTTTGAGATGTGCATAGACTAATAATTAAAGGTTACTTAACCATATGTGAATGAAACAAAACACATGAGGTCACAACATTATAACATGGCTTAAAGCTCAAAAGAATGGATTTAGTGTAATATAGGACCTTTAAACATGTCATTGTCCCATAAGAGTCATGAACAATAATGAAAAAGCCCCTTGGTTGTTCTGCACAAAATTGAATAATTTGAAGCACAGTAGAAAATATTTCCTGTTGGATATGCACCAAATTGATTTTAAGAGAAGTTACAACAAAGATTTTATAAGTACTGTGTATTTAGTAGCTGTAGGCCTCACCTGGTTGCTCTGTTCAATGCGGTACAGCTGCTCAGGGGTGCACCTCTCCAAAACAGGCTCCAGGATTTCAAATGGAACTCCTCCCACCTCAGCAATGGCTGCAGGGCAAACACAAAGCAAACAGTATGAATGAAAAAGGATGATATGATGAAGCAGATTGTTAGCCTTACAGCATAAAAGTTTTCATAATTTTTCTGGAAAATCAGTAACATCATTAACTTTAACAATAACTGTCAGTTTTGTGTAATATAGGACCTTTAAGATATCATTATTCTTAAGATGAAGTGATGTGTTACTCACAGTCGATGTTGTTCTGTAGCACTCGGATGCACTGCTCGTACAGCGTCATCATTCGAGGCAAATATGAGGTTTTGGAGCCAGAGAAAACGACCATTTTGGAGTTTAACCTTTTCCCTGTGAAGCCGGCATCCTCCTCATCAGTATAAAGAGCAACTGAAAAAAAACAACTAATATTAGCCATAGATTAAATTAATTCAACATAGCCTAGAACAGAACATTTAATTAAACATGTAACTTTTTATTCATTTTGTTCCTGCAATGAAAATACACAGTAGTACAATGAACAACACATAATGCAATATTTATGTATAACAGAAGGCATTTCCATGATTAGAAAGGAGCAGATATGAAGAAAAACTTTTGCCCCTTTATTGACGTTTCAATTAGATCATTTGATGGTCTTGCCATTATCCCCAGATTACAATTTTGATTTTATCAGGATTCATATTCCAAGCAGCTTTATATAGTAGTCTTTAAGAGATCAATAAATCCAGCTGCTTCTTTAGAGAATTCATACTTCCCTCTGATTTGTCAAATACACTGAACAGACAATCTCTGAAGATCATTATAGGAATAGAATCACAATTCAATTTTAATCATTATTTCATCCAGGCCTGTTTTATTTTCTCACCTTTCCGTCTCTGGGGGGACAGTGGTGTGACGTCAATGGAGGGCAGGGGTCTGTAGTTCGGTTGAATCGCAGGAAGAGGGATGTCGGGGAGAACTGGGACAGGCTCAACCACCTGCAAAACAATTTACCGTTTAGATCAGAATTTAGTATAGATTAAGTTAATATGTTCACAAATTGCTGTTAGTTCAAATGATAACTTCACATTTAGTTCAGACATATTTATTCAGTAACTGCCACGTTCATGTGCATGACAACAACAGCAACTAGCTCTGATTACAAACAAGACACGTAACATGGGCAAAAGGAGCTATAGGGTCCACTAACTGTAAAACATGAAGGTACGGTAAATATGAAAACAAGAGCTAAGAATTGCCAGGCATGATCTTTATGTCTCAAACTAGGTCTCACAAAATATCACTAAATATTAAAACTAACATTTTTATTTAAGTCATTTACCAGCGCTATTAAGCCACACACTCCCTGCCAGAATCACAGCAAAGCAAAAAAAGTGATTATGCTAAACTATTTGCGCTTTATTCATCCAACAATACTAAAATAAGATACTCTATGATGTACGATGTCCATTATTGATCCACTAGTATGGAAACACCCCCATGCTCACTTCCTATTTGGAGCGCAGTGGCTAGCAGGTTATATACAGCCTAAACCTAAACTAAGCCTAGACTAGATCAGAACCAAAGCCAGTATACATCAGGACTAAAGTGGGTTTATTTTATTTAACAGTCCCAAATATATCATCTACACATGCAAACGCAAAACACAAGACAAAACTGACAGAGGAATATTTTTTGTTGTTACCTTCTTGCGCTTTTCGGGGACTGGTCCTGAACTGGATCTGGACTTGGAGCTTGAGTGAGGTCGCTTGCTGCTGCCATTGGACTTGCTCACTTTTGACGATGAGGAAGATGATTGTGATGATGAAGGGGCGGAGGGCCGTGAAGAAGCAGACTGGGTGGAGGAGGAAGAGTGGACCGATCGGCTATGAGAGGAGACTGGGACAGAGGTGGAGGAGGGAGGGGGCTTTTTCTTCTTTTTCACTGAACTCGGCGCGTCATATGTGAGGAAAGATTCAAAAGACATGGTTGGAGTCTCGTACACCTCCTCTTCTTCATTTGTGGGGGAGTCTTTTGGAGCTTTTGGTCGGACTGAAATGGAAAAAGAGAAATTTAGACAAGGAATTTCAAGCTTCAAATGACATCTCACCATTGTATATATAGGCTTATGTGTAATAAGTAGCCTAAAAACAAAAATAATATTGATTGAGACTAGGTGTCTCTTATCGGGATTTAGATTTTTTTTTTCTTTGCACAAGTGAAGACCTTTTTGTATTAACATTTTAACTGTAGTTGATCGAATAATTAAAATCTAAAACTTATTGTGATATCTAAATACAGTGATGGGAAGAATACTTTGAAAACATATTAAGTTATAGAATACTGAATACCTGCATTAAAATGTATTTTGTAACATATTCTGATACATGGGCTAATCAGAGTACTCTGCTGAATACTTTTATACTGAGTTGCATTTAAATTATAGTGTAAAGATGCAACATAGTATTAATAACAGCTTTATATTTGTTTCACTGGTTTTAAAGCATTTCTAATCACTCATTGGAGATGGAAAAATCACACATGCATTGTCCACAAAAGCAAAGTTCTCACAGATTTTGGGCAGTTTGAAGCCTAAATTATGTTACTAAATACTTTAATGTATTCTTTTGATTTTTTTTAGAAAAGTAACTGCATTCACCAAATGAAAAAAGTAACTGTACTGGAATACAGGTACTGACTGAGTACCTGTATTCCAGTGAATCAGTGTTCAGAATATGTCTTTTAAAGGTTTAAATGGGATTATCATTATTTAGGGTTATTGTATCAGTTGCATGAAGTAGTTATATATGTAATAAAAATATACTGTGATATTATTATATGAACATTTTATAGTGACATTTTAAAGGCATTGTTAAGGAGTGTGTGTGTTGAGGTTTTTCTAAGACATAGTTCAGCGGAAATGTGTAATTGTGTATTGTGTAATCTGACTTCTCTTCTGTGTTACTATGACATGGACAAAAAGTGAACAAAAAGCAGCTCACGTTAAATTTCAAAATCCAAATTTTGATATTTATATAGCACATTCATTTATTTAGATAGCAACTGTAATGTTTCTAAAGTATTGCACAAAAAACACCAAAAAACAAATAAACACATGCTCTACCAGTGCTCATAAAATAATAATAAAACCCTACAATAAACTGTGGATAAAAACTAGTTAACCACATTTCCTGTATCACACATGAGTACTGAGAAAAGATCATCTGACAACAAAACCCAACTACTTTGCAAAAATTCAAGCATCTTTTACTATTGAAGTAACAATCGCAAATAAAAGAACATTTATTGAAGCCACTCCCAGTCTTGTCCACTTTCTCCGTTTGCATGTACTTTCCTGCTATCAGTACTGTATGTCTATACTTTTTTTCACTGTGAAATTAGTTCAGTGCTACTGTATCTTATCTGTGTCGATGAGCAGATTATTTGTTGCCATTTTGCCTTTTTGTATAAAACCAGGTGAAGTTATAGTTATAAGTTCATATTACACAAAATTGACTTGTGTGCTTTAAGACATTATAATGTTGGTACCTCCTCAAGAACACACCCGGAGTTGTGTTTTCTTTCATTCACACATTGAGTAACCTTTTATTATTAATTTGTTTACATCTCCCAAGCTCAAAACGCTCTGTTACACCTTGTGATGTCATATAGTGGTACTTTTTGAGTTAAGAGCTATCTTTTACCTTTTGTTTAGTATTGGCAATTCCAGGGCTGAAATCATCCACATGATTCCAGTGATGGTTTATGGAGTTTAAAAACACAGTGGTACCATCCTGTTTTATATTTTGAAAAACTGAGTCTAAATATGCAGGATTTGTGTATTAAACATGTGTGAATGAAACAAACCATAACTCCGGGTATGTTTTTGCTGAAAAAACAACATTATAACATAGATCAGAAAATTGCATAATATAGCTCTTTTAATCATTGAATTATATTAACCATTGCCTCTTCCTATGGTCATGACTTTATTACTTTTGTTTTGTCATTTATTTTTGTTCATTTAAAACTCACCATTGTCTCCTTTGTTCTTTTTGTCTTCCCTCTTGGCCTCCTGAGAGGGTTTTTTATGTTTTGGTGGTTTCTGTTCTGGACTATGGTGCCTCTCCCACCTCTCTACCTCCACTCTCTTCTTCCCCTCTCTCCTGTCGCTGCTGCCAGGTCGGCGCTCCTCTGTCCTGTCCCGGTTCTGGTGGTGGTGGTTTTTGTGGACCTCTTTTCCGGATTTGCTGCTCTGTTTTGGATCTTTTCTGGGAGGCGGGGGCGCAGGTGGAGGGCTGGGCTGTAGGCAGAGGAAAATAAAATTACTAAAATATACTATTAATTAATATAGCTGTAGCCATTGTGACACACCATAAAGGGGCAGGCCGAAATCAGCAGTTCAACAGTTTTCAACAGTGTTCCAACTGCAACTATTAGCTATCCTTAAAATGAGGACTGAAGAACTTCATATGAGTAAAAGTTCAAACATGAGATGTTCTGGAACAAAATCAGTCTGTAAATATTCGTATTACATTCAGTTAAAGGTCCAATCCAGATATCTGCTTAACCGACATCATGGAACTGATACCCGATGTACCAAAATTGTCAGTATTGGCACAGATATTTGATACCAGTACATTCCTAGTCTTAGATATTACATAGATATAAATGTATGTGAGCAGGAAAAAGCATAATATGTCTTCATGAGCTGACTATGCTCCAAAAATAAGTGTAGCATCTCTGCTCCAACATCTTGGATCAAAAACTCTTGAGGGACTTCTAAAACATCAACAACTGGTGTATAAAATTAGCAACCAGCTCATAGCGGTGCATGCCATTCACCTCACTCCAGCTGACTGCGGAATCAGATCTTATCATCCATACAACCATCGGACCCTATAACCCCAGTCCCAGCATGGAATCAACGACCAACTGAAGGAGTTTCAAGCCCGACTTTGCACTCTCCCTTCATTGACGTGATATCTACGCCTGTCAGGATAACAAATTTTGAAGTACAAAATTTTTTAAAAGTAAATATAGAAGATAAACAATATCTACTGAAACTAATCTATGCCACTGACAGAATAACCCAAGAGCAGATTTAAACCACAAAAAATTATATAAATCTTCAATATGTTTAACATACGCAAACGGTAAAAAAAAAGAAAAAAAGAAACACTTCAGTGCTTAGATTGCATCTGCAATGAGTCGTTAAGGTATTAATTCAACCTTTTACGGCTTAAATTTTATTGTATAGACATAAAGACATAAAATAACCAAGAAGGTCCAAGAAGTACAAAAAAAGTATATGTAGAAGAAAATTTTAATCTAATAACAAAGAGAAAAAATATAATACACATATATAAATCATCATTACGCACCTCTGGCTGTGGACTGTCATACTCATCAGACTGGTAGCTGTTTCTTTGCGGAGAGCTGTACTGAGGAGAGTAGTTTGGGTTGTAGCCTTCCTCGTCTTCCTCGTCCTCCTCTTCCTCGTGGTCATTGTGGTCATATGAATGCTCAGGAGAGGGTTCAGGTGAAGGTTGAGGAGAAGGTTCAGGTGAGGGGTCCCGGACTCGTTTGTGCCGTTCTTCGACTCTGTGGGACTGGGGTTTGGGGTGGTGACTGTTGGAGGTTCTAAAATATAAGGAAAAAAGTTTGACAAATTAGAACTTGGGAGAAAAATAGCAAGTTGTAAGAGGTGTATATCAAAAATTTTAAACTACTACTAAAAGTTACAACTGATTACTAACTGTATTGGCTGTGGTCAGTAGACAAAACAACCCATAATTTATAACAAACACACAAATGCAGTTTATTTTTATTAGTTGTCTTGAAAATTACACTATGCAACTTTTGAGAGACAGGTTACTTATGTTATGGCATGTTACTGCTTTGCCTGGAATGTAGTATGCCATATACCCTATTTATTTCATGTTAAGTGAATTTGACCTTTATTGCTCAGAAATACATTAAAAACACGCATTCTCATTGTCAGCGTAGTCGCCTCTTCAAAGATCTGACCTGTAATTTGGAATTGTACAGTTACTTGCTTGCTTCTTTAGAAACTGAAACATTTAACAAAACAAGGATATCTCTATGGAGACAAGCAATTGGCGATCTCTCCACCAGGAAAGTTACACATTGCACCTTTAAGTACTACTAAATGTAATAATCCAAAATATATTTCTAGGTATAACTACAAAATATTCTGTTCAATTATTTTACACTGCAATCAAGAATACATAGAATAATACAATTTATTAGGATTAAGGCAGATTAAGTACACATATTAAAGGTATATTATGAATTGTAAATTATTCTTGTGAGCTTTTAGCCATGTTGTTACCTCATCAAAAGTATACATGAAGTTGTGTTTTGTTTCATTCACACGATTGAGTAATGCTTTATTAGTCTTTCTACATATAAGCTCAAAATGCTTCATTTTATCTTGTGATGTCATGAAGCTGTAGTTTTCAAGTCAACAGCTTTCTTTTACCTTTTGCTCATGTATATAGTTAAAAAACACAGCGGAGCATGTCCTGTATTACAACATGACATCACAAGGTGGAAGAGAAGAACTCAGCCTAAATATGCAGGGTTTGTGTGTTAAACATGTTTGAATGAAGCAAAACACAACTCAAAGGATGTTTTTGATGAGGAAACGACATTTTAATATAGATCCAAAAATAGTGTAATATGGCCCTTTAAGGTGTGTCAAATGATAGCAACATGCAAAAGTACATTATGTTCTGGTTGTTTCAAGTTTCTTCATGATCCTCTAATAAGAATAGAATAAATCTGTATATAACATGGAATAATACATTTAAAAAGACCAAACAGGTCTAGCCGTTAGGATAAATTGCAAATTAAACTGAAATTCCACCAAATGACAACAAACTAGCTACCGGTACTTCTACTTCTTCACAGACTTCCACATTTAGTTGACAGCAGTGGGGTAGTGACATAAAATCCACATGTTTCAGCTTGTATTTGCCTCAAGAAAAATAGTTGTTTTTTTTAAAAAAGGAGTGTACCTGTACCTGTCTGAGGATTGAGGAACCAGTTTCTTCCATTTGGCCACAAGGTTTTTGGCCAACTCTCCAACTATTTCATGTTTTCTCAAAGAATTCACAGCTTTGCCCACTCCAGTTTCCTGAAGAAAAAAAAATATATATATACAAAAGGTGTCCAAATATAAATATTTATTAACAGGTCTAGGTTTTCCCCTCACACTTTAATGTGCACTACTAAAAAAGTCATATTCACAGGACAGAAATGAACCTTTCTTGGATACTTTAGAATGATCTAGAGCAGTATCAGAAGAAAGTATAAGAGCACATAAACTAGTATATGCCCATGGACCACTGTTAAACCTACCGCAGGACTGAGGGATTACACAGATATAAGGCCACATGATAACACAAACGTACTAAGATTTAATGTTGAAAATGACATTCTATTCTATAGACTAAATATAGACTCTTTTTAATTATCATCATGACATCAGAATCGGTACTTAATATCGAAATCGAGTTTGACATTTTAGTACTGTGACAACACTAGCGCACTATGTAACTTTTCTGATAGAGGGTCCGCCACCTGCTTGTCTCTAAGGAGTTACTACTTTGCCTGGAATGTTCCACAGTATGGCACTGAGACAAGCAAGTGACACCACCAGGTCAAGTGACAGGTCAGATCTGTGTAGACTGACACTATTCACAGTAAGGATACATGTTTTTCAAAGTATTTATTTTAGAACAATAAACATACCTGTAATAAATGCAAAATAGAAAGGTTTAATGTCATATGGTGGAACTTTCCTGGTAAAGAAATAACAACCCCCTCAAAAGAAATATTACACAGTGCACCTTTAAGCTATTAACTGTCATATGAAAGAAGAAAATGAATGATTAGTGTTTTTTTAATACTGACCACCAGGATTTCGACAGTCATGGGAAGCTCCCCCAGTCTTCTGAGAGCCTTTACCAACTGGAAACAGAAAGTAAAAACAAATCACAAAATGCAACAATAAAACGATTTTACTTTCTAGGAACAATATTGACTACATTAGGGCTGAACAATAAACACCAGGATTGTGTCACCATGTATTTCTAGAATTTCCAGTTTTCTTCATCTTAATGCAAATTTCACTTAATGTTCATTCAAAAGTATTCTGACATAGTGATTCAGCAGATTTTTTTCCTTTTAATTTCTTTATAGTTGCTGATGTTTTTTTATTTTATATTTTTTAATGCATATCTCTATAAATGTTATGCACATGTTGCAAGGTAATGTACACCCCAAACTCTGATTAAGAAATTTCAGCACAGGAGCGGAGAATGAGAGCTTTGTGCACAAAAAAAACAAACAAAAAAAACACATTTAGCCCCATAAGAACAGAGATATTTTTATTTTTTTGTAGTGCTACGTTTTATTTAGATTATGCATAATTTCACTGGGTAAACAGACTGCTACTCTCAGTTTGAACCATTTTAAACACATTTTAACATTGCTCATTGCTCTCTATGATTAGTTTGATGTCAAAGGTGCACTCTGTAACTTTTTGGTTAGAGGTCTGTTACCTTTTTGTTTCTATGGATACATCATTGCTCTGACAGGAATGTTCCACCTTATCACTTTAAACAGCTCTACCTTACGTTTATTAAATTACAGGTATTTTCATCTCGCTTAAAAATACCTAAAAAAAACACACATTCTGTCTGTGAGTGGGGTTGCCTCTCCACAGATCTGACCTCTAATTTGGGCTGGTTTGGGCTCCATGAAGATAGAATGGTTTAATACTATACTGGGAAACTTTCCAGACAATAATAACAAAAGCATTTCTTCACCAGAAAAGTTACACAGTGCACCTTTAAATGAATTCTCACATCGTTTCTGTCATATAAATAAGTATATAAAGAGCCAGTCTTTTGCACGGCTCTTAGACATTAAGGGATGCAAAAGATTTGCATCCCATAAAGAAGCCAAAAGTCCTATCATTAATTAACTGCATGCATGGAGAAGTCTAAACAACTGGAAAAAACAGGTTTTACATAAGTGCCCATGAAGTTTTTTTCAACACATTATACACAACATTATAATTTAGCCAGCATTTTTTAAAACTATTTACAACCATTTATATTTCCATTTCAACTGATCTTGCGTTCCACAATACATAATATTACGATTTTACAGAGACATGTGTAAAGTAGTGAACGCAGGTGAACAAGGACTGCAGATGTAAAGTAGCTTGTCACTAAATCTAGCGCAGAGCAATTTTTCTCTTTGAGATCACTGTAATCTGTGCATGGTCCTTGTAAATAGATAATACAATAGATTAGCAATACAAATCTAATTAAAAATAAAGGCCTGTTGATTTAATTAATTTCTAATCATAAATGATATGGTTTGGTCATTTTAAGTGATTGAATTTTAAATCTACAACCAATCCTCTGTCAGTAAAAGCCTGTGTACTTGAGGAACACATACTTTAGGTCAAACAGCAATGATTACAATGTCCATTGTTTATATTCAAGGAAATTATACTGAAATTAGTTTTTAATAAGACAATATAAAATGTAATTAAAAATCTGGATATGAACTAACTTATAGTTGTGGATCAATACAAGGTGTCGATCCCACACATGCATGGATAATAGCACAGAAACAAGTTTGGGGAATACATTTTTCCTCAGTGATCCAAAAACAGAGCTTTTACTGTACACTGTGTTTTTTTGTTGTTGTTTTTTTTCATTTGACTTGAGAATGCTGGTAAAATTGATCTGTGACACTACATTTTTAGCAAAAATTGAGATTAAGAGCTCACTCAAGGTATAATTTCAATAATGACTTTTCTATTTTTATTGCATACCTATTCTATGCTATGAAGTGACCCAAATAAGGATTACACTCTTACTTTTCCTAATAAATGAATCTGTGTCACATCTTAAAAAAGCCAGTTCAATCAAGTCACAGAGCAAAAATTAGTGAAATAAATTAAGGTTTATAGCACCTTATTATCAAGGCCTGCACAAATGTATTGTTTACAGATTTTAAAGTGCAATATGGTCTATCATGATGAGAATGTAAGCTGAAAAAACAAAACATTTTTAACGCTATTTAATCAATCACAGAGTAACTACGCAAACATTTTATCAGCATTAAAATGAATGGGCATTGTCTATTTCACATAACGTTGCCTGTTAGCTCCTCTGCTAATCCTGGCCCTCAAAGCCATTATTTTGTTTTGACACGATATATCGCTGAGATTTTAGTTTTGGTAGAATAAATTGTAAGCGAGAGCATACTGGCGTGTTTGTGTTTTAAACTAATCATTTAAAGACAGAAACTAATTAATTATTTTGCTAAAACAAGTTAAAGCTCCGTAAATAAGATGACGTTTCACGAGAGGCCTTTAGGACCCACAGTAGACGATAGGAAATTTGAGCAGCATTGAGGGAAAGGCCTGTAATATGGCCAAGAAAGATTCGTGAAAAATAATTCAAATAAAATTAAAACTCGATGTTTGAGCGGGTGAGATCTGTAGCTGGAGTTATATTACTATTTTATTAAATACTCATCTATACAAACTATTGTAGAGAATTGTGTAACGTTGATTCATCCATTCAGATACAATGCGACTGTTCCAAGTGTTCTAACTATTTACAATTACATGAAACATTTTATACTTTTCCAAAGTATAAAGGATTATCACATTAAGGGAGTTATTTGATGATTTCTGATTATCTCTACTTTTAAAATCTTGAAATCATACAGCTTTTAATTACAATATAAATAAGGGAAAAGGCAAATAAGATTTACTGAAAACATCTAGGTTAAGTTCCCTTTGTAATGTTAAATATTTCCCATTTTGCTTGCTTGACACGATAACATGTACTGTTGTTGAAATCCCACAATTTATCGTGGTATTTCTGACAAAAGTTTATTTTTTTTATAGAGATGAAAATCGTAGATCAGAGACTGCCTGAGGACCCTGAACGCAGTGTGTTTATCGGAGGCGACTTTACTCAAACTGCGTGGCTTCCCTTGGGCCTTCCCCGGGACAAAGCCTCGGGTTTCGGGAGGCCACTACAGATAGAGGACCCCACTCCCCGGTGTCGATGACCCAGTGGGCCCTACCTTTCGGGGCTCTTGGTTCTCCTGGAGCCGGGACTGGAGCCTGTCCACTGTTTCGAGCAGGTCCTCCGCCATGTTTACTGATGGTACTTTGACTCTACCGGAAGCTGCTTCATTCCGAGCGATGCCAAGTTCCGCGAATCCAAAAATTCCTAAAAACATCATACATTCATCACCGATAAAACAAAGGTAAGGCAAACGTCTGTGAAACTAAATTAATTACATGACTTTTCTTTTTTTTTTTTTTGTCTTTGACGTGACATTAGCGTGGTTTTAAAAAGAAAAGAACACGTTATGAAAATGCCATATGCAAAGAAATTCCAAATACCACTAACAAAAATTAAAAGCTGTGGTTGCATAAAATAAAATGAGAATTATTACACTTTGAACGCAATTTTAACTTAAATAAAATATCAATTATATTTTAATGTGAAAGGTTGAAGTCATGAAAGCGAGCTGACGTCACTGCACAGCTGACCTGACACCTGTTTGACATGTAGACGCATAATTATAAAGTGTACCTTAGTAACCCCACTATAATATAGTTTTACCACTTCTATCTGTAATATTATAGGCTATGACCTACTACCAGATTAAAGTTAACATGCACTAACAATAGTGCATTTAAGATAAATTCCTGTTGGTCATGTATTTATGTCTATAACATGGTGGTGGCACCTGTATTATAAAGTCTGAGAATCTGATATCAGGCCGATGGCATTTTACACAGGTGACCTATAAGATGGCAGTTTAAAGATAGGATAGGTGTAATGACCCATTGATTGATTTCCCAATGTCTCTGCAGACCAGATATGCATTTAGGAGAATAGGAAAAAGAGAATTGTACAATTTTAGGCCTAAGAATAAGAAACAGTTTTGCCTAAATATTACTTGTATAACTGAAAATGTCCTATTAACATGTGATACCCATCCTCTAGGCTGCCGTATCATACCTATCAACACCAGTGCAAGTAACATAAGATGTGAAAATGTCTGCAAGTTTACAACAACAATAATTAGTGGAAATTGAGCGGGTCCAAGATAGACCCTTGAGGAACACCTACCAAATGTGAATCTAAAAGAAATTTTGAAAAAATAATAATTTTTTTTTCACATCTTATCTGTATGAGAGTTAATAATGGAACTAGAGACAACTCAAAACATGATTTACCCGTATGCAGACACCTGAAGCCTAAACCATGAGGCCACTGGAGATGAATGAGGAGGGGCTGGGTGTCAAGTGGACTGCCCTGTGGTGGGGTATTTTTAGCGGGGTGGAGGGCGCTGCGGGGTGCCTGTATTTGGAGATGGAGGTGGGAAGCAGGAGGAGCATGAAGTTGGATTGAAAGATTGTTGGTTGATGCGTCACTGCTTTGGTCTGAACCCCAAATTTACCTCAACCTGTTGTATCATCCAATACACACACACAGCACAGCGCCGGACTTGGAGGATCGAGGGACTAAGACAAGGAAACTTTGAAGACTACTTTGAATAGTAACAAAACTCAGACGGACAAGGAAGGAAGGAACAGTTGGATTCTGAATGCAAGAAAAGTGGTAAGTACTAGACCTTATTTCCATGTGTAACACCTCTTGTTATATCTCAAATACTTTCCTTTTTCAATGTAAAGTAAGATTTATATTGCAACAAACTGAACAATTCTTTCAAAGTCACACATGATATCAGTAGCCACAACTTGTCTGGGGTAACTTGGCAAAGCCTTACCACTAGAGCTGAACAATTAATTACATTTTAATTGATTTGCAATTCAGTCATTTCAAATTGTCCATATGCCTGAGACCTCTTAATTGAAAAATGTACAGATAATCTTTCAGTAAAAGCATATTGTTCGGAGCGTAGTAGAGTGTAGACTTTTAAGGCTTAAATATGACTGTTTAGTGTGTCAAATAGATGGCACTGATTAAAAGTATTTTTTTTTATGTTCAAGAAGTGATTGTTGAAGGTCTAGTTTATTTGTTTTTAATTAGACTATATATTAAATCAGGACTCAAATTTGCACTTATTTTTTGTCTATTCTTCTTGCCTGTTCTATTCCGTATCCTTACTCCACAACACCACAGCTCACCGAAAATCACAAGCATCCATATAAGCGTACTAGGGTGTCAGAAAACCAAAGGTAAAGTGACAGGATGCAATGTTGATATATGAGCTCAACGCACAAATCTTAATTGCTCTAACATAACCAAGCAAACCTAATACTCTATAATTCACAATTCATGCCTTTGAATGAATAGGCTGTAATCATCTATAATTTGTGGAAACCAAATGTTGTACCAGTTGTTGTCTTTGGTCTTTTCTGCAGTAGGGCTCCTATTGTTTTGATAGAGGTCTGAAGCTTTAACTCGTAGGTCAACTTCTATAAATAGCCTCTGTGTGATACTAAAGGCATTTGACTCAAGAGTAGATCATACTTCAGTGTTTGTTTACCATTTTTGAAACCATTAATGAGATGAAACTGGAGACTATCTATGGTCTAGTTTTTGATTGGTTTCAGATTTTAGCATTTTGATCATTCACACTTGGTCATTATCAGGTTTTGCTGACTACTTAATTTTATCTTTATTTATCCAATGGTACAGTAAATAGAAAGGAAATATAACTCAATTTATTCATGTTTTAAAGCAATTGGTTTGGTTTATCTATGGTTGCCTTTTTTTCTAGTGGCTACAATAACATTTCTAGTGGAGCTTCCGCCACCTGTTTGTCTCCATGAAAATGTTATTGCTTTGTCTAGAATGTTCCACAGTATAGATTAAACACATAATGGAGACAAGCAAGTAACACCACTACGCTACATTACAGTTCAGATCTGTGGAGAGTTGCCCCTATTCACAGAAGGAATTGTTATATTTCTGAGGAATAGAAACACCTGTAATGAATAAGTGCTAGATGGATCTGTTTAAAGTCATAGCATGGAACATTCCAGGCTAAGCAATAACATCTGGAGACAGGTAGGTAGCGGACCCTCCACCAGAAAAACTGCGCAATGCACCTTTAACATGAACATAAGTAAAAGAACATAAGTCAAAGTAAAAGATTCAAGTGTCTATATTTTCTCTATATCTGGAATTTTGTTTGTTGGATCTGCTGCAAAATATGCAATTTTCGTAGACCTTAGATACTGTGTAGTAAAGGTTTGGTCAATGGAGTATATGCCTGTAGCTTACGTCGCTGTCATTTGAGCTCAATGTCATTATAAAGATATTAGATTTGATGTATGAAGTTTCCGCTGTATCTGTTAAAATGTTTAATCTGATACTTGTTTATGATGTTAAAAAATATGTCCTTGACCTAGTGGCCACTCTCTGCTCTACTACTACTATACCTGTATTATAAAACTGACTCGAGGCCTGTATGTAAACACTACAGTCATGTGCGCCCTAGACTTGAAAAGTAACACGTAAGGCCAAGAATCAAAATAAATGTTTTTATCTCAGTTAAAATGGGTCCTAGACTGGAACCATAGACTCTATAATGAAGTGGACTAAGGGAGTGAGACGTCACCCATAGCGGCTCCAGACAAATGAAGGTCATGAGACTAGCAGTTATAGCGGCGAATTTGGAGGAATATATTTGCGGACAAAATAGCAAAATAAAAACACCAGGATCGTGTAGAGTGGGTTAATAGAAACATTTTAAGGCTAGCAGCAGTTACGGGGGGGGGGGGGGGGGGGGGGGGCTTACTTCCTATTTGGAACACAGCGACAAGCAAGTTAGTTTTGTCCACTTATATAAACAGTCTACAGTTGAGACAGGTTTTTATAAATTTAATAATACATTTTGGTTTTCCCTCATAGTGATGGATAAAAATAAGTGATAAATGTAAGTAGTTAATTCTTTTAGTTTTTAAATTTTCTGTCACTGATTTGTAGATTGTAAATGCATAGGCTTACTTGTTTTGCATGTTTTTTTTTCTTTGTAAAAGGTAAACCTAAACAATGTATGCCAAATGCAGAGAAGACAAAAAACTTGGTTAGGTAAAGGTTACATAAAACTAGCTGTGTTTGCATTTAAAAAGAAATAGTCTAAAACAACCTGGACTATACTTTGGCATCACAAAATCACACTTTCTTGCCTATTGTTTTATCATTTAAAACATTTAAAAGTACTATATTGGGCTTTAAAATTAAATATAGGTAGCAAGTGACATTTATACAATGAAGTAATTAAAATGTAGATTATATCTGCCACCATAGTCTCCCCAGAATGTGTGGGAAACACTTTAATGCATTTTGAATCTGCCATGAAAACGTAGCATTTTACACTTACACTTAACAAGCTAGTACTGTTTTTACTGTTCCCTCTCTTGTCCGATCTGCAGAGAGGAGGGAGTCTCTTTTTAAATAGATGCAACAGCCGATGGTTTACAGTGTCCCCACATGGACAGGACAAGCCCAGACGGGGTGGGGTGAGGGAATGTGTGGGTGTGGGGGGGTGGCAGCTGTCCTGGGTGTCATATGAAGGAGCAGTGAATAGTTAGAGCAGCTTCAGACGACTCGAGATGTTGCAATCTCTACTGGAAAAGATGCAACACCGGTGTACAGTTATGTTACATGTACATGAAGGTGACACAGTGATTAGATAACTGCCTTATTCAATTTTAATAGGAAGTTAAATATGTTGTGGCACTTTGTAATGACTACACCTTAAGTAGCAGGTGTACTATATAACATTTTGGCTCAAGGTCCGTCACATGCTTGTTTCTATGGATATGTCATTGCTGTGCCTGGAATGTTCCGCAGTGTGACATTAAACAGCTGTAAGTCACATTTATTATATTACAGGTGGTTTAATAGCTCAAAAATATCTACAAAAGTGGCTTTTTAACTGTGAGCATACGTTAGGTCCGTCCCCCTTCCGTGTCCATAGATCTGATCTGTAACATGGTCTGGTTTTGGTCTCCATGAAGATATAAAGGTTTGATATCATATTGTGAAACATTCCAGATAATTCAATAAAAATGAGAAAAGCAGAATGCATCTTTAACGAAATGTGCAAACAGAGTCATGTATTTATTCCCTTTATTTAGACATGTATAATGATAATGGGGCAACAGCAAATGCATTTTGTGGTTGTGTCCACGGGCAAGACACCTCACTTCACCCACCTTATCTCAAGTGCTGATTAAGTACAGGTTTATAAATGACAGTGTTTGTGAGAGTAAGTGGGGACAATGGATGGAAATTAGCTACAATCTGCCATGTTTATGCATTCTCTATCTTCAATATATAATATCAATCCAATACTATGACCTTCTGTTTATATTTATCCATTTGAAGCTTTATACTTTCTTCTTCTTCTTCTTTTAGGACTTCTAGGACATTCAGTCAAGAGTGTTTAACAGCAGAATTTGTCTATTTATACTGCACACCAAAATATAAAGCTTAGATATGGAACTTTTCAAAAATTACTGATAGCCCTTTCCACCATGAATAATACCAATGGGTTTTTGGGGTCTAACCCATGAACTAATTGTGTGATAATGGAGAAAATCCAGACTTAAAACAGGACCAAACCAAGTCTACATCAGGACAGAACTGGGCTCAAATGAGGACCAAAACCAGGACCAAACCAGGACTAAACCTGAAGTAAAACAGGACCAAACCAGGGCCAAACCAGGATCAAACCAAGACCAATCCAGGGCAAGTGTGACCGCCCCAAAGTGTTAAAATCACAATGTGACAGAGATGTCAACACTGCACAGATCAGACACCTCCACCAAGGTCAGAGCAGGCTGCAGCTGTCCGTCAAAAAAACAAAACCACACGTTCAACCACTGATAGCAATGTCGACTGGGTCGATACGATAACAAATTTTGGAGCATGAAATATCACTACAGAGTTATACTAAGAAAGTAATTATATTTAAAGTACTTCATGCCACTGAGGCAATAAGAATAAAGCAAGATAATCCCCCCCCCACACACACACACACACATATATATATATTTTTTTAAATAGACTGTATCTTTAAAGGGCCTGAGTTGCAAATAAATAGCAGAATGTACCAATAATTAGACACAGAAGTTAGTTATTCAACCCTCGACAGCTCAGAGTGAGTGAGAAGTTGATATAGTACTTATCATGGCAGGCCTATTTCAACCACTGACTGTAATATATATTAACAAACCAGAGGTACAATTTGCCTAAAAGTCTTAATTTTTATCAGATTTTCCCAAATTTGTGGTGTAAAGCGTAATTATCATCAACAAACTTTGCATGCTACGAACTCATATTAGTGTCTAAAATGTACAGTTACATGTTAGCCATAATAAAGTATGAAGAAACGCTTAATTCATAATGAACTAATAGTTTATCACTATTTAAGTAAGAATGATTAAGGCTTCGTAAGTGGTTCGGGTTAGAAGTTTGGATTTGGGCATCAATCACGTAGTTACTAAGCCTGAATTAATAAAAAATATTTGATGAATTAAGGCTTCACTGTGCTTGTCTTTAGTAAAGTATTTAATCATATGTTTAGTAATGTATTTAAATGTAAAATGATTTGAAAGGTTAACCCGAAGTTTTAAATAAATTTGATTGACAACAGGGATAGGTGAAACCACCTCCCAAAATGCAGTTCACAGGTCACATGGTCCAGTGACCCAGAATCCTGAGAGACACCACCACGAGATCAGTGATAGAAATGCAATATTACTGTGAGTGATAATGGGTTTTAGCTTCATAATGAACTTCAAATTCTATGTTCTTGTGTAGTTTATTGATGACAAGATTGTAGCCTATATATTTATTTTGATAAATATATATTTAGTTTGATAAATCATGATCTGTTGTGGTACCTGTTGTCAAAATAAAACCATATATAGTCAAAAGTGGAAATTCAATGCAGTTTCTCTTTCAGGGTCAGATCATCAGGGTCTCCCAATACAGACACTATGAAGGCCCCACATAGTCATATAGTTTGCCACCAACAAGCAGAAATACAGACTTTATGTTTTGTAGTATTGTCTTCTAAGTAACTATTTTTACCAGCATCAATAAGTGACATTTATTCTCCTTAAATTGACTTAAATAATTCAAAAATGGGTTGCTGAATATAAAACTGTGGGAAACACAAGGGCATGGATGCATTAGTTACTGGGTGTTAGCAAATCTTAGTTTCTGTTTGACTTAATGATGTTGTAAAAGATTGTATTTCAAATGAGGAACAATATTATTGTACATTTGAACATTAAGCAAAACTGATGCTCTTGTCTGATTGTTTGTTTACTCTGGCTTCTGGCTGACACTGTGGTATGATACATTCTCCGTTGCTGTGATGCCCTCCCCCTGTAGTGCAGAGGTGCATGATGGGAGCTGTTATAAACCTGAAGGACGGTAACACCTGTCACTGGGTTCAGAGATGTATTAAACAAACATGTGTCCTTGTGTTGTGTATGGATTAGTGCAGTGTTTGTTTATCACAGAGTTTTTCCTTTGTTTTGTTGTGTCCATGGAGCAACATCCTGACTGAGATGACGCAAATCAATTTAATATGTGATCTACAATGTGAATAAACAGCACACACCTGTTTATGGCAAACCAACTATCCATGGATTCAAGGACAAACAAAATATTATATCTTTTGAATTGTAAAAAAAAATCCTCAGTATGTTGTAGGAAGCTGAAGCCCATTATTCAGTTCAACACTACTATTAATACATCACACGCGCTTTACTAACTGGACAAGCTTTTCAAAGTGATACTCTATTGTCACCATTCAGTCACACCATTATCTGTAGTGGTAAACTTCTTTTTTAGCCACACCTGCCCTGGGACAGTCTGACTCTAGCCACTGTTCTACTTTCACCCCTATAACAAGTCAGAAATGAGAAATTATTCATGATGTCTGAGAAGTCAAAACAGCTCATTTCTTGTATTACTTTATACTATATATATTTTTTATACTTTCCACAGAAATTTAACCCTAAGGTGAAGGGTCCAAAACCATCTATTCTTCATGGAGATTATATTGCTTTGCCTGGAAACAGAAAATGTCTATAGTGCACCTTTACAAAAATGTAACCCAACACCTTAAGTTTTTTGCCTAAGCGGCCAGACCCTTCTACATTTTGTTTGAATCCAGAAGGGACTAGTAACAGACACTTGAGTGTGAAAATCCTCCATTCAAACTTGAGATGATCTAACCACAGCTGCTAATTTGTAGATTGTGTCTCTCAAATGTGGAAGACATCTCTCCAAAATTCTCATAACATTTAGAACAAAATACATAACTTCTTTTACCTGACATAAGTAATAGTTTTGTGTTTTGATAGTTGATTCCACACTGTTTCTCAGTTCTTTATGTAGATTTTTATTTTTTATTTTTTTAAGTTTAAGCAGTCTTGTTTGTTTTTAACGCAAACAGACTATGCACCTTTCTGATTAGTTAATCTACCTGTCAATCATGTCTACTGAAATCAAGAAGACAGTATATGGCTCCAGTTCCCCTTGTCTTTGTAATGATGCCAGGTATTTAATTTTTACCAATTGTGTCTTTCCTTTTGCCTTACAGGTGCTTTGTGCTGTGCTGTGAAGAAACCACCACCATCTAAACTGCATTTTACTCAAGAATAAACCCACACAAAAGAAGACAACAACGTGTGAGAAACGTAGCACTTACATTATCATCTACAACTTCCATTAAATCCAATTCAAGATGGCCCCTAAGAAAAAGGCCTCTCGTCAGAAGAAGCCAGTGCTGGAAGCTGAGTCTCCTGCCCCTCCCCTGGAAACAGTTACTCCGCTGAAGGTGGAGAGCCATGGAGATGGGGTGGTGGTTGTGGAGAGTGGGGTAAAGAAGATCGAGCAGATGGCAGCGCTGGATATTGCCCAGCTGAACAGCCTGAACCTGCCCCTGCCTCCGCCCGTCATCAAGCCCGGAGAGAGAGGCCTGGGGCTGGGCAGCGAGCTCACACGTCCCCTGCACGGCTCTGCTCTGCTGGAGGAGCTCAGCAAAATGAGACAGGAGAAGTGAGTAAGATAAGGTTTAAGAGGACCTTGATGGCTCAATAGGAGTATGGACAATTATGCAAAATATGACTCAGGTGACAGTTCACACCTTAGTTGGTTGGTTCAATGGACTTAAAGGTCCCACATTAACCTATTTTCTGGTGTATTGTATAATGTTGTTTCTTTATCAAAAACATACTTGGAGTTGTGTTTTGTTTTATTCACACAGGTTTAACACACAGATCCTGCATATTTATGATGTGTTTTTGTCTCAAACAGATAACACTTTGTTCCAACTTATGATGTCATGTGGTAAGACAGGAAGTGCTTCACTATGTTTTAACTCCATACACCTTCTCTTGAATAATTTGGATGATTTCAACCCTGGAATTGCCAATCTCTACTGAATTTAAAAATTCAGTAGAAAACTACCATTACATGACCTCACAAAGTGGAACAGAGCATTTTGAACTTTGCAAACATGTGTGAATGAAACAAAACACAACTGCAGTTATGTTTTTTGAGGAGGTAACAACATTCTAACATGGCTTAAATCTCACAAGAGTCAATTTTGCATAATATAGGACATCTAACTGATAATAATCATAGCAGATACTCCTTACTATAAACAACAAGGGTATGTTAATTTCAGTGTAGTTAGCTCCATTCACACGGATATAAGGCAGCGACTTACCAGAACCCTGTCAGAGCTGAAGAAGCTTCTAGGGTGGTAAAGCATATTCACAGTAAAAAAAAAAATTTAGATTTCATTTCAGAATTCAGTTTATTTTGCCTACCCGCCTGGTTACCTGAGGGACTACTCAGACAATAAATAATCGAAGAGATCTGTAGACAGTAGGCTATGATGTTGGCCTATAGTAGTCAAATGGTGTATCACTGTTGCATTCATATGTTATATATACACTACCAGTCAAAAGTTTGAGCTCATCATCTCATTCAATGTATTTTTTTATGTTTACTACTTTCTACATTTGATATACACCAAAGACATCAAATATATGAAGTCGGATGTATGGATTTATGTTGCAAAGGAACAAAAAGTTACATAACTACCCACCTTTTCCTTTGACAAAAAATATTTAGTAGATTTTTTTTTAACTATTTTTCTTTACTAAATAATTCCATATATCTTGCTTCATATATTTGATGTCTTCTGTATTTGTCTAAAATATAGAAAGTAGTAAGAAAAAACTGAAAACAACTTTTGACTGGTAATGTATATATTTTTACGCTGTATTTACCCCTATTCTCTCCTCGGTGTAGGTTCCTGACTGACCTGGAGCTGGCCTGTAAAACCAAAGCCTTTGATGTTCACAAACTGGTGATCTCCTCCATCAGTACTTCAGGGAGATCCTTGCCAAAGATCCGAACATGAAGAGACTCGAGCTGCCCTCTCTCTCTCCTCTCGGTATGTCCATATTATATTATAGACTATAAATGTAGTTCATTTAAAAGTGCACTGTGTGACTTTTCAACAACTTTATAACATCTGCTTGTTTCCATGAAGATGTTTGTTTGACTAGATTTTTTCCACAGTATGACCTTAAAGTTATTGTCAGGTCTGTGGAGATGTGACCTGACTCAGTAGAATGCATGCTTTTCAGTGGTAATGAAACAAATTCTAGATATTTCTTTAATGCCAGACTGTGGAGCATTCTTAGCCTTATTCATCAGCTGGTTTCACTTCGTGGAAACCATCTGACCTCGCAGCATTAGGATTCCAATCGCTGCTGTTTGGTCGTGACGTCTACCGGGTGCTCAGGAGTATCCAAGTAATTGTCGGCACAACAGCAAACAAAGCAGAGAGTGAACATGTCTGTCAACTATCATGTTTGTTTCTGCGAGGTAAATTTGATAATTAAAGGAGCAATAAAAAAATAAAAGTTTGTATTTGACAAAGACTGCGTATGAAGTCAGCTATCGCTGAGCTGTCCGGTTGGTTCAGCTGTTTGCTGATTGGCCGGTGCGCAGTCTACAACTTCCGGGGTTCTTGAAAACTGTTAGTGTATTCCAATTCCTGACCTAGTCGCTGGAGAGAAATGAAATTGAGCGGAGGCATTAGGTGATGCCAGCCTGGCTAGAGCATTCTGGAAAAAGCTATGGTTAATGATTAAATTTTTATACAGCGCATTTCCATCTTCAAGGCACTCAAAGCACTTTACATTAAGGAACCATTCACACACACTCATACACCAGAGTACACAGACACTAGGGGCACGGTGGGTTAAGTGTCTTGCCCAAGGACACAACCTCAACCTTCATCCATGGAAGCTGGAATCGCACCACCAACCTGTGGGTCAGTGGAAAAAACACTATGCCAACTGAGCTACTGTTGCCCCCGATAATATTTCAAATTAAGAAATACACAGATATAAAAAGAACATATTTGGCAGAACTTAGACCAAAATGTATTCTTCAAGACCATTTATCACAAATTTATCGCATATATTTCAGTCATCATATATTTCAGTTGGCAATTTGGAGCTGTAATTTTTATAGTAAATCCTTGAAAGGACCAACCACTCCTAGTGCTTCTATACCAGTCATCTCTGGGGGTAACAGAAATAACTCTTGCTAATCACACTCAAGGGAGCTTCAGAGTTCATAACAGCAATGTCTAAAAAAGAAACCTGGTTCAGACAGATTCATGGTAGTGGACTAGCTTTGTGTTGGTTGTATTGTCTGCCAACGTAAATTCAGTGAGGTACAGCCAGGTTTGCTCTGAGTGCTGCCTTGATGTTGGTGAATGGGTAAAAATTATTGCTTTAAAGGTGCATTGTGTAACTCTGCTAGTGGAGGGTCCATCAAATGCTTGCCTTCATGGAGATGTTATTCCTTTGTCTGGAATATTTCACAGTATGGCATTAAACTTTTCTATCTTCATAGAGACCAAACCAGACCAAGTTACAGGTCAGATCTGTGGAGAGGCAACCCCGCTCACAGTCAGAATACCTGTTTTTCTAGATATTTTTGAGCAATAAAACCATCTGTATTGAATAAAGGTAAGGTGGAAATGTTTAATGTCATACTGGAAAATGCCAGGCGAAGCAATTACATCTCCATAGAAACAAGCAGGTGAAGGACTCTCCATCAGAAAAGTTACACAATGCACCTTTAAGACAGTTGGTATGGTTAAGAGCTATAAGCATTTTGTGCTATTATTACTGGCTCTGACCCCTCTAAAACATTGAAAAAAAGAAAGAAAGAAAAAAGTATGGCACTGCTGCCATAAGTGATATTGTATTTATATGGATATCCCTCTATTTAATACTGTTGATTTAATTTCTAGGTTTGGCCAATGTCATCACTTTTGCCTATCTGGGTCGCGTGCACATGTCACTGTACACCATTGGCTGCACCGTCTCCGCCGCTGCAACGCTCCAGATTCCGCAGCTGTTGAAGATGTGCATGGACTTCCTCTTGGCGGAGCTGAACGTGCAGACGTGCGTTTACATCTGGAACATCGCCGCTGCCTACGGACTGAGAGCCGTGTGCGACGCCGCTCGCAAATTTGTGCTGGAAAACTTTGTGCAGTTTTCTGAGACGCCGCTCTTCACCCAACTCACCCTGGAGCAGATCACTGCTTTTATTCAAGACGATCACCTGGTCCTGCCCTCTGAGGTTACTGCATTTCAGGTAAGAACAGTAACCTAGCAACACGCATGTTTTGAGACTGGGGTTTCAGAACGTAATTGACATGAACAAAGAAACATTGAACATTTTATATAAAAATCTTTGCAGAAGAAATTAAAGTAAATAATTGCAGCCCTGGTGATTTGATAGCTCCAAATAGAAATAGAGTTTTGATTCAGTTGTGATATATTGTGCAAGCCTATTTGAGACACTGTATTTCCTATATAGAATCTCATTAAAGATTTGGTTCTTTAGGTACAATGAGCCTGGACCAGGCAAAACATTAACATCATCATGAGCTGCACAAAATAATAATGAAAATGCAGTATTTAATAACTATGTTACAAACCTGTTGGCAATGGTAATACATACCTAAGGTTCAATTTACATTAAAACAAAACTGTAAAGTAGTTACATAGTGCACCTTTAACCAGGATAAAATTAATTTGCTCTTTTAAATTTGCATTATAACTTCCCTTCACTTCACTAAAACTCTTTCACTGGTTGGTAAACAGATACACGACATTCAGGGACCAACAAATCAACGTCTGGGGAATTCCTGAAGCTGAGGCTAAATTCAACCAGGCCTAAAAACAGACCTCAGACCAGCTGCTCACATCCACTGTCAAGTTTAAAGAGTCAATGAGGGACATTCTTTTATAGATATATTTACATTTACATTAGCTACCCTGAATAGACCCACAGCTGAAACGTATTTTGATCAGTGCCACATTTAAAAAACGCAGGCGGTGCTTTGAGGATTATATTTAACACATGACTACAGTTCTTCCTAAAGTAGTAGTGCTTAGCTTGTGAATAGATTCATTAATTAAAAGTAGCACTGACTAATTGGCTGACCATGCACGATGACGATACTTTGACTTTAAGTATCTGACGATGCCCGATATCCACTGACACAAGAAAAATATATATTTATAATTAATTTTCTTCAAACTCAAATAGTGTGTGGCAATAAAAAATTCTGATGTGTTTTGTAAAAATACAAGTTTAATATTCTGAAACCTTTTGGGCATCGTATTATTCCAATTTACAGACCAAGATGGGATATCGGCTGAATCGATATCTCGGAAGCCGATATCTGATCCAACATAATTTTCAATATCAATGCTGATATCTGATACCGATATCCGATATCGATACCCTACTTATTTAGAAGATATTATGTTTTATGTTGACAATTAAATTTACTTTTTCAAATTGGTTTTTGAATAGTATAAGTCGCACTCGCCCTCATTGATCCCACTAGGAGAAGGACAAGGGCGCAACAACACAATTCAAACCATCAACCTTGTCTACCTGCTGAAGTTTTGTGCCACCATTAACTAATACATTAACTTTATTTGACTCTATTTAGTATGTTAATGGTATTCAGATTGTAATCAATATTCTAGTTAAATGGTTTAAATTTCTGTTGTTCAAAATTCACACCAATTTATTTCTTTTTCTTTAAAAAACTGGTCTGTCTCTATAAAGCTTGGTTTTATATTTCTGTCTTTTTGGAGTCAAGCAGGAATCTTGCTTTGTGCAGTTTGATTCTTATTTCCTATTTTTGACAGTATTTCTGTTCCATAATTGCTACATTTCCCTGATTAAAGACAACAAAAGATTCTCTTATTTTCATATTAAATAAAAACAACACCTTTACATGGACTTAGATCACAGTTCTCCTCCTCTTGTCATCTTCTGTCTGTAGCTGGTGATGAAGTGGCTGGACTTTGACTCTTCTCGTCAGCCCCACGCTGCGGAGCTTCTGTCTCACGTGCGCTTTGAGACCATCCCAGCCTCGGAGCTGGTCAGTCAGATCCAGCCCGTACCCAGGATGATGCTGGACCCTCAGTGTCACCGCCTCCTGGTCGACGCCATGAACTACCACCTGCTCCCATATCAACAGAACACACTGCAGTCGCGCCGCACCCAGGCCCGTGGCAGCCAGCCCACCCTGCTCACTATCGGTGGGCGCCCTTCTCTCACTGAGCGTGCTCTCAGCAGAGAGGTCAGTCATGGACTTTTAATGTTTAGATTGACAAAATTATCATATTATTATTTTATTTTATTCCTGTACAGTTACTATCTTTATGAGAACCATCTGCTGCTTCTGGAAATTTGCACTTAAGTGTGCATCAGATGGAAAAGAGCATTTTTATTTTTGATTCTCTTTTCTCAAACAAATAACACCAAGTTCAACATCCTAGATAACCCCAAAATATGTGGCTTTCCAGGTAACACTGGCGATAGACCAAAGTGTATCTGAAATAAAACTGGTTTAAAGGTTCTTTATTAAATAAAATGGACCCTCTTCTCTGGACTGTGAGCTGTGTGAGCTGTGAGGGAGTTGTGTTTTGTTTCATTCACACATGTTTGAGTAAGTCTTTATCTGTCTACATCTCCAAAGATCAAAATTCTCTGTTCCACCTTCCACCTGATTTCATAAAGCAAAAGTGGTCCAGTTTACAGCTCATTTGACCTTAGTTCAGTAGAGATTGGCAATTCCAGGACTGAAATCATCCAAATGATTCTAGTGAAGGTGTTTGGAGTTTAAAACATAACAAGTTGGAACAGAGTTTTTTTTGTTAGAGAGAAGAACTCAGCCTAAATATGTAGGATTTGTGTGTTAAACATGTGTGAATGAAACAAAACACAACTCTATGTGTGTTTGTGATGAGAAAACAGCATTATAACATAGATCAGAGAATAGCCACCTCCATCATATTCTCTAAATGAGTAAATGCAATGTAAGTGGACACATCTGTTTCCCTTGTGCCCAGGTTCTGTGGCGCGACCCTCGTGACGGGACGGCGAGCTGGAGGCACCTGACGCAGCTGCCGGCAAAGAGCTTTAACCAGTGCGTGGCGGTGATGGACGGGTTCCTGTATGTGGCCGGAGGAGAAGACCAGAACGACGCTCGTAATCAGGCCAAGCACGCCGTCAGTACCCTGAGCAGGTAATGGAGGGTAATGCACTGAAGAGTGGAGGGCATAACTAAACACAAGTACATGAAGTACTCCAAACTATAACCGCTCAGGAAGTATATGTAGAGAAAAAGGAATACAGAATCCAACACTCACCATATTGGAACTAAACTGAGACTAAACCCATGCTAAACCAGGACTAGACCAGGACTCAAACAGGACCAGAGTGTTCATCAGCACTAAACTAGCATCATCCGTCACCTGCTTGTTTTCCCGGAGCTGTAATTGCTTTACCTGGAATGCCCCACACTATGGCATTAAACGTATTTATCTTTCATTTACTCAATACCCGCTCCCAGGTCATTTGACCTGTAACGTGGCTTGGTAGCATCATCTCCTTGTCTCCATAGAGGCATACAAGTTTAATGCTATATGGTGGAACATTCAAGACACAGCAATGGCATCTCCATCACAAGAAAATCCAAGATAAATCTAAACTAATTGTTAAAATGTCCACAATGTTGTCTTTATTTATAGTTTTATGTACACTCCTGGTCAAAGGTTTCAGAACACCACACTTTTTCCAGTTTTTCCTGTTTACTGTTGACCAAAACATATTCTAAACTTTTAATTCATGAAAGTGTCCACCTTTGGCAGATCTAACAGCTGAACACACTCACGGGTCGTACTTTTTACAATAGAAATCAAATATTCTTCAGAAAGTTGTTCTGAAATCTGTTGCAGAAGTTCCCATAAATGTGTGGCACTTGTAGGTTTCTTGGCTTTCACTCTTCTGTCCAGTTCAGCTCAAGTCTGGAGTCTATGCTGGACACTCTGTTTTCAAGCTTACCATCTTGTTCTTTTTTCCTGAGATAGTTTTGGCAGAGCTTGGACATGTGTTTTGTATTTATTTATTTATTTTTAATCTTTTTAACCTCTGGCTGTGCAGTACTTACCTTTGTACCATTTCAAGCTCTTCATTGCAAAATTTGGAAAAATAAGGGTGTTCTAATACTTTTGACTTTTGAGTGCAGCTGAGTATTTTTCTTAAAGCTATATACTTTTATTTCACCACTTTTTAAACATAATTTATGGGAAGTGTTGTGTATGTTACTGTATAGCCCAATTAAATGAACAGTCAAATGAATTTTTTGCAACCTTATTAACCATTAACCATTCATCACCTTCTCTTCTGTCTTCTCCCTGCTTTAGATATGACCCTCGCTTCAACACCTGGCTGCACCTGGCCAGCATGCGTCAGCGCCGTACGCACTTCTCCCTGGCTGCCTCTGGGGGGCGCCTGTTTGCCATCGGTGGCCGTAATGTGGAGGGTCTCCTGGCCACGACTGAGAGCTACGTGCCCTCCACAAACACCTGGCAGATGAAGACCCCCATGGAGGTCCCCCGCTGTTGCCACGCCAGCTCCACCCTGCCCTCTGGAGACATCCTGGTGACTGGAGGCTACATCAACTGTGCCTATTCCCGCTCTGTGGCCTGTTACAAGGTTGACACTGACACCTGGGTGGAGAGGGCCCCAATGGAGACGCCCAGAGGCTGGCACTGCTCCGCCACGCTGGGAGGAAAGGTGTACGTGGTCGGGGGAAGCCAGCTGGGGCCTGGAGGGGAGAGGGTGGATGTTCTGTCTGTGGAGGTCTTCTCTCCTGAAAGTGGCAGCTGGAGCAGAGCCGCCCCATTGCCCCTGGGTGTCAGCACTGCAGGTAGGATTATATAGACATAATCGTCAACTAATTCAGTAATAGGGTAATCGTTAACTGGTTGATAAGCACACTCAAAACATACCATGAGCTAACAGCAGAGGTTTTATGACTCCAACAGCACAGTAATGACATGAAAATGAGAATTTGGTACATTTCATATTTTAGATGAAATAGTTTGGTTTCTTGGCTCGACAATGTTTTGAAATCCAGATGGTTTGACTGCTATCCAGAAATCATTTTCAAAATTACCTCATATCAGCTTTACCTAGGTAAAATTTTTCTCATATTCAGGGGCCTTTCGTGTTCTAAACAACTAATCAATTCATTGTAAGAATAATCATTCGTTGCAGCTGTAAATATATATATATATATACATATACATATACATATATATAAAATTGTAGGATTTTTTATTTGTTTTGCTTGTTGAACATAAAGGCAACATTACAAATATGTTGTCCCATGGGTTTATAGGTTTGCCTGCTATTATAACAAGGATGTTTTGTGGAAGGCAAAATAAAGATAGGTTGGGTGTAAATTCTTCTTCACAAACACAATAAGCTCAAAATGCTTTGCTCCACCTTTGTTCCGATTCCAGGACTGAAATTATCCAGATGATTCTAGTAAAGGGGTATAGAGTTTCAGTGGAGCTTCTCCTGTGTTAGTGTTTTTTGTTTGAGAGAAGAACTCAGTCTAAACATGCAGGGTTTGTGAGTTAAACATGTGTGAATGAAACAAAACACAACTCCAGATATGTTTTGATTATAGCATAGACCAGAAAAGAGCTTAATAAGGGCCATTTTAACTCCTTACATTATTTTTCCTCTGTCCCAGGCCTGTCTGCTCTGTCTGAAAAGCTGTTCCTGTTGGGAGGCTGGAACGAGGCGGAGAAGCGTTACAAAGCAGCGGTGCAGAGGTACGACCCGGGCACAGACAGCTGGTCCATGAGTGAAGACCTGCCCGAGGCCACTGTGGGCGTGTCCTGCTGTACCCTGAGTCTGCCCCCACGAAATACCCCCAGAAATGCCCCTCGCCGCCAACACCGCAACAACCCGGGGCACGAGACCCAAGAACCCAAGAACCGGAGCAGAGAAAGCAGCCAGACCCCCGCCCTGATCAACACAGCATAGAGAGGAAGAGATGAAGGAAATAGACTTTACAGATGAGATGGGATCTGGAGAACAAGGCCACTATCAGTTTAATCTTATGTCAATATCTGTGCATCTGTGTTTCTTTAAATTACACGGATTTGGAATATTATTGTTACTTTAATTTAATTATTTATTTTATTATTTATTTAAAGGTGCAGTAACTTTTGGTGGAGGGTCTGCCACCTGCTCGTCTCCATGGAGATTTTATTGTTTTGTCTAGAATGACCCGGTATGGCATTAAACATATCCATCTTGCAACTACTCAATAACATGGGTTTTATTGACCTCAGTAGAGATAAATAAGTAAGTGTAATGCCATATGGTGGACATTCCTGGCAATACCTCCATAGAGAAAAGCAGGTGATGGACCCTCCACCAGAAAAGTTACCCATTGCGCCTTTAATCCAGGCTAGATGTTCAGTGATTGCAAACTATAAAGCCAAAAAAGTAAAGTAAAAGTCCTTTTCCACTTTAATGTTAAATTCTAGTCTATAAAATACTGTAAATGGCTGCATCTATTACATTAAATATAGGATTTTTTGTAAAATCTTGCAGCCCTTTGACCCAATTTAAATACAGAAGAAAATGTCATCTATTCTAAACATTTAGAAAACACAAATGTAATGTACGTAAATAAAATAATCATTTCAATGCAGTAGTTGTTATAATTATGAGGTATGTAATTAATTATGTAATCGTTAAGTATTTATTTACACCAGCAACGATGCATACAGTATAATACATAACGCAGTATATGTTCATAAAATTTTAAATAAGCTTGCATTTCACAGTTTATGAAAGAAATTTTGGATTTCTGTTACCGGGCAACAAGTGTTTCCATGGTGACTTTTTTTTTTTTTTTTTTTTTTTTACATTTATTTTAATATTTCTATGGTAATACTTCAGCTTCTAGACAGTATAGTGTTTCCATGGAGACTAAAATCCACCGTCAATGTTGCCTACTACATTTGAAAATACTGTAGATATGTTTATGCTTCCAAGTATAAAATAAAAGCAGATTAAAAGTAAAATACGATATAAAACGTATTTTGTAGTGAAAGAGACCCTCGATGTGGTCCAAGAGTTCTCAGAGAGCTTAAGTTTGAAAATATTTTTATGAGATGGTTATGGGACGCATATGTCATTAAATTGGATTCTGAGCTGTGATTGAGGGCCATAGTGGAAAATAAAGATGGGAACAGTGGTTTTCTATGTCTGAAGCAGGTTTGAATTTAGCATATGACTGTGAATCTAGTTTGTATTAAAAATGTAAGTACTGAATAAATGGCAATTATGTCTGTCAAAATAAAATGAGCCATCTACACTTAACAAAAACTGCAATAGAAAAACCCAAGGGTCTTGACTGTTTTCCAGATTACAAGCCATACAAATGCAGTATTGTTTATTACTATTAGGTCTTTGTGTAGTTGAAAAAAAAAAAAAAAAAAAAAAAAAGGTAGTTGTACAATCCTGTTTTGTAAGTGCAATGGAGAGAATTAATGGAGGATAAAATGTGAAAGACAAAATTAAATACACTAAAATGGCAACAAAATTATAAAATTCTAAGACTATGAAGTGACAAATGTTTCAGAAAAAATATTGGGAAAGTAAAACTTTAATGAGGCATAAAAGTGATCGAAGTGTACAATAATTGAAAAAATCCAGTTTGGTAAATGTGGATTTGTAAACTGAACAAGTAAAATGTGCAGGTGGTTTTAATTTGGAAATAAAGCCAATTTGATCATACAATAGTTCAGTGTTGTCTCTCATTACAGTTACTCACATTTTAAATATTAATAAATTCAAAAATTGTCCAATTACTGTTAAAGGGCCCATATTAGTTGTTGTTCAAGTTGTGTTTTCTTTCATTCACACACATTTAGCTCCCAAATTCTGCATATTTAAGCAGAGTTCCCTCTTAGAAAAACAAAAAAACTAAACTCTTCCACCTTGGGGTGTCATGTGGTAATACAGGAAATGTACCGGTGTTTTAAAATTCCTTCACTAGAACTTGGATAATTTCAGCCCTGGATTTGCCAGTCTCTACTGCACAACAGGTAACGGGTAGTCGTTACCTTGAAAACTACCACTTCATGAAATCACAAGGTGGATCTGAGCATTTTTAGCTTTGGAGATGTAGACTAATAATGTAGGATTACACAAACGTGAATGAAACAAAACTCCTCGAGGTATGTTTTTAAGAGGCAACTTTACAACATGGCTCTATTCTGCCTAATACAAGACCTATACACAGTCAAGACTTCAGAAAAATTAGGAAATATGCAACAAATGTCATTTTTTGTTTTTTATTGTTTGTTATAAACATGAAAAGGAGGAGCTCTACTTCCCGGGGAGGATGATGCCGTCATACTGCAATAGAAGAAACAAAAGTGTTAATTTCAGTTCAGTGAGTAAAACCCCCCATCCAATAGTAACCATTTTAAGGTCAGACATTAAAATCACGACTTTTTGTGGAACAATTAGTCCAAAAGGTTTAATAATGTTTTAAACAGTGAGAAATTGTAATTAGTAGAAGCAACAGACATACTATACTGTTTTTTCCTCACACACACACAAGGCCCTGGCAACATATCACTCCCACTCTCGCCCACCTGCACTGGCGTCCCTTTAAATATTCGATAAAGTATAAAGTCCATCCATGTTCAGGCCACAGTACCTCTCAGACCCGATGCAAACCAAATCACCCCTTTTGTGTCCAGGCTCCTACACTCTGGACACACTCCCTCCACATATACAAACTGCTGATCAATTCAAATCATTTGAAAATATCTTTTTGTATCAACATGATTTAAGTTGTTTAGAGGCAGAACTTTTTAAAATTTACCTTCACTAATCCATTGTCAAAGTATAACAAAGGAACTTTGTACTATTTGCCCCATTTAAATGCAACTCAACTTGAAGGTCTACCATTGCAATTAAATTCTGCATTAATTTAGGGACAATCTAGCCAAATATTAAGATGAATCCCCATTAAAAAAGTTTCAGTCTTAAGCACTCACTTTCTGCTGGAACCAGCGCATGGCCTCCTCTTTGCGGATGCGGTGCTTGAAGCCAATGCGGCCTCGTTTCCGCTTCTTGTCGGCGATGCTGAAACCGGGTCGGCCCAAAACCTAGAGCACAAAACACGAGTCAAAAACTACAAAAATTACAGACAACAGACAGCGCTGGGTCTAATGTGAGCCAGATAGCACCATGTTGTTTCTGTGTAGTTAGACAGCAAATGGCCAATAAACTGGAAATTCTATTGACAGAAACATGCAGCTCATTTACACTGCACTCAAACATCACATCAACAGTAAAATGCAACAGGAAGGAGCAAAAACCACAAAGCACCAGGAAAACTACTGAGCAGGATTCAAACTTGCACGCAGATGAGAGACATGGCCCAAATGGTACTGTACTAATCAGAGCCACATAAGTAACAAGGCTTAAACGCATGTCCATCTACTGTTTGTGAGCCACTGACAATAGTTTAACAAATTTAAGAGCGTTATGCAAAATGTTACAGTAAGGAAACAAGTTGTAAGTACGTTACAGATTTTCAAATTTTGCGGTATTTGGTTAAACAAATCAAAACAATGCAAAAAATTGTGTTTTTGTTTATCCATCCGACTTGGAGGTCTGAGGACATTGCCTAACGATACACACAGACATGCCCCTTTTAATCAGACAGCGGAACTCAGAAGAGCTCGGAAGAGACGGAGCATGGTTTCTGAGATGGAATCCAAGATGGCTTTAGCTTTCCGGTTAGCGTCCATGTTTTTCTCCAAGTTGGACACGCAAAACATAATAAAACAGATGAAGTGTGGACATGACGTCATGTCCGAGAGACGGACGGATAAACGAATGCAGCATAAGACTGACTTAAACCATGGCAACAGAGCAGTTGGCTGGTTTTGTGGCGAACTGGTTCAGCCACTGACCAGATTTTGAACCATTTTGTTTATTGAGCTCAGTTTTTAAACATCTTGTCATGGGATTTTATCCAACTAAATGCAGCATGTGCAGCTCAAGGGACACAAGTAAGGGACTATTGGATTTTGTGAAATTAACTGTTTTTCCCATATCCATGGAGACCTTGCAAGAGGTTAGCTAAAGAGGTAGTTATGGATCTTTGAGTCGCTACAGATTTTTCAGGACAAATTAGAGGGAATGAAGTATTGCAGCAACATCAACTGCCGCAGTTTGCTGCAGCAAAACTTTAATTTCCCTCTGGATTAGTAAAGCATCTGTCTACCCATACTTATTGCAATAAAAGGCAGCTCAAAATAAATAAAAACAATATCAGGATAATCATTTTTTACATTTGTGAAAGACTGGCACTCACCACGTAGAAGTCCAGTCCGTAGATGCCGATGCTGGGGTCGTACTTGATTCCCAGATCGATGTGTTCCTGGATACCAAAGCCAAAGTTTCCGGTGTCTGAGAAGTTGTTTTTCCTCAACTCGTACTCACGCACCTAGATAACATACATACATCAGTCTACACTGAACAATAAATCAACAGCTGCTAATCTATAACCAAAATAATAATACAGCAAGATTCAAAATTTTAACTTTGATAAATAATTTCAAATTAAATTAATTAAAGTCAAGTCAAAACGAGGATATTGTCCAGACCTTGAGTCCCTTCTCCAGAATCTCCTCTGCTTTGGCCCCTCGGACGGTGCAGTGGACAGCAATCTTTTCATTTCTGCGGATACCAAAGGATCGCACAGTGTAGCGGGCTGCAAGACAAAAGTGAGTTAAATAAGTGACAAATTTAAAAAAATTATCATACATTTCTGGACTTGTGAATCTTACCCTTGGAGAACACAGGGGTTTGTCCGGTGAGCTGCTCCAGCACTTTGGCTGCTCTGGTCAGTCTGTCTCCACTCTCTCCCACGCAGATGTTCAGGCAGAGCTTACGGATACGCAGCTCCCTCATGGGGTTCTCCTTCTTCTCACCCTGGTCCTAAAAATAAAGAAAAACAAATGTATAAAAGTGGAAGACAAAACCGAAGACAAACCAAAATCAAATTAAAATGTCTCCTCTGCTGTAGACATGTTAGGAAAGTTTTAAATATACAACAGTGACGTTTTCTTCTTGGACCTGAGCACAAATGGCAAGCCTCATGAAATGATTTTATCAATCTATGCAATAAAGTCAAGGTGAAACTTAAATTCTGCACAATGTACAGGCCCAGGAGGACTTTTCTAACCATTTCAAAATGTGTCCACTACACAGACCTGCCGGACGAAGATTTGGTCCTTTACACCAGCGGGACCCTCACATGCCGGTGAAGGGACATGTCAGTACATATTCCCTGTGCTAGCTTTGCAGATGCTAATTCGTGTCCAGGAATCAAACTACAACTCTATAAACCTTACACGGCAAGTCCAATGAATACGGCTAAGGGAGCAGACTGCCCATTTCATACGGTAATATCACTGTCGCTTTAAAGACTAAAATACGACATAGTTGTCATCTTGTCTGGAGCCCGTGGTAGCTAGGGTTAGCACTACTTGGTATGATAGTTTTACAGTCATCGGTCAACTTTTCACAAGAAATGAGACATTATATTGGTCCTAAATGAAGACATCTACGTGTACGAGCGGCAGAAATGTGTTATAAAGACGTTAAAGCCCCGATGACAGTGGATTTTATCAGCGGAATCGTTTCCAACACAGTAGTATAATGTGAGGCAGTACTCACCGCCATGTTGGATCACTAGAAGAGGACGTGACGCTTCCGGTGACATCAATTTATAGTGCTGTGTTCACTGCAAAACAATCCGAATAAAGACAAGCCTATTTTAACAAGGGTTCCACTTTTTTAAGGTTTGTAAATGTTGATTTTATGTATGTTACAGAGTAGTGGGGCTGATTAAAATACTTTGGTCGGGCATTACAGTGCCATTTTTTAAAGATGCTCTTTGTGGCTGGCTAGCTCACACACTGACCAGTTTTTTTTTTACTTTTTAGTTTTGTTTTGTTTTTTTGCTCAGTTTTTAACTAAGAAGTCCAGCATGTGCAGGTCAAAGGACACAAGTAAGGGTTTCTCGTATCTATGGAGACCATGCAGGAGGCTAGGTAGAAACAGAGATACTTTACTGATTTCAAGAGAAATTCAAGTTTTGCTGCAGCACAGTGTTGCAGTTGATGTTGCTCCACCATTTCTTCTGCGTATCTCTGTGGCCTTTGTGTCTCAGTCAAAGGTTTCAGTGCAGTTTAACAGGAGGACTGGTAGGCAGGGTCAGCAGATCCTGTGGAAGAGTCTAAAGTGTCCATCCTCTGTCTCCTGCAGCATGTGTCCAAGGGGGGAACCAGGTGAACACAACAGGAAAGGCCTCGAAGTGATTCCTCTGGAAGATCTTCTGCCACATTTGCTGCCACATACATGTTAAAAACCTAAAGCATCTCACATGCCCATAGTTACCTTCTCAGCTAGCCTGTTGCATGGTTTCCATGGATAGTCTCCTTACTTGTGTATTTGACCTGACCATGCTATTCTTCTTAGTTGGTTAAACTCCCATGAGATGATATGAAAAAAAAAGTTTCAAAAGCTGCTCAGTGTGTGAGCCAGAGCCAAAAAGCAGACAACCACTCCGTTGTTATTATCTGAATGCCAAGGAGCACTTGAGATGCTATAGGCTTTTTACACCATATGTGGCAGAAAACTTTACAGTTTTACTTTACACTTTGAGTTAATTAACCCTTCATCACCAACTGAACCAGAACACCTCTTGTGTTCACCTGTTTCCCCTCTGCTCGCTGTTCTGATGCTGCAGCCTGCAGGACACAGAGGAGGGACACTTTTGGTTCTTCCTCTCCTCAGACTGCCCTGACACAGATCTGCTGACCCTTTCTGATCAGGCCTCCTGTTAAACTGCACTGTGACCTTTGACTGAGACTCAAAGGCGACTAAGAAGTGCAGTGTAAATATTTCAGCAAAACTGCGGGACTTCTGTACTCATGCTCATTTTCCAATAAAAATAGGGGGAGAAGACTATTGCTAAAGTCCACCAAAGACCAGCAATTAAATTTACCGATGGTTTAATTATAAATTATATATTTTAGCTATAAGAGACACCTTACTCTTTGTGTTGTAAAATGCCTTTTAACCAAATTTATTCCATAAAATTGTATAATCATGTCTGCATCATTTGCCTGACCCATAATGGTTGGTGCTTTGTGCTTTCTGGTGAGGTTTGAGAGTACAATGAAGTATCTGTTGACCTAAAAATGTATATATTCTGTGGGATGTTCATGTATTTTATTTTGTCATCTCCGTACCAGTACCTAGTGCTTGGGATATTAATATGTGATCCTCATGAGCAGATATGGAGGTTTGTAACTGGAGTACTTTTTAGGCTGTGAATGACCCCATGTGGCTGATGATGAGTCATTTTCCATTGCACTGCTGCACAAAAGACTTGGCGATGTGATGTGTATGTAGTGCTTTTCCAGGCGCTTGAAGTCAGTTAACAGTTCCGCCACAGCTGCCCTGGAGCTCCATCCCTCCCTCCAACCAGCTCTCACACAACACCTTCACACTAGGCATGTTGGGTAAATTGCTAAGTAGTATTTTTTTAACAGGACCCCAGGAAGAGTAGCTATCAATCTGGGGATAGCTAAAAGAGATCCAAATAAACCACATATACAAAACAGACATTTTTATTTGACAATGTTTTTATTTTTTTACATTTTACTGTTAATTTCTTAGACTTCCCTAGACAGCACCAGCCCTCCTTTCCTCCGGAAGCTTTTGCGATGGGTTTTGATCAGCATTAGCCAGTCCTTGAGTAGAGAGCAGTGCCTCAGAGAAGTGGGTACTGGGTGCAGAGGGAGCGGAGAGGGTGGGACTTTTTGTGGGACCTCCGGCATCACGGTTCATTTCTTCTTGTCGGCTTTCTGTGCAGACTTGGTCACCTTTCCTCCGGACAACGCCTTCTTCTCCACAGACTTGATCACACCCACAGCGACCGTCTGCCTCATGTCACGCACGGCAAAGCGACCTGGAAACAAAAGAAACATTTTAAATATAGACATTTTGTTTTTGTACCTGTCCCAAGCCTGTATAAACAAAGATGGTTGAAGGAAGGGCATCTGATGTAAAATAATATGACATGTTAATCTTTTAATCTTTTTAAGTTTATCTGTGTCTAACTGTATTATTATTACATTATAGTCATTAATCAGTGATAATTAAGACCTCTGTCCAACCTAAATTAAAAATGTTTATTTATTTGATTTACTCATTTTAAAGGTGCACTATGGAACTTTTTGGTTTGGGGTCCAACACCTGCTTATATCTATGGATATTCCATTGCTCTGCCTCGAACGTTCCACAGAATGACAAACAGTTCTACCTTAAATTTATTTAATTAAATGTGATTTTGTAGATTTTGTAGCAGACAATGTGAGTGTGAGCTGGACTGCCTTTTCACAGATTTGACCTGTAACTTGGTTTGGTCTGGTCTCCATGAAGATAGAAGGGTTTAATACCGTACTATGAAAAATTCCAGACAAAGGAATAACATCTCCATGGAAAAAAGCATTTTACGGGCCCTCTACCAGAAAAATTACACAATGCACATTTAAGCAAATCTCAGTTAGTGGAAAATAAATTAATATTTTAGTATAAACTCATCCTTACCCAGGGGAGGATACTGAGAGAAGCTCTCCACACACATGGGTTTTCCGGGTACCATGGTGATGATGGCGGCGTCTCCAGACTTCAGGGCTTTGGGGTTGTCCTCCAGCTTTTTGCCTGAGCGACGGTCAATCTTCTCCTTGAGCTCGCTGAATTTACAGGCGATGTGAGCGGTGTGGCAGTCCAGGACGGGAGCGTAACCCTGGGCGATCTGACCGGGGTGGTTCAGGATAATCACCTACGAAGAGGAAACAGGAAGTACGGTTTAGAAATGGGTATATTCACACACATACACACATACAAGTTGTGCAACATAATAAAGTTTATCAGGTTGGAGTGATTAGAGACCTTAGGTTAGTGATGAACAGTACCAATACCTACGAATACATTGGCAAGTTTCACTACATCGATCCAATACAATATCTTTGTGTTTTGTATTAAAATGCATCAGATCTTATATTTTTCTAAATATAAATGCTGTTGTTATATAAAATAGGAAAAATTATTATCCAACTATATACACTACCAATTAGTGCATAAATACTTGTCTGTACTTGTTAATTAATTAAAGCACGTATAAGCTCCTAACTCCTGCCTGTACTGTACCTGGGCAGTGAAGTTCTCAGCAGCCATTGGGGGGTCATTCTTGCTGTCACCAGCCACGTTTCCACGACGGATTTCCTTGACGGACACGTTCTTGACGTTGAAGCCGACGTTGTCTCCGGGGAGAGCCTCAGGCAGAGACTCGTGGTGCATCTCCACAGACTTCACCTCAGTGGTCAGATTTGGGGGAGCAAAGGTCACAACCATACCAGGCTTCAGAATACCAGTCTCCACACGGCCCACGGGGACAGTTCCGATACCTGTAAGAGGGAATTAGGTTTGGGCATTCAGACAATGTCAACAAAGTATTTATTCTTAAAGGGCCCACATTACACTACTTTTAATCTGTTATAAAGTTGTTTCTTCATCACAAACATACCTGGAGTTCTGTTTTGTTTCATTCACGTATGTTTAATATGCAGATCCTGCATATTTAGACTGAGCTTTTCTCTCAAACAGAAAACACTCTGTCCCACCTTGTGATGTCATGTGGTAATGCAGGACGTACTCTACTGTGTTTTTAAACTCCATACACCTTCACTAGAATCAAATGAAAAATTTGAGCCATGGAATTGCCAATCTCTAACGAAATATGAACTTGAAAACTACGACTACATGACATCACAAGGTGGAACAGAGCATTTTTGAACGTTGGAGACAGACTAATAATAAAGGTTAACTCAACATGTGTGAATGAAACAAAACACACAACTCTTTGTATGGTTTGACGAGGTTACAACATTCTAACATGACTTAAATCTCACAAGAACATTTTGCTTAATATAGGTCCTTTAATATTGACCTTAATATGTGTTGCATGCACTTATCCACTTGTTTTGGTTTGTGTTTAGTCCCATTTAATCTTGACATGTTATTTACTATTTTTGCTATTTTAATTTTTTTTTTTTATTACTACTTATATACTTATACTTATATTATTTACTACAATATAGTTGGTCCATAAAGTAAGAAATAAGAGAAAGGGAGTAAATTGCAAATAAGATATTATGGGAGTGCTCTTGTTTGGCCCAGGTTTAGTTGTGATGTAGATTAGGTTTGGTCCTGTACTCGTCCTGGTTCAATTTTGAAATGGTATTATTGCAAATATTACAGTTTCAATCATTGTAGTTTGACCAAGATGACCCACCAAAGCTCAACTATAAAAAGACATACTGACTACTTTATTTGGTCCATTTTTGTCTATAATGTTTGTTGTACTATTTACATTTTACCTTGTATTTTCCTGACATTTCAGTTATGTACACAACATAAGATCATATGTATAATCGGTGGTTATGCAGTTTTATTTGAGGTTGCTTGCTTCTTACCGCCAATCTTGTAAACGTCCTGCAGGGGGAGACGGAGGGGCTTGTCTGTGGGGCGGGTGGGGGGCATGATGGAGTCCAGAGCCTCCAGGAGGGTAGTCCCACTGGCACCACCCTCTTTGCGCTCGATCTTCCAGCCCTTGAACCAGGCCATCTGGACAACAGGCAGGTAAAATAGTATGTTAGACACACATAATTGTAAACTATACTCATTTGCCAATCAAAATATACCAAAATATATATAGTTGGATAAACATTACTTCCTATTAGTGCTAGGTTTAGAGTGACTTATGACGTACATAATATTTTTGTCATTGATCAATAGTTAAAGGTCCTATATTGTGCAACCTTAACTCTTGTGAGTCTGAAGCCATGTTAGAATGTTGTCACCCCCTCAAAACACACCTGGAGTTATGTTTTGTTTCATTCACACGTTTGAATAATCCTTTATTATTAGTCTGTCTACGTCTCCAAAGCTCAAAATGCTCTTTTCCATCTTGTGATGTCATGAAGTGGTAGTTTTCAACTTAATAACTACTTTTTACCTTTCGTTTAGTGATGATTCTAGCAAAGGTGTTTAAAAACACAGTGATGTACTTCCTGTGTTCCCACATGACATCACAAGGTGGAACAGAATGTTTTCAGTTTGAGAGAACAACACAGCCTAAATCTGCAGGATTTGTGTCTTAAACATGTGTGAATGAAACAAAACAATTCTAAGTATGTTTGTGATGAGGAAACATTATAAAATAAATCAGATCTTTAACAGTTTTTCACAAATACTATAAACTTTCATATCTCACCTTCTCACTAGCCTCCAGCATGTTGTCTCCGTGCCATCCAGAGATGGGCACAAAGGCGACAGTGGCGGGGTTGTAGCCGATCTTCTTGATGTAAGCGCTGACTTCTTTGGTGATTTCCTCAAAGCGCTTCTGGCTGTATGGGGGCTCGGTGGAGTCCATCTTGTTGACCCCCACGATCAGCTGTTTGACTCCGAGAGTGTAGGCCAGCAGAGCGTGCTCACGGGTCTGTCCGTTCTTGGAGATACCGGCCTCAAACTCACCCACACCAGCAGCTACGATCAGCACGGCGCAGTCAGCCTAAAGTTAACAAACATGATAACTGGTTTGTACAGTGTAACATCATGGGTTCAAATTGGAGTTTTATAGACACAAACAGCAGAATGTCCAGCATATGTCCTTTAAAACTACAGTAGAATCAACACAAAAACCTACCCTTCCCTACATCTAAGTGTGTGAATACATGACAGCTCTATGGTTTACCTGAGAGGTTCCAGTGATCATGTTCTTGATGAAATCCCTGTGTCCAGGAGCATCAATAATGGTCACATAGTACTTGCTGGTCTCAAACTTCCACAGGGCGATGTCAATGGTGATACCACGCTCACGCTCTGCCTTCAGTTTGTCCAGCACCCAGGCGTATTTGAAAGAGCCTTTGCCCATCTACAGCACCCAAGGGAACCAGGGAGAGGAGAGAAGAGAGGAAAACTGATTAGAAAACCTGTACAAGGATGTACTGCTATGTTGCTTTCATTGTTGCTGCTGCCAAGCTTTAAATTTCAATAAAGTAACTATCTAAATGCTTTTTGATTGACAGTATTATACCCGTTGTAATCTATTTTTGACTTTTTATATTTGTCTTGTTATACTTTCATATAATCCAGCATAACAAATGAATCTCCTATATTTGTAACTGGTTTCGTACACATTTATATTTTAGCAGGTGTAAACAAATAAGTTAGTGATGTGCTAAATAAGTTGGGAATTTATTGCTTATTTTCCCCCACCACTATCCTTATAATGTCTTGAAATATCTAGGGAAACTTTTAACTTAGAATTCAAGAATGCCCTTCTGACTATTAATTAACAAAATAAATCTATGCAGTTATGCAATGTTTACAGTACAGCTATCACACCTTTAGTTACAATAACGGTGATTTTTTTTTGAGATCACTGAATGTTTTCAGTGTGATCGCTGTGTTTTGTACTGAGACTGTAGTACGCAATCCTAACTAGAAAAGCACTCAGAGAGCGCAGACCTCCGCCAAGGACTACCCCCATTTTTTATATAAATTGCGATAAAATCAGTCTGGATCAGATCCGGATCAGCCTTTGGAATATGAAAGAGGATCCCATTGTCCATCCCTGAGTCAAATTTCATGGGGTTTGGTCAATAATTAACCGAGATATTGAGAAACAAAATTTTTGGCCCCATTTACCACAATGTTAACTAAAATTTCAAAGTGATCCAGAATCCAGGATTTCTTCCGGATCACCCCCAAAATGAAATCAGTTCTTTCTTTTCACATTTCCAACAAATCCTGAAAATTTCATCAAAATCGGTCCATAACTTTTTGAGTTATGTTGCTAAAAGACAAACAAACAAACAGACAAACGCCGGAAAAAACATAACCTCCTTGGCAGAGGTAATTAAGATAATATAACCTAATTCACCAATAAGAATCATTTTAATAAAATTTTTCTCTAAAAAACCCTGTCGTCTCAATCATTATTTCATCTTTGTACTGTTTCTCCTTACAACCTTTTATATAGAAATGAGATATATTTGTATTACTATATTTCTATATTATATAATTATTTGTATTTATTATTACCATTTATATTCTTGCTCTATGTTATTATAATATATTATGATGTGACATACTGTGTCCAAATGATTTCCCTTGTGGATCAATAAAGTTTGTCCAATCTAATATTGCATTTCCTGCTTTAACCACTGGATGGCGCTCGTTGATAACACTGCTGAGCCCACACAGCCACACCCGCCTGTCCTCTCCTCTCGTGCACTGTATTTTAATGATCATATGACGTGGTTTTCTATACTGTCTCCCTGCAGCGGTACCTCAGCGGCCTCCTTCTCAAACTTCTCGATGGTTCTCTTGTCGATTCCACCGCATTTGTAGATCAGATGGCCCGTGGTCGTTGACTTTCCGGAGTCGACGTGTCCAATGACCACGATGTTGATGTGGGTCTTTTCCTTTCCCATTGTGCTTTACTGCTTCAGAATTACAAACATTACACGGCATTTGATCAATAGACAATCAAAATCACTACTATTGAAATGGTTTCTCTAACTAAGAGCAACAGACACAATGCAGGCCGCAAACCTAGAAAGTAAAATTAACTCTAAACCTATTAATGATAAGCATTTGATATCTTGAAGAGTATAGCCCCTTTCAAACATTGTATACCCTATAGAGATTGAAAAAACTAACCTAACGACCAATATGTCATTCACACTAGTCTAGTCTGGTCTGGTCAAATCTTTACATTGGTCAGTGAACATTCTCCCAAGCAGGTTATAGCATTTTTTTAAAACTCAAACGTGTCCATTTCCCCCCCGTCACTGTCAAATGCTTGTCGGTAGTCGGTGCTGTGGTGTCACGGGAGGCTCGGGTGAGTCAGTCGCCATGTGCTCTGAAAACCGGCGCGTGCGCCTCCATGTTGAGCCGGGAACGCGCATCCGCCATGTTACTGCAGGCGCGCTCCCGCTCACAGCACAAATCAGCAGAAATGAAGACATGTACAGCATGAATTCCAGAAATCACAAAAAAGTGACCAAATTCAGCAGTCGTACAATTTGGTGTTAAACAAGCAAAACAGCACCAACAAGATCCCTCCTTCAAAACCATGCAGTCCTCATTTTGAAAGTTAGCCAATTACTTAAAAGGCCATTTAATTTACATGCACATTTTAATGACACAAAATGTCAAACCTGTCCAGCAACAAGATGACCCTGACTTCGAGCAGAGGGAAAAAAAGGACAGAGGGTGACCCGTACTGGGTTTTTATACTGGGGGACCAGAAGGGAGGGCTCCCATAGCTCTTGTTGCTGTCAAACTAAAATAAGTCTAGCCATTGGCTGAGAGTGTAACTTATCTAAGCGACTGGACGACAAGTGCATGGTTAAAAACAGCTGCAGCACCAGCTCAGCCTGTGACTTTCAGAACCACATTGAGGAGCGGGACAACGGTGTCAATTTTTTCAAAGAATTTTAATTTTATTAGTTACCAGCAGCTTTATTCCAATCAAATGTTGTATTTAAACATCAAGATCTAAACCATTTCCAACTTAAAACTCAAATGAAGAGGCACCGTCTTTGATTTAAATGACAATGCTGCAGTTTTTTCCTGCGAAAACTTTTACGATGGGTTTTAATCAGCATAAGCCAGTCCTTAAGTTGAGAGCTCAGCCTCAGAGAAGATGGTCCAAGAAAAAGGGTGATGTGAGGGGAAAGGGAGGCCTGCAGCTGCCGGCACACCGCTCCCGTCTGGTGGAGGTCCTGCACGACCATTCATTTCTTCTTCTGGGCCTTTTCTGCAGCCTTGGTCACTTTGCCGGCCACATCCTTGCACTCCACCTGCTTGATGACACCGACAGCCACGGTCTGCCTCATGTCACGGACAGCAAAACGACCTGCGGAGGAGAGACTGGTTAGACACATGTTACACTAACATATTGCCATGGGTGTTAATGCTCTATCAACAGTCTTACCAAGGGGAGGGAAATCTGAGAAGGGCTCCACGACCATGGGCTTCTGTGGAATCATCTTTACGATAGCGGCATCTCCAGACTTGACGGACTTGGGGTTGTCCTCAAGCTTCTTTCCAGAACGACGGTCGATCTTCTCAATCAGCTCCATGAACTTGCAGGCGATGTGAGCAGTGTGGCAGTCCAGGACGGGGGCATATCCCGCATTGATCTGGCCAGGGTGGTTCAGGATGATAACCTGTACAAATGTAAAGTTATAGCCAATGTATTGAAATACAATTCAAAATTTGAAGTTTTAATTAAAGAGTTACACACCTGAGCGTTGAAGCTCGCAGCAGCCTTGGGTGGGTTGTTCTTGCTGTCACCAGCCACGTTTCCACGACGGATTTCCTTGACGGACACGTTCTTGACGTTGAAGCCGACGTTGTCTCCAGGCACAGCCTCGGGCAGAGACTCGTGGTGCATCTCCACAGACTTCACCTCAGTGGTCAGATTTGGGGGAGCAAAGGTCACGACCATGCCAGGCTTCAGGACACCAGTCTCCACACGACCCACGGGGACAGTTCCGATACCTAATTGAAGAAAAGCGTGAAGCATCTTGCAAAGTGCTCCAGTTAACATTTATTGGGATTCAAACAAACCTCCAATTTTGTAGACATCCTGCAGGGGCAGACGGAGGGCCTTGTCGGTGGGGCGGCTGGGGGGCAGGATGGCGTCCAGGGCCTCCAGGAGGGTGGTACCGCTGGCATTGCCCTCTTTGCGCTCAATCTTCCATCCCTTGAACCAGGACATTTTGTCACTGGTCTCCAGCATGTTGTCTCCGTGCCATCCAGAGATGGGCACAAAGGCGACAGTGGCGGGGTTGTAGCCGATCTTCTTGATGTAAGCGCTGACTTCTTTGGTGATTTCCTCATAACGGGCCTGGCTGTATGGGGGCTCGGTGGAGTCCATCTTGTTGACACCAACGATGAGCTGCTTCACTCCCAGAGTGAAGGCCAGCAGGGCGTGCTCACGGGTCTGTCCATTCTTGGAGATACCGGCCTCAAACTCACCCACACCAGCAGCCACGATCAGCACGGCGCAGTCAGCCTGCCCGAAGTAAACCATATTGTCAACCACGACCGACCACATCTTTAAATTTAAACTAAAAAACTCTGGTTTACCTGAGAGGTTCCAGTGATCATGTTCTTGATGAAATCCCTGTGTCCAGGAGCATCAATGATGGTCACATAGTACTTGCTGGTCTCAAACTTCCACAGGGCGATGTCAATGGTGATACCACGCTCACGCTCTGCCTTCAGTTTGTCCAGCACCCAGGCGTATTTGAAAGAGCCTTTGCCCATCTAAAACCAAATTAAAACACCATTTTATTTAACAGCAGGATGCCACACTTAAGTAAATTTTCATAAACGTTTGGGCGGACTTTTTTTTTTTTTTTATTAGCCGTCAGAGCAATACTGAGTCAGGGCTGAGGAGGCGCACAAGCCCCACCCCGCGTGCGCGCTCACGGCGCTACACCCTCGTGCCAACAGCGCCCAGTGTCGCTGCCGCCATTTTGGACAGTCTCAAGCTGTTATTACAGATAAGAAAACTAGAAAACTGACCTCAGCTGCTTCTTTCTCGAACTTCTCGATGGTTCTCTTGTCGATTCCACCGCATTTATAGATCAGATGGCCGGTGGAAGTGGACTTTCCGGAGTCGACATGGCCAATGACCACGATGTTGATGTGCGTCTTTTCCTTTCCCATTGTGTTGGTTTCTGTAAATTAAATTCACCGCCATTAGTTGTAATGAATATAATTTTATTCCAATAACCCAAAATTGACCAAATTAACACGTTTCAAATGACGATTAACTCAACCCGGCTTTTCGCAACTCAAGTCAAACGTGGATTGAGGGTCAAAAATAAACAAAACTCACATAGTCGTAATTAAATGGGTTTATTTCTAGCATATTTTCATTTCTGAACCATTGACAACTCGCCGCCTTCAGAGTTACAGCGTCATTTAGCGGAAGCACACTAGGCCTCAATCGGCCCCTGTCCAGGCGAAACACGTGTTCACTACAGGCCACGTCGGATTAAGTTACAAAGATTGCCAAATATTCCATAGCTATGTCTACCAGTGCCTCACCACCTGTTACTTAAGAGTCACATACAGTTGTTTCAGGACTGGAAGAGAGGAATTCCCATCCAGCATCCCTCGGATCAGTTTTCTAACGGGATCCTTTGTTTGTTCCATCCAACTCAGCCTCCATCAAAAAAGCCGCCCACGAGTTTTAACAATTTCACGTATGGATTCCACAAATATTTTATCAAAACCTCGCGTTACAACCAAAAACGAGCAAAATCAATCATATTAAACTACACTTTAAAAAGCTACAAGTTATGCTTTATCATTACATAACTTTAAACAGGGAAATTTCACAATAAATCCACAATTAATCATATTTATTCTACGTTTACAGATGCGTAAAGCGGATACGGCTACTATCAAGTGCCAAAAAAATGATGAAAAGGCGTGGAACTTACCGGTGTTTCTGGGTTTTTCAAGGCCAAAGCTGCTGCCCCTGAGCCAGGTAACAGAAAGAGAAAGATTAGGGGAGGACCGTGAGGTTTTATAGTGCAAAGGAGGCGGTCTGCTGCGCACCGACTGCCCGCCTGCGCGTAATCCGGCAAATCAGACGGATTCCTGGGAAAAAACGTCACGACGTCACCGGATGAACCAAGGAACCAAAGCCTTGTTTTATTTGTCACATTAATGTACCATTTCTCACAGCAGGGAGACAGAAATTAGCTTATCAAAAAGATTAAACGACCCCCACAACCATTTTACTTGCAGTCCATACAAAACATATCAAGACTGCCATATTTTATTCATTCATTCAATTTGTTCATTCATTACAGTTGTCTGAATCTAGTTTGAAAATCCAGTCTTCTTTAATATATATACACAAATAGGACTTAATAACTTCTGGTTAGTAATAGTGGCCTACAACTTTTATTTTATCAGCTATAATAAATGACATCCACAGCTATTTTACTTAATTTCAGCTGCAGTCTATACAAAACATACCACAGCTACAGTCAACATTCTTTTGACTGCCTGTTCATTACAGTTGCCTCAGTCTACTTTGAGAATCCAATCCAACAATATACACAAATAGGACGAATTATTAGTTATTACATTACTATTACTGGTTAGTAATAGTAGCCAGCATCTGAAAGGTTTACCTCAAAGAAAATAAAAACACCCACAACTATTCTGCCCAGAAATACAGCTACCGTCTAAAGTGCATAACATAGAATTATCTTCTTTTTTATTTTAATGATACCAGTTATTACACAATTAGCTCTATTTTCTGTTGTCATTAAGTCAAGTTTTAAAGGTAATGTCAGACAATTTGCCCATTACATTTGCCTAAATCTGGTTTTGGGATCTAATCTGCAAAAAATACACAAACTAACAGAATTAACTAACTTATGCTTAGTTCTATTAATTAGTACCCACCATTAGAAACTGGTATTATAGATATCTAAATGCTATAATGTAATGGATATAAGTCTAAAATTAACCTATTTAGTCTTTTTTGGCACATTCAATATTACCTCACTAATAGTAATGGTGTTTACTTTATAGGAATATGAGGTGAAACTATCTTAAAAATTCATATACATATAAACTAATGCTTTACATCACTTGAACTGGCCACCTTACTACCACACAAACAGGAATGCAGTTTAGAACAACTTTATTAAACTTTATAATAAGTCTGTTCCAATAACAAATAATTCTTCAAGTCATGCAAACTGTATTAAATTGACTGCTATCTCGTATATAAATAAAACAACAACCGTACTTTTAAAACTCATGGTCAAGGCACATTTTCGCGTTTCACATTGACCATTTGCTCTGGTCCACATACAATGCTAAAAGACCCAACCCCCAACAGACAATGCAGACCCCCACTCAACAGCACCTCTCTGTGATTTAGCTTCCGACAAGATTATCTCAGATTCATTTGCATTCAAACAGTTGTCTTGACCCTGAAAAGACAGACCCCTGCTGTCCCCGCAACACCTCCACAGATCCTTATTCACACTGATAGTAAAGGAAAGATCAGGGGATAATTACATCAAGTAGTGCTGGGTTAAATGTTGTAAAGATTTTGACTTAAACTTAAAATCTTAAAATTCAGTTTGTGTTTTATCAGTCTGGTCATAGTTGTTAGGAAAATAACAATTTGTGGATATATTATGGTCATATTCGATATTAGTGATATAGTTAATTAGGTATATTAGTATTAGAGTTAAATTATGAGACCTGAACCATATTCAAAGTTTTGAGGTAATATTAGCTATTTTTTCATTCAGTGTTCTATATTTTATGTTTCTTGTTTTGCTATTAGCATGAAAATTTGTCTGATATAGTGAATTTGTTTGTTTGTTGTTTAATTTGGTCCAGTTCTGCACATTTGAAGAGGACGTTATTGGACCTGTTTATGTTATTAAAGGTGCACTGCATAACATTTCAAGTGAAGGGTCTGCCACATTCTTGTCTCCATAGAAATGTTATTTTTTTCTCTGAATTGCTCCACAGTATAAAGCCTGTCCATCACAGGGAGACAAGCATGTTAAAACACTAAGCTACATTACAATTCAGATCTGTGGAGAGTCGCCTCTATTCACAGAAGGAATTATTGTATTTTTGAGCACTAGAAACACATGTCATGAGTAAATACTAGCAGGATATCTTTAAAGTCATACCATGGAACATTACAGGCAAAGTAATAGCATTTCCAATTGAAACAAGCAGGTAGCGGACCCTCCAACAGAAAAGAGGCAAAGTGCACATTTAAGCCATTTTAGATCAATATTGCCATAATAACTAACTTAATTAAACTTTTACTCCATTTAAACAGCTTTCAGAGACTTGTATCAGTAAAATCAACTGTGATGCTATGATAAGGGCAAGAGGACAGTCTCCTCCTGCATCCCTGTGGCACAGCCAAGTTTAGAGACAGCTGCCGTTTCCAACCATCATACCACTAATACAACGACTAATACACATTTAGGTATTTGAACACGTGCACACATCACCATACACACTCAATGCTCTTTGCTTTTCCTCCAGAGTTCAGGTAACAGGCTTCACCAGTGCAGCTGCTCCTGTCAGTCAAAGCATGGGAGACAGCGAGCGGCTAACTGCTCAGCTAACAGGCAGGCTTGCTGAGTGCTACAATGCTAAAGGATTTTTCATTTATGTGATTATTTATTTCTTCATTTCTCAAGTCTGCTCTTTTGAAGACCATTGCAGTCATTGTTGCTTTCTTTAGGCCTAAATAGTCTTATCTTTATCCAGATATTTTGCCAGCGTAGACCTGGTTTAACTACATGCTATCTGTTTAATCTTATCATAAACCTAGTTGAATACTGTATCAGTTTTAGTCTTTCCTGGTAAACTAGTACAACTACAACTTCTACTACTGCTACTATGACAACTGTTGCTACCATTTATCCATGTGTTTCAGAATGGCGAAAAATTTGAACTGTTATCGCAGTAATTAACTATTTAAAACAATTTACTGTGTCTTTTGAATAGCAAAAAGTCCTTACTTTTCTCAATTCAAGCTAAAACCCATGATAGTGATACATAGAGAAAGTGTGCCCATTAAAAAGTGATCATATTTTGTTCTGAATTTTTAATTACTATGGCAATGGTGCTAGATTTTATAACCACCATCACTACTTCTGAGAATACTATAGGCCTACTATTAACTGATATTATTAGGCAACTACTTTAGTACTATTAAACCCAAAGCTCTATCTGCTCCTGTGACAATCAATAACCTGTATAAATAGCATTTGAACATGCACAAAACCCATTATAAAACCTCCAATCCAATACATGAAGCATAAATCCACATAATCTATAAAAATACATAATACGTAATACATTTGGCAGTAGTATAAAGTACTATGTTATGACCTAGTAATGTTAAACTTGCCCTGACAACATTTCTCAGTGAATGCCAGTTACTGAAGAGAGTAATGTAATAACTTTAGGTGTGGCTGGTCCCTTTCAATAGAATGTATAGGAGACAGTAGAACCTGTTTGGCAAAGCACACCTACGTGACGTGCATATTATTGGATAATTTTTAGATGACTTATTGAGAAAAAAAAGTTCCAATTAAGGATTTTTATGTGAATTTTGTAATATGGGTGTTGTGGTGTATTATGTGTTCTTCCATTTTCTTCTGCTTTATAATATCAAAGAGCAAAAATATAAATGTTAATAATACATTCAAAATAGACTGGGGTCAAATAAGGTATAATTATATAAATGTATGAACAAGTAAAGTAAAAATATTATTATTATTATTATTATTAGTGTTGAGTAGTACTATTATTTATGTAGATTGAAATTGAAACATAATCATGATAAAGTACTAAAAGTAGCTGTATAGCAGTAAGATCGAGATGTGGAGAGTAATAGTAGTAATCATTTTTGAGTACAATTTCTAATTTGAATAAAACGTGATTTACTTCTGACTAACTGGTCAAATAAAAAAAAACAAATTGATAATATGGCTTCTATGGTCTATAGTCTCACCAACAAAATGATATATAGTTCAAATCAATACAGATTAAATTACACTACCGTAATTTGGTCTGAAATATATATAGAGGGGATACAATAACAATCAGTGTTGTTGTATCTCAAAACACATATTAGGTGTAGTTGTTATAGCTTACTATACATTTCATGGCAAAGAAATTTGTATGACTACTTCTTGCTTACAACAGTTTCACCCTGCTCTTTAAAATGACAGCTGTTGAGACATTCTTCAGCAATTTAAAACACACAGACAACTACTTGTTACCTAGGGAAAGTCAGAAATGCATGGTTGGTCTCTATACTTAACATACAGCTTGTGAACACTCTTTTGAAAAGTAAACCTTGAGGACATGGTTAGTGGAAAGATTACTGTCTTTAAACTTTTTGCAAGGCCATTTGAACCAGGTCAAGGGGTAAAAAGTTTAACAATATTCTATGGGGTAGGAAATTGGTGCAAGTCCATAAATGACGTAGTTATAACCTGTTAAACCTGGAACGTGACTTCAACCACCTTTGTCTGAAGATGTGAAAAACAATGCAAACAGTAACAGCTGACAATGTGGAAGAGGCCAACATTGCCAATCAAGGATGTAATGTATTGTTTTATGCCAGATGCCCTTCCAGAAGCAGCCCAGTCCATAGGGTATACCCTTTGACCACATCAGTGATTCCCAAACTGGTTCTGAATCCAGTTAAAATAGATAGACTGAACAAAAGATCTTATATTAGGTTATGCTTAGAACTAGAATGAAACCTGATTTGAAATGTTTTGACGACTTGAATTTGCACAGACGTCATTATTCGTTATTTGGGGGTCCTGGCCTAAAAATCTGTGAAACTTTATGATGAATAACTTTGATACAACAGTGTGTTTGTAGGGAAAACTGGGACCTGTTCGATAAAGTAGGACACTGGCAGCACACTCCGAGTTCAAAGAAAGCAATGACATAAGTGTTGTGCTATGTATAGATGTGAGGGGACTGGTGAAAACAGCTTCTAAAAATAAAAAAAAAATCTGATATTTCCAGAGACAAACTAAACAAATACTCTAAATTAAAGGTGTACTACGTAACTTTTCTGATATTGCTTTGCCCGGGACATTCCACAGTATAACTTTATCTCCTTGGAGACAAGCAGACTGAATTATAAGTTAAATCTGTGGATGTTTTTCAAGGTATATCTATAATACCTGTAATTTAATTAATGTAAGAAGGATAAAGTTAATACTATACTGTGGAATACAAAGCAATAACATCTGAATGGATATAAGCAGAAAGGTCCCGCCAATAGAATGTATATATATGTATAAATAAATATGTATACAGTCCATTGTCCCACCAGAGTAGTCACTTGTATAATTCTCTATCATTGCTTTAGTATGAATTTAACCAATGACTAACAAAGCTCAGTGCAACAGCTGTGAATATATTTCTGGAACAAGTGAAACCTGTCTGCTTGTCTGTGTCAGAGGCAAGAAAAGAGGAGAGAGGGAGGAAAAAAGGATGAGAAAAAGGGAAGATAGAGATGGAAGAGTGCAGAGTGCAAAGGAGAGAGGAAAGGAGGGGAGGAGAAAGAGAGGAGGGAGAAGAGAGAGGGAGGAGAGAAAAAGAGAGAGGGGAGAGAGGGAAGAGAGAGAAGGGGGTGGTATATAGGAGAAGAAGTAGACAAAGTTGACGGAGAGAGAGAAAGAGAGGGGAGGCGAGAAAAGTGTGAATCAGTCGCTGGAAATCGTCCACGTCGTGAGTCACTCTTGAGAGGCACAGGGGGTGTCCATGGCAACGGGGTGAAGAAAAAAACGTTCCAAAACACAGCAGCTTCATTCTAGGATTTATATGTGAAATATGAAAATTAAATAATAATAATACTTAGTTAAAGATATGTGTAAAGTTAATGTCATTATGCTCTATTACTTGAGTTTTTGGTCTAAATTATTTAATTTCTCAAGAAGTGTTTTGACACATGTCTGAATGAATTACTTTGGCTTTTTGATTACAGCTTTCGGTGCTAGGAAAGGACTGAGGTTAAAGTCTGTTGCTTCTTCTTAATTATTGCCAACTTGTGCCACCCACAGCTCTCGCAATGACCAGCAACATGTAGACAGACATTTAATCTTTCATCGCGTGCTCAATGCCTTGATTTATGTAACTGATTGGTAGGCCTGTCACGATAACAAATTACAAGTAGGATGTATTGGTGCAGAAATATTCCGCAACAAACAATGATGAATGAATGAAATTACTTTATGCCACTGACGTAATAAAATAATGTAATGTAATCCAGTAAACATATAATGTTTAACAGATTGGTATCATTTAAAGGACTGAGCTAATAATCTACTTTATTACTTAATTATTAGTCATAGAAATCAATTATTTAACCTTTTACAGCTTGAATTGTATTGTATTACAACAAAAAATACCTCTATCTCCCCAATTTACAGAGAAATTGTTCCAGTTTTCATATGTAAAATGATAAGACGACATAGTAATTATTGTGACAGGCCAAGTGACTGAGGCACCTAATGTTGACTTAATGCATTTACTTCACATTTTCTCATTTATTTTCACATTTTAGGTGAGGGTTCGTAAATGACACATATTTTATAGTACATTTTCATACCAGGATCAATTTCATTTTAATTACTTAAGTTGACATTAAAAATTTAACTCACTTTTATTGTTATTTTGCATACACTTTTATTTATCTATCACTTCTGTTTATATTTATTTTATATTTAATGACTTTGCTGATTCATTATTGTAATTGCATTTTCACGTAAATAACAGCTGATTATTAATCAAAGTCACAGTGAATGTAAATAAATCCCTTTTGTAACACAGTGCCTCTTGTTGTCTGTCTCCTGCATGACCCTGAGCTTCACACTTGCAAAAAACTTCACCATAGACTAGTAAAACAAAAGGTTGACTCCTACACATGTTAATCTCATACTAAGAATATGTAACAGAGAAAACAAAGAATCCACAGCTTCAGGCCAAAGGGTGTATAGACTCCAAATGGGGGGTTGATGTTAACTTTTGCATGTACCTTGATGAATACCACTGCATTGCATATCTTCTTTAGTCATTTTGGGCTGAAATTGAGAGAAAATATTGTCAAAAATGAATTACACAAGTATTTTAGTTCAAATAAAATTATGTGTATATGTATACTTGAAATACTTGGTTGCAGTTGTATTAAATAAAAGATTACGATTTGACCTATATTTACGCCAGGCTACTGATTTTAACCTAGTTCATGGCAATTGCTCTGGTCTTTGGACTGTAACGTGTTTTGTAAGATTATGAAACACATATTTTACTGTACATTCTTGGACATTAGAGTATATTACCAAAAACATCTATTACACATTCAGTATTGTAAATATGTAGTTACCAGGCAGATTGGATTTAAGATGGAAATAGTGAATGTGATGACACTATTTATAGCTTCTGTGTCCAGCACCGCTTTTGTAAATCTAAATAATTTATACATGATGTGGGATGCATATTTACCAGAAGCCAAGATACCAAGATGGCCCACATGAGGGTTACAAATTGGGAAGGGGGTAATGACTATACAGAGAATATAGTCTTATGGGAGAAAATAAGTATCTGAATCTAATTTATAATTAAATATAAGCGGTAGCACCCACAAAATTAAGTTCAAATATTACCATATAAATCAAACAGGATTTTATGTTGTCTTTAAATTTCAAGTTGGTTAAAGTTCTATGCATCAGATTTCGTATTATTCATTTGGGCTAATATGCTAATAATAATAACTAATACCCTTAACATTTAAACATGTCTAGAAGAAGTTATAATCTAAAAAGCTCGATGAGACTGCTTCTTGTTCGGCAACGCGCATCTAAATAACATTTAAATAGGCACTTTTGACATTCTATTTTGTGACTTTTGAGAAAGTTTTGAGTAAAGTGTAAAGTTTTCTAGATGAGGTGACGGACAAATTTGAACGTAACACCGCCCAGGTCACGGGAACATCCGGGTCATTTATAAATCTGACGCAAGCCTCCAACATAATTCGGCAACTTTTATCATGTGAAAACTTTTTTACAACCCACTGTAAAACTGCGCAAGACATGCACTTATTTATATTTAGATAATTTATCATATTAAAAGGATTAGAACAAATGCCATTGAGGAATTGTCATAAAAAGCCTCATCAAGGTCAGTAGCTTTTCCTCCTATTTTGGCTCATGTTACATACTCAACAACACTGACTTTATCATGATGAACTGAATACATTTTGTTTATGTTTACACTGTTATTATTTTCATTTGAGGTAATAATTTAAGTACTCTTAACAGAAATATGTCTCCTTGTGCCATCTGGTGGTGGAAGACAATAAAAGTTGTCCTAAAGAAGACCGTCCTCTGAAGGCTGATGGACCAAAATCTAAACAAAAAGTAGTTTATTATTATTATTATTATTTGAAACAGTTATGAATTGTCAGACTAATACCAGGAGACAAATGATTCATAAGTGTGACTTTAATACATGTAGCAACTCTTCTGCAGCCATGTGTATGCAGTGAGTGCCTAATATATAATAGAAAAAACTAAGGAAAATTTTAGTAGAATCTCAAAGTTTATAGAGGGTAGAACAATACAAAATAAAATATTTCAATAAAAATTTTATACAGTACAAAAATGTAGAATTTAGATTTTTGTCTTGTTGTAACTAATTGTGCACAAATTGTAATAATAATAAGGCCTAACAATTTACATACCTTATCTTATCTTATCTTATCCTATCTTAATTGAAGTACAAGAGTGATATAGAATGCTGCCTCTCTCTTCAGGTGGTGGCTTTGGGCTTCTGCTTCGGACCACAGACCTACCTTCAGTCCAGTTGGAACATTCTGGACAGTCTGCTGATGTTAGTGTCTCTGGTGGACATTTTGGTGACTCTGGCCTACCCTGGAGGTTAGGGCATTCTCAGGGTACTGCATCTGCTCCGAGCACTGTGACCTCTCAGGTATGGCTCGGTACAGTTCTGGGTTGAAGAAATTATGTGATGTAATAAAAGGAACCAATTTTTCACTTCTCCTGATATCTGCACATCCATCTCCTGAGTTCCTTCGGTCTCTTCAGACTCGGATTTCTGAAAATCTTTCAATGCTGTTGGTTGGACATCATCTTGCTGTCAAGTCAGTTGTTATGTTTTGATCCAGTGAGGTTAATTTGGTCTTCTAATAATTTATTCTACCATGTTCTTTATTTCAGACTAAAATTCAGTTTGTTTACAAATCAACTACTGCTATTAAATTTAGTTTAGTAGCTGTAGTTTGGTAAGTTAAAGTCTGAAAGTCAAAAAGTCTGAAAAAAATAATCAGTTACAATAACTGAACAATGTTTAGCTTTTTTTTAGCTAACAAACTATACATTTTTGGAAAGCTCTGGCACATTCCTACGTCATGGCCCTGGTCACTTCGGGCGAGTTACACTGCATCATGTCACTTCCCGCCCACTATAAGCATTGCTTTGCGACACTAATAGGCCCTTCGCCAGCTGCTAGTGCTCAGGCCTAATACTACTACTACTACTACTACTTCTACTACTACTACTAATAATAATAATAAATAACACTTGTATAGCACTTTTCACAATACTCAAACATGCTTTACATGAGGAGTAACCAAACTGTGTAATAAAACATATTACCGTACCAAAACATGGAGACTGCAAATAAATTAGGTAAATAAATGTGTTATTTATAAATTAAGTCTTTTTTTTTTTTTAAACTTGATCATCTGAGTAACCCTTGACCTAAACAACATCAGTGCACCCATGTCCTCTTCCATTATCTCATCCATTCCAGAACACGGTGGCCCCTTCCATATTCTATAGTTCTGTTCTGTTCTGCTCCGAGCTGAATGGATATTTTAGCATGCCCCGCCACATTCTAGAATTCAGTGAATGAAGGGCAACGGCCTCTGTGGGTGCCCTTCATTGTTTTTTGTTTGTTTGTTTGTGTTTTATCTTAAAGTTGCATTGTGTAACTTTTCTGGTGGAGGGTCCATCAAATGTTTTTTTCCATGGAGATGTTATTGCTTTGTCTAGAATATTTCACAGTATGATATTAACCCTTTTTATCTGAGCCACAAAACCACCTGTGGAACATTCCAGGCAGAGCAATGACATATTTATAGAAACAATCAGGCACAAAACCCCAACCAAAAAGTTACACTGTGCACCTTTAAAAGAAAAATACATACCTGTTGGATTTATCGTTATCATGTTCACACACCCAGTGTTTCTATAATATTGTGTCTTCAAGTGGAAGACATCATTATATTCTACAATCTGGAAAAATTCAGTGTTTAGAATGTTGTTGTGTTTGTCTTTTGTGAAATATCGAGCAGCAACTGGCGCAGCTGCTCCAGAAATAGACCCAAAGGTGAGACTAATGCCAAAAAGAAAACCACTGTATCTAAACATAGAAAAAAGAAAATTTAGTGTCGTATAATACTAGTCTACTAATACTAATCATATGTTTGTGGTTTCAACACAACAGTAAATCTAGCAATGTCAGAGGTGCGTAAATTTCCAGTAGAGGGTCCAACGCCTCCTTGTATGGAAATGTTATTGCTCTGTCTGGAATGTTTCACCATATGGCAAACGTATCTCTCTCCATCTGTCTAATATTGTCACATATTGAATTTTTTATTTTCTGCACTGCAAAAAGCAATATCTAGGTGAATTAAAATTAATTAAATTAAGACTATTTTAATTTTTTTGACAAACACAATCATCTACCAATGGATGATTCTTAATTTAAGCAACGTGGGACAGAGCATGTTGAGCTTTGGAGATGTAGACAGACTAATAATTAATAGGATTACTCAAATGTGTGTGAATGAAAGGTATGTTTTTGATGAGTTTTTCTATAGCAATATATTGTACTTCAATATTTTTTTATTATGACTATGAGCTATGGAAAACCTAGGCAACTTCTAGGCAATAACATGATAACGAGTCAGTACAGACTGTATAAGGCCTTTGGTACACACCTGTTTCAGGCCGCACCACCATTTTCACCAACACGGGGGCGCTGTCTTGATGGATTCATTTGAGAGCGACGTCCCAGTGTACAGTAGGATTCTGGTCTAAATGCTAGATAGATATGTTTAATGTCATACCATGGAGACAAGCAGGTGGCGAACCCTCAACCAGAAAAGTTGCGCAGTGGACTTTTAAGATGTGTTATGCCAAATGTTGATCAAAGTTAGTGGGTGACTCTTTTACCCAGCTTTGTTACCATAAACTGTACTCTACTGAATTTGTAATGAAAACAAATGCAATAGGCTATTATAATCCAACAATTAAACGATAAAAATACTGACTGGACGCTCAAAATGTATCATACCTAAATTGGCTCTCAGTCTGGTCCTCTCTCGCCTCGTCGTGTGATCTTATTATTGTCATTTTGTATATTTAAATCTGTAAGCAATTGTTTAATTCTTTAACATATTAAGTTTAAAAGATTTCACAGACTTTCTCTTTTAATAAACCACGGTGACTTTTTACTACTTGCGCCATCTTGTGGTAGTAGTGGCATAAACACACAGCTTTCCTAAGTATATTTCAACGTCAATGTGATGACAATTAAACAAGACGAAGACAAGTTCCCAACAGGATCTTTAATTCCAGTAACAAACCATATTATTATTTTCACAACGTCTTATAAAACATGTAAACTTTTCCATTTCCTACAACTTATTTTTTCCCCCCATAATGACAACAGTTATAAGTTAATCTACAAAAAGGGTCAGATACACATTACTAGTCAAAAATTTGGATGCATTTTTTCATAAATGTTTTTCAGTATTTCCAGGATTATTTACATTGTAGATTCCCCCTGAAGACATTAAAATGTGAATGGTCACATATGAAATATAGCAAACAAAATATGAGCTCAAAACTTTTCCTGCATTTGTTGGCATTTCTTGACTCTGAGACCTCATCATGAAGCCACGCCACACAAACGATGCGCCACGCACCTAACCCTACCAACCCTAACCCCCGACCCTAGCACTTCTAAACTAGCCATTAAACCTAATCCTAACTCCTAACCCCTACCTCCTAACCTAACCCTAGTCCTAACCCTAATTAACCCGTAGCCCAAACCATAACCCTAGTCCTATCCCTAACCTTAACCCTAGGTCTTACCCTACCCCTTGTCCTAACCCTGCAATTTTTCAAATTTTATTTTATGTGTTGAATTTTTTTTTAATCTTCTGTAAGGGGCATGGTCATAATATATTTTTGTTCCTATCGCCATGATGCATCTGGTTACCAAATTTGATTTGGCTACACCAGTGTGTTTTTTTTTTTTTTTTGTCAGGGTTGGGGTGTCCACCTACGATTAAAATTTGAGTGAAATAAGCCAAAGTCTGGGAGAGTTGGAGATTTTTCCATGTGTATTTAGTTCTGTTACTTAACTTTTTACTATATAATTCTATGTATCTTCATATATTTGATGTCTTTGATGTATATAAAATGTATAAAGTAGTAAACATAATGAAAAAAAACATTGAATAAACGGGTGTATCCAAACTATTGACTACTAGTGTATGTTCTGATGGTCCATTATTCACACACTTATTAATTTACTAAATTAGAGTTTAGGACAGACAGTGCTGGGAAGTGAATACATGTACTGAAAATACATATTCTGAACACTAATTCTGAGTAACCGTGTTCTGGTACAGTTACTTTTTAATTTGGTGGTCAAAGGAAATCAAAGGAAAGGAATATTTTTACACTATAAATTAAATGCAAACCGATGTCAATGTATTTTAAGTAATCAGAATATAGTATTCTGATTGGCCCATGTATCAAAATATGTTGCAAAATACAGAATACTGAATACCTACATTAAAATGTAACTAAATAAATTTTCAAGTATTCTTCCCATCAGTGGGGTCAGATGAGGATAATGGGGGTTTTATAGATTTTCAGAATATCTTTCAAATATGAACCCAGAGTTTTGGTTAAAAAAAAGTACACATCTGTAGAAATACACTGTTTTGATTGAAAATATGGTAGAAAATATACAAAAAGTACACTAAATTGCATGTTACAAATAATGCTTTCTTGGGATAAAAATGTAAGAACTAGAGTTGTGCAAAGATATATGGCCCTTATTATTGTACTGACTGTTTTTGTTAAGGCCTTTGTGGTATGTTTATGATAAAGTGCCTCTTAGAAGTGATCAAAAATTTACAACAATTTAAATAAAAGCAGCTTCTAACTTGAAAATATTCCTATAAACAATAATTCGTTCACATCTGTATTATCTGTGGTACTGTACTGCTGCATTCTTATAGTGCAAATTTAACGGCCTCTGTATATAGTGGTTTAATTATGGCCAAAATATATAAGTATGATTTTATATATATATATATATATATATATATATATATATATATATATATATATATATATATATATATATATATATATATATATAAACAGTAAATGTTGGCGAAATTGATTATTTAAATAATTAGGCCAAATTTTATACATTAAACATGCATAGTGAATTTTTCAGCTGGAGAGCGCTACCTGCTGATAATCATAACAAGTGTTTTACTGTTTTACCTGAATGTTCCACAGCATTCAACTTTTCTATCTCCATGGAGACAAGAATGCCACCAGGCCAGGTTATGGTGCAGATCTGTGAAGAGGCAAGCCCATCCATTTTTTTTTATTTTTTTTTTTGTATTTTTGAGTAATAAAGGCACATGTAACTGAATAACTATTTGATAGATAAGTTCAATGCGATAGTGAGGAACATTCCTGACAACTCTAAAGTAGTGTAACCTAAACCAGAAAAGTGCATTTTTAAAATCAACAATTACAACTTTTGAATAGTTCTGAAAATGATAAGATTTTGTGTAACTTCTAAAATGTTGATTAAAAGCTGCCTTAACAGTAAATGTTTGATATGCAAAATATTATACTTACTTAAAGGTGCACTGTGTAACTTTTCGGGTGGAGGGTTCGTCAAATGCTTTTCTTTGTGGAAATATTATTGCTTTGTCTGGGATATTTCACAGTATGGTATTAAACCTTTCCATCACCATGGAGACCATGTTACAGGTCAGATCTGTGGAGAGGCAACCCCACTCAGAATACCTTTTTTCTAGGTATTTTTGAACTATAAAACAACTTGTAATTGAGTAAATGTAATGTAGAGTTGTTTAATGTCATACTGTGGAACATTCCAGGCAGAGCAATGACATATCCATAGAAACAAACAGGTGACAGACCACAAACCAAAAGTTACATAGTGTACCTTTAAAGTAGAGTTTGGTCTAATTATGTTTTCAAGTACATATAGAGCTGGTTCTCCTCTTCTCGGCCTCTGCTCTGTCCTCTTCAGTCATGGCCCATTTCTGAAGTTTAGCACTGCCAAATATCAAGTAAAAAAGAGCTCCACACATTTGGATCCCAGCAGCGAGCCAGAAGACCTTCCTCCAGCCGTCCAGAGAGTGCTGTGACAGAGATAGAGAGAACAGGGAAAAGGTCAAAAAAGAATCGATGTACAAATTACTTATTTATTACACTATTTTCTGATCCATGCTATAATATTGTTTCCTCATCATAAACAGACCTGGAGTTGAGTTTTGTTTCATTCACACACGTTTAATGCACAAACCCTGCATATTTAGGCTGAGTTCTTCCCTCAAACAGGAAACACTCTTTTCCACCTTGTGATGTCATGTGGTGATATCAGAAGTGCTCCACTGTGTTTTTAAACTCCATACACCTTCACTAGAATCATTTGGATGATTTCAGCTTGAAGCTCAACTTGAAAAACTACCACTATATGACATCACAAAGTGGAACAGAGCATTCTGAGCTTTGGAGATGTAGACAGACTAATAATAATGAATTACCCAAACCTGTGCGAATGAAACAAAACATAACTCCATGAGGAAGCTTACAATATGGCTTAAAGCTCACAAGAGTTAATTTTGTGTATTTTAGAAACTTTAATCAATACATTTGACCCAGGGATACTTTTATGAGTGTTAAGTTGCTTCATATTTTTAAAAGTGCACTATGAATCTTTTTCTGGCGTGTGTTGGGCACTTGCTTGTCTACATGGAGATTCCTGGAATGTTCCACAGTATAGCATTAAACATGTCAAACTTGGATTCAAGCAGGTGGAGCTGCAGATGATGCTTTCAGGCCAAATGAGACCTGTGGAGATGCAACCCTGCTCATAGTAAGAATGCATCTTTTTCAAGGTATTTTTGAATAAAGACATTTCTGTGTAAAGGCAAGTGTTGTTGTGGATATGTCTCACACCTTTGAGTCCTTGCGTCACTGGTTCAAGTCCTAACTCCAGCACTTTGAAATTGTCACTATGCATTTTACTTACTTGGGCTTAAGAACTGAAAATGCAGTGTACTGTAGCAGATAGATACATGACGTTAACAAACTTAAACTATGAATTTAAGATCAGAAATTATCAATAAGTTATTTTTTAGGTTTGGAGAAGGGGATGGCATCAGGACAAAAGATCACTAAAACATGAAAAAACAAAACTGAAAACACTAAAAATCACAAGGTAAATCAGATAATGCTGCATTTGTTATTAAATACTTACATCTTCAGTGAAGTATCCAGTGACAATAGGTGCAATTATGCCAGGAATGGTCCCAAATGTGTTGGTGATTCCCAACAGAATTCCTGCATATCTATAAGGATAAATGAAAGCTATAGGAAAATACTTATTGGGAAATTGAATGCAACATGACATTACACACTTAATTAGGTCTCTTTTTGACAACGAAAGTCGTTAGCAATGAGATTAGCAGACATATTCGGATGGTTATAGGTTAAGTTCATGTGACATATTCTAGAGTGACTATAGTTTAAATTAAAACAGAGCTAGTTTAAAACAGGTCAGACTTCTTTGCTTCTTTGCTTTCTTTGCTTGAAATTTGCTGTATCACTGTCAGATTGCAGATTTGTTGACCTGGTTTATGGTTAATATCTCTGTAATTACTAGGCCTAATCATGGGAAACTGGACACAAAGTTACATATATTCTCTGTCAGCATAAATAAACTAAATTGGAATTCATTATTCAACCCCAAAAGACATGGCTGTTCTAAGTTAAAAGTACTTTATATTAAAAGCCTTAATATTATTATGGCATGCTTGAGTATGGTACAGCTGAAGTGAAAATTAATATGTATGTGTGTGTGTGTGTGTGTGTGTGTGTGGTGTATATATATATATATATATATATATATATATATATATATATATATATATATATATATATATATATATATATACAGTCCCTGACAAAAGTCTTGTCGCTTATCCATTTTGTAGAAACAAAAGCTTATAACTTGACTTTAAATTAATCTATTGGTTTTAGAAATGTCTCATATGAAAGCTAAAACCCTCCCAAATTATGCTCAATAAACTAAAATAAATTTGCTTCACTGAAAAAAGATTGATCATTTAATGAACACAGAAAGGTCAGATTTTGGCAAGACAAAAGTTTTGTCGCCTACAGAAAATTGAACTAATAATTTACTTCAAATACAAAAATATGTTGCATAACGTCAGTGAATTAAGTAGTGGTGCTGTGAGATCCATATTTAATATCTTGTATGACTTCCATGAGCTTCAAGGACTACATCCATGCGGTTCCACAATGATTCATACAATTTGTTGATGAAGTCATCAGGAATAGCAAAGAAAGCGTCTTACATGCCTCCCAGAGTTCATCAAGATTCTTTGGTTTTGCCTTCCATGCTTCCTCTTTCATTCTACCCCAGACATGCTCAATGATGTTCATGTCTGGTGACTGGGCTGGCCAGTCCTGGATCACCTTGATCTTCTTCGCCTTGAGAAACTTTGATGTCGAGATAGAATTATGCGATGGAGCACCATCCTGCTGCAAAATTTAACCCCTTTTATGGTTGGGAATGTAAGAGGTAGCTAATACTTCTTGATATTTTAGGTTATTGATATTGCCTTCCACCCTGCAAATGTCTCGCACAGCCCCATACTGGATGTAACCCCAGACCAGGATTTTTCCGCCACCAAACTTAACTGTTTTCTGGGTGAATCTTGGATCCATGTAGGCTCCAGTAGGTCTCCTGCAATATTTGTGGCAGCTGTGATGTAATTCAACCGAGGATTGATCTGAGAAATCCACCTTCTGCCACTTTTCCAGTGTCCATCCTTTTAGAAGGCTGTGGGCCTTGGCAAATGCCACACATTTTTTTAATTGCCTTTTGTTTAGTGCTGGTTTCTGTGCACTGATTCGACCATGGAGGCCATTTCGAGACAGAATTCTACAAACTGTTCAGCTCTGCTGCAGTGGAAAAGGGGCCGTGGATTTTCGAATCAACAAACGGTCCTCCCGAGCAGTTGTCTTGTGGGGTCTGCCGGACCTGGGCTTGTCAAAAACATCTCCAGTCATTTCAGATCTTTTTCTTATTCTTTGTACTTGACGCTGAGACACATTGAAGGTGTCAGCCACCTCAGCAGTGGATCTGGTCTTCAGCCTCTTGATAATTAACACTTTGGTGTCAGGGTGGATCTTAGGCATGTTGTCAGAGGTCAAGTTGCAGTTGATGTGAAGGTCTGGTGTGCTGGGGTTCTTTTTATACACACCCACTAACTGACTGATCAGTAACTGACCACAGATGAGGCTGTAATCTAGGATTGGGTGCATCATATGACAAGGCGACAAGACTTTTGTCTTGCCAAAATCTGACCTTTCTGTGTTCATTAAATGATCAATCTTTTTTCAGTGAAGCAAATTTTTTTTTAGTATATTGAGCATAAATTTGGGAGGGTTTTAGCTTTCATATGAGACATTTCTAAAACCAATCGATTAATTTAAAGTCAAGTTATAAGCTTTTGTTTCTACAAAATGGATAAGCGACAAGACTTTTGTCAGGGATTGTATATATATATATATATATATAAATTAAATAGTAGTATATAGTTAATTTGTACCTGGGGGCAATGTCTATCTGGTTCATGTAGACGCCGGCAGCACTAGCTCCCCCTGTGGTGGTGGAGAGCGTGAGAAAGAGCACAGTCCAAATGTGACTGCAGCCCACATAACACACACTGACCAGGAAGACTGAGGGCAGCACCAAACCTGTACATAGAGAGTGAGGGAGAGGTATAGAGAACAGAAACAGAAAGAAGAGACGAAGCAATATTAGCAATACACATTTTGACTGCTCCTAATTAAAGGGCCCATATTACACTATTTTCGGACCTGTTAAAATGTCTTTTGGGTAATATTAGCCCAACAATTGCCAGTGTCTGATGAACTAAAGGTAAAATGCAGCTGTTAACTTGAAAACTATTGCTTCACGACATCACAAGGTGGAACAAAGCATTTTAATGACTAATAACAAAATGGTAAATTGTCACATTTTTATACAGCGCTTTTCCACCTTCAAGGCACTGAAAGTGCTTTACAACAAGGAACCACTCACCCATTCACACGCTCATACACCAGTGGACACTAGATAAAGTGTCTTGCCCATGGAAACAACAACAGCATTTATCTGTGGGAGTTGGAATCGCACTGCCAACCTGTGGGTCAGTGGATTTTACCATTCAACCAGTGATGTTTATGTCGAAAGCACCGCTAACCTTCTGATCAGTGGACAAATGCTCTTACCACCTGAGCTACTGTCACCCAAAGATTACTCAAACATGTGTGACTGAAATGAAACACAACTCCAGGCCTGTTTTTCATAAGGTAATCACATTTTAACATGACTAAAAGCTCACAGTTTCAATTTTGTGTAATACAAGCCCTTTATAGAAAACAGGCTCATATTTGTTGTGATGTCGTCTTAGTTTGACAAAATAAGCATTACTTATTCAATCAGTGCAAAGTCCCAGTTCACAAACATTCTAAGACTATGTACATTATTATACACAGTGTCTGTTTACATAGTGTATCACTGAGAAGACAAAAATAAAACTAACTGTCCTTGATTGAAACCTGTACCTCATCCATCTTATTTAGAGAATGTCTCACTTTTTAATTTTTCACACAAATTGTACATAGAAAACCTCACAAAGAAATCAGGGCTTTTTGCACTGGCATTCAGAGTCTGTGAAGCGGTAACCCCTCTCACAGTCACAATGCCTGTTTTTCTAGGTATTTTTGAGATATAAAAACACTGTAATTTAATAAATCTGTTTAATGTCATAGTGTGGAACATTCCATTCAGAGCGATGACATATCCATAGAAATAAGCAGGTGACGGACCCCCACCCAAAAAGGTAAATAGTGCACCTTTACATTTTCTCACCAACAATGTGACTTTGGGTGGCCATTTGAGGTAGATGACACAAATAACATTATTGTAGACAGCCAAAATAATTTTTTTAAACCAGATGCCTTACCCACAGAGGAGAATAGCTTGCGTGTGACTGTGATGCTGAAGACCCTCTTCTCGATGAGAAAGTCAGCCAAGACTCCAGAAAGAGATGAGACCAGCCAGGCCCCGAAGTACGGCAGAGCAGACAGGAAACCATTCTAACCAAAAAACACAGGGTTAAACCTCCACTAGGGGGCAGCATTTGCACAATAGGGGAGAGACGTTTGCCCACCTATACCACACCTATATTACTTAGGGTGACCAAACGTCCGTTTTTCCTCGGACATGTCCGTATTTTGCGTCCTGTCCGGGGCGTCCGGGTTTTTTTTTTTTTTTTATAAAGTGGTGCAAATGTCCGGGTTTTCAGTACCGTTCATTGGGGGCATTAAACTGAGCGTCTCTCGAAGCGTCTGTGACTCAGAAGGAGCGAGCAGACACAAACAGTCGGTCAGTCTGCAACATACCGAAGCACAAATGCGCATTTAACAATGACTTGTACAAGAAATTTTCGTTTTCCGTCGGGACAAATATGAGTCCATGTGCAGAGGTTTAGAGGTGAGAGTACAGTGCTCCCTCGTTTATCGTGGGGGTTACGTTCTAAAAATAACCCGCGATAGGTGAAATCCGCGAAGTAGTCAACTTTATATTTTACAATAATTATATCAGTTTTAAGGCTGTAAAACCCCTCAGCACACACTTTATACACTTTTCTTAGACAGGACAGGTGCAACCCTTTTTACTTCCTTCTTAAAACTTGTTACTGCTGTCGTCCTTGTTTTATTTTCCTCCTTCTTTATGTAACAAACTGAAGATTCATTTATTCCGTAATGGAGCCGACAGCGCAGAGTCCTGCACGGGTCCATTTTTGGAGACCCACTGTACAACACCGCACCCGCGCAGTACAACAACACAACCGCGCAGTACAGGACCGCACCTGCCCGTTAACCCGAGATTATATCAAACTTTTGCGCTACCTACGCCACGGACTGAACCAAGACTAAACTAGGACTAAAACAGGACTAAACCAGGACTGAAACAGGACTCACTGTCAGGACGGGCTTGGAGGTGATCACAGGAGAAAGGACCGGCTCAGCTCCGCACCTCACGGAGTTAAACTCGGCAGTTGCCTGATCGCGCTTTGCGGACAAACTGCTCGGCGTTTTCTCTCTTACGTCCAAGATTAGTCCTGGTTTAGACCTGGTTTAGTCCTAACCTACCCGTGTGTAATTACTACCCGCCTGTAATACACAATACGCATTCATACTTGTGCTGTCACGCGATTAAAAAAATTGAGAGATTAATTAATTATGATCTGTAATTAATAAATTGAATTAATCTCTTTTTAATCTCACCTAAAAAATGCTGAGAAAAGCCTTCAATTTGAGGTATTTTCATTTAAATTCATTATTACATTATTGTGGCAGATCAAAAGACTGATATAGAACAAAAAAAAGTGACTTTATAAAGTCATTTATTGTTTAACAAATCTCTCCAAATTGGCTGTTGAGCCCAAGTCTCCATGAATAAGAAACTGTTTGCTGTAAAGTAGCAAAGACTAGGAAATCTGAACATAATAACTTTTGTCTACTTAAAGACACTAAAAAGTCCAGTCTTTCCTTAACCATATTAAAAATATTATTGATAGAGAAATGCTTTATATATGAGATCACTGGTTTTAGTCCTGGTTTTAGTCCTGGTTTAGACCTGCTTTAGTCCTACTTTAGTCCTAGTTTAGTCCTGGTTTTAGTCCTGGTGTTAGTTCTGGTTTAGTCCTGGTTTAGTCCTGGTTTAGTCCTGGACTGGGTTAGTCCCAGTTTTAGTCTTGGTGTTAGTTCTGGTTTAGAGGCTCACAGGAGGAAGCGTGGTTTACGCAGCGTACGTGAGAAAACGTAGGTGGCGCATGGGAGGACAGCCGTGTCCGCACAGTGTCTACGGAAGGAAATGTGGTCCGCGCGTTCTCAGGATAATGACGATGATGAAGGTGTGTGTTTGTGTTTGTGTGTGTTTGTGTGCGTGTCCCCTCATGTGGCAGGTCACTATAGGACAGTAGTGCAGACATCATGAGCCTATGCAGGTTGTTTTCACCAGTGACATTTAAGATGTAGGCGATTTTATATTTGTTATTTTCTTTTATATTTCATGTCGGGAGAATAATTTCCAAGACACGAATGTGTTTTTACCTGTGCACTGCTGCCTCTGTTCTACTGGCTCTTCGACCTCGTCCATTGTGCGACTGACGCCGCCAATGTTAACATGACGTTTACATCGCTCTTACTGAGCACGTTTTGTGTGGGTTTCCGGCAATGAGTGGAATTACCGAAATAAAAAAATTTATAAATGTGTTTTTTGTGTGTGTGCGTGTGTTGTTGTCCCAACAACACATAAAAACAGATTTTATAATAAAGCAACTCGCATACAGAAACAGTAAAATTAGAGATTAAAAATGAGATTAACGCGATTAAAAAACATAACGACTGTAATTAATTAATCGCAATTAATAATATAATATGACAACCCTTGTTCATACGCCCCCCTATTGTGTTAATTGTGTTGATTTGTGTGTTAAACATGCATAAATGAAACAGATTACAACCTCTGTGCAGGTTTGTGTTGAGGAAACCACATTATAACATAGATCAGAAAATAATGTAATATGGGTCCTAGATGATTTGAGTCACTCTACTGGAAATCCATACTACCTTTGTGTCATTTCAGTTTTCTATCAATGAAAATGCATCCTCATAGGTACCCTATGACTTATTTATCATGCATATCGGAGTGATCAAAACAGTTGCTACATTGGCTATTGCAGCAAGGACATAAACTGCAATAATGATAATATAAAGATTTATAATATTAATATCTGTGTACATTATAAATTAAAGCCAAAGTAATAATGCCTCAGTCTTACAGTTGTGTTCTATATTCTAGTATTCTAGATAGATTTAGGCCTACGTTTTTTGAGTTTAACTAAATAAAAGCATAAATACAGCAAAAAACCAGTGCCTCACCGACTGCAGATCGAAGTGCAGGATGTTATCCATGTACACAGGCAGTGAGGTGAGCAGAGTGTAATACGACCAGTTTGAGCACATCTGACAGATGATAATGGCCCAAAGAGGAACAGACGTCACTATGGACAAGACAGGCACCTTCCAGCCATGACCTGTGCCCTGGAAACACAAACACAAGGCTGTAAATCTCTCACATTCTCCAAAACATATCACAATCTTCACAGTGTAGAATTTAAAAAAAAGCCAAATAATAACTATTGAGTGTAATAAAGAATAATAATGTCTACCTAGTTATAATTAGGCAAGATTTTTTTGCAATAATTTACATATTATTATGTTGTAATTATTATTATTTATAATGTCATAGACTGTATATAAATGGATACAGCTGACCAGTTAGCAACAGTGTTCCAAAGTGGAAGTGTTCATGGGGGCGCTTCCAGCTCCTTCAACTATCAAAAATTGTCATCCCTCTCTCTGTAACTGCTGCAATGAGCCTCATCATTTTGGTCTTAAAATGGTTATATAGATAGATAGATACGTTTTATTGGTATTAACCCACTCTACATGATTGTGGTGTTTTTATTTTGCTATTTTGTCCATGAATAAATTCCTATTCCAAATATTAACCTGGCTCCAAATTCACTCCTATAACACCCAGTCTTGTGAGCTTTATTTCACTGGAGCCAAATGCTATGGTTGACATCACACACCCTTTTCACTGCTAGTTTGTGAATTTTGTTCACTGACAAACTGGCACTAACATCTGGCATTACCTGGGCTCCAACAGTGTTTATGATGTACTCTCTCTCCTCTTCACTGATGCGTTTGTGAGTGCGAGGATCGTCTGATACAAGAGCAAACCAAAACACAGCCCACACACACCCACCCCCTCCTGAAACACAGGGAAATACTGGGGGTTAATAGACTGCATTCACGTAACATAATTCAAAACAACACATAGTTTGTATTAAGGTGGTTGAAAGGAAAAAACATACTTTTATTAAAGCTATGTTCAAATCCAGGCTCAAAACAGTTTAGCTGTGCATATGACTGAAAGATTTTTATTTCACACTCTTCTCTCTTCTCTTTTAAAGCTAATTATATGATGATTATTTATGTTTTGATTTGTTTGGATTGTGATTTTAATGTCTATCTTATTCTATAAAGCACTTTGAATTATTTTTGTGTATAAATTGTGCTATACGTGGCCATACCGGCTTGTCAAAGCCTGATCCCGTTAGATCTCAGAAGTTAAGCAAGGCTGGGCCACAGGGGGGCGCCAGTCGTGAAAATTGTTGTTGTGTCCTGTTGTGTCTCAAAACTGTTGTTGTGTCCTTAGGCACGGCACTTCACCCTCATTGCATAGTATGAAAGTGGTGTGTGTGTGTGTGTGAATGATGGTGGTGGTTGGAAGGGCCGATGGCACAGATTGGCAGCCTGTAGCTTACCACCACTGGGTATAGAGTGAATGAATAATGCTCTGTAACGCATCTTTGAGTGTCCAAAAAAGTGCTATATAAAACTGATGCATTATTATTATATACAAATAAACTTGCCTTGCCTAGCTTTTGTACCAGATCTCTAACAAAAAATAATCAGGTTAAATGTTTGTGGAGTTTTCCCTCCATACAGTTCATTTCACAAATAAAAGGCCTGGTCTCTCACCACAGAGGTAGAACACAGCAGGCCAGCCCAGAGTCTCACAGATGAAGCCGGTCAGAGGCAGAGCGATGAAGGCCCCAAAGTTTCCTCCAGACCCCGATAAGGCTGTGAGTCTGGAGCGCTCCTGAGGAGGAGCCCAGCGTGCCCAGATTGCCATCATTGACGGGTAAGTCACGCCCTAAACAAGAGAAAATCAAGACAAAATAAACAATAAAATAAAAAAATAATAAAATAAAAATAATTCTATTGTCAAGACACAAGCACTCAGGAAATTATAAGCTTTCTGTCTCATGACATGACACTTTTGTTCATTCTTAATATTAGTTTTAGCACTATCCAGTTTAATTAAGCTGTTTTGAGCTCTACAACTACCACTAATTGCACACTCACAAACAATGAGTTTCCATGTTTCTTGGGGATTTATATTAATTTCCTGGAAATTGATTCTGAAATTGATTCTAACATTAATCATAGTCACTACTTAACCCTAACCTTAACCTATTTAACCCAAATCTGAACTTTTTCATGTTGTTCATATAATAAAGGATTTGAATGTGTATACAGATATTAGTTCCCACAATACTTATACACTCCCACATTTACACAGAAGTAAGTGTTTTTGCCAAATCACACAATGACAGTACACCCTGATCTTGACTGACCTGGATTCAAGGTTTGCTGATAAATGCACCGACCAAGAACTGAGCCCCAAACACATAACAGAATATAAAATTTCTTTCATCCACCTCAAATAGTAAGTGTACTTTGTTACTGTTGGTTAAATCAACAGTTCTTTTAAAAGTGACAAGGAACAAATCTGAAAATGTTCAATGACTTAACAGCAACAGGTGAATTTTGTGTCCCCTCACCTCCCCAAAGCCCTCTAGAGCCCTGAGTGCAAACAGCCAGCTGGGGCCCAACTGAGCGGTCAGAGGGGTGAGCAGGGTCAGAGCGGCTGTGCCCAAAACCCCAAACCCCAGAAACCTGGTCCCTCCGTAATGCCCCGCCAAGTACCCTCCAATGATCTGAGTGCACAGGTACCCGAAGAAGAAAGCGCCCAGCAGCCAGCCCTGGGTCTCCGAGTCCCACTGGTACACGGGCACCTATGGGGGCAGGAGAGACAGACTGTTAAGGTTAGAAATGAAATAGGAATCTAACTGCTTTGAGAAATATCTTATACAACATAGATCTGTCAGGAGTGAAATTACAATTTGGGAATGGGACTCAAGTCAGACTTCAAGCACTATTTTGATGATTTGAGACTTGACTGTAAACTTGGGACGTGACTTGGACTTGAATGAATTTGAGACAGGAACAGAACTGTCCATTGTCCATTTACATAATTAATCATCACTAAACTGTCCATACCCCATCTGGCTGAGTAAAGCCCGTCTCACTGTTGTTGGTCCTGGGCAGAGGACACACGTGTTTGGACGAGTTTGAGCTGTTGATTGCTGGAGGTGGTTCGGTGTTGTTCACCATGGCAACCATCGCCACGCTAAGGTTGACACGGAGACCGTACACCACAGTGAAGCCGAGGAACATGAGCATGGCGAGGTTCAGCCGGGCTGAGCAACACTGAGGGGGCACTAAGTAGAGAGGGAGAGAAATATCTGTATTCAAATGTCAACCATTTTGACCTGTTCCCCATTTCATGTATTACATTTTCTGTTATATGCAACATTATCAAGACTTTTTCCTCATTGACAACAAATCATGTTTTGTTTTGTTTTAAACTGTTAATCACTATGGCAACCATCCTAATTTTTCATCCTTCTGAAAACCATGGGTAGTCAGCACCATTTGGGTTATTTGAAAAAGTCCACCCACTTTTCTGTGTGAAACTTGAACCTCAACAAAGACATTTACAGGCATATTTCAGCACATTTTTGCTTAAATTGCAAAAATAATTTATCTTGCACAGTTTGTTTCTGTGGGACATTCTAGACAAATCCATCACATTTCCATGAAGACAAGCAAGTGACGGACCCTCCACCATAAAATTGAATAATGCACTTTTAAACCTGTGTAACCTGTATAAATGTTTCTCCTGCTCAGTTCAAGGGTTTGGCATGTGACAGGACTGACCATAGGACTGAGCATCTGATGTGGTCATTGAGCCAAGACATAACATAAAAATCAACTCCCTCATGCATTTACAAAACGCCAAGTCATCAGTATGTGGAGTCAATAAAGTTTCTTAGGTCATTATAAACTACTGTATAAGGTTTTCTGCATTCAAGACTATACTAGATCAAGATTTATTAGATCTACACTAGATCAAGATTTAATATTATCTATAATAGATCAAGATTTAATAATATGGAAAATTATATAATATGCATTGCAACTGTGGTCAGAAGTAGTAGTAGAGACATCATGCTGGAGTTGTTCTACATAATGATACTAAAAGTCATTTTTAAACCACTTTTTGTGCAGAGTGAATATGAAACACGCCGATTTTAATCATCAAAACAGTGTGTAGCATATCCTTGTGAATGAAGACTGACACATGAACTGGCGATTTTTAGATTTAATGGCAATAAATCCTTCAATCTGCCATAAGAGCTAAAAGGAATACAAAATACAATGTATAAATACGCATTCACAAAACTCAACGCAAGTTTGATTAATATTTACATTAATCTAGACAACATCAATCAACAATAATAAAAAACTAGAGACACAAAATTATTCAAAGAAATATTTACATCAGTAACAAACCTTTGTGCCTCTTCAGAGGGAAAGCTAAACAAAAACTTAGAAAAATACCAAAAAATATGTGTACACATTTGCTCCGTAATGTTTTTCCCTTCTCGTTGTCAAGGTACAGTGTCAAAGCACTAAACATAAACGCGTAAGTTAATGGTTAACAACAGAAAATTGTGCAATAATCATAAAAAGTCACAAAGAGATTTTAACAGGACAAATTATACTAAAGGTTTTTTACACAGTGAAAATGTCAAATGTATTGAAAAAATGAGTTTCCTTCCTCTTAGCAAGGAAAGAAACTGTAGCACTGTAACAAAATAATTTAGTAAAATATACCAAAAAATACTCTGGGGCATATATATCGATAGAGCAGCCCGCAATATCGATACTGTATCAGCACATTATAAAGAAATTATATATCGATGTGTTTGCACTCCCCTGGTTCTACATGTATGTCCATTGGTGGAATGTTCAATGTTATTATGGTGACACAATGTACACATTAGCAAACACAGCTAAAAAAGTTTTAAGATCGTCTGAAAACTCAAGAAAAAAATACACAATGGGTTTAAACCACACATTTTCAGGAGCACGTTATCAATACGAGCGTTCATGGTCTTGTTTATGTGTTTGATTTTCAACAAAAAAGGTGAGAGTGCCTAACTGAAAACAGTTGACAAACGTTAGTTAGCTTGTGACTGTATGTGTTAGAGACTTGTTTAACAGCAAGTCAGATCACCTGTTTTAGTTCCAACTAAATCAACTTTTTCTAGTCAGACTGTGTTAAATTTAAGATCAGATTAAAGTCTAATTTGAGTAAAAGAGTTTCAGACAGAGCAGAGCCTACAGTTAGCATCTCAACCCCAGGGAATGTTAATGACACCAGATGCTTTGTTTAGTTCTTTAATCGTGATTGGTTGTGTTGTTTTCTCAAAGACATACTAGTACACTGTTGATTGGTGGCAATAAATTTGTGTTATTTTTGTACTACCAATGCTCATACACACCTCTATCGGGCGGGACAAGCAGCTCACAGTCCTCTTCGTCATCAGAGGGCGCTCTGTTGATGGAGTAGCCATTTTGAAGTGGCATGGCACTTTTCAGACTGTGGCTCTGGTTCAGAATCAGGTCACTGTGGCATCTCAGGCATCTGCAGCTGAAGAAAACAGGAGTAAAATAATGGGAAAAACAGAGACAAGAGACGGCGAGACAGAAAAAGAGAGAGAGACAGACAAGGAGAGAGACAGATGGGGAGAGACATGGGGAGACACAGAGGAAGAGAGAGACAGACACAGAGGGAGGAATGGAGGAAGAGAGAGAGCGAGAGACAGATACTTACAGACAGAGAGACAGAAAGACAGACACAAACACGGGGAGAGACAAGAAAATGGAGAAACAAAGAAAGACACAGTTAACACAAACTGGTCACAACAACCATTAGCAGATTCCTGAGAGAGGAGACATGGTTGAGAAATTCTGAAACGAAAGGGCCTTTTTAAAATATGGGACTTTAATAAATTAACTTGTAAATGTACATGTTTGTTGGCATTTATTCTATTTATTCTTTAATTATGCAAAGCTTGGCATAATTTATCCATATAAAATAAATAAACAGAATTGACACTTTTTAGTACAGGTTGTAGGATTAGATAGAACACAGGTTTGAGTACATGAGCAATTGTATCAAAGGTGACAAAGAGTAAAAATACAAAAAAAAAAAAAAATCCCTTCTTATGTGATACTGAGAAAAAAGTGGAACTTAATTAGCATTAGAGGAACTTATAATTTCACTTGTATATCTATACCAGTATTTTTATGACCTATTCCTGGTTGCAAAAGGTTTAAAGTTGACCATAAATAGACAATGAATAAATTCTTAAGTAAATTAATTTAAAATGATAAAAGTACAGCCATAAAAAATTGTGGGTGTAACAATAATAGACACACACAATAACTAAACTGACTCCATAGGAGGGATTCTTTCACATCCTTGTTTGCTGTTGGATTTAAATAGAATTGTAAGACCAAAGACTTTTCAAACTTGAAAAACCTGCTACATATTTTAAAGTTGTTTTATGAATAGTGTTGGGAAATTTTAATCTGTCAGGGAAACCATGAGTAAACATCAAGACACCACTCAACTTCAACTTAAGCTACCACTGACCTGACCTTATTTAATCAATATATTATCAGTACAAAAGTGTCAGCACAATTTTGAGCAGTGTAAACAATTTAAGTGTTTCTTTAAATAAATGTAAATATAAAACCTATTATTACTATATAAGGGCAGAGAAAAAGGTATATTGTTTGGTAATTTACTTTTTCTTTGGTTTTACATACAGTATACTGTTATACAGTACAAAATTTTGAACAGAGCCAAAATGAAATTCATGAAGAAAAAGAACTCATGACTACGCTTTATAATATATAGCGAATGTTATGACAAAGACATTTGTTATTTTTGCCTGATTAGAACTACTAAAATAATGCCCTGAGCAAATACTTTCTCTTTCAGCATGTGACCACTTTTGCAGGATAGGATAGGATCCCTGAATGAACTTTTTCCTTTAAAACAATTAATGCAGTGTAACTACTTCAGGGCATTTAATAATAATAATAATAATAATAATAATAATAATAATAATAATAATTATTATTATTATTATAATAAAGCACTGGGTTCTGTAATTATCCCATAGTAACAAAACATAATTAATGGTACTAATGACTTGAGAATCTCCTACTATTAAAGACTTTTTGGATAAATAAATTATCTACAATGACAATAAGCTAAATACTTAGTGTATACTTTAAGACAGATAAATGATAAAGTGTTTAGGGCAGCAAACAGACAAACTGGCATGCATACATAACAGTTACACAGCCTAAACATAATCGCCTGCTCATCATAATTTTTCAGGGTTATGCTAGCTGTTATCACAATGACTAAACCACAACCTTAATCAAACAAGCATAAAAGACACATTATCAACATATTACGCAAAGACAGTAAGTTTAGAATCCAGCAAACGCTAAAAAAGGTTAACTATGTGTTTCTGAGAACCTGGCTTGAGTAATGCTTACCTTATTAACTAACGGTGAACAACAACGGACTAGATTGTGAATGCCACTGTGCACGTTTAAGGCCGTTTTCCGTTGTGGCTAACGAGACGAAAACCTCATATTGTGTTCTTGTCACTTAAACGCAGCCGGCGAAGAGACAATTGCATAGTGTTGTTTACTGATTTTATAGATCGAGCAGAGAAACATTCGGTCACATGAGTGCTACGAGCATTACAGATGTGTAAAAGATTGGATGAGATATAAACAGACGAATCGAGCACAAGGCCACTCCATGTTATTTATAAATCAAAATAAAGGAAGTGGCGTAAACGCTTTGACACGCCCACTTTTTTGTCCAACTGCTTTACGGTTTTGTTTTGATTATTAATTTACCAATTTAATTATTTCAACCACATTTTTAGCAAATTTTGTATGTTATACTCAACTAGAGTATTTATTTATTTATTTTAATCAAGAATATGCACTTCCGTGTGTCGATCATGCGTCGTTATGGTAACCGGTGTACTTCCTGTAGTCCTTCGAAAAGCAAACACAAGCCAGCTGCAGAAAGTAGCCTTAATTGATGTGTCACAAGTTTGTTAAAAGTGATAAACTGTTAAGATTTCAACACAGCCATGGCGCATTATAGAGTAAGTGTTTTTTTTTTTTTTTTTTTTTTGAATGTCATTATTTTTCTTGATGCCGTGGTTGCCGTGTGCTGTAAAACATGCTAATTCGCCGCTAGTTACATTGCAATGCCTTTCAATGAATAGCTAACTCAGTAAATTATGACGTTGAAATTCATACATGTAACTTTTGATGTTATTATGTTAACATTTTTTATCTACAAAATTGCAGACTTCAAACGAGTCCAAAAGGGAACAGTTTAGAAGATATTTAGAAAAATCTGGAGTTCTCGACACTTTAACTAGCGGTGAGTAAAATTAACTACTTAAATAATAATCTTCATACTGTTTGTTTATTGTCTTGTGTGGTTAATATATATTTTTTGTTATAGTTTTGGTGGCACTCTATGAGGAGTCTGATAAACCCAACAATGCTTTGGAGTATCCTTTTATTTTGACTGTTAACAAATACAAGATCCCTGTTAAAGAAGTGAAAAACACAGAAACTTACCTATGAGTATATATTTTTAAATGTCTTAGTATTTGTAGATTTGCATCATATTTGTATTATTTTTTGATGGGTGACAGTCACTGCAATCAAAATAAATGCAATATATTTAGGATTACCAAGGATCTTGTAGATGGGGGACACACTTAATGTTGCTGAACATGGAGAGATGGAATTTTAAGGTCATAGATAATAGGTTTTATCAACCATAACACACATAGAGAGAGCGGAATAGGAATAGGTGCCAACATGTTACATCCCCGAAATCCTATGAATTAATCAATCAATAAGTGGTGGGACATTCTCTAAATAAACTGGATGAGATATATAGCCCAAAACAGGCTGTTCACTCTAGATACATTGCAATCAGATTAATTATGAGAAACTGTTGTAAGTATTCTTTGTGAAAATAAGTAAAAACTATTCCCAGCATCACCAATTGACCTTGACTATTGAAAAGTTTCATAAAGCTTCACCTGGGAGCTGCTGGTCCAGAGCCGGCCGACACAGAGGCTTTGAGAATGGAGCTGTCGGATTTACAACAGAAGTGCAATATGCTGATGGAGGAGAATAAGGAATTGAGGAACAGGGTAAGCAAAAAGGTCAACTAAATCTGAAATGTGACTAACACATTTCTGATGCACGGACATTGTGAAAAAGTAGAGTGAATCACATAGAGAGAAGCCAACATAAAGAAATTATTTTCATCAGACACATTTTATTAACAAGAAATCTACATGTTTGTACTCAGGACATTTGTTTCTGAAAGGATTTTTACAATGTTTTCTCTTGTACCTACAAAGTCAAAAAGAATATCGTATCTTATATTGTGTACTGCAAGACAAGTGAACTAACAACTAGCATACAGCATACAAAGGACTAATCCACTGGTGTTTTGTGTTTTTATGTCACAGCTGATGCAGTACGAGCCAGCGCCTGAAGAGGGAGCAGCTGAGTAGAGGAGAGAGATGTAATGGAGCAAAAAGAGAAAGAAAAAGATTGTAGTATTTTTGTATTGCCTCTTTGTTTATTACATAATTATGGATGTACAGTGAACACAAAACACTGATTCTTTTGTTATTTAACATGATGCTACATCTGCCTTCTCAAAATAAATGTTTTTTTTCCCAGGACAATCATTGGTTTAACATCACATATAAATTCAGCCAAGAGTTTATGGACACATAAATGCAGGAATTATAAAACATCAACTTTGAAAGATTTTGTAATTGATAAATTAGCTCAGATAATGCTTAGTCATTCAAGATTGTTTTGCTTTTTCAAAACTAAGGCCAAACTATTTTACACAAAGATATATTTTTAGATTTATCACATCACAGCCCCTAAATCTATCTTCAAAGCTCCATATTTCACTCCCGCTCCAAGGGTAAAGCAAAAGCCATGTTCCTAATGCTGAACAACTGGTTGGTTACATAACCATTAACATTTATAGATCTGGTTTTACTTTTTCCATCCATCTTCTAATCTTTAGAAAGAAATCGTTATCTGCCTCTGTGAGCTGCTGCGGCCGTGAGATGAGTAGGGAAATTCAGTATGGGATTGCAATCTACTTTATTAATTTCATAAAGCTCATCTGGACTATCTGTCAACCAAACATTTTCTTTGAATACATGTGTCCTTTTGATGCCTAACTTTATGCACTAATAAATGGATTATGGTTTATTTTTTATAGGCGTCTATAATTTAAGGCATGCTGTAGCTCTTATATTTACTCAAATTTTTGCAAGTGCTAAAATGGTATCTCTCTCTGGCATTATAGTTCTGTATTGATAGCTCACTGGAGGAAAAAGGTTGGACACCCTCTGGATTACGCTAATCAGGCACCACATGACAACCTTGTATCATTCCATGTGTTTTGCTCCTTGCTTGCTTGTCTTTCCACAGACCTGACTCAGCCTAGTGGTGGGCACGCTACCTGTTTATCTCCATGGATATGTATTACTTTGCCTGTAATTTTTCACAAAATAGTAATTTTCCAGTGCATAATCTTCCATAATGTTGCTTTAACTTTCTATCTCCATAGAGTGATGCAGATGGCATTCCCCACCACTAGAAATGTAACACTATACTGCTACACCAGTCACATTTTAGTTGTTAGAAACTGAAGTTAAACCTGCTCAAATCCCACATTTTTTCCCTAATACACAACTTTGAGGATGCAGTGCCATTATATAAAATGTTCCACGATGAAGTGAGGATCCTTTTATTTGTGCCCGGTCAGTGCTTTCTTTAACTAACTTTGGAAGCTCATCTTGCCCATGTCTAGTTTATATCTGCAGATCAGTGGGTGCTCGTCTGCTGCTTGCACTACTCGCTGCAGAAACTCTTCGATTTGGTGATGAGGCTGTGGGGCTGTTACTCTCCCTTGAATGGCGGGACACTGAACTCAGTTCCCCTGCTGAATCTGGACTTTGGGATCTGCTTTGGGACCTTTTGCTTAGCTCCGATTTGGATACCAGCCTTGGCCTTGGTCCAACGCTTCTTAACTTCATACTGTTGTTATTCCCATGATACGAATCACCACTATCTGAGCCAGTCCCCTCTACCACAGTGGAGCAGTGCCATGGTGGGCTAAGTCTACGTGACTTTCTTAGTAAACTTGTGGGCGCCTCTGTTACTGGAAGTGTGGGGTACTCTGATCTGGGAAGGTCCATATTCTCATGTTGAGATGATGAACCTTCTTCGGGATCGTCCAGTTTGTCACCAGAAGGGGATCTAGTCTCACTGCTTGTGTTGTTTGAGTTACTATTTTGTTCAGTTGGACTCAGGACAGCTTCTTTGCCTTCCTTGTGGATGTCAAGTTTCACACCAGTATCACCTTGAATTGGCACAAAAGCAGAAGAACCACTCAGAAGAGGGTAGTTTGGTCCATTGCCTTGCTTTTCTAGTAACAATGTATACCCACTTGGAGCTGACGGCATGGTGGTCTTGCGTGCCACCGATGTCCCAGTGCAAACTTGATGCACCACTGAGTTTTTTTTGGATCTGCTGTCATAGTAATCATCCAAATCATCTTTTAAATGTGGATAGAAGTCCAAAATTATCTTCTTTACCCGCTTGTAACCCAAATGCATAATCTCAAGGAGGCTCAAAAACAATGAAATACATGCTATCACCTGCATAAACATCATAAAAACTGTCTTCTCTGTTGGTCTTGAGACAAAGCAGTCCACTACATTAGGACAGGGCTCTCTTTCACACTTGTAAAGTGGACTTAGACGATGCCCATAGAGAAGGTATTGTCCAGTCATGAAGCTTACCTCTACAATAGACCTGGTTACAATATGCGCAACATATGTACAAAGTAGAGACCCCCGTAATGGAGCTTTGTTGAGTTTACTCTGCTCTAGTTGTCTCATTTCTTTCTCAATCCGCTTTCTGACCTCTACCATTTCCCCATCCACAGCTTCTAACTCACGTTTTAGAGCTACTTTCTTGCAGTGACGCTCTTTTTCCAGTGCACGAAGCTGGTATATAGCGTGCCCCATGTAAACCAATGATGGAGAAGACACAAAAATCACTTGAAGGACCCAGTAGCGAATGAGGGAGATGGGGAAGGCTTGGTCGTAGCAGACATTTCGACATCCAGGTTGATCCGTGTTGCAGATAAAGTCGGATTGTTCGTCATTCCAGACATCTTCAGCAGCGACGCCCAGAACCAGCATCCGAAATATAAACAGGATAGTCAGCCATATCTTTCCAACCATAGTGGAGTGGATATGGACCTCCTCCAGAATCCCTCCAAGGAAGTTCCAGTCTCCCATGGTTCACTTTAGTTTAGCAGTGCTCTGTAAGAAAGAAAATGATTAACATTTTAGAAATAGATAGATGGATAGACAGATAAATACTTTATTGATATAGATAGATTGATAGGCAGTGTTGGAAAGTAACTGAATACACGTACCAAGAATAGGTATTCAGAATACTATTTAACTCTATTCTGGTACAGTTACTTTTTCATTTGGTGGTATTCAGAATACAGTTACTTTTCTAAAACGAATGGAATGCAAACAGTATTTGATCATATGATTTTAGGATTCAAGCTGATTTTCACAAATTGGCTGTTGGCCTTAAATCTCCAGCAGAGGCCAATATTTTGTTTGGCCCAACCAGCTGCTTAAAAAATGATATATAATATTTGAGCTCTTTTGTGTGATGAGGACACTCAAAAAAAAAAAAGAAAAATCAACTGAAAAAGGACATCAGCCATGAAAAAACCAAAACAAGCAACAACAACATCAACAAAAAAAAAACAAAAAAAAAAAACATATTGGTTGATATCTAGTTACATTCATTCATCTAACTTTTACATTTTACTTTTGAGTTAGATCTGATCACATCTTTACATTGAATCAGGTCTAGCACATTTATCAGTTTTAGGTCTGAATCTAGGTCATTTAGTAACATGTTCTTTAGGGATAGAAGAACATTTGCATATTTTGTGCTGTTTTAAAATGAGTAAAGTACAGAAATTAATCTAGTACTGTAGTAACAATTAGGCAGACTACAATTAACTTTATTCTTACTTTGCAATGAAATGCTCTAATCAAAGTCAAATTTCGTCAACCCATTCATGGGTGTCAGTGCAATGAAAAATGTGCCCTGTTGCCATAGAAATATTCTATATTATATAAATTGAATGGTCAAAAGTTCTGAAAATATTGCCTATAAACAGGGAGCTGAAACCCATGGATTTTTAAAAGTAAAAACGTTTATTTATTTATTTATTTTTTTTAAAGCTACAGTATTCTAGAAACTTACCTCTCATCTTAGTTATTATGGGCCTCCTCCATTGACAAAACATTGCATCCTAAACTCACATCTCAACAATTTAAGCCATTTCAGTCCATTCAAAGCATAAATCTCCTGTTGTTTTTAGCTGGGATGATGCCTGTTCAGTGTAGAGTAGATTCTGTGGGCTGAGGTCAATATTGTGGCATGGCTGTGGTGGCAGGCCCCTGCAGCGGTCGTGGTGAATGGGAGGTCCAGTCATTAACACTTCTCAGTACTGGCTCTACTCTCTCATGCTGAACCCAGAGGACCATGTACTAGGATGAACTTTGTAAACAAGAGATGTCAGGGCACATTAGTTTATTCAGATAACTAGAATAATCAGATAACCCAATAATTAGATCTGATTTAGGTGTGCTTATGTACAAACAAGCCCAAGATCATGAAAAGCAGCTGGTGATGTGTGTCAGTTAATTAGCTGATAACTTTTATATTTGTATTGACAATTGAATTTGTCAGTTCAATTATTCAAGTAAAATGGTTTAATAACTTTCGGTCTTAAATTATTATTATTTTTTTTCAGTTCGCGCCCTTATTATATAATTTTTCTTGTCAAAACCTGCACACAGGAGAACAATCTAAATCTGATTACTCATACACAGGATGTGACTTTTTCAAATTCCAGAAATCACATAATGAAAAATAACATATCTTAGTACCTTAACGATAAAACTGTATTTCATTTATTCCCAAAATACATTCCTTGAAAATACAGCTGGGAGGCCAAAAAAAACATCTTTCTTTCTTATCACATTGTACTAATATAATTTATGTAAAAGTAACAGCCAGTTGTTATTAGTCATTATGACAGATGATTAATGCAAAGAGGGCCTGAGTAATAACCAAAACATCACATTTAGATTTGTATGCCTTTTTATACCTTCTGCTACTGACACAGTCCCTTAGATCCACTTTATTGCATTGTAATAGTTTCATACACTGGTCAGTGATTTATTTTTAAAAAGGTCCTACATTACACTAAATTGGCTCTTGTGAGCTTTTAGCCATGTTAGAATGTTGTGGCCTCATCAAAAGCAGACCTGGAGTTGTGTTTTGTTTCATTCACACGTTTGAGTAACTCTTAATTATTATCTTATTATTGTCGACATCTCCAAAGCTCAAAATGCTCTGTTCCACTTGTGATGTCATGAATCTGTAATTTTTAAGTTAACAGCTACCTTTTACCTTTTGTTTAGCAAAGATTGGCAATTGCAGGTGCTTGGAGTTTGAAAACACAGCGGAGCACTTCCTGTATTACCGCATAACATCACAAGGTGAGAAGCAGAATGTTTTTTTTGAGAAGAACTCAGCCTAAATATCCAGGATTTGTATTAAACATGCGTGAATGAAACAAAACACAACTCCATGTATGTTTCTGATGAGTAAACATTATAATATAAATCAGAATATAGTGTAATAAGGGCCATTCAAGGTAAAAACAAAAACATTTAAGTTTATATATTATTATATTATATATTTTTTATACTTTTTTTTAGTTTGACGTGCTTGATAATCACTACCATGTCTCTCTATTGGCTTGTGTCTATTTAATACATTTGTTCTATAATTATTGACAGGACACGTCCGATTTCACGCCTGACTGACGCTTCACTGTGGCTCTAATTTAAAATGTCCACCACTGCACAATGTCCCATTTACAAAAATCAATCAGTGTGTCTGGATACCAGGCCTTTTGTTAATGTTCATAATGCTTAAAATAAAAAAAAATAAAAACATATATGACAGTTCAAGTACATAATACAATCTTAAATATATTTGAACTAAATGGTTTATAAAGCAGAACTGAATTAACAAAAATTTAACAAAAAGCAACAAGACAAATAAAAATGCCTCAAGCTTTGGTTCTAAACATCGTGATACTGACACTGGGCTGCCTTTGATTTGACAGTCCTGTAACTCAAAAAATTTAAGAAACTGCATGTACTCAAGGATAGCCTGGTACTGGTTTATTACTCAAAAATAACAGATTTTCTAGACAAAGAAGATTCAAGGCTAAAACATGCAAGTGACAACAGTTGTGAAAACAGTCATGTAAACACCAATTAACTCCTCCTCATTTGGGACTTGAAAGACAGAACCACACTTTGAAAAGGTCCAATGTTACAAATAAAAAACTGAAAAAATAATTGTATTTTTTTTCAGCCACCGGTTGACAATGAACACTTTAAAAAGATATTCAACTTCATAGCAGCTTGTTCCACACATTTCAAACTTGAGAACCTTAAAGCAATTCTTCTCCAAAGCACCTTGTTAAAAAACATTTCTGGTTTCCCTTTTAAGGAGAGTTCAGCATTATGTAAAAGGCCATTAGTTTCTTTAGAGATTAACCAGTTAATTGTCTCCTCTTTTTGTCATCCAAAACGCTCAACATATTTACAAACTACTGGGCTGCCCCTTAGCTTTAACAAGGCTTAAAGATATAATGAACATGCAAAGCTTAACACAAGTTTGACTCTTTACTTCAGTAAAACATACCCAACAGAATCCCAACAGCTCTGAAAAAACAGCCAGCATTACAAATGCAGGTTTCAAAAATCGACACTGGAATGGTTTGTCAAACTATCATTAGATTAAAAAATACTGATTTTCTTTAGCAAATGATGCATAGGGTTTAGGAAACCAGGTACTACAAATAAAAGACTCTTTGCGAGCATAGAACTCAACACAAACAACTGTATAAAACCAAGCAACAGCACTTATCGTTAAATGTGACAAGCTTTTTACAAACGGTTCAAGGGACAATACATTCATGTCAAAAACTCTTTCTCCTCCTCTTAACGGCCTCCAGACTTCCGTCCAGCCCAGGATCTGGAGCGAGAGCGGGACCTGGATGCTGAGCGTGAGCGCGAGTATCTGTGCCGTGGTTCCTCCTCGAAGTGTGGGGCCGCCGGAGGCTCCTCTCGAGGTGTGACTGAGCGCGAGCGAGAACGGGAGCGTGCACGAGACTCACGGCGAGGCCTCTGTCTGTATCTGAGCGCAGGAGAGAGAGTGGAATAAACCATGTTAAATTCACAGTTATGTAGATTCTGGATGTGCTGCTGTAACAAGTGAAAGTTGTTTTAAATA